CGAATCGCTAACGCGGCTAGCGCACCGCTAGGGGGGTCGGATTTCAGCTGTCACCACTGTAGTACAGTATAGTCTAGGTAAGTAGGTTGGCCTAGACTCTAGACTAGGGTCACACAGCATGCACCGAGTCAGAAATACGATGTTAGGTAGGATTGCATTGCCACCATTGGAGATCACGTCGCGCTCTTGCCCCAATGCCTTTGCGAATGATCTCGCATGTGCATCTACTAATCGTACTCGTAGATCGACTATCACCGGACCCTTTCCACGTCAGATTCTTTGCCAATGCCGGCAATGGTCTCCTTCTTCTGTCTCGTGAAAGATGTACCTGACTCTACATTGACATCATCAAGACTCTACATAATCATTGAAAGAGATTAGCAGTACATGTACGAGTACAAGTGCGGTAATATGGCCTATCGGCTCCATGAAGATTATCCAGCATGAAATCGGAGTGGAACTTCAGCGGTTATTCTTTGTACAATGTCATTGTAGTACCCAGCGCTATCGTGATAGGTACATTCTACATTCACGCCTTTGTTTTGAGTGGCAGGCATTGGATGCATCCGCTCTCCTAACCCTCCCACTCAGGCCCAGTTGTGTTCTCTCACACGCCGTGGTTCCACATACCGGTACATGTACATAGGGAGCGGTTGTTTTGCATCAGGGAGTCGCATAAAGACTCCCTGGTTTGCATCAGTTACCGTCTTCCCGCAATCAGTGCCCCTGGGGAACTATTTTGTCAATGTCCATCACAGATAGGGCACCATTCAGAAGAGGGCACTATTTTTTAAATGCTGGTACATTTCCGTTATCCAGCATAAGCTAAGCAAAGAAGGCAAAGAAAGGCAGAGTCTACAGTTTACTGTAAACTGTCAAGTTTCTCAAGGTTCATTAGAAGCGACAACAAGAACTGCATTTTAATCCTGAAACCACCAGTGCAGTGGCATGGACAAGAAAATTAGCAAAATAACACCAGACTAGCACAAACTTGCACATGCGCTTGGCTACAAGGAGGGGTGGGGGGGGGGGCATTAGTGAAGAGAGCGCTTTATTTTTCCACCGGCTCTCGGAGACAGGGGCACTACTCAAGAGAGAGAGCTCTAATCGCGCGAGTGCGGTGGGTTGCGCTTGTTCGGTGTCATTTCCTACACCATTCCAAAGTCCTAATCGTATTGTCCCGTATAACAGCCGTGGTTATTCCCGTGGAAGCCGGGTCCAGTGCTAGGCTTCCATTCAAGTCAGGCTTCTACCGGTATTCGAACCACGTATCTCTATGAATGGCAGTACTAAACAAGGCATACCGGTACATGTACATGTATGTGCTGACAGTGTATCAGGCTTGTACTCTTGTTTTGCTTTGCAGTTGTTGCCGCGGTCAGGCCAGTGAAATCATGTTCTGTGATTGCCCGTATAAGAGGCTTAAGAAAAAAAACTCAAAACAGACTTCTATACGAGACAGGCTTTTATATACCAGACACCATCATAATATTGGGCATCAATGCCCGTTTGGTTTGCGATGTAAAATAAAACTTCAAACAACACAACAGTAAGTCTTTTCTATCCAGAGTTCTAGTGGATTCGTTTCCAGGGATTCGGTTCAGCGTGCTACGATTTCTCGCAAGTATTAGTTGCAGGCCCGTGTGAGATTCACATACCGAATGACTCATATGGCTTATAATGTCTGTGCACTGACCCTGGCGACCAATCATGCAACTGAAGTGTCCGGTGGTCATCGCTCTAAGTAAGAGATAGAGAGTATCATGATTATCTGGTGCAATTTCCCGCCACATTGACATTGTTTTGAGAACTTTTGTAACGTTTAGTGTCACGTGAAGGCGCTCGTGCCAGACCATACAGATTGTTTTCTTTTCTTGACTGGTTCTGCGGGTTTATACCAGTTCATGCGCAGTTTCCAATACAGTGGCAACTGTGGAATATTTGTAAAGACAGTACAAGTAATCTTTTCGCTCTATCATTGCGTTGATACTAGTGATCAGTAAAATTAATAGTTGACGCGATTCCATTCCAAATCACTGGTTCAGAGTCCGCCAGATGTGGGAGAAGTAGAGGCGCGAGATAGACATACGTTTTGGGAGAAGTATAAGATCGCCCACTGTGATCATTATCGGCACAGTAGCGTAATAATGCAGAAATGTGATAATTATAATCATGTAGTATGCTTACGCAGAGAAAGTTGGGGTAGCTCATGATAGCGCTAGATGCTTATCATTGAACTCGCGTTGGAAAATAATTCAATAAAGATTCACTGAAAGGTTTCCCAACTACAATAATTTGTGCTTTCAGCTAGGAATCCCATTTGTGAAATAACTGAGCTGGATATTATTATGCAACAAGAATGTTCATATGAACAAAGATCAGGTAAACACCAGAGTACTACAGTGTATCCAACGTGCGTAAAATAAAGTAAATTGGAAAGGGAATAATGGGAAATGTTACATTTTAGCTACTAGTATCTAAATCGAAATGCTTAGGCCAAATTGAGAAGATTTTCTGAGATCAATCATATTTGGAAGAGTTAAAATGTTTAGAAAATGTAGTGCTTTTCGGGTGCTTGGTGACTGGTTCGTGCTAGGTCAAGTGTTACTCCTCATCTTCCGAACTGACTTTTGGCGCAAGATCTACTACCGTGGTGTAAACGTCACCAGATAAACCTTTATATTGCTCAAATTTGAAGTTGCGGAATGACTGTGTTCGTTGGCTTTTCAACACGCTTTGCTCGGCTGTTGATGGGCTGGTTGTGATGGAATTCAGTGGCGACAGTTCAAAACTCTCACGCCACTCCGATGTAGGGGTTCCTGGTGGCAGAAGGTTGCTGATGTCTGGAAGATCAACCGGCGATTGAGAATGTACAAAGAAGCTTCCTTCGTCATCGGTTGTCGGTGACTGACTGAAGTTTGGCAGAAGATTTCCATGCCTGTCTTGCGTTGTGGCCAGGCTTGAAGGTCTTCTTGTTGGTGTAGTATGAGATGTTGCATGACCGCCTCTCTCTGCTGTGCTCTTCGTTCTTACTGGTGTTTTAAACGTCACCATCTCCAAAGTGTCAAGTTCAGCACTATCGGGAATTTTGCTAACTTTGCCGTTGCTGCTACGGCTGCCGCCTTTAATGCCTCGCACTCCCTTAACGCCGCCAGTTCCCTTCTTCGCATTTGTGCCGCTGCTGATGCTCCTTCTGTCAGTCGTGCTACTGGCCCTAGTATTGCGCCCTCGAAGTATGAAGCTGAGGAGTCCAGTAGATTTGGTGGTCGAGCCAGTCTTTGTCTTGCGAGAGGAGAGAACCTCCTCGACACCCTTCTTGGCATCCTGGCCCCGAATGACGTGTACGAAGATGAACAGGCCCTGTAGACAGTTCAGGATGGCAAACACGTACTGGAAGACAATATTGTCGTCAGCAAGCACTAGGAATCCGAATACCCATGTAAGGCCGAGCAGGATGGAGATCGACACCACTACACGGAGGAGAGCCTTCTTTCCCTTCCTCGCGTTTGTTGATGCTGTAGCCAGATTCTTGCCACGTCTCTGCAGAGTGATGACGACAGTAGCGAGGATAACCAGATTGTATCCTAGGCACAGCGACATCGGTGCAACCAACGCACCGTAGAAGACCGGGTCGGAACGAATCCAGCAGCTGAAAAAGTTTAGAAAAACGAAAAAAAACACGACGTGCATCACAATAATTATAACATACTACTAAGCAATGTGATAAAGGTCCGCTTCTCCACGCAATACTAGTACCTGAATCTTCAAGCTCTACCGAAGTTATTTGGTGCACAGTACAAATTGACATTACTCAGTCTATAACTGTGAATTCATACCATTGTGCATGACAAATCCCCATTAATCTACAGCAATAGTTGCTGTGTTGAAGGCACAGCAAGGGCCCCATCAACCAATGAAATAACATGCTGTTCTGAAAAATAAGTATAGATTATAGACCGGTTAGGAGGTCTATACAGGATATATAGACCGAGTAAAAGACCGAGGTCCCCCGAGGTCTTTTACGAGGTCTATATATCCTGTATAGACCAACTATGAGGTCTATGTATAGATTATAGACCGGTTAGGAGGTCTATACAGGATATATAGACCGAGTAAAAGACCGAGGTTCCCCGAGGTCTTTTACGAGGTCTATATATCCTGTATAGACCAACTATGAGGTCTATAATCTATTTATCGTGTTCTCCACGCAATAGTTTCTCTTCATATACGACTTATCCTTGTAATTCCAATATTATACTATAGCCTATACCACATTGTACGGCATTGCAGGATCAAGGTCATTGTTTAAACTAAGGTCAGCATCGGTAGCACAGTGGCTGGGTGGTAAGGAAGAGTGACTGAGATTCACATGGTTGTGGGTTCGAATCCCATCTTGTGTATTTCTGCTTTCTTCAAAATTTCTTTTTCTAAGTTGGAGAGAAAATTTCTAAGTCCAAGAAGTTCTAAGGAGTCAAATATAAGTAGTCAAATATATTGTGTATTTGACTAAGCAGTCAAATACGCGATATATTTGACCGCTTAGGTATCAGGGAAATTAGTGGGGTCAAATACTAAGAAGGCGATAAGCTTACATATTCTCTCCTCCGTATGCGTCAGCCAGCGTTACTCCAGCAGATACAGACACCACAAGCAATGGCAATACTGTTTGGGAGAGAACAGGAGGAGAGAGGATAAATATTAGCCATCTTGAAATAACCAAAAAAATACAATAGCCACTGATAATTCCATTCAAACTTCATATCATTGCAATAGTGATACACTGGTATCTCACTTGCCCCGATCTCGGTCCACTGGGCACCATGTCGGCGACAATTAGTGGTGTGATACTCTTCGCCAATTGCTGTGGAAATAGTGGTGTCAAATGTCTGGCATCTGGCCCTTCCCCATTGAGTCGTATGTGACTCAGAGAAAAGGACAGCAGTTGTGCTCAGTGCCGGGTTCCAGACCGCCCCAATAATAGAGTGCGTGTGATACATTTGGCAAACATTGTGCTGTCTTCATGCCGCTTTATATTAGTGGTTAATTGATAGCCATTGGGTGTGAGCGGCGTTTGAATGAATTGCAGGAGCCAAGTCAAGGGCGTAGTGTCATTGCATTACATCCTGATCATTGTGCATCAGCGTCGTGACGTCCACGTGTGGTATTAAAACTCATAGCAGTGGTGTCTGTATTCGTCCACTCCTTCAACAATGCACCAAATACGTTCCGTAGTGCTGATCGTTGATGTCAGCTACTGAAGTTTCTTTCTTTCATTCAATTATTTTTCTTCATTTGCGTCAACATCCTTCATCTTAGCAAATGTGTTTTGTTGCCCGTAAAAGATTCTTATTCATCGACCAAATTCGTTGCACTGTGGACTAGGAGCTTAGCTGCAAGCATTTTCTAAGAGGGGACATATATGCAGCAAGGAGGGGTATTCCAAGCCATAACCAAGCATATAACAATACACCCTACTCACTTACGGACAGAGGCACATGGGGCAAAGCACTGCAAAGGCGGCGAATGTGCCACATACAAACAAGTCCCACTCACCGAAAACCAACGAGTGAAGTGTGTATCTAACATTTTGCTTTGTCTCGGCAAACACGATCACAATCTGCTTGTAGAGGAACGTGGCATCCACTGACGTCCACACGAATGACGAGAGCAGGAGAAAGTGCATGGCTATGGCTAGTCCTTTGCATGCCAGGCCATGCTGTGGAAGGTTTTCAAAATACAGGATCAGCATGAATATCGACAGGAAGAGAAGTAGAGTTGTGCATAGCCCGAACACCATCTGATGGTGGTGACTCTGCCGAAGTTTCCTGCAGAAATCAAGCAAGATCGTCAAACCATTGTATACCTGTATGCAGGGAAACATGGCAACGAAAACTCTAAGACCGGCGATTGATTTGTATAGGAATGATACTAAAGAAAGGAATGATACTTAAATTAAGTGCTGTGCGCAGTTAGGATAATTCTTTGAAATCAGGAAAGGGAGGTGAGGCTGCAGGATGATTTGACGTGAGTCGAAAGATCCGCTCGTGTTGTTTGGCTAGCGCTTTGGAAAGACGCGAGCGAGCTGCATTTCAGGGTGAAAGTTTGGCGTTTTACGCCAATCGATGACTCATTTTGACGTGAAAACCCCCCTCTATCATTCTCAGTGAGAAAATACAACATAATGTAGTACCCTCCGAACACAAACAATAATATTAATAATAATTATTATGACCTTCGAACAAACGGCGAGGAGACAACAATTTGATAACCGCAATCAGTAATACAAGCTGGATCGACATTTGTGTACACTTTATTCATGTAATCTCTTATTGGCGATGGTGCCATCGTGAGAATAAAGAATTCAACAACAACAACAACAACGGGCTACTGGCGCTGTGTAAAGTGGTGGTTCACAGCAAGAAGGGGTGTAAGAGTTTGCTGTCGCTGCACTTCTGCCATTTTCTGCTCCTTTTTTGGTGGTTTTTGCACAAGAAGTTCAAGAACCCTCCAGTTAAATTATTTTAGGTTGCGATATTAGTAACTTTTGAGTTTGTTCTGAGAATATGGATTCGATTTCAGCAACTAGCACTTGCTTTGGAAAGGTTGCGAAAAGCATAAGCTGCAAAACATTATGGCGTCTTTGGGAAAGAGCTACTACTGCTTAGTATGTGCGATGATCTACCGCTTTCCACTCTATAGCTAGTCTGCATCTGGTGTGACATGATGCATGTGAAAATAGAATAATTTCATTATTTTATTATCACATGCAGATGTCTTATTATTTTATTATCACATGTCCGCGAGGATTATTTTTCATAATCCCCGCGGCGCTGCACGCCTTGGGGTTTGAAAAATAATCCCCTCGGAACCGTGCAATATCCTATACGTACATGCATCTCACTGACCGGCACACACCCTCAGCCAGTGTGACTGAGTTCGCGGGCATCGTCGCAAAGCACCGCATGCACAGCGTCGCGGATTACATCACAGCAAGCTGCATTCATCGCATTTCACCTCTAGCTAGGCGTAGCTGGCAGGGCATTGTCATGGATTGCCAGCTATCTCAGCATCCGACAGCAGTATGTCCGATTTGGCACCCTCCAAAGTGGCATGAAGCCGTGTACATGTGGTGTTCCACAGGGCTCAGTGCTTGGCCCCCTGCTGTTCAGTGTCTATACCCGGGATGTCCCATCGGTTGTAGAGCCAGCAAAGTCAATCCAATTTGCTGACGACATTGAGATTCAATTCATCCACACGTCAACGGATGTCATCTCAGCTAATCTCTCCACAGCAGTCACAAAGCTCAGTGACTGGCTACGTCAACGTGGCCTCATTCTCAACGAGACAAAGAGTCATCTCCTAGCAGTGTATGCCGGACGCAAACAGCCAACACCACCGATCAAAGTCACCTGCGACAGAACACCCCTCCCAGAAGCCTCCTCAGTCAAGTATCTCGGAGTGACCGTGGACAGCACTTTGACATTCAAGGAGCACATTGACAAAGTGGCAGCTAAGATGGCTCAGAAAATCGGGGCACTCTGGCGCGCACGCCGCTGCCTCAGTGAAGCTGCACGGGCACGGTACGTGACCTCCGTAGTACTGCCAGACGCCCTATACGCCTCGCCCCCTTTCAGTGGCTCACTGTCGAGTGCTGAGACCAGGAGGCTGCAGGTTCTGCTGAATCGAGCAGTCCGCGTCGGTGTGCCCACGCGACACTCAGCTGAACTTTTGCTGACCCGGCTGGGAGTTTTCCAGGTGTCAGAGCACTTCCACCAGAACACCTTAGCTCTTGTGTGGAAGAGCCTACATGGTGAGACATCGCAGTCCGTCACAGAACTAATGACTCCACAAATGACCAGAGAAACCCGCCTTCAGCAGCAGGACGGACTCAGTCTTCCAGTTGCAAGAACAAACGCTGGCAAGTCGAGGTACGCCTTCAACGCTACAGGTAAATGGAACAGATTACCTGGAGACGTCCGCTCCAGCACAACTCTGGAGACCTTCAAAGCTGCAGCAGTACCCTACGCAATTGCTCGTTGACTACATGGAACAGTAGCAAATGCCATGTTTGACAATGGATCCGATTTCCAGCTGACTATCATTTCCAGTGCATACACACTTTTTTCTTTCCTTCTTTTTTCTCTCTCTCCGTCTTTTTTTTTCTTCCCTCTTAAGATCTTCGCTACCTTGTCATTGGGAAGAAATTCCCGTTTGGATTTTGCGAAGTAAAACAAAGTTTAAAAAAAAAAGAAAAAAAAAAGCTGTAGCTCTGGCTCCGGACACGCCACTTTTTCACCCGGTAACACCAAGATAAAAAGATCGTCTGGAACGCGTCACCTCAAGGCTCACGGCTCACCATCACTGACATGATGGCATCAGTTGCAGTGCATCACACACGACTCCACGAGAAGTCCATGTGTCACCAACCCCAGGTGAGAAAAGTCTGACAAGCCGGCGTAGAAAGTATGCTCGCCATTTTCACGTCGAAGATTTCGTCAAGTGTGCTGTATAAAGCATGGACTGTCGGTATGAAGTTCTCTTTCGCCCGGCGAGATGATGTTTGCTGTTCCCTCTAGTCACCCCTCCGAGTTCCGTGGTCGAGGCGAGCAAAGTAAGTTAGCTAGTATTAGTGCGTAAAAGGGGGGAAAGCGGTTGCAGTGACAGTCAGGCAAGCAATGGAGAAGCGTGATGGGCGGCTCTCTGTTCTTCTGCAAGCCGCTCTGCTGGTGCTCATGACAGGTAACGTTATTGACTGTGATGCACTGTATTCCACTTGAAAGCCTGAGGTGTTTGTAATCCTGGTACTGCTCGTTATGGCTTGGCTGGTAGACCCTACATGGGGTCAGTGTTCGACTGTGACGCGCACGTTACCCAAGGCGAAAGAAGAAAATCCACCCACACGCATACTGCTTCTAACACTAACGTAAAACGTGTCCAAAACTACTTCTGAATTAGTTTTAGCTAGGTGTTGCGATGTTTCCTTTGTAACGGTACCAGGAAAGGATGAGCTTAGGGAAAACGGTGGCCGTGTAGAATCGTTTGGAGTGATTAGAGAGCTGCACGTTCTATGTCAACGAACGTCATGGTCGCTGTTTCTCGCCGTCGTATCGGGCCAGCATGCATCCTAGTTCACACGTTTGGGAAGTTTGCAAACAGACATAGGTGCCGCTGTTCGCTGTGAGTGTGTGCAATAGACCAATCCCGAAAAGATTGTCTGGGTTCGTGAAAGGGGGCACGCGTGCAAGCCAGCACGTGTGAAGTGCATCGTTTTGTATTCAGTTTGTGTGTGTCAGCTCATGGCGGAGGAGAGAGAGACTTTTGCTCGCCGAGCTGAAGCTAAAGGATTTGATGGAGTCCTGCCAGCAGCTAGTCAAAGGACCTTCGGTACCTTAGGCAGACCCTGACGGAGTTTGGAGGCCAGCAAGCTCTCGGTGAGGAGAGAAACATTCGCGTGGCGATGGACTCTCCGTAAAAAATGCAAGCTACATAGCGCCGACATACTGCAACAGGCTACGATTTCAGCTAACTAACTCGATCTGCCGCTTCACAAAGTTCAACTATTTACAAGTCCTGACTGTTGTAGTCTGAAGCTGGACTCTCATCGCCCACCTACTGGTAGCTTTTGGAGCTGATGGATTTCCCGACTTGGACTCCTTCCGCAAACTCTCGCAACATTGCTACAGTGTATGCTGTGTTTCCGCACGCTCGTGTCGACATGTCACCTTTACTGTACATGTACCGGGTCGCGGAGGAGCTCGACGACCTCCGCTGACTCCAGGTTTCCGAAATACTGCCGTCGTCTTCGTTGATGTCGCTGGTGACATTCTCCCCTTGCAGGACGTGCGCATAGTTGTCGTCTCGGGGGTAAAGACTATGTTGTCTTTCGAAATAGTTCTTCATCACGCTCGCGCGAATGATGTTTCTCATCATGAACTCGTTCCGACGGTGTGACACGGCGATGGTCTTTGGCGGGGCACTGGCTTGGCGAAAACGATATCTTCTTGTGCAATATAACACTGATCGGCTGCAGATGAGTACAGTCACGTCGTGGTTGGTCCTATAGGAGGGCAGCTGCCAGGAAAGAGGCAGAACTCATCGAAGACGAAGCGCTCGCAACAAACAATAGCACTCGAAATATCTCGTAAGATTTAGGGCCTATCGCTTTGAGCCACAGCGCTCACAGCCTTGCCTACTTCATCAAAGTGAGCTCTACATGTTCGTTGACCTCTTCACACTACACAGAAGAGCGAAACAAGGATTATGTCTTAGCATTTCAACTCCAACAGCAGACCTTTACCAGTGCGAGAGAGAAAACTACAAAGCCTTTGATTTCTGTCGCATCGTCTCTCTTGCATGCAACTAACGAGAAAACCGTGTACTTACCCTTGCATTCACACGCGAACTATCAAACACGTCCTGTGCCACATGCTGATCAAGTAGTGCCATGTATGTGTTGTACAGTGTACTCTCAGGTGACATGCCCCCTTTCGAACCCAGACAATCTTTTCGGGATTGGTCTATTCGAACTACACGGCGTGTAGTTGATGCATGCAGAGGCTCTTCTCGCCAAGAGGAAAACCCACCTTGTACATGTACGGCGAAATCGTGGGAAAGACACCCTGCTCAAAGTCAGGGCTCACCACGACCATACAAAATTCAAAAAGCGTCGACCACCATTTTGAATGCCGCCAAAGCCAGAGTTTGTGCAGTCATAGCGGCTACGCACCCGAGTTCATGCTCATCGATGTACAGCGATGTACAGTCTAGTCGTAAAATACCGGTATTTTACGACTTCCTGGTCTACTCTGTACAACGAAGGGCCAGTGCCGAAGCGAATCTTGTTGTTTGATGTCGAGAAAGACACGCGGAGAAGACGTCCTTTCTCCAAGCAATCTTGGTCATTTTTCTCAATCCGCTGGTGGGTGTCGACCAAGATATGTCCGTGGGGTACTGGTGAACTTGAGTCCTGGCATCTACAACAATTTGCCGCGCCTAGCTAACCAATGTTGTCAGTAGAACTCAGCGTTTCCTGATCGCGACTCGGCACACTCTTCTCTGTTTGGCCTCGCAGCTTTCACGCTGCGAGTGGGGAGTTTCCTTGTCACAAATGAATCCCTTAGTCATGACCATGATGAGAGGTGACTAGTATGATCCCTGACTGGCATGAGTCCTTAGCTTGAGTCAACACGAAGGTAAACTCTTCACTTGGAACGCTTGCTGTCTCCTCCGCCCTTTCTTGTTGCACTTGAAGATATGCGCACGGCTGCCATTTTTTTTTTGGTGCGCGCGGCGACGCACGGCCGACCTTGATGTCTTCAAAATAGTAGAACAGCGGTTCTCCTTGGCCGATTCTCATCATCGATAGCTCATTTTCAAGGTCTTGGAATTCTCTATCGGTTTACCGTCCCCGATTTCTAATTTTCTCTTCATTCACTTGTTTGCACGCCTTCGCGTTTGAGTGATTTCACCATCCGATCTCAGCCAAACGAAGGCCAAATCGAAAAATTCGAGACGGTAACCCCCCAAAGACAAACCTTCTGAACACGAATCCACAATGGCCTAATGTCTAAAACCAACGAATACAGCCAAGCTCCACTCAGAAAACACCCCACAATTGCAAGAAACAGCCCGTTTTGCTGTGCGCTGATTGGTCAAATCCAAATGACCGTTATTGACGCTTTGTATGGTCGTGGTGAGCCCTGAAAGTGATAAGGTAATAATGCCAAGAACGGATTTTCTGTCTTGTTGATCCGAAATGTTTGCTTTTGTTGGAAAATGGTCTGTGCAGAGGAGTCCCTTTATCCCGCTCCCCGCGCCTCCACACGTACCCACAGACGCGCATCACACATACACGCACGTTCGCCTACACGTGCACGCATGTACACCCCCCCCCCACACACACGCACACATAGATACACACACACACACACACACACACACACACACACACACACACACGTCCGCTGTCCACTGTCCAGGCAACATTTTATCATGCATAATTCCAATTCATATGCCAGCTTGGAGTTCACAACAAGAACTCTAAAGTCACTATGACCTGGTGCTGATGTACATACTGTGTATTCCGATAACGTGCCCTTCCCTTTTCTGAAGCTACCTCTCAAGCCCTTTTCCATGGAACTGATTCCTGAACATTGCCTGTCAGCGGACAGATGTTTGCTGTTAGGCAGTTGACAGCTCTGCCCAGGAATAGACAGTTGTACGAAGGTTGCGTGTTGGCAGTATGTATAATAGTGCAGTGTCTTGTTCACAATGAGAAACACGGAAACACCGTTTCCGCGAAGGGCACAGAGCGCTGAGTTCAATTCATGATTCCGGAAAAAAAAACATTTGAGTCTCTAGAGTCTCTCCGTGCTCACAGTGTCCTGAGAGCTCCGTCTGAAGAAGGGAATTGAACGTAGCGGCCAAACTCACTCGTATGGTGCAGTGTGGGGGTGATGTTACGTATGCTGCACAGCGCTACTCAATGAAATCTGACCGGCATGCGTCAAGTTTGTGCCCTGCACCAGTTCACTGTCCCCGTGTTGGCAGGTCTTGGGCTGCACAACGTGTATTAGCTCGCTGGATCGGATTCCATTCATCCTCTCCAAAGGCTAGACAGCCTAGTGTGCTTATGGGACAAATGTGTCTGTCTTGTACGGCCATGGGGTACTAATTGTGGCATGTCAACAGGGTAAAGTGCACCGAGCGAATGTGATGTTTGATCTTTTCACCACTTTCAGTTGGACTGGCACTTTAAAAGGAGCCGCATACCCCGTTGATACTTGATGTACTGGAGGGTGGCGGTGTTCGTGCGATTACCCTTGTCTGACTCTCATTCGACCCTTGAAGGTTGTATCGTTGTGTATCTCTAAGGGCACCACAGCAGCCAGTCTTAGTGCAGATGCGTCTGCCTCTTTCTCTCTGTCTCCATTTGTCTGTCTGGTTGTCTATCTGTCTATATCTTTTTCTCAGGCAGACACTGGGAAAGGAAGAAGATACACAGATAGAGACAGAGAGGCACACAGACAGAGAGAGAGATACAGAGAGAGAGAGAGAGAGAGAGAGAGAGAGAGTGCTAGGGAGAGTGTGTGTGTGAGAGAGAGAGAGTGCGTGTGTGTGTTTGTGTGTGTGTGTGTGAGCGCGCGCGCGCGGGCGCGGGAGAGAGATACTGAAGTAGATAGATACTGTATAAAATGTATACAAATTTTCATTCGGGAAATCTTTCGTTAGATCACTCCACCATCAGGCCCGTTATGTGCTAAATTTCGTTTTTGTTCGAGGTCTGTCACCCCGTACGTTCAGAAAGAAAACTTTAGTTTGATACAAACTTTAGTTATTCAGAGAGAGAGAGAGACAAAGAGAGAGAGAGTGAGAGAGAGAGAGTGAGAGAGTGAGTGAGAGAGTGAGTGAGAGAGTGAGTGAGAGAGTGAGAGTGAGTGAGTGAGTGAGTGAGTGAGAGAGAGAGAGAGAGAGAGAGAGAGAGAGAGATAGCATGAACTGAATCACTGACCTTGTTGAGGTCAGTGAGTGCAGAGCTAGAGCGAGTGAAGTTGTTTTGCTGGGTGATATTCCAGGGAAGTGCCTCAGGCTCATTGAGAGAGGAGATACCAACCTAAGCCATTTCCTACGAACAGGGTCACCGAGGAGCAGAACTTCAAACCGCCACATTGATGTGTCTTTCTTTGTGGCGATAGCAATATCAATATCAGTAGATCGCAGAAGGAGAAAGTCTCAGACTCTCTGCTTGGCGTGGGACTGTTTACCCTGGGAAGTTTTATTGGAGCAACTTCGCCCATATGCCAGGAGCATGATCATGTATTTGTTTGCACCATGTACCATACAACGCATATACTGCGCTTAGTGCATCATGCTGCATGGGTTTCACAACATTGACATATGTTGTGGGCACAGCTCAGTAGCATTGAAGAGTCTGCCTTGTGATCATGCTGCATGGGTTTCACAACATTGACATGTTGTGGGCACAGCTCAGTAACATTGAAGAGTCTGCCTTGTGATCATGCTGCATGGGTTTCACAACATTGACATGTTGTGGGCACAGCTCAGTAGCATTGAAGAGGCTGCCTTGTGAGCAATGGTGAGCTTTCTTGGAAGTTGAGAACCTGTCAAAACTGGCATGCAGCTGTGTTACTGACACTGCTTGGGCCAGCTTTTCATGGGAACTGTCACGTGTGCATGCATGATAGCTGTCATGCCAGGAGCAGCGCCGGCCAGTCAGTCTCCAGTCTCCAGCCTCTAGGTTTGACATGGCATCTTGCTGTTTTCCTAGTGCGTGCGCGATTCATGTCACTGACTGGTGCTGCCTTCTCGTGTGTGATCAGCCCAGTGTAGCATTGTGTAAGGGGCCATCCGTAAATATCGAGCATTTTTCACCAAAACAAATTATTTTAGTTTAGACCCAACCCCTCCCTCCCCCTCAGAACGCCAAAAAAAAATGTTGACATACATGCATACACATGTACAACAAAAGTTGCAAGTGTGTCATTGCTCCATCGACCATGTACATGTATCAATGTTTTCTGAAACGAAATTGGTCAACCCCCTCCCACGCCATAGCGAAATTGTTTTGTTTTGTGAAAAAAAGTTCGATAATTATGGACGACCCCTTAAAACCATAAACAATTTAAAAAAATTATATTTATGTCCGGGACCGGGCACTGCATGTTACTTTGAAATGTCCATAATTCTGAATCGCGTTCATTTACCGTATTTTACCGGTTGTAAGTCGACTTCGGTTATAAGTCGATCCCCGTATCCGGAGGTCTCAATTCTGTGTTTCGAAGTTTTCACCAAAAGAAGCACTACTAACCACTCCCTGCTACTGACACATCAACAAATCATGTAAACATTCCTTATTGGAGGGTATAATGTCCCAATCCTTGAAAAAGGCCAATAAACTGGCAAAATGGGTACACATGGTGCACTCGTGCATGCAGTGCAGGTCATTTTTGGTAAGATACTTATAGTTCCCGGTTATAAGTCAAATCCCGGTTGTAAGTCGACCCCCACCCTTTCTACTTCTATTTTTAGTCAAAAAAGGTCGATTTACCGGAAAAATACGGTACATGGGAAAAAAGCAGGTGGGGGCAAGGCCATAATTATACATTATTATGGCATGTGGCGTCGATTTTCCACAAAGGAGCGACAATGGAGTAGCAATATTTCCACTGAAACTCTCCGAAAGGTTGACCGGTTGACAAAAGTGCCCGTAACTTTGGGGTACACATAACCCACAGGAGTGTACTGTAAGACGGCTAATTTTGTCAATGGTGATATTCTAGCGTTTGAAATCTTTTATTCTCACGATGGCCTGTGGCCAATAAGAGAAAAATAATTACAGGCACAGGGATCGGACACAGAGATGTTGTCGTTTGAAATCTTTTATTCTCACGCTATTCTCAGCGTTAGCGATAAGATTGTTTTCGCTAACGTTTTGCCGTGCCAATCGAAATTTTGCATGTCCAGTACTAGTCATCGTTCTCTTTAGAGTCTGAAACTAAGTTACCTGGATGTCTTAAATATTATTTTTATCGCGAATTGGTCCAGATTTAGAAAACGCATAAAAAATTACCCGCAAAAATTAGCAGTTCTACAGTACTGGGATCCGCTGGTGAAAATAACACAGGGTCACTTGAGACACGGCTGGGAGTCATGCGGAGTACTGTTTATGCATCAACTGGGTACATACACTCCCACGGATTAAGGAGCTGCATCTTCGCCTTGATCCTTGAAGGGTGGTGGCATTCCTACGGATGCGGAAAACTCGGTTTACAGCCGAGTCTCACGCGAACCGTGATTTTTTGTGTACATATTTTTTAAAAGTCTTTTAGGATGCATGGCGAAGCTTAATAAGTAAAAAAAGTGGCTTGTGTGCTCACACTCAATCACTGCTTCTCACAAATACATTTTGGGAACAAAATTCAACGTTTCGGTCATGAAAATATCCATCACCAGGAATGAAGTGGGCGCACTGGTTAGGCTGGGTTAATTTATGAGGAGCGCTGCGAGGAGATTACCAATCCTTACTAGTGTGCCCACTTCATTCCTGGTGATGGTTATCATCAGGAATGTGTACCCTGGTGGTTTGAAAATTGAAATCCTAGTGCAGACATTGCTATGATAATGGGTTCCAGTTCTGCCCGATTGCTTATTAACATTTTCCCCTGCTTTGTCTCTTTTCTATTTTCTGCCTTTCGTGCATCACTCTTTGAACATGCCATCTCTCTCTCTCTCAGCCTGTTGTGTGGATGCTGGACGAAGTAAGTAGAACTATGAGCCTGACCCTGAGAGGACCCTGCCAGTGCAATACACAGTTGCGTCTGCAACCACCTCTATCATGCAGTATTCTGTTCTCGAGGTTCGTGGTTTCTCGTAAAAAAAAAGAAAGAAAAAAACCAGTCTACCCCTGATTAGTACCCTCATTAGCTCGCAGCACTCTAGGACATTTGTGGTGCTGCCACTATGGATTTCATTGGCTGTCTCCAAGTACTGGCCAGCACTCACCCTTTGTACGCGTGAGCGCTGCATGTCGTGTTTATATTGCCCTAACCCAATCAGTGTTGAACAGCTGTTGAGCATCGTGGGTTGTTCTGCTCGTCATTGAATTTTGTGGCCAGCTGTCTTTGATGGCACGGTAGGGGTACGGGATAGCGCCAGGCATGTCGACGGCACAAACAAACGAACAACCAAACACGGATTTAAAGCTGTGTGGACCATGGCTACAACCAGACGTTACTGAAGTAACATCTTTTGCCTAGCTACGGGAATGATCCTATCTACTGTCAAGCTTGGTAGCTGCAAACTCTTGGGAGTTGAAGGGAAAGGGAGTGCCAGAAGAACATATCCTTGTCTTTATTGAGCATTCCAGGTAGAACGCAGCTCTCAACTGGCAATACCCTAGCTTTACATTTCTCTTGTTGTTTACTTGATTTTGTGCAGCGGTTTGTTCCACGGCGTACGAGTTCTTCCACGACAGCGGAGCAACCCATTGCATCCACCATTACGGCTGCCAGCTTGCTACCGAACGGCGCAGCTGGGAGGAGGCCCGTGCAGTGTGCCGTGCCCTCGGCACGACCTACGACCTGCTGAGTATCCACGACGATGACACGAACAACGGAACCAGGGAAGTCTTTTCCAAGTGCGGCCCGGTGGCGGCCGGCCAGATGTTCTGGATTGGCATGAACTACACGAATTCCAACTCATCGTGAGTGCAACTGTTGCTAGTGTGTCCTGCATGCTGCAGTAGATTGTACTTACTGCCTTCAATGCATGCAATGCAGTCGCGATGGAACCGGTCCAGTTGGCCAGGCCAACATTTTGGCCAGGCCAACATTTGGCCAACATTTGGCCACCAGCGTGTGTTTGATGCTGAGGAGGGCATGTGCACATACTATTATCATACACAATGCGTGAACGCGTCACAACCGTTTGACCAGGTCAGCTGAAAAACTGCCACCCCCGGTCCTGCAATGCAATGCTCTTAGTCATGCAAGTACACATGCCACACTCGGACTCTCAACTCCAGTCTCTCCGGAGGCGTGGATTCGATTACCACCGCTGCCACCATTGCAGCGCTCACACTGTGAACACAACGAGACTCTGGAGTCTCGCACTTCACGCTGGTCGGTGTGTTGCCCATTGGCAAGGAGGAGCAGAAGACTGAGACAGTACGAGTACAGAAAAACCTGTAACTAAAGACCACCGTGACTAGCGACCGGCCTGGTGCTACAGACCACTACGGCAGGCACGGACGGTCTCACATTCCCATAATTATGGTTGCGCGGTGCAAACCTCTAACTAAGGACCACCTGCCACTAAAGACCGATTTCTCTGGCCCAAAGGGGTGGTCGTTAGTCACAGGTCTACGAATGCGCTGCACAATAGTACTAGCTGCTGCTTGCCCTTGCTTTCTTTTTATATTTTTGCTGACCCTTACAGCTCTATCTTTTGTTTTTGGTACGTGTTTCTGGCCGTGATGCCGAGACCTCAGGTCGGCAGAGCCATCAATGCCCCACCATCACTGCTGCACCTCGGTGCAGCCCCTTCTCAGTAGTTGTCACGTTTGTCCTTGTCTCAGTACCATTGTCTTCTGTATTATTTATGAGTTGGGTATGTAAACATAGTAAAAAAATAAATAAATAAAAAGGTCTTACTGTCTGTGCACAGCTTACTATGAGACGGATACGTGTGTTCACGTACCTACTACAGTGTTGCTCAATGCAATCCGATCAAGCAAGCGGATGCCACGTTGGGGGGCGCTGTGCCGCCTTACAGCTGAGAACACTGGGCAACTGTGAACGAGTGCAGTTACCCAGCTTGATCCCCACGATTGGATTTCCTTGAGCAGCACTGTATATGCACATAACGAGCCGATGATTGTAGTTATGGCTATGTATATATATATAATTTTAAATCTTCATCTTCTTATCTCGACCAGAGCTCGGTGTATACATTGCATGGCCTTTAGCCCAAGGTGGTGTAACTACCCGTATTACTAGACCTATGTTCTATTATTATGGCAATCAGCAGAATCAGCGAAGCGGACATTGGACGACATTGGACGACGTAGTAATCAACAAAAATAAAATATGAATACTAAAATTTCCTAACAATTTTCTTTTGTACTGCCATAGCCGTTGATGGCTTACCCAACGCTGTAGTGATCGCTACCACAGGGTCCTTGAATGTGTGTTCGTGCTGTCTTGCCACCACACGCGGAATCCCTATCAGACGCATGCCCCGTATATGGGTTCCTGGGTGCCCGGAACCCCCCTTTTTTCGCTCAAAATGCAGGAATTTGCTTCATTTTTTGAAACATTGATGCCCCCGACCCCCCCCCCCCCTTCAAGGGCACCGGCGCACGCGCCTGCATAGGCTATACCAAAGGATATCCAAGAAATGAATCGTCACAGACCAGATTCGTCCTAGTATCTACGTGCCAAGATGTTCTGGTTTTCCTGATGTTCTGCAGGTGGGCAGATGGCTCCGAATTGGACTACGCAATGTGGGATTCCTCGCCGCCGACCGGCAGCAACTCCTGCGTTGCATTCGATCCCGTTACCGCTGCATGGACTGGACGGAATTGCAACATGACTTTCGGATTCATCTGCGCTGAAGTGTTACGTGAGTTGTTTTTTCAAGCAGGAACGTGTCACACGCAGCTGTAAGCCCGGCATTTGCCTCCACTTGAAGGAGAAATCTTTCACTGGAAGGCCGACCGTAGGCTGGCTTGTTTCATGTCTTGAACCTAGTAGGAAGCACAATATAACTCTTCTTCATCGGTAGCATGTTCAAGGCGATATTACTGACGTTGAGTGTGTGTCCCTTTCTGGTCATCCGCACCTGCGATGTGTTGGGGACTGCAAGGATGAGTGTGCAAATTGAGTTGGATGTTCCAATTTGAAGTAGAGAAATTCTGAGTGTAAGACTTCAATTAAGTAGTTGACTGCTCCCGACGTGAAGCTCCTGCGAACCTGATTTACACTGATTGACTCGCAAGTACCACTTGAAGCACACGTGAACAAACCTGCAAGAACGCACCTCTCCCAACTCCGTACAATGTATTTTTGCATATAATCCTAAAGCCAGGTGTAAATCAGTAAAGTGAGAGCAGCTACTTTTTTCATTGTTTTGGGGGAAAAGATGCAAACGGAGAAATTCTGAAGGAAAATTCACTGTCACCAGCAGGACTGAAACCAGGGACCTTTCCTTGTAGCTAGCGATGCTCTAACCAGTAAGCTATGGTGTAGCTATCATCCCAGTGGAGATCGTTCAACATTTTCCTCAGACTTCGAAACCTTTTAGTTCACAAATCTGTTCTTCTCTCTCAAATCTGTTCTTTTCTTATAAATCAAAATATGCCATTGTGTGAATACTGATGTGCCCGTGTTGTTTCCCTCCTGCAGGATTTCCCACCGCCACCATTGAGCCTATCAATAACATGACATATAACATATCGCAAGACACGAAGAGCTTCAGGATGGTTTGTACAGTCATTGGCAACCCAGCGCCCTCGCTGATTTGGCTGCTGAATGGCGACCCGGTGATGGGAGGCAGACAGACGTTCACTGCTGGCACAGCAATCGGCCATACGCCCATGGTAGGCCACTAGAGCTTTTGGTCATGGTTCAATTGTGTGTGTGTGTGTGTGTGTGTGTGTGTGTGTGTGTGTGTGTGTCGTCCCTTCGGATAGGAAGTAGAGATTAGCGATGTGCTTCGTAATACAAAAACACACGTATATATTGTTTGCGACGTCTTGGGATGCTTGTAAATCTTGTTGTGGAAGCTGAACTCTACATGCCTTGCAGCCTGGTATAGAAGCTTGCGCAGTAGATTTTCCTCGATCTCTGGGCTTCATCACCATTTCACTGCCAACATACTGTAGAAATTGAGACCGTTGTGCTTCGTCACATTATCCCATGTAGTGATTTGAGAAGTAATGGTGCGAACCTTCTCCCTGCTTTAAACCTCTGTCCGAATTCTATTATCCTAGATTACGGGTGATCTCTTGTTTATGTTTGTGCCTATTTGTTTCAATATCCGAAGATCCACTCAACTCTTGAAATAGCTCCTGTCAAGTACAAGGACGACGGTGACTATACCTGTTTCGGGAGCTCATCCTACAATGCCACGGCTGTGTATAATGAAATCCTAGCGCTCAACGTCCTCGGTGAGTTGAATGGTACTTTGGCGTGTCGCCCGACGTCAGTTCCTGTATCCCAATTTTATTGGTTCCACTCTACAGCGGACGTTCGTGATTTATCCTGCCACACTCTCAGCCTGACAACACACACACACACACACACACACACACACACACACACACACACACACACACACACACACACACACACACACATATGTTGCAAAAGAAGGATCCACGAACGGGATTCGAACCCAGCACCCCTGTCTTTCCGGGACAGTGCCCTACCGATTAGGCTAACAGGGATCACACACACCCGTTTCCTTCTTGCCACATATACACGTACAATCGCCATGGCAGCCATACTTCCCAATGAAATTGATTTTCGCTATAGTTGCGCGTGGAAACGAATAATAGACCCTGCATAACTTAGCTCCCCGAAAATACTAATGCCATCACATGGGCCAACTTGCCTGGTAGCAAAAGCGAGAGCAAAAAGATTTTTTCAAGCCATGCTGTGACCCACAGTTAATTGGTCGCTTGTGGCCTGGCATGATGGAAGCATGGATGCAGCGAATTGGGATTTTCGTTATTTGACCACTGTGGTGGATGGTTTGATCTACTCCCCTCCCACCGCTTTTGGAGATGCAGCTGCGCCTTGATCTTTGAGGGTAGTGGCTTTCCTATGGATGCAGAAAACTCGATCTCTGGCCAATTCCCAAGTGAACATTAAAATAAATAATATAAAGGGCAAAGAGTATGATGATGATAATGATGAAAGACCATCCATTATTGTAGGTGGCATTTTCAAAAACCAAAAATGGTCCTTGACGGGTGGTGGGTTGAGAGTTTCGTTTTGATATTCCCAGGCGCGTGCGCCGGTGCCCGTCAAGGGGGGGGGGGGGAGGGCTTCCGGGGGCCTCCCCGGGAAAAATTTAAAAAAATGAAGCAAATCCTGCATTTTGAGCGAAAAGGGGGAGGGTTTCCGGGCACCCAGGAACCCATATAGGGCATGCGCCTGATACCTGTCAGCCAAGTACATGTTTACAACCGATATCATGTTCTATTTTAAAGGATATGTGAATGAGTAGCTGGAGGTAGATCGTAAATATACTTTTATAGCTCTGTGGAAAACATTGATAATGCTGGAAAGCGCTTACGGCTATAGGATGTTTTTGAGGCGACCAGTCAATTCCGTGAGGTAACAAGCAGCTCTTGAAATGTCACCCACTCCCTTGTTTGGTTTGGTTTTATTATTTCAGTTTGTTGCCTCAACAGTACAAATTACAGATATCAAGAGGGACGAACGAAAAGTGAAAGTACAACAGAGCAGAAGGGAGGATGCAACTTGTGACACGTGCACGTATGCATCTGAACATTGGGCGCTTGCTGATTCTCTCCTCAAGTAACTTATGCAGATCTCCACAATGTTACACTTAAAATCCCGACCTTCCGACACATTTGGTACGAGCATGAATTCACAACCCCCAAGAGCTATGGGGTTTGCGACGGCAGAAATTCACACCGAGTGACAAGCCCACATGCGCAATTTGAACAAGTGCATGATCGATGCAGAGCTGTACGCAGCTCTGTTCCAGGATCCACTCTCTGGCGATCACTTTGCAGTGCTTGCCAGTGTAACAGTTTGAACCCTGTCTCCCTCGATGTGAAGTTCTGCCATCACAGCACTGGATGCGGGATGTGCAGGTAGTTGCACACTCTTGGGGGTTAAGTACTCTTGGTATAAGCCGCACAACACTTGGTAGTCTTGTTCCAGTGGAACTCAACTAGTATGGACTTTGACATAACATATTCTTGCTGAGATATTCTTGACTAGTATGGACATTTTGCAGTGCACGGGTGCATTAATCCAGATGGATGCATGCTGGTTGAGATAAGAAGTACTCAGTACCTCGAATACTCGGTAAATTTTCCTCCTGCCCTTTGGGGCTACATCGTAGTATATTATTCTACTGTATGTTTGTTATGCTCTTAATGCAAGGTAAATCATCCGTTCTCCAAAACTCGTCACCCGGTCATTTCAGACCCCCAAAAATCAGTAAATCCTCTGGTTCTCGCTCTTTCTTCATCCTGCTCCCTTGCAGTAAAACCTACTATTGAAAGAACCACACTGAGAAACATCACCAAAATCAAGCAGGATCATGTTTCACTGGCATTTCACATCCAGTCCCCGGTCAACCCTGATGTTACTCCAAACGGCGTAAGGTTATTTCAAACATTGTCAACAAGAGGCTATGCATATTAGTGGCCATAGACTGGAAAATTGGATGTAGGTAGCAGTTTGCGTATGTATACACTGTCCTCTAACACTACATGCAGTTGTGGATCAGTTCTCTGCGGGTACTCCGATATTTACATGCATGTTGTCAGGTGAATTGATCCTAGAGGGCGGTGGCGTTCCTACGGATGCGGAAAACTCGGCTTCCAGCCGAGTCTCACGCGAACAATGAAATTGTGATAAATTCTATTTGTCAAGTGAATTTGTTCATTACCGGCAATGTTGTACCACTGCGGTAGAAATTCGGGTTGGTTGTTGGTGTGTTGGGTCCTCGAGAAGCAAGGGTGTTTTTTTTGGGGGGGGGGGGGCGCATGGAGGGAGGGAGAGGGGTGGATATGGTCTACAGTGCAGGAGCACATGGTGTTGCAGCTTGGAGTGTACTGGTAATGGTATTAGTGCGGAGTGTACCGGTACTTGTATCCGTGAGGAGTGTATACCGAGGGTGGTCGTGTGTTTTGTGTTGTCAGTGTTTGTTTGTATGATGCCACACATGCGCAATGCGTGTGCACACTGTGGGAGGGGTGGGATTATGCGAAGCGTACATGTGTTGGTCTTCTGTGCATACTGAGGACGGGTGTGCGCTTCAAACAGATCTGTGGTTGTGTTCGTGGGTCGTGCACACCATTGCTGCTGGCCCTTGGGCACCGCTGCCACTCAATGCAGGTGACGTGGACAGGACCTCGGGGAAATATTACCAACGAAACAGTGACATTCTCCAAAAGCCACCGTACCATAACGCTTGCTAGCGTGGAGCGGCGTGATGCTGGCAGATATTTCGTTGAAGCATTGAACATTGAGGGAAACGACTCTCTGGATTTCTTTCTCGATGTTCACGGTAAGATTTTGTCCCGTGTATGGCGATATGTTATTCCCATGCCCGTGCTACTGCCTCTGATCATAGCCAAGGGCACGATGTAATTATGATTCTTGGACAGTAGGTCATCTTGGACAGAATTTCACTGCAGATGCACGAATATGTCCACGAAGATAGAAAACTGGCCATTGATTGTAAAATCACAAAATGATGAATTGCGAAACGGCGTCATGAAAAAATAGCACCGCTGTATTCTCTTGGATCCACATTTGTTTTGTTTTTCCTTCAGTTTTGCCAGTGATCTCATACCCAAACAGCAGTGACGACCAGTTTGCTGTGAACGAGGGTGACTCGCTACAAATCACTTGCCATGCGTCCGCATATCCTGCAGTCAATGCTACATGGGTGCGTAATGTTTTCCAGCGAGACGAGGCTCTGCCATCCTTCGTTCAGGTGTCCGCCGAGGAGCCTATTTACAGTGAGTTTGCTAAATGCCAAAAAGAAAAAAAGTTTATACTGCTAGAATGCAGATATCGATAAGATCGAAGGACAAATTCTGAACCATTGACGGGACTAGAGTTTCACGAGCTAAGAGGAAGAGGTGCTTTCTTGCCGGTTTGCCGAGTGGAAGGTTTGACGTGTTTCTTGTGTGCTGCAGCAAACACAGTCGTTAGTGTCCGTCAATTGTAAGGTCAGTTGACGGGAAGAGCGAACTCTGACTTTCAGAGCAGAAACTATCTTCAGGAGATTTTTAGTTCAGTTAGTAAAAAAAGAGTTGCGTGTGGAAACTTGGACCTGGTGCATGGTTTCGGTGAATGTTCTTAAGTAAAAAGCAGGTGGTGTGTCGTGCCAGATGCCACCTGCAACGAAATTCATCAAACTCACACAGTTGTGCGCTTATTCCGACTATCGTTATCCCGGTGTTTCCATGGTAACCCATCATCACTCCCCGCTGTGCTGATTTCTTGAATATGCTCAGGCAACCAGACTCTTCTCTTTCACCAGACCGCGACGCTGACGATATCCGCCGCAGAGTATAAAACCCGCGGCACTTACTGGTGTGTAGCGGAAGCGCCGGTCGATTCCACTGCGGACCAAGCCAACATTTCTATCATTCTTCATGTGAACAGTAAGAGACCCGAGTTCATAATATTAGACTAATCCTAAAAAGATTGTCAGGGTTCGTGAAATGGGGGAGAGCATGCAAGCCAGTTCGATTCATGTGCATCATTCCGTATTTTGTTTGTATGTGTTAGCTCATGATGGAGGAGAAAGACATGTTAACTTGTCGAGATGAAGCTAAAGGATTTGAAGTCCTGCAAACAGCTAGTCAATGGACTACCGGTACCTCAGGCAGACCCTGACTGAGTTTGGAGGCCAGCTGGCTCTCAGCGAGGAGAGGAACACTCGTATGGCGATCGACTCTCAGTACAAATACATGCTACCCAGCGCCGACATACCGCAATAGCTACGATTTAAACTTACTTCTCGATCTGCTGCCTCACGAAGTTCAAACATTTACAAGTCCTGAGTGGTGAAGTGTGAAGCTGGAGCCGCATTGCCGACCTACATATAGCTGTTGGAGCTGATGGCTTTTCCAACTTGTACTTCTTCCGCAAACTTGTGCAACAGTAGCACAATGTATGCTGTGTTTCCGCATGCTCGTTTCACCTACATACATGGACATGTACCGGATCGCGGAAAACCTATTGATATCTCGCTTCTTAGCACGGGAGGAATTCTCCTCATCCAAGACCTCCGCATAGTTGTCGCCTGGGGTAGAAACTGTGTTGTCTTTCGAAAATGTTATTCATCACGCTCGCGTGAATGGTGATTCTCATCGTCGTTCAGACGGTGCTACATGGCGATAGTCTATGTGGGGGGGGGGGGGGGTACTGGCTTGGCGAAAATGCAATCTTCATTATGCAGTAGAAGACTAATTGGCTGCAGAAGAGGACAGAGCACAGTGGCTTGTCCCATAGGAGGAAACCTGAAAGAGGCATAACTCATCGAAGATGAAGTGCTGGCAACAAACAATAGCACTCTTTGAGATGCTCTTTCCTCTGCCAAGAGAATGAGGCCACGCTTAACTCCATGGATGCCACAAAGCCTACTCCAGAGCGCAGTGAATCGCCATAGGCCGGGCCTCGTGGTGAAAGAAATACTTCTAAATGTCGTCCCAATGCCATTTCTTATATGTGTGCGTGTGTGCGTGCGCATGTTTGTGTGTGTGTGTGTGTGTGTGTGTGTGTGTATGTTTGTGTGCATGTGTGTGTGTGGACGTGTTGGTGTATGAACACGTGTATGTACGTGGGTGTTGTGTGTGCACGCACACTTTGTACGCGAATAATTCCTGGTGTGGTGATTGCTATGCTCAGTGAAGCCAATCTTCATCAACCTGACTCCACTGAACCAGTCCAGTGTGGAGTTTGGCAACGCTACATTTGAGTTCCGGTTTCAGCAGCCAGTATACCCTTATCCCGATTTCTTCTGGTCCTTCAATGGCACAATGATATCAGTGGCGGATTCTAACAGGTGATTATTCTGCAGTTATTCTAAAAGCGTATGACATCACTATAGTGGTGTGTCTGGCTTTGTCTGAGCGCAGTGCCTGTAGTGCGCCGATGTGTGTGTGTGTGTGTGTGTGTGTGTGCGCCTGCGCATACGTGTGTGTATTTGTATTTTGTATTGTATTTTATTATTGTACTTGGAAATTCCCGAGTCTGTTGGGAAGCCGTAAAGTGCCCAAGATGAATCAGTGTGTTAAGTTCCTGGCGAAATGAATTTGGGATATGATGAGTGCAAAGGGATTCAGGAAGAGCATTAAAGGGGAAGTTAAGGCAAAAATCAAAATTTCACCAGTTGTAGTCTTCGGGGTGCTGAGTCGAATGGTCTTGGTCCGAGAAAGCTAAGACGCTCCCTTCCTACTTGAATCCCAATCGAACTCGCGCACTTCCACCAAAACTGGGTGACTGCGCCCTACTAGATGGGGATTTGTATGCAAAATGTCACTAAAAGCACCATTTCGTTCTTATAAAAGCACGGATGACCGCGATTGGCCCATATGTTGTAGTCTTTTGGTCGCTGAGTCGACTGGTTTTGGTCCGAAAAGGCTGCGATGCAGCGTTCCTCCTTTATTCCCAATCGAACATGGTTGAACAAGCGGTCACGTGCTCCTGCGTACACCAGTCACCTGGTCACCATGCCTGCAGGGTACAACTTACTAGCCTGTTTGGCCTTTTTTGGGTGCAGTCCTGTCACTCGAGTTGAACCTTGGTGTGAAAGTTGTCGCCTGCTGGCGTGGTGACCAGGTGATTTGGGCACCCAGGAGTACGTGACCGCTTGTTCAACCATGTTCGATTGGGAATAAAGGAGGAACGCTGCATCGCAGCCTTTTCGGACCAAAACCAGTCGACTCAGCGTCCAAAAGACTACAAAATATGGGCCAATCGCGGTCATCCGTGCTTTTAGTGACATTTTGCATACAAATCTCATCTAGTAGGGCGCAGTCACCCAGTTTCGGTGGAAGTGCGCGAGTTCGATTGGAATTCAAGTAGGAAGGGAGCGTCTCAGCTTTCTCGGACCAAGACCATTCGACTCAGCACCCCGAAGACTACAACTGGTGAATTTTTGATTTTTGCCTTAACTTCCCCTTTAAAGCGGTCAGCCCCAAGTGTGTGTGTGTGTGTGTGTGTGTGTGTGTATGTGCCGCGCGTTATGAGAATTTGCGCGATCTGCCGATTGTGCGGCTCAAACCGAGAATTCTCATTTTGCCTGCGCAATCTGCAGGTTGCTTGCACCTTCTGGGAATTTTTAGATTGTGCAGATATTGATTGTTTGCGCATTCTGGGAAATTTGGGATTGCCCACACAGATTCGATAACACCCTTCAGTATTTAAACGAAATCCACAGATTGCGTCCCGCATGGATTAGCTGTGCTCTTCACTGTGGTTTTCAGCAAAATCCACGAATTGCGCATCACATGGATTCACTCGGCTCTTCATGTTTTCAACGAAATTCAAAGGTTGTGCCCACAGATTGCGACCCACATGAATTCACTGTGCTCTTCAGGTTTTCAACGAAATTCACCAATTGGATGAACCACGCACGGTAATTTTGCACCACTCGTGCTTTGGTGCGTTCCCGGGATCCCAGAAGTTTCACGGCAGCTCAGGGATGCGGATTTACCGTGTCTGCTCGCATACTGTACCACCAATTCTTTCGTGTCACCCCAGAATGCGCGTGCAGATTGTACAGCTTCTCAGAAGGCGCGGAACATAATAATAATATATACTACGCGTTTAAAAATCATCTGCTTCCTCATGTGTATGGATCATGCTTGAGCAGCTGCACATATGACAAGTTGTTCATTATAGGCACTTGTGGCTCGCATCACGTGTACAAGCAGCTACTTCTCACGGGTTGCCTTTTTCTCACTCTCGACGCTATTTCTCTAGCATTGTGCTGGAGGGTATGATTTCACCGGAAAACTTCAATAGCGCCGGGGCTCACTTTCTTACGAAAATCACTACGGTGATGATTATAATTCGCTGAATATTGCGTAGTATTATTTTATTGATCTTGGTCCAGCGCTGGTGATGTGTTGAATTTCTCTGCTACCCTCTGCCCATGTCCGCAGCACAAGTCTGACTGTCTACAACCTAACCCGCAACCACTCCGGTGTCTACAGTGTCAATGCCACGAATGATGCTGGAGCCAAGCAGGTGGATTTCAACTTGGCCGTTCACGGTAAGGGCGCGTTCAGACTGCCGATAAAAAATGACCGATTGGGAAAGTTTCCAAGGTGATTTGATCACGTGACGATATTGCCCGTTACCGGCGGAAAAGTGTTACTGTCGCGGCTGCTGCTGCGGCGAAAACAGCATTCCAGCAGTAAAAAAGGTAGTCAGGCTAGGAATAAGAGAAAATCCCTTCTCAGTGCCGCGGTGAGAGCTGCACAACTAACGTAAAGGTAACGTTAGTTTATTGGTAGTGCGAATGTCCTTCACGGTTTATCGCCTTTCACGGTTTGACGGGATTCACGGTAGTCTGAAGCTTTGGAGAAGCTCACCGATTCACCAACGGTTTGCCGTGCCGGTTCAAAGTGAAGCGGGCAAGCATGGTGTCCATGCCCATCTCCAACTGCATGGAAGAGTACACAGGGTCTACGTGCAGTGGAGTGTGCGAATGATTCTAAGGTGACCTGGCAATTCCTGTGTATACTGTGAGCATTGTGTGTTGCCTGCTTCACCCTCCCTCCTCTGTTGGTAACACATACCGTATGCTCTGCAGTATAAGCGCATGTCTCCATTACTAGCACAGTCTCTAATACTAGCACACTGTGAGCACCTTTCTAAACGCTATAATCCGTGTACAGTACATACACTCTCCGTTACTGGCACGGTCTCAGTGGAATTCAGTGCTGCATGCACGATATCTACTGGCGTGGACATGGAAATCCAGTCGAATGACCTCGGCTCAGGGCGTACAGATGGCTGATTGAGTGCACCTGTTGATCCAATGCGACCAGCGCGCTGCAGCGCAAACATGCATGTGTGTACCGCTTACCCAAGGCTGCACGGCCTGTGCCCTGGGGCCGCTAGACGTGCGACCGGATTTCCATGTCCACGACAGCAGCATGTATTTCTTCTTGCTCTATAAGGATAATATTGGTTGGAAAAAAACTGTCTCCGATGTAAGCGCGGTGACCAGTATAAGCACGGGGTAGATGTGTGCTGAAAGATAAAAGCACAGCGCTTATAATAGAGAATGTATGGGGTACGGACAGTCAGTGCGCTGGAAAGGCAGTTACCGCATTTCCCCGAATATAAGTCGCACTGTGACCTTTTTACCCAAAGCATCAAGAGTAAGAAAGAGGGCGCAACTTACAATTGAACATGACTTACTACTGATGTCGATCTGTCAAAACTACATGGTTCAAACCTGAAAGTGGAGGTGCTAGTTATAATCGAGTGCCACTTATAATCGGGGAAATATGGTAGGTGGAGAAAAAAGGGCCAGTATGGAAATGGTTTACAAAGCACTTGTTTCCGTTCCCAGCATGGCAGTTGAATCCAATGGCGTTTGTTTTACATTCTAATGTCTTTCTCTGTCTCGTATTCTCAGCAAAACCGAGGATAGTCAGCCCAAGCTCTGGAGATCGGTTCATTGTGAATGAGACTAGCACACTGGTGATCCCATGCAATTCCACTTCGTATCCATCTGCGAATCTTACCTGGGTGCATGGTTTCGGCGAGTCAGCGAGTCTTCCGGCCGGAGTGTCTACGGATTTCTCCTACGTGTACGGTAAGTTCACCATGGCCCGCAAATGTCACCATTGTTTGCAACAGCATTCTTGTCGTTTACGAAAAGGTACTATCCGCAACGACATTGCTTGTTGTGTCATACTCGGCTGCGCTGTATGATCGATGACAAGGGCAGGGACAATCGAGAGCCATGACCTACGGGGACAAACTAGAACACAATGTGATGGCTGCAACGAATTCTGCTTTGGAATGTCTGTTGGTCTCATGTTTGACTTCCAATAATCAACGGCTATGTCAACTGTTTCTTGTGGTGCGCAGATCTGGGTCTGGATCCTGAATGGGTATTTTGCCTGGAAGTTAGGGGGGAGGGGAGGAGGGTTGGGCTGTGTGTTAATGTCTGGTTATTCTAGCCGGTCACCATGCACTAACCGTGATAATGACAGCCAAGACTGATAGCCACAACGTGCATGCATGTGTGTGTGTGTGTGTGTGTGTGTGTGTGTGTGTGTGTGTGTGTGTGTGTGTGTGTGTGTGTGTGTCTCTCTCTCTCTGCATGTGTCTGTGTCTGTGTCTGTGTGCATATGTCTTTGTTTGTTGTGCGTGTGTGTTTGTATGTGCGTGTGTGTTTGTGTGTCCATGTGCTGGTTTGTGTGTGTGTTCCGGTGTGTGCATGTGCTGGTGTATGTGTATGTTCTGGTGTGTGCGTGTGTGTGTGTGTGTGTTTGTGTGACTGTGTATGTGTGTGTACGTGCATGTGTGTGTGTGTGTGTGTGTGTACGTGCATGTGTGTGTGTGTGTGTGTGTGTACGTGCTGGCGTGCGTGCGTGTGTGTGTGTGTGTGTGTGTGTGTGTGTGTGTGTGTGCATGTGGTATTTATTTCCTCACAGACGAGCTAGATGGCCTAGTGCACACAGCGAGTCTGCTGAATATCAGCAATGCACAGTACGATCACCATGGCAACTATTCATGCAGGTCGTACATCAATGGAACAACTGACTACCATGACGACACGGTGGATGTTTATCTCACTGTACAAGGTACATTTACATGAATTGTGTTATGTACATGCCATGCACACTGTCTGCCCCTCATGGGCTAGACACCCGAGCAGTTTTGACTAGCTTGATCTCCATCACATATTTATGATCCCAGTCGATGGTGCATACGCGGAAGTGTAGGTTCCAGGTGGAAACTTGGTCTACCACCAAGAGTACATGAGAACCAGAGTAGGCAGCTCGGATGGGTTGCTGTCACGGCGAAATTCCGTGATCGCATCATTTTAGTGATGTGGTGCGTACAAGCAGGATTCAAGCAGGTCTCTTTCAGCACAACTGCAGCTCAGTTGTACACTCTACGCCACTTCCCGCCTCAGATCTGCACCAACTATGATGTAATCACGGAATTCCGCAGTGACAGACACCCATAGCAGAAAAAGCCCCAAGCTGCACACTCTGGTTTTCATGTATTCTTGATACCACCTATACTTGCCAAGTAGAATCTTTGAGAAGCCTGGAGTAGAAAGTATGGCAAACCCTGTTTGTTGTGATACTTGTTGTTCCCATTATGATTATATTCATGTCTGAAACTGCCACCCCGTGCTCACCTACATAATATTATGTGTGTGTGTGTGCGTGTGTGAGTGCCTGTGCATGTTTGTGTGGGTGCGGACATCTATGATTATCATATTGTGCGTGTGTATGTTTGTGAGGGCATGCATGTGTGTGTGTGTGTGTGTGTGTGTGTGTGTGTGTGTGTGCGTGCGAGCTCGCACGTGTGTGTGTGTGTGCTCGTGTGTGCTCGTGTGTGTGTGTGTTTGTGTATGTGTGCTTGTGTGTGCTTGTGTGTGTGTGTGTGTGTGGGTGTATACGTGTGCATGTGCATGTGTGTGCGTGAGTGTGAGTGGGTGTGTTTGCATGCGCATGTGTTTGTGTGTGTTTGCGTGCGTGTGCATGTGGGTTGGAGCATGTGTGCGTTTCTTCTGCCGTTTTCATTTGCCTACACCCTACAGTTCCTCCAACAATCATTGGCCAGAGCTCCACAGTCGAGGAACGATTGGAGTTTGAAAACGTCACGTTTAACTACACTTTCCAGGATCCTGTTATTCCATATCCAACGTACGAGTGGTACTTCAACGGAACGTCTTATCCTGCGTCGGACTCAGGGTGAGCAAGCTACACGCTGGGACCTACTGCAAAACGACAAATTTTGACGACGGTGACATTTTAGCGACTCTGGCAAAAGGAGTGTTTTCGTAAAGTTTTGCAGTGCAAATCGAAAATTTGCATGTACAGTACAGTACTAATCGGTCTTCTTTCTCTTAAACTCTTACTCTGAAACTCGGATCGCTCAAACCTTTCATCACGAATTGGTCCAGATTCAGAAAACGTTTTAAATAATGTTCCCCGGCTAAAACTAGCCGCTCTACATTCAAGTGGTTTAACCTATCGTCAACTTTGCACATAACGACACTCGGTGGGGCTTCATAAAAGTGTCCTTATTCGCGAAGTGTTGTTATACCCGCAGTCCCTTTGTATGTATTATAGTTAGATGAGACTTTGCTCTGGGCATGGAAATTCTGCCGTAATTCGCGAATTGTCGTTACATCCGTAGTCGTTATTAGCGAAGTTGACTGTATATACGTGTGGATGGCTAGAAGAAGAGCACTCAAGTTTAGTGCAGTAAGCTAAAAACGCACTGAGAAACGGTATCGACATGTTGATGCATTTTGAATTGCGTTCCCCAAATCGTTTTTTCCTTTGGAATATGAACATTTGAACAATGTTGCTTTCTCCTTTCCATATGACACAGAACATCGCTGACTGTGACTAAACTACGACGGGAACATGCTGGGACATACACGGTTGTCGCCACGAATGCAGCCGGCACTGGACAGTTTAATTTTTCCCTGTCTGTTTACGGTAAGATTAACTTCAGGGCCTTGTCCTATCTCCAGTGCTGTCCACTGTGACAGGGCCTTGTCCTATCTCCAGTGCTGTCCACTGTGACAGGGCCTTGTCCTATCTCCAGTGCTGTCCACTGTGACAGGGCTTTGTCCTATCTCCAGTGCTGTCCACTGTGACAGGGCCTTGTCCTATCTCCAGTGCTGTCCACTGTGACAGGGCTTTGTCCTATCTCCAGTGCTGTCCACTGTGACAGGGCCTTGTCCTATCTCCAGTGCTGTCCACTGTGACAGGGCTTTGTCCTATCTCCAGTGCTGTCCACTGTCACAGGGCCTTGTCCTATCTCCAGTGCTGTCCACTGTGACAGGGCTTTGTCCTATCTCCAGTGCTGTCCACTGTGACAGGGCCTTGTCCTATCTCCAGTGCTGTCCACTGTGACAGGGCTTTGTCCTATCTCCAGTGCTGTCCACTGTCACAGGGCCTTGTCCTATCTCCAGTGCTGTCCACTGTGACAGGGCTTTGTCCTATCTCCAGTGCTGTCCACTGTGACAGGGCCTTGTCCTATCTCCAGTGCTGTCCACTGTGACAGGGCCTTGTCCTATCTCCAGTGCTGTCCACTGTGACAGGGCCTTGTCCTATCTCCAGTGCTGTCCACTGTGACAGGGCCTTGTCCTATCTCCAGTGCTGTCCACTGTGACAGGGCTTTGTCCTATCTCCAGTACTGTCCACTGTGACAGGGCCTTTTCCTATCTCCAGTGCTGTCCACTGTGACAGGGCCTTGTCCTATCTCCAGTGCTGTCCACTGTGACAGGGCCTTGTCCTATCTCCAGTGCTGTCCACTGTGACAGGGCCTTGTCCTATCTCCAGTGCTGTCCACTGTGACAGGGCCTTGTCCTATCTCCAGTGCTGTCCACTGTGACAGGGCCTTGTCCTATCTCCAGTGCTGTCCACTGTGACAGGGCCTTGTCCTATCTCCAGTGCTGTCCACTGTGACAGGGCCTTGTCCTATCTCCAGTGCTGTCCACTGTGACAGGGCCTTGTCCTATCTCCAGTGCTGTCCACTGTGACAGGGCCTTGTCCTATCTCCAGTGCTGTCCACTGTGACAGGGCCTTGTCCTATCTCCAGTGCTGTCCACTGTGACAGGGCCTTGTCCTATCTCCAGTGCTGTCCACTGTGACAGGGCCTTGTCCTATCTCCAGTGCTGTCCACTGTGACAGGGCCTTGTCCTATCTCCAGTGCTGTCCACTGTGACAGGGCCTTGTCCTATCTCCAGTGCTGTCCACTGTGACAGGGCCTTGTCCTATCTCCAGTGCTGTCCACTGTGACAGGGCCTTGTCCTATCTCCAGTGCTGTCCACTGTCACAGGGCCTTGTCCTATCTCCAGTGCTGTCCACTGTGACAGGGCCTTGTCCTATCTCCAGTGCTGTCCACTGTGACAGGGCCTTGTCCTATCTCCAGTGCTGTCCACTGTGACAGGGCCTTGTCCTATCTCCAGTGCTGTCCACTGTGACAGGGCCTTGTCCTATCTCCAGTGCTGTCCACTGTGACAGGGCCTTGTCCTATCTCCAGTGCTGTCCACTGTGACAGGGCCTTGTCCTATCTCCAGTGCTGTCCACTGTGACAGGGCTTTGTCCTATCTCCAGTGCTGTCCACTGTGACAGGGCCTTGTCCTATATCCAGTGCTGTCCACTGTGACAGGGCCTTGTCCTATCTCCAGTGCTGTCCACTGTGACAGGGCCTTGTCCTATCTCCAGTGCTGTCCACTGTGACAGGGCCTTGTCCTATCTCCAGTGCTGTCCACTGTGACAGGGCCTTGTCCTATCTCCAGTGCTGTCCACTGTGACAGGGCCTTGTCCTATCTCCAGTGCTGTCCACTGTGACAGGGCCTTGTCCTATCTCCAGTGCTGTCCACTGTGACAGGGCCTTGTCCTATCTCCAGTGCTGTCCACTGTGATAGGGCCTTGTCCTATCTCCAGTGCTGTCCACTGTGACAGGGCCTTGTCCTATCTCCAGTGCTGTCCACTGTGACAGGGCCTTGTCCTATCTCCAGTGCTGTCCACTGTGACAGGGCCTTGTCCTATCTCCAGTGCTGTCCACTGTGACAGGGCCTTGTCCTATCTCCAGTGCTGTCCACTGTGACAGGGCCTTGTCCTATCTCCAGTGCTGTCCACTGTGACAGGGCCTTGTCCTATCTCCAGTGCTGTCCACTGTGACAGGGCCTTGTCCTATCTCCAGTGCTGTCCACTGTGACAGGGCCTTGTCCTATCTCCAGTGCTGTCCACTGTCACAGGGCCTTGTCCTATCTCCAGTGCTGTCCACTGTGACAGGGCCTTGTCCTATCTCCAGTGCTGTCCACTGTCACAGGGCCTTGTCCTATCTCCAGTGCTGTCCACTGTGACAGGGCCTTGTCCTATCTCCACTGCTGTCCACTGTGACAGGGCCTTGTCCTATCTCCAGTGCTGTCCACTGTGACAGGGCCTTGTCCTATCTCCAGTGCTGTCCACTGTGACAGGGCCTTGTCCTATCTCCAGTGCTGTCCACTGTGACAGGGCCTTGTCCTATCTCCAGTACTGTCCACTGTGACAGGGCCTTGTCCTATCTCCAGTGCTGTCCACTGTGACAGGGCCTTGTCCTATCTCCAGTGCTGTCCACTGTGACAGGGCCTTGTCCTATCTCCAGTGGTGTCCACTGTGACAGGGCCTTGTCCTATCTCCAGTGCTGTCCACTGTGACAGGGCCTTGTCCTATCTCCAGTGCTGTCCACTGTGACAGGGCCTTGTCCTATCTCCAGTGCTGTCCACTGTGACAGGGCCTTGTCCTATCTCCAGTGCTGTCCACTGTGACAGGGCCTTGTCCTATCTCCCGTGCTGTCCACTGTGACAGGGCCTTGTCCTATCTCCAGTACTGTCCACTGTGACAGGGCCTTGTCCTATCTCCAGTACTGTCCACTGTGACAGGGCCTTGTCCTATCCCCCGTGCTGTCCACTGTGACAGCCATCATATGTGTTATTATACTTAAATGAAGAGATCTCAAAAAGTAAGGGTGGGGCTTCTTTTACTTTCCTAAGCGGTGGGAGGTGAGTAGATCAGACCCACCGCAAATTTGTCAAAGACTGAAAATCCCATTGACTGGGAGCTGCATCTGCGCCTTGATCCTAGAGGGTGGTGGCGTTTCTACGGATGCGGAAAACTCACCGTCCAGCCTTGTCTCACGCGAACCGTGATTCTTGCACTTTCATTTAGAAGAAAAGCATTCGAGCTGACAAGCTCATCCCCATAACTCCAACTCGGCAATTCGCCATCAGCAGGTCAACGTGCAAGCTAGGCAAAGGAGCAGCTGTATGGATACAGCCAGCCGCACGGAGCGTGAAGCATGCGCCAACGTGTCGTGCTGGTCAAAGTGCTGTAACCCGCACTGAAAAAAACGCCGTTACACAATAAATTCAATATGGGAACGAGGTTGTATATGTCTTTCTTATGAAAAATCTGTCGTTAAAATAGGAAACGTTAGACAGCAATCGATTCTTGTACTTTTTCTCTCTCTTTGTTCGGTCCTGAGCGATGAGAAAGAATGATAATCTGACATTTACTTGTGTACACGCAAACGAGTCTATTTTAAAAATTGATGATTTTGCATCTCGTTTAAAGAGTATTCATTAGTTGAGGGAATGGAAAGGGGAAAAGTCTGAAAACAAAAATCGGCTGTCACCACCAGGATGTTAAGGATGGCTTGCATAGCCCTCGGTCCTATTGGCAGGACCTACACAGACATGCTGCACGGCCTCTGTTCTAACATTGACCTAAAACCTGACTCTACAGTCCATTCATCGGAAATAGTCCCGCTGGCTTTTGAAAGTCGGATTTCGGTCGAATTGAGGATCAAACACCCTCTTTAAATTTCAAAAATCTGGGTTTTGGATCTGCTTCTCCATACATTTTGCCAGGGCATACCTGTCCTAATTTTGCAAAACCTGGCTGAATTTCTATTTCCCTGTTCTTGGACTTTTCTGGCCTCAAATGTGGCAAGGAGTAATCATAGTGCACGGGTCACACAATTCAGGATGTACTGTTGTGTTCACGATATCTACAACTATGTGAGAGAGACACCAAAAAGTTAGGGTGCCAGTTTCCAATGAATGGACTGTAAACTATTGCTAAGAGGCTAATGAAGCAGTCCACCAATTTTGGACGTGATCGTACAAGGCCTAATGAAAGTGCCGAAACGTTTTAAATTAACGGAACTTGTTCAGATATGCAGCGCTATGGGAATGGGTGTGTCCCCGCCCCCCGAATTCCATTAATTGCTGAGCGATAACGTTGTTTTTAATCTTCTGTGTGCAGTGCTACCCATCATCACTGTTCCGGACACTGACTACAATGTCACTATCATTGAAGGCGTGGATTACAATGTAAGCTGAGAAAAGCTGTTGTACACGAAAGCTACCGGTTTAGGCACTCGATCGATTTTGCCCGACGTTGCTAGGGCCAAATTTCGTGTTGGATATGGCTCTGAAATGTCAGATTTGAACACAGGACGCTCTCTGCTCATGTTTAAATCCGATGTTTGAGCACAAAGTGAACAATTTCTGCACGTACCGTTGCTAAAATTCACTCCCCTGATAAGTTTCATTCCGGATAAACTTCGGTCCTTCTAGATGGAAAGACGCTGGATTTGCGTGCTGGGTATGTGAAAAAGCTATGTAAATGGCCAATGATTATATGAGTGCAATGTTTCACGTTTGTGTCTCACCATGTACGATCTAGCCATTGGGCATTGACATGATTATATCAACTCGAGCCATTTTACAACACTAGGAACTCCTTGGCTTGGACAATTATGTCACGTGTGATAGCTGAACATTTTTTTGCGGTTCATTTTGCAGTTTTCCTGTGAGGCCACAGCCTATCCAACTCCACTCGTATCATGGATGGACCCGCTGAACAAAACATTCACTCACGATTCGCCTGTCTTGCCGGCCCGCACCAGCTTCCAAGAGAGCAGTGACAATTATTCAGGTAAGACTATGTGAGTTTCACTGAACACTTTCACGCATGTATGCTACTGGCTATGCACAAGCAAACTTGTATAGCAGCATTATAATTATACAGTAAAACCTGGTTTAAGTGACCACCCCACGGTGCAAGCAAAAACGGTCGTTAAAGCCACGTGGTCTTTAGAACCAGGTCCCACAGTGTCTGTGTAGAACTGTCGGTGCATGGAAAAACGGTGGTTAAGAGCAGGTGGTCGCTAAAACAAGAGGTCGCTTACATCAGGTTTTACTGTAGTCTACGCCCCATTCACAAGACGAGATAAAAGTCTGACACGTGAGCTGATGTGACTCTCGCACCTGCGCCGGTCATCCCAGTTGTCACAGGTGCAGGCTCAAATCATGTTATTTTACTTCCTTGTAAAGTGGGGCTGAGGGTTAGGGAGAGGAGCGGGCATATAATTATATATGTACTTCTATACCTAAGCCAGCCATGGTGAGACACGACCCGCATGATTTGCTTGTGCCTGTCAGAGAAGCAAAACAAAACCATACGATTCAATGGAAGTGCTGCGAGTTGGTGAGAGACAAAAAGTATTCTTTGAACAGTGAAGTAGTGGGCAGGGAAGGAGCTGGCATGCCAGCTATTTTGCGTGTTTTGTGCATGTGTCTGTGGATGTGTTTGTGTGTGTGTGTGTGTGTGCGTGTGTGTGTGTGTGTGTGTGTGTGTGTGTGTGCGTGCGTGTGTGTGTGTGTATGTGCATGTGTGTGTGAGGTGTGCATTGGGGGTCGATTTACATGGTCCCGCCAGTTGTGTAGATTAAACAGCTATCTTGCGCTAGTCTCAATGTGTTTCATCCAGAACTCGCTGTCGTTACCATAAGAGAAAATCTGTGGGTGCACGCCCTGTGCATTTGAAGATTTGCGTGTGTCTCTTGTGACGGGCATATGGTGTGCATGTGTGCGGGCCTGCGTGCATGCCTGTGCGTGTGTGTGTGTGTGTGTGTGTGTGTGTGTGTGTGTGTGTGTGTGTGTGTGTGCACAGCATCTGGTGGTCCGATCCGGCAGAGATCGCTACTCTTCAAAAGAGAGGATTCTGAAGACACCGATGATGATGGCCTGTACACATGCGCTGCAGAGATAGCCGTCCTTGGAAACACGTACTCCGTGCAGAGACACATCCAGGTGTACATTCTAGGTAAGTTTGTGCCTGTCATATCTTGTATCTTTGCTCAGTCTGTCCTCTTTCCAACAATGCATACACCAGGTATCACTTAACCTTTATCCTCCTATTGTTCCCATATGGGAACATAGGAAAAAGAATTATAAAGTAGATTCTAGTCGCCAAAAAAGTTATCTGAGAGATCCATATTCTGTTTTTATAATTCATTGTTCCATATGAACCCAGCATATGGATCATGCATATGGATGCATATGGATCATGCTTGCATGGTTGACTCCAACGCGTACATGCAAGTAATAATAATAATAATATGAACCCAGAACAATGTTGAGTTTGGAGGTACATCCAGTCTCCAAAGTGCCCGCTGGATGTTTTACCTGTAGTTTGCAGGAGTGCCAGGTCAACACCTCCCTAAAAGGGTGACCCGTTACACCCCTGGTAGAGTAGAACTTCAGGTTGTGCAAACTTTAGTAATCTGAAAAATCAGATACAGGCCCAGCGACTGTTAGGTTGCCAGGCTCATTTTGTCGTCTCCTTTATGCATTTTGACTGCAGTCAAGCCGCATCCCATGGTGAATCAAAGCAACTTCACATTTATGGAGAGCTCAGGCGTCCAGTTTGAATTTTCAGTCGCTCAGCCATTGCTAGCGGCGGATGTAAGTGCTGGTTGATGCATCTGTGTGTGGTGTGTAATTGGGAAGGGGGGGGGGGGTGTTGGTGGGGAGGTGGTCAAGGATATCCAAGTGCGTGATGCATTGCGCTCGCAAGACCTCCTTATTCTCCTAGTTGCCTAAACTACTTTTTTGTATTGTGCCAAAAATCTGGATCATACTCCTGCTTCTTAATCTATACTACATTATCCTCTCTTGGTATCATGTACCCACAACGAATCTCGAACACAGCGCTGTATGCCAGAACCGAGCAGACCCCACTATCCCAAGTCTTCAGGCAACGGAGACTGCTGTGGTTCGGCCATGTAGTGAGGGTAGGTGAAGAATCGTCCTCTTTCCCAGCCCTCCTAGTGTCAATCAACGCAACAGACATACGACGACCCCGAGGACGACCACGTCTGAGATGGATCGACGTTGTCAAGAAAGACTTACAATGCATTAATCTGTCGCTTCTGGATGCTGTGCAATCTGCTTCTGATAGAGCTGCTTGGCTCAAAATTGTTAACAGATGCGTTGACCTCATGCAATGAGTGATATGCGAACTGTCACTATTATTATTATTATCCTCTCCATTCTACCTCCCTTCCGTGCCTTATTAGACAACACGGGTATAGATGCCATGCCATTTTCTTTGTTTTATGATTGCTCAGATTACATGGCTGGATACAAATGGTACTACAATCACCAACACCACAAGCGATCGGCACATACTCCATGACGATCGGCGAGCGATGACTATATCGGATCTCAGACGCAAGGATGCCGGGGAGTACAATGTATCGGCAAGCAATCCTGCCGGCACAGGGTACACAAGTTTCCTTCTTGATGTTCATGGTAAGTACCTGTGTTGGAACACGAGTCACTGTATGACATTGGGCTGCCGCAGCAGAAGGCCGCACATTTGTCAATTATATCCGTCGAATTGTTTCATTTGTCAGCACGACATTCTAGACATTCTAATTTATGCTACGGATCTGCATTGTGTGTTGATAGGTGGAATGGACGGATCGAATGTTTTGTGTGGTGTGTATGGCACAGGACTACAAATGCCCTCCAATTTCGGACCTGAGTCCTGCCCGCAGATTTCAGCCATGATGTGCATTTTATGAAGGGCACTCTAGGCACGCATTTTTTGCATTGAAACACCTGCATGATTGGAGCCGGAAATGTCAGATGACATTTTCTGTGTATTGAACTCCAGCACCACCCCATATTTTTGACCAGTTGCACATAGCTGGTAAGTGTCATCTGACATAATTTTGGCTGAGCTCAGTGAAGTGCTTCAATATCAACACACTCCTGTTGTGCAACTCCCCTATTCGCTCCCAGAGATTTTCTCTAGTTATTCTAATTTATCTCATCCTTTTCAAAGCACTCTAGGACTCCATTGCAACCACTTAAAAGGCACCTCAACTCAAACGTTCAAAATACGGTCTCTTCGCTGCATACGTCACTATAAATAGAATTATAATTTTTCCTCTCCTCTGTTTTCACTTATTTCTGTAGTTGAACCGACCATAGTTAGCCCGCAGTCAGGCGCCGTGATAGTTGTCAACGAATCTGAACCTATCGATGTAGTGTGCCAGACAACGTCGTATCCAGCTCCAACCACAATCTGGCTGGACAACAATGGCACACGTGTGTTAGGCGTCAGTGGAAATCCTCACACCACCAACAACAGCTGTGAGTTTTCCGTGCTAATCTCACACATATCAGCATGCTAGCGATCATAAGCAGCACACTGTTGAGTCGAAATGTGCAGCAATTAGCCCAAAACTGACTGATGTGATACTGACATTCAACATTAAAATTTTTTACATTCATAATCGTTAGTATTGGACAAAACGGATAACTTGTAAACTTATGGTCCTCTCTTTTTTTTTGGCCCTCCATCCCAGTTGAATATCAAAATGCATTTACCGTATTTTCCGAAGTATAAGTCACACTCTTTTTGACACTCATCATTCACCCGAAAAAGTCGTTGCTTCTAATACTATTACGATGGTCAAATGAGCTGGGAAATACAGGGTAGAGGTTTGTAGTTTGCGACAAAAAAATCTGGATGCGGCTTGACCTCCAGTGCAGCTTATCACTCCGGAAAATAAGGTATATAGTAAAACCTGTGACTAACGACCACCCCTTGGGGCCAGAGAAAGCAGTCTTTAGTGGCAGGTGGTCCTCAGTTAGAGGTTTGCACAGCACAACCACATAGGAATGGGAGATCGTCCGTGCCTGGCGAAGTGGTCTTTAGTACCCGGCTGGTCGCTTAGTCGCAGTGATCTTTAGTTCCAGGTTTTACTGTATTTTGCGCCGAAATCTGGGTGCGACTTGTACTCCAGTGCAGCTTATAACTCCAGAAAATAAGGCATACATAATGGTAGCTCATTGTGCTTGTTCTATGTTCCTACTAGTGCACACAGTGCTGCACACACATTGACTTGTGGAGCTCTCTTTCCCTCTTTGCTGTGCAGCCTACGTGGCTTCGATCCTCCTGACTGCGGTCGAGCATACTCTCCATGTGACCAGGGCAACATGGGATCAGCGTGGCCACTACACATGCTACTCGGAAATAGCCACGCCAGGATCAGCGAACACCAGTGTCAGCCTGTTCTTGGATGTCCAAGGTAAGCAAAGATCGTGCATGTCATGGTATCATTCTTTATTTTTACTTCACCATAGGTACAGGCAATGCTGCCTTTATGCTGTGGATCATGAAATATACCACAGCTCCAAGGCTATGCTGAAAAGGCATGATGCAGGGACATGCCAAACAGAATTTAATAGTTACCATGTTATGATCTATTTGTGAAAGTACGACTCTGGTGTCGTTAGTCCTGCTCATCACCAGACCCGGCTAAGCAATGTTATCACTATGCCTACGTATCATCCGCGTGGGTACTCATAAAACCACTCATTTGTGAGTAGTTTTGCTGGATTTTGTGGCGCCATGCGTACGGAAAGGTGCCGAAATGGAAATTCTAACATGTTGGAATTTTCAGTGTGTATCAGGCGCGTACCAGCGTACATGCCAGTCAATTTGACTGGCGGGGTCAAACAATTAGTACTCGAAGGCGTCATATGCCGTAGATACGAGTCGCTTTGCTGTTTTTTTTTGTGAAAGCCTGAGCGCGCGTTTGGGTATGCATGAACCGTAAGCATACCGCGTCCACGCACCAGTTGGGAACACAGCCGCAACAACACCTGCGACGAGCTGCGACCGCGACACACGGTTCACTATCTTATTGGTGTTTGCGACAACCCGTTTCACTAGTAGTACTATGCACGTGCACTGCAGGGGCAGCCAGAGTAGAAACTATACTCCATATATTTCCGTTGCGTGTTGCATGTCGCAAAAGTTGAGCTTTCTTCAACTTCTGCGTCATGTACCTTGCGACTGCTGGCGACAGCACGCGACAGTCATTTTCTTGTCGCAACTGGTGTATGTCGCGTATAGCGTTACAATGAGTGGTACATGTATTGTGAATCGGCCCTAATTTCAGGGCGGTTGTTCCACACTCTCCACTTCACAAGTGGTGTAGTCATGTTAGAATACTGTGACATTCATGTTCTTTCTTCATCCCCCCTGCAGTGAAACCAACTCTTCAAATTCCAGTGACAAACTTCACAGTTTTCGAAGGAGAGAACGTTACTCTGCAATTGACCATCACAGATCCTGTAAATCCAGACATCCACCCGGACAATGTGAGTAAATGTCATTGATCTAATATGGAAGCATTTCTCACCCTACTGTGATCCTCAGGTAATCCGAATGGCCTACAGTCTGGTACATGGAAACTACTAATGATGGCAATGGCATGTTCGGGCTCGATCTACCCACCTCCTTCTGAAGTAGGAGGGCATCTTCGCCTTGAGCCTTGAGAGTTTTGGGTGTTCCTAAGCATGTGGAAATGTGTGTGTGTGTGTGCATGTGTGTGTGTGTGTGTGTGTGTGTGTGTGTGTGTGTGTGTGTGTGCGTTCGTGTATGTGTGTGTGTGTGTGTGTGTGTGTGTGTGTGTGTGTGTGTGTGTGCGTGCGTGCTTGCATGCATGTGCGTGCCCCTGTCCTCATGACCCGCAGGTGACTTGGTATGGCCCACACGGAGTGATAGACGCGTCAATCTCATCAAAGCTCCAATTCACGTTCTCTGACGATAGGCAGAACATGACCTTGTCGGGGCTGTCGCGTAACGACACCGGCAACTACACCGCAGTAGTGGTCAATGCTGCTGGCTATGGCATGGCATCTATCTATGTGGATGTTCCAGGTTAGTGCGATGAAAGTGACATTTTCCACAAATTTTCGGTGTACTTTCATTTTCCGTACTTTCGGTGCGTCTGTTTCATACCTAATATTTCAATACACCGAACAAACACTAACGCACATAATCCAATCGGGAACTGCTTCTCTGTACCTAAGGTTTCTGTTCACCTAACCTGGCCTTTTGCCCTCATACCGGAAATACCAAGCACCGAAAAATTCTGAAATTAGAGTATATTGTCCTAAGCATCTCATCCCTCTTCATGCGTGATGACCATACGGAAGACTTTGCTTCAAATTTTTGTAGCCAAGCAAGGGCTAGAAGCTTGAGAAGTTGATGAATGGATCAGGTGGATCAGCTCACTTCTCCTCAGAGGCTAAGGGTGCGAGTCGCACAATCTTCCAGAGACTGCGTCTCGTCCCGGCCTGACTCCAATTCGCCCTCGAAAATCGATATCCACGGATCGGTTTGCTGGACAAACTCCCAGACGCCTGATCGAATCTGGACATAAAGCTCTCCATGGAAGAAAACGTCTAGCCTACTGATGCCTTCAGCTTATTGAAACACTCTACCGAAAAACAAATCTGGGTCTACTGACCGATTTGCGGGCCGATTTGCTACTAACACTTTACGTGTAACCGATATCTGCCGCCGCTATACTCACCTCGTTGGCCGCTCCTAGCATAAGATCAGCTCCCTCAGAACCGGAAGGAGTACCTGAAGACATCTCGATGCTGAACGAAGATATGCTGAACGAAAACACAGACTGAAAATTACTAGCGCCAAAAAAATGACTAAAAAACTGACTATGCTAGAATTAGTTCGTGACATCTCAATAAAACCTTCGTGTAATTTGCTTTATTTTCATTTCTACTGTTTATTTTAAGACATAACATGGGATTCGAACAAGCACTACCCCCCCCCCCCCCCCTCTGCATTCCTCAATGTCCCGGATAATGGACTCAATATCGGTGATAATCAACCTAATATCGCTGATAATCGACTCAATATCATGGCGCTGATAATCAACTCAATATCGCTGATAATCAACTCAATATCGCTGATAATCAACGCAATATCGCTGATAAACAACTCAATCGCTCAAAATTGACTCAATTTCCTGTGTGTACGATGCATGCCCCTTTCAGTCCTTCCAGTGATTACAAGCCCATACAGTGGGCAGTTGTATCGGGTCAACAACACCGACAGCATAGAGCTGACCTGCACATCCAGTTCCTACCCGGTTGCACTGCTCTCCTGGGTGGACAGCGAGAATGCTACCCTACAAAACGGTTCTACAACCACGCTACTGCAATCACTCCGTAAGTTCACTAGTTATACAAAACAGGGAATTTCAATTACACATTGCGGGGAGGTGGACAAGATCGTGTTGCTGGACTCTATGTTCATTCACAGTGCTCTCCTTGCCGAAAAGGGCTCAACACGTTTAAAATGCAGTCCCATTGCTGTCCCAACTGCAAAATGCATGCAGTGAATTGTGTGCATAGAACAATCAGCCACGTTTGAGAGTGTAGTTCGGCAACTACTCCAGCTGAACCCACTTGAACACATGTTTTTCGTAAATTCACTCCCATTAATGGTGACCATAAGTGAGCTGCTACTGACAGCATTCCATCAGTATTACAACATGGGAGCATGTAACACTGAGTATCCTGAGTGACCAAACTTCCCTGATTAGTAGGCCTGAACAAGTTGAACAGAATGTAAAGAAGCAGCTTGTTGAGGCAATGTGCTGGCCTCGAACATTGGGAAGTCTGATATGTGGGACTATCATCCAGTAATGCGTTGCTGCTAGCTTATTTTTATGAATTGCTCCACCTCTCAGAGGATTTGAGACGTCATTAATTCTGGTGTGAACCTATTTCTCTCATCTCTAGTGGCATTTAGGGACAAGGTCCGCTGCTTGAACTTTCTCTAGGGCGTGTTCGGTGGGCCTCGAGGCCGGAGCAGGCCAAGCAGTTTCACTTTTTCACCGTGAAACCTGGCGGGAACATCGATTTTGGTCCCAAATGATCACGAACATACGCTTCTGGGTTGGACTCGCTATACCGTACAAAGTGACCATGGTGACTCATACACATTTGGAAGAATGCACCGAGTTTAGCACATTTTTTTCACAAAAATGTGCTCTGTTTTGGAGTATCGTTTGGTTGGCGTGAGGCTGCTCCATGTGCATCAGCTGTTCGATCCTGTTCTAGATCGTACCACCCAAACACACCCTAGGTGTTAGAAGCCTGGTGTGTGCAGAATATTTGATGGGAAATACTGGAAACAGTGGTAGATACTTTTGAGTTCCTTTGTCTGTGTAAACATTTCCATGGCTATTTCCGTGATTCACTTCTGTGCCTGAACAGCCCTGGGCGTTGGAGCCCGGACGTCCACCGTCAGCCTCACCCTGGTCATACGGAACGCGTCGCTGGCCCACAACGGGAACTACACGTGTCAGGCGGACATACACACTCCACGCGGTGTGTACACGAGTGAAGTCCGGGCCGCTCTCCTTGTCTTAGGTACGAATATACAACATTGTCACTATTAACATGCAGGGAACAAAGAATATAGATGAACATTCAGTGAAAATAATAAAATTAATGAATGATTGTGTTTTCGTTCCCTACCCAGCATTGTACACAATCCTGTGGAAAGCACCAAAATTTTTCCCCTAAGCCTACCCAGCTTTTATAGGATTGGTTAATAGGGTCTGAATTGCAAGTATGCGGTACTTACACATCAAAATTTATGTGTTGGGATGTGAGGTGAGGTCCCCCCCCCAGGTGCTACTGCATACATGTGCACATAGTTTGACCGTATGCACGCTTAAACACACAAGCATATACACATCGATACAGCATAGTTGAAGTGGTAGTCTCAATGGCCCAGACCAATGTGGGGAGGGAGTATTGGCGAATCTCAATTCCGCCACAGCCTCCATTGCTCCTTAATTAATATTTTTCTGCCCTGATCTCTTTCTGTGCAGTGAAACCAACATTCTCAGTGACTATATCCAACTACACTCGTCTCGAGGCTCGGACCGTAGAATTTTCTTTCCTTGTGGACTTTCCAGGAAACCTTCCTATTGTGCCTAATGATGTGAGTGAAACCTTAGAATTTTCTTCATTCCTATGTTTTCTCCACTTAAAACAAAAAAAACAAAAACAAAAAACAAAATGTCACGGTTCACGTCAGACTCAGCTAGAGACCGAGTTATCTGCATCCACTTCAACTTCCTTGTATTGGCATTGAAGTTTGCAAAATATTAGTGCCACAGCTTGTGCCTACCTACCGACTGCTACGAAATGCAGCACTTTTTTGGCAGCTTATCCTTGCAGGGCTTTCTTTCTTCAGGGTTAACTTTCTTATTGAACAGTGCAGAAGTGTTCCGAAATATCCCAAATATGACAAACATAAATTTTGAACCTATTGCATCGGCAGAGCCAGTTTAATATAAGACTTCCTGAGCCGACTTAGCCCCCCCCCCAAAAAAACCTTGCACAAACTACATACAATGTGTATCTCTGGCAGGTTTAACCCGGAATTCCACCGGAGAATGTACTCCAGTATGTACAGTTTCATTTTATGGAGCACTATCATGTTAGTTCTCTAACAAAACTCGCAGTGTAAGGGACCATCCATAATTATCGATCTTTTACACGAAGAGAAAAAGTTTCATTCATGGATGTGTGGGTCAAGGGGAGTTGCGTTTTGAAAAATATTGATCTCTGAGACACCAAGGCATTCTTGCCGTCAAGTCAATCTATTTTTTGTTCGGGTGGGGGGGGGGGGGGGAGGGTCGTAACTAAACTTTTTCGTTTCGTGAAAATTATCGATATTGCCGGATAGCCCCTAAGCCACAGGAGAATTTCTACCAAATACTAGGAGCACAAACTTCAAGTTCTTCAACAACATCTGAAATGTGTTTCAAAAGTAATCTATGGTGCCTTTTCTCCGGGTGATATACAGGCCAGAGCAAGATTTCTTGCTTCATTTTTCGAACGGAAAGTACAGCTTGTTATTTTATGATGTCAGACTTCCTACTCTCTTCCTTGTTAGCCGTGGTTGGCCATAAAAACCCTGCAATCGCCACGCAAAGTGGTCATTGGCTACCCCAGCCATGTATTGCTTGGAATAAAATGAAAATAGACCAATCTCGCTAGAAAGAACCACATGCATTTTTAGAAGTATTATGTTATGACTCTTGCCGACGACTGCCATGTTTTTTTTTCTGCTCACAATCCCCGGCCTGTAGATTATCTGGACTGCACCGCGTGGTGTGGTAGGTCCTGTTGGCACTGCACATGAATTCTCTGTGGATCGCCAGAGTCTGACTCTGAACCGCCTGCAGAGGCTTGACTCTGGCCTGTACACAGCACATGCTGGACATGAGAATGGCATGGCCGTGGCTGATTTCTACTTGGTGGTGAATGGTGAGCCGTACGAATGCCATCATTAGTTCTGTTCCCTTCATGCAAAGATACAGTAAAACCTGGTTTAAGTGACCACCCCACGGTGCAAGCAAAGCGATCGTTAAAGCCAGGTGGTCTTTAGAGCCAGGTCCCATAGTGTCCGTGTAGAACTGTCTGTGCATGGAAAGACGGTCGTTAAGAGCAGGTGGTCGCAAAACCCAGAGGTCATTTATACCAGGTTTTACTGTATTGTTGTCTGCAGGTCGTTATATTTCTACTACAATGCTTGCTTTCATAGCATGTAGGCGCATGCTCGGGTTTGATTGTTGTTGATTTCACACCACCGAGGAACCTACTTGGGGTCTGTCACAGTGTGATCAATGTTTGTGAAAGCATGCAATGATTCAACTGGGGAATGTACTTCGAAGTATGTTAGTCAGTAAGGGGAAAATTGATGTATTTCAAACACGTCATTGGTAAATACTTCATCAGTTTAATTAATTGAACATGTCACTATTATGGAAGTGAACCTGTTGGTTGACACTATGTCCCTTTGTTGGACAATGTGGGAGTTCATTTGTCATCTTGACATACTGTGCATATACAAGAGAGATTGGAAGCTGTGTCACAACAGGTTGCCTGGTTGCGATACAGCTTCCAATCTCTCTTGTGTACAAGGCTCTGCCCTATGTTCGTATTGAGCACTCTTCGGACAGTGAAGCACGTGACTTGACTACAAACTGTGCATAGTGAGAATTCTCTCCTCTGACCTGTTTGCCCTGGTCATGCTCTTCTGATCTCTTGCTTCCCAACAGTGCGACCCTTCATCACATGGCCTCTGAAGGACCAGCGGTATGTTATCGAAGAGGGCTCGGCTCTCTCGATTTCCTGCAATGCCACTGCCTTTCCTAAGGCCGAGCCCACATGGGAATATGTCGGAAATGGCTTGGTGGGCACGACTGGTGACGTATATGCTACAGAAATGTCAACTTATGGTTAGTTGAATATTGACTTTTGGCCTTTTCGACTGCTATAGACATACCGTGGCTTATCAGCTTCAGTCACAAGGACATCATTGTCATGGTGTCCAAAATGAGTTGGCAAGATCTCCGGAGGACATTATTTCTAGACTTTTCCTTGTGCAATGCACAAAGACAAGAGATAGAGAGATAAATAGATATATATATATATATTAACTGGTTTGAGGGAAAGAGACAAACGGGAAAAGTCTGAAGAAAAAATTGACTGTCACCACCAGGACTCGAACCAGGGACCCTCGCTTGTAGCCAGCGATGCTCTAACCACTGAGCTATGGTGTAGTCGTCATCCCAGCAGAGGCCGTTCAACATTTTCTTCAGACTTCTATATATATATTTATCACTCGCTTATTATTGACCCCCACAGAAACTTGTGATCTCTAAGCGGTCAAATATCCGCATTTATTGCATGTCACGTGAGGGTTGCCTGTACTACAGCCAATGAGCGCTCTTGCTCAGCGGTCTGTATTTCTAGGTATTGCCCGGCAAGTTATTGCCCGCTCAGTTACATGTACGCGCATGCGGACTGTCATTCTTGTACTTTGTGGTTCGTGATCAGATCAAGTGTACGGAGTTTCAAATTTGAAACACAAACAGCAACTTGATCTGACTACAAACTACAAAGCACGAGAATGACAGACCACACACGCGCGCATGTAACTGAGCGGACAATAACTTACTTGTTCCAGCCAGCTGAACCAGCCGCCTCAGAAGGTGAATGCAACCTTGACATCGATATCGATGCGTTGATGAGCAGCCGACGAACTAGACGAACTGAATGCGTTCGAGACGAAGTTGTGGAGCCCATCCCACTTTCAGTTCCGGTTCCTACACGCAGTGCTCAATCACGAACAACAACACCATCGATATCGTAAAGAAATAGAGAATTTCAAAACCACAAACGACGTTTACCACTGAACAAGTGTGTCGGGAGACTGAGAAAGTCGGAAAGGTTTCTCTCCATTTTCTGGAAAGTTTGGGTCAAGCATGCAATAAATGATTTACTGCGCCTCGTACGCACTCGTACACGGGCAATACCGGCTTGATACATGACCTCGCGGCTGGCGCCGTTCGGTCATGTATCAGCCGGTATTGTAGCAGTGCGCTACGTAATTCTATACAAAAGTCTGGATTCGTGAATTTAGAACTAACTTCGAACGATTGAATCTGGTGTCATAATTAATGTTACTTTAGATTACAGAGAGGACAGAAACATTACTGTTCGGCTCACAACCAGAGAGAGAGAGCTAATGGAAGCAAGGCAAAAGGCAAGGAGCGGCGACTTCTGCTCGCCTGCTGAATACGGTGTACGGTACAACTATACCAAAAGGGAAGGCCAGCGGCGCACTGGAATCTAGTTGTACACAGCTGTAGTACGCATGCAAATAAGGATAATACGGTGCGGAAGTGAACGGCGCATGCTGATACGGTAAAGCGGTCGTAATACATATAAGTGTGACCGCGAGACCGGAGAATTTCATGAAGCCAATAATATGAGAATTTCATTGAAACCGAAGTAAATCAGGTCATGTGACCGAGAATCCGCTACATTACTCCCCTGCCAGTGTACAAGCCGGAGGCAGGAAACGATAACTTTGGAAAGGAGAGAAACGGCAACCGCAACGTAGAAGAAGAAGAAGCGTATAAAGGAAGGAAAAAAATGAAAACCGCACGGCAACCAGAAAAGGTCCGACATAAAGCCCACGGCGACCAAGAACGGAGGAGCCCAGCCGATCAGGTAGCAAAGCGAACAGCACGTGCAGGGGGTGGGGCAGCAGCAGCAACCGGCGGAACAATCAGAGAGAGAGAGAGCTAATGGAAGCAAGGCAAAAGGCAAGGAGCGGCGACTTCTGCTCACCTGCTGAATACGGTGTACGGTACAACTATACCAAAAGGGAAGGCCAGCGGCGCTCTGGAATCTAGTTGTACACAGCTGTAGTACGCATGCAAATAAGGATAATACGGTGCGGAAGTGAACGGCGCATGCTGATACGGTAAAGCGGTCGTAATACATATAAGTGTGACCGCGAGACCGGAGAATTTCATGAAGCCAATAATATGAGAATTTCATTGAAACCGAAGTAAATCAGGTCATGTGACCGAGAATCCGCTACAGTATTGCCCTTGTACTCGTTTGTACTCGTGCAGTAAATCATACATATTGACCGCTTATATTGACCACTTATTATTGACCACTTAGCCCGAGGACTTAGAACTTTTTCCTCACCTTAGAAAAAAATCAGAACTGAAAGAAGAAAAATCTGAAGCCAAATGCTGGGATTTGAACCCAAACTTTCAGATTCTCAGTCAAAGAACTTGGGGAACATACTACAAGAGACAACTGAAAACTTCGGTTTACACAGAAGTAATGTCCAATGTAAACGGCATATGTACATACTATTATACTATTACAATAGTATTCCTTTCTTCCTATTATTAGTATTATTATTATTATTATTATTATTATTATTATACGCATTCCCGCGTTGAATTGTAGCAGCAGTATGCTGCGTCCACAGCTTCGCTTATGCAGAATGGCTTGGGTGAGAGGAGAGGGGAGAGAAAGCAACAAGGCAACAAACATCTATGAAATTGGTCACAATAACATGAAGAGAACCAACCTACATACATGTACGCATGATTGCACAAGAATGGAGACGACCAAATATAATGGCTATAATCATTGTGCCACAAAACCGGTACACAGGAGATCTGACGACAATGTAACGAAACATAAAACTCAGTTACTCAATACAGGTTCCACTAAATTACAAGAGAACAACGCTACAACGTTAGAATTGCCGCTAAATTATCGCAAGTGTAGAGAACGAGTCCAATACAAATGAAAACCATGAACAGACTGTCCCGAAGTTATTTTGGGAACAAATTGTACTACATGACTGTACTTGCTGATACTGACGCTGACGGAACACGAATTTGAGTTGAATACTCATACTTTCTTCCTATAGCAAAGCAAAAACAGTTTTAGGTATGCTATGTCGTGATAAATCTATTATTGCCCTCATAATCGGTCAATATATGAAATATATTGACCTCTTTAATCGTGCAATAATAGATACATATAGAACAATAGAAGTATTTATTGCGTCGGCAAAAAAGTGCTCAATGTCCTAAGACAGAGCAGGGTTATACACTCAGACACAAAGGATCTCCAAGTTTCTCAGTGTTGCTACTCTGAGTTTAGTGCCTTTGCTGTTTGCGTTATGCAGAGCTCACTGACTTGTCAGTTTGAGCACTCTGGCAAGGTACGTTCGGGCCTGATTGGAAATTTTTATTTCCATTGCTATCACTCAGGTTCGGCCTCATTTCCTCTGTGCTGCGCTGACGAGTCCACAAAGGACGAAACAGTTCTGTCCGCAGATTGAGTATATATATATATATATATATATATTATATAGAACAATAGAAGTATTTCTTGCGTCGGCAAAAAGTGCTCAATGTCCTAAGAAGTGTCTGAGTGTATATATATATATATATATATATATATTTAAATAGAGAGGTAGGCGAACAAAATTTATATACACACAACAACAAGGTTGTAAGTTTCATAACACTAAAAGCTTTTCACCCATTTTCATCAGTAGGTACATGGGAATGAGCAAGAACGAAAACGAAGCCAGAATTTATACTGGGGGTAGAGAATCAGCAAGAATATTCTTACGCGCCTCAAGTTCACACCACACTACCATAAGAATGTATGGAGCAGTGGAAAAATGCGGGAAACAACACATGAAGGGAATGCAGTACCAGAACAAACACGTGATGCAACCGGACTGACAACTTTATCACGTGTTTGTTCTGGTACTGCATTCCCTTCATGTGTTGTTTCCCGCATTTTTCCACTGCTCCATACATTCTTATGGTAGTGTAGTGTGAACTTGAGGCGCGTAAGCATATTCTTGCTGATTCTCTACCCCCAGTATAAATTCTGGCTTCGTTTTCGTTCTTGCTCATTCCCATGTACCTACTGATGAAAATGGGTGAAAAGCTTTTAGTGTTATGAAACTTACAACCTTGTTGTTGTGTGTATATATATATATATAAATAGAGAGGTAGGCAAACAAAATTTATATACACACAACAACAAGGTTATAAGTTTCATAACACTAAAAGCTTTTCACCCATTTTCATCAGTAGGTACATGGGAATGAGCAAGAACGAAAACGAAGCCAGAATTTATTCTCCATGGCTTCTTGGCCTTAACTCTCTGCACCCGCTTCTTGATAGAGCGGGGCGCAACGCCGCACGATGAAAATGGGTGAAAAGCTTTTAGTGTTATGAAACTTACAACCTTGTTGTTGTGTGTATATATATGTAGGACTCAGTGACCAGTCAAGGCCCCGTGACCAATCACGGTCCCCGTGACCAGTCAAACAGTCACAAACCCCCCATGACCAGTCACAAATTAGTTTACCAGTCACAATGCCCCATGACCAGTCACAAATCACCATACATGTACATGTGTAAAGTACACAGTTCGTGACTGCTCGCAGGGTGCTTCGTACTGCAGGATTTGTTGTGGAAACTATAATTCCCTATGAGCGGTCACAGAATACAGTTGTGACCACTATAATTCCATGCGAACAGTTACATGCGGAATGTACAGTTGTGATCACTCTTTCTCTGTGAGTAGTCACAGGCAGAATATAGGTATTTCTGTATTACAAGAGAGATTGGAGGCTTTGTCAGAACTCTGAGTTTCACGTATTACTACGATCGTCAGGCAACTGATGGCTCCTAAACGGGCAGCCTGAACATAAGGGGGAGCAAGGTGGGAAATTCTGAGGGGTATCATAGGCGACGGGTATTATAGTGCAAGAGTCAGGTGCAGGCATGAAGTTGCCAAGTCTTCAGACTTGGGGCTATGCAGCAGCAGTTCCAGCGTGAATGACATAGAATAGAGCTGGGGACCGCACATGCCCACACCATTACACACACATACACCCACACTCTCTCCCTTTTCTCACATACACTCACACGCGCACACACACACACACACACTCATTCTCTAAATCTCTCTCACACACACGCACATATGTCATTCATTCTCTACATCACACACACACACACACACACACCTGGCCTGGTGTACAGCTGCCAAATGCTTAGCCACGCCGTCCCCGAGACAGGGGGAGAGTAGAAGAGAGAGTTTGAGACACACACACACATCCACACACACACACACACACACACACACACACACACACACACACACACACACACACACACACACACCTGGCCTGGTGTACAGCTGCCAAATGCTTGGCCACGCCGCCCCCGAGACAGGGGGAGAGTAGAAGAGAGAGTTTGAGACACACACACACACATCCACACACACACACACATCCACACATCCACACACACACACAAACACACACACATCCACACACACACACACACACACACACACACACACACACATCCACGCACACACAAACACACACACACACATTCTCTAAATCTTACACACACATTCTCTCTCTCTCTCACACACACACACTCTCTTTCTCACGCATGCACACACACACACACTCACACATGCGCGCGCACACTTACTCACACACACACACACACACACACACACACACACACAAATAGGCAGCGGGACTACCAGCTAGATTCACGTGACGTTGCGGACAAAGTTACGGAGGTAGAACTTGTTTTCATGACGACACTTGGACACAAGTACTTCTGTATTATTATTTTATCTCTTTTCAACCAATCCACAAGCCAAGAAGAGATGCGTAGACAGAAGAACCGTACTCTTGGTGATACTGATCGCAAACATGATTAATTCCTCCAGGCCATTGAGCACCCAATTCTAAACCTTATCTAAGCAAAGCAGCATGCCAGTTCAAGAACATCTCGTCAGACATACAGTCATATCGATACATGACGTCTGGTGCACTCTCACTAACAAGCAGGCATCGCAGGCTACATTCGCACCAGCAATCAAAAGAAGTTGAAGTGAGTGAATATTTCTATAAAATTAATAATCGGAAGACAAATGAGGGTGTGGAGGATCGCCCAAAAACACTGACAAGGAGACAGTAAACGGTACACACGTAACACAGTACTTGTATGCATGTACTTATACACGTTATAGCAGCACAACGAGAAAGACCATGATGCATAATGTTGCATCAATAAATTTTACAGAGTTATTTTGGGAGTAGAAATGAAGATGTGTTCGAAACAGTAAACTGCGTAAGCACTACGTTGAGCCAGAATATTGAAATACATTTTCCTGCAGTCAAAACAAGACACTCACACTTCTCTGGTCTAGTTCGCCATTCTTATCGATAAACATGACTTGATTTAATTTCTTACGATGGTTCTTGAGAATGGATCAATGATGTCTTGAATAGATGTCTTCCTGAACGACTTCAACTGAGAGGCAGTTTCAGTTTCAACAAGCTGGACATTGTTTTTCTGTGGAGTCTTCCACAAGAAAGACAGAGCTACACACACGAAGGTGCTTGATGTACTCAGTACCTTCTTGGAAATGAACATATTTTCATTTCCATCTTCATTATATTTTCGTCTCTGCATCGTCGACGATGTCCACTTCTGACTCCGTAATCTTGTCACCCATCCTCTCCAAAAACACAAATCGAGTGCTGCTTGCATGCTGGATCAGTTGAAGTCAGTCTCTGCTCTAGCAAGATCGGCATGCAAAAATTACACGACTGAAAATATTCCGAAATAGCTTTTCTGAACGACGAAGTTTGTTCTTCAAATATGATGAATAGCACAACCTACTAGCCAGAACGTCCTCTCAAAAGAGATTCTATCTGAAGCCTGCAGGATTTTCGACCACCCTTCGTTTTGGAGAGGAGCCCACACACACCAGACTCGAGCTACAAGTAAACGACGCGGAGATCGAGAGTTGATCGAAATCTTTCTTGCTCACTTCTGAAACCTGTGAAGGAAAAAATATGCTGAACGCGTGAATGCCTACAGTTGAGTCGTAATATTTTGACGTGGATCCTGTGACCGTTCACAGAGAAAGTCGCGGCTGTTTCTGACTGGTCACCGGGATTCAAACTGGTGTGTGACTTTATGACTGCTCTTCGGGGATTTGTGACTGCTTGATTGGTCACGGGGATCGTGATCGGTCATCGAGACGTGACTGCTCACTGAGTCCTACATATATATATATATATATATATATAGCAGTTGAGTATATATATATATATATATTGAGTATATTGAGTATATATATATATAGCAGTTGAGCACTCTTGCGTGGGGTAGTGCCTTTGCTGTGTGCGTTATGCAGAGCTCACTGACTTGTCAGTTTGAGCACTCTGGCAAGGTACGTTCGGGCCTGATTGGAAATTTTTATTTCCATTGCTATCAGGTTTGGCCTCATTTCCTCTGTGCTGCGCTGACGAGTCCACAAAGGACGAAACAGTTCTGTCCGCAGATTGAGTATATATATATATATATATACAAATATTACACAGCAATGAATCAAAAAAGTCTCATTCCGCTGTAACTCCGAGTTTCGTGTCAGAACACTTCATCAGACAGCATATGACCAAGACTAACAATCACTAGAATATGTATACGGAGAAGGGGAGAAGGGGGCAAAAGTGATGGAGGTACATTTCAGTAGCGCGAGGAAAAGGGATGACAAAATCAGCGTGATTATAAGAGGAAAAAGATGTTGAGAGTATAGAGCATAGCCAGGGTAGAGAAACAGCGCGACTTTCTGGGAACACATCAATACAGATTTGTGCTGCATTGTTACATATCAAATTGTGACCTAGGGTGGTAAAAATGTTGATGGGGATTGTGTTGTGGGAATCACTCACGCCAGTGGACATTGAGCACTGTAAGCAGCCTAGGGACTTTAGACAACTCTCTACACCATAGCTCAGTGGTTAGAGCATCGCTGGCTACAAGCGAGGGTCCCTGGTTCGAATCCTGGTGGTGACAGTCAATTTTTTCTTCAGACTTTTCCCGTTTGTCTCTTTCCCTCAAATATAAGTAGTCAAATATATCGCGTATTTGACTAAGCAGTCAAATACGCGATATGTTTGACCGCTTAGGTATCAGGGAAATTAGTGGGGTCAAATACTAAGAAGGCGATAAATATATATAATAGAGAGAGAGAGAGAGAGAGAGAAGGGGGGGGGGGTATGGCTTGGCCAAGTGATAAAATCCGAACCGCTACAGAAGTCATTCGTAAAGTTATCACCATAAATGTCCGTTCCAAAAAAAAAGAGATCATGCTCTCTCTGCTTGGGAGTGTAGTGTGCACCATGGTTTAGAAAAGAATTCGATCGCCCGACACATAATTATTTGAATTCACAGTTGAGTCTATAGCACTATTACAGTGGTACAGTGCGATTTTCATCCTAGATTGAGGTACTCTGTACAGGCTGTGATTGTCATGACGGTGCTAGCAGTTTCTGTAGGCTACTTTGCCTAACATGTATTGTTGGCGTATGTTTGCACAGATTTGGCGAGGCAAGTATTCGTGATGTCGAATGTGCTTAGCATTCCAAGAGCCGACTATGGCATAAAAGGGACTTACCGGTGCCAGATCACAATATCAGACCCGACAGGCGCGCACACAAATGCTGTGAATGTGGACATTGATGTGCAAGGTGAGAGGAGAGAGGAGATTGCATTTTGATGATGATTAGTGTGTTGGTGTGGATCATTGATGAGGGGTTGTGCCCTAGATAAATTGCGTGAAACAGTCTGTCTGTCTTTCTGTCTTTTTGTCTGCTGCCTGCCTGCCTACCTGCCTGCCTGCCTGCCTGCCTGCCTGCCTGCCTGCCTGCCTGCCTGCCTGCCTGCCTGCCTGCCTGTCTATCACATGCCTCTGACCAATTTTTCCACCTGCAGTTGGTCCCAAATTCAATCACTCGCAAACCGAGTACACTGTATTGGAAGGTGATACATTCGACATTGACTGCATCACCTTTGCTAATCCCAAGCCATCCTACAACTGGACAGTATCACCAGAATTCCCAGCTACAATGACAGAGTACGTAAGTGAGTCAAGCTCTGGTCCGTTTCACACATCCAAGTATCGTGTCACCAACGCTCCAATCCAAGGTTACACACACGCCTACAATCTAACCTGCGCTGTCAACAACTCCGTGTCAAGTAACAGCACAACCATCTCGCTAATAGTTCATGGTGAGCTTGGTTCGATTTTCTAATCTACCATTTTTGTGGAACATCCTGATTGTTAATGAAAGCAGTCATTTCTGTGCCTGTTAGTACGCTCACATTACAACCAGCTATGAAACTGCTGTGAGAAACATACCTTGCTTAGGAGTTTGGCTAATGGTACCCACCAAAGTTTCTGAAATACCGTCAGATACCATGGCTGCAGATGCAGCAGCTATGGTGATGTATTCAGTCTCAAAATCAGTGCCTGTTATCGGGGTTGGGGTCGAGTGAAACCTCATTAGCTGCAGCCATGACACCCTCACTCCGACTAGTGTCGGGCCACTAAAGTGCCTGGAAATCTCTGAGGTACTCCAGTGACAGATGCAGCACCCAGCGTCGAGGTTGACATTTTCAATCTCGCAACCAGTGCCTGACAAGTGGGGCGGGTGTTGTGGTGGAGGGAGTAAAACTTTCTTAGTTGCATCCATGCTATCCTCATTCCGATTAATGACCAAATTGTTTTCAATGTAAAAAAGGGATGAAACACATTTACTACTGGCTCAGTATCCGAGTTTAAATTGTTTTCAGTTGATAAATTGTCTAATTTCACTGTGTGCATTGTGACAGCTGCTCCCCAGTACACCGGCTCTATGACTGGGATATATGTCACGAGCAATGAGCACGAAGCCAATGTTACCCTGGGCTGCACGTATCGTGCATTGCCAGAGCCAAACATCACCTGGACCCATGGCATGCTTGTGAACACATCGGGAATTGTTGTGCAGCAGCCCAACGACACAGTTCCATACACGTATACGAGCACATTGCAGATCCCAACTGTGGTCAAGTCCGACGAAGGAAACTATAACTGCACTGGTCGCAACGAGTACGGAACCGACGGCTACAGGCTGTACTTGAGAGTGCAAGGTAATCAGACTCTTTCTAGTGCTCCTCGCCACGGCTGTATGTACATGTACGGTGTCTTGTGTTCTCTGCTGTTTGCTGGCTGGCGTTATTCTGAAGCAGCTAGAATAAGGATTCCTAGCCGACTGTTGTGCTGTCCCTATTCCAGCAAAGTGGTCACTCTGTTATTGAATTTCTTTACCCCTTGCAAAACCAATATGATATCTCTCAGACCCTATTTTGTTCTATAGTTTGTGGGAGGATCAAAAAGGGAAAAGCTTGAAGAAAAATTGACCTTCACCAACAGGACTCGAGCCAGGGACACTCACGATGCTCTACCACTAAGCTTTGTTAACGTCATCCAGGCAGCGACTGTTCAACACTTTATTGATGTATTCATGTAATGAATTCAGTTTAGCGTAGGCGCACATCTCGCAACTACGTATCTGCTGCGCTACAGCGCCCTCTACGGTTCTGGCCGCGGCACTTGTTTAGCGCGCCTTGCCGCGACCGGCAAGACCGCCTGCTGTGCATCACATTAATTTATGCGTACGCCATCACAATAATTAATTTAGTTTTGATCGGGTCCGAGTCCGCAACGTGGCACATCTCCTTGCCATTCTCAGTTTTGACCCACCTGTTTCTTCGGCTGCGGACCCCGAGCTGCCGAGTAACGCTGCCTCACCACTCGACGGCGGACAATTCAAGCAATTTATATCTGACGAAGTCCAGAAAGCCGTCACCGCCGCCCTGGCAGAAACGGTCTCCCCACTGCTTGCCACCATCGGATCCTCGCAGCCTTCCCCCGCCATGGCCGTACCCACCGGAAATGCTGCGCCAACTGGTCCGGGTGCTGGCTCTCTATCTCATCCACTGAACGTGCCGTCTCACGTGAGAGAGAGGATTTTGCGAGGTGAGTGTGTTGATTTGAATACACTGTTACCGGAAGCTCTTGGGGCACCAAAGCGTGACACGATTCAGTTGAATTTCAGTGGGTCCAGGACTGTTGAGCTGCTGGATCCCAGCTCTGGCGGGCATGTCGAGAAAGTTCGTAGGCATGTTCACGACCTGGTTACATGGCTAGAAGCCTGGTCCAGATATATGTTCGTACTATGCTCGCACGCACCCAGCCGTTTCTCCGAACTGATGGCATATCAGGCCACCATTGTATCGGCCAACTCCTCATACTATCCGGAGGCCTGGCTCGAATATGACCGGGAGTTCCGTCTGGCAATCTCTCTTGACCCCAGTAAGCGTTGGGACGCCATTGACGGCAATCTCTGGCAACTGAAAATGACAGGCCGCTCACGCCCGCAGTGTAGCACATGCCGGATCACTCACCCTCCATCGGGTAGCCAGTGCCCTTTTCGTGCCTCCCGAGTACCAAACCAGCAGTTTGCACCACGGTCTGCCTACACCAAGTCTGGCAAAGAGATCTGCCGGAATTTCCAGCAAGGTCGATGCTCCAACACCGACTGTAAATTTGCCCACGTCTGCTCCCAATGTGAGGGCGCACATGCCCGCCCCTCCTGCCCGCGTCGCTTCTCCACTGGCAACCAGCGGCAGAACAAAGCTTAATGAACTGCATCTCGATAGTAGCATTCTCCGGACACACCCTACATTCTTTCACACTTGCCGCACACCTATTCACGTTAATCGCCTCCGTTCCTTACTGCGTGCACACCCCGATCAAGCTTTTGTTAAATATGTACTTCATGGCCTTACGTATGGTTTTGACATCGGCTTCAATGGCCCACGCCAAACCAGCATGTTCTCCCCTAACTTACCTTCTGCGAGGATGCATCCCGATTTTATTACCAAATACCTGCAAGAATGTTGCTCCCGCTTTGAACTGCTAGGTCCTTTTTCCTCCTCGCTTTTTCCTTTTTTTCATTGCTCCGGTGTTGGCTGCGTTCCGAAAAAGAACGGCCGCTTTCGTTTAATCCACCATCTCTCTAGCCCAGAGGGTCAAAGTGTAAACGATGGAATTTCACGTGAAGATTTCAGCTTGCATTACATCACTATTGATCACGCGATCGATGCCATTATGCAGTACGGTCGTTCTGCTTATCTTTTCAAACTTGACATTCGGAGTGCTTTCCGCATTGTACCTGTGCGGCAGGAAGACTGGCCTCTGCTAGGTATTCACTGGCAAAACCAATATTATTTCGACACTGTGCTCCCCTTTGGCTTACGCTCCAGCCCTGCCATTTTTAACTCTATTGCCGACTGCCTTGAATGGATTGCTCGCTATGAGTTTTCTATTACTGACCTGCTCCATTATCTAGATGATTTCCTTTGCATTTCTCCATCGGAGCTGGTGGCGAACCAACGTGCTTCAATCCTGCTTCGCTGTTTTAACTATGTCCAAGTCCCCTTGGCACCTGACAAAGTGGAAGGTCCAGCTCAAGTGCTGTCGTTCCTGGGCATCGAGCTGGACTGTGGCAGACTGGAGGCCCGGCTACCAGACACCAAGTTGCAAGATCTCCGCACCTTGCTCGACCAGTATGTCAACCGTGGCGACATGACCCAACGCGAACTCGACTCACTATTGGGAAAACTCTCCTTCGCAGCTCGGGTAATTATACCTGGTCGGACATTCATGCGCCGACTCTGGGATATTTGTCACCGCTACAGTCAGCCACACTATAAGATCAAACTCTCAGTCGAGGCCCTGGAAGACCTGAAGTGGTGGCAACGCCTCCTCTCGCAATGGAACGGAAAGTCCTTCTTTCATATGCCAAATTGGACCCCGTCTCCCGACATCCAATTGTTTACCGATGCCAGCGGTTCGATCGGCTGGGGCGCATGTTATGGCCATCGCTGGATCCAGGGACAGTGGTTGCCGGAACAAGCCGACTACTCCATCGAGTGGAAGGAGATGTTCGCCATTGCCGCAGCTTGCTCCTCCTGGGGCCTTGAATGGCGCAAGCTCCGCATACTCGTGTACTGCGATAACGAAGCCGTAGTGGCATGCCTGTCCAATGGTTGTAGCCGCTCCCCCCCAGTCATGGACCTGATACGACGGCTATTCTTCATGTGCGCTAACTTTGGCTTCATTCTGTCAGCAAAGCATATTCCAGGATGCACTAACAAAGCCGCTGATGCTCTGTCTCGTTTTAACATGCAGGCGTTTCGCGAGGCGGTTCCGGGAGCTCGGGCGACAGCCGACCTGTTCCAGTCATTCTAACTGCCGCGGACGAATTAGCAGCACGATATGCTGCTCACGCTCTATCCGACAACACCAGACGAACGTATTCCGCCGGCGAATCTAAGTATCTCAAGTTCTGCCAACTTCAAAGATGGTCCCCGTTTCCCGCTTCAGACCTAATGCTGAGTAGTTTTGCTGCCTCCCTAACCCAGTCGGTCAGACCAGTGACTATTAAGGTTTACCTCAGTGCTATCAAGAACCTGCACCTGGAGCTCGGTTATGTCGACCCGACCGAGGGCGCGCACTTCCTCAAGCGAGTGGTACGCGGTATTTGCCGTTGCCATGGAGTAGCCGCTGTCCGCCCCCGGCTGCCAATCACGTTTCCTATTCTCTGCAGTCTGGTTGACACCTGCCTAGCTGCTCCAGCCATGTGCCCTCACGACAAGCGCTGCCTGCATGCCGCTATGCTTGCCGTGTTCTTTGGTTTCTTCAGATGCGGTGAACTGCTAGAAGCACCTACCACGCGCGGCTGTTTGACATTCGAGTCAGGGATGCTCCATGTGCACCTACCACGCTCGAAGACAGACCCGTCCGGGGAAGGTACGACGGTGCTGATCGGGCCAGCGGTGCCGCCATACTGCGCTGTGAGAGCCATGCTCACCTACCTCACTGCAACCGCCTCTGCTCGTCCAGGCAGTGCTGTGTTCATCCTGGCCAACGGGCAACGCCTCAACCGCAGCACTTTTACAGCCCACGTACGCACGCTGCTTAGCACCAGCGGCGTGGCAAACTGGCAGGACTATGCAGGCCACAGCTTCCGTATCGGGGCCGCTACCACTGCTGCCCTTGCTGGCGTCCCCGACCACCAGATCCGCTCCGCGGGACGGTGGCGCAGTGATGCATGCCTACGCTACATCCGGACACCACCGTCATCGGCCCGAACGCTGGCCAGCAAACTATCCTCAGTAAGATCATCTCCCTGACACCGATGTTTCTCAATTCACACAATTCCCTCATAATGAACTATGCTATGCTGCACTGCAATACTGTTGTGTATGGGTATGTACTGGCGGTATGGCGAGTCACTCATAACTGGTCTGCCTTTCTATTGCGGCATTATGGCCTTATGGTCCTGCCTTTCCATTGCGGCAATCACAGCCTCCGGGCTTCTGCCTTCCTGCGGCAATCACAGCCTCCGGGCTTCTGCCTTTCTGCGGCACTCGCAGCCTCACGGGCTCGTGCCTACCTTGCGGCAAAGACCAACCAGTTCCTCGTCACCAGTACTTACCCAACACAACCTAGCCTTATTCGTGTGGTGTATGCCTGTCTGCATGCCGTCTGTGTGCGCGGAATGCTAATGATGTATGCCTGCCTGCATGCCGTCTGCGTGCGCGGAATGCTAATGATGTATTCATGTAATGAATTCAGTTTAGCGTAGGCGCACATCTCGCAACTACGTATCTGCTGCGCTACAGCGCCCTCTACGGTTCTGGCCGCGGCACTTGTTTAGCGCGCCTTGCCGCGACCGGCAAGACCGCCTGCTGTGCATCACATTAATTTATGCGTGCGCCATCACAATAATTAATTTAGTTTTGATCGGGTCCGAGTCCGCAACGTGGCACATCTCCTTGCCATTCTCAGTTTTGAGTCTTCTCTGCTTTGGCTCATGCCCGACTTGCATCCTGCTGCCTTTGTCTTTTGCTGACCCACCATCCCACCACTAACCATTAATACTACATTGCATCATTCCTACTTCAAGTACAATAAACCTGGTGGCGAGTCACTCATAACTGGTCTGCCTTTCTATTGCGGCATTATGGCCTTATGGTCCTGCCTTTCCATTGCGGCAATCACAGCCTCCGGGCTTCTGCCTTCCTGCGGCAATCACAGCCTCCGGGCTTCTGCCTTTCTGCGGCACTCGCAGCCTCACGGGCTCGTGCCTACCTTGCGGCAAAGACCAACCAGTTCCTCGTCACCAGTACTTACCCAACACAACCTAGCCTTATTCGTGTGGTGTATGCCTGTCTGCATGCCGTCTGTGTGCGCGGAATGCTAATGATGTATGCCTGCCTGCATGCCGTCTGCGTGCGCGGAATGCTAATCATTGTAAATACCATGACAGGAGAAGGAACAGAGAGTCATTGCATTGTTCCCATATGGTATTCCCCTCGGAGTTTCATACAAGACCCTCACACTATTCACGTGAGCAGGTATATTGACAGGGGCGTCGGACACGGTACGGTCACTACGGTATCGACCATGCCACGTTTTGCCCCCAGGTAGTCTGTAACTAAAAAATACACTGATCTGGGCTCTAAATTTCCAAAATGTTCAGCCTAGCACCCCCTCCCCCTCGAGTAAATTGTATTTCACATGGCTGACCGTACCACACTAAAATACCTTCCGACGCCCCTGATTGGTCAGTCAGAAATCCATACGTTTGTGTATTGACCTTGTTGACTACATTCTCCTGCTATTCAGCTGGATTTGCGAGAGTGTCATGCAATCCTCCATGGTAAGCACACATGCTCTTTCCCCGGATACTTCAAATTCAAACCTCAGGTTGCTAGGTCATTCGGCAAATTGCCACCATCAGGATGCAATATGAAGTGCAGATCTGCGAAGAATCAGTTCTATACAATAAATTATTTTTGAATAAACTTGTTTTCTGGTATTTCGTTGCCTTCAACTTTCTCTCTGCTTCATATTCACGTAAACAGCGCTTCCAAGGGCCAGTGCTCAAAGTCCCCATGTCGATGGTGTTCAAAACACAGCTGCGTCACTGATAGTCAATATGCAGTATGCCGGTGATCCTGCAGTACCCTCCACCAACATAACATGGACAAGGGTAAGCATTTGGGGTGCCGTGTGGTACTGGTCAGAGAATTCAAACTAATTTCAAATGATGGGGGGGGGGATCCTCCAAAACACTGCGCATTGAGCAGGGATTGGCGCTTTCTGGCAGGTTTGCCGAGTCGAAGGTTTGATGGACTTCTTGTGTGCTCTGGACGGCAGTCGCGAGTCAGCCTAGCGTCACGTCAAGTCGGCGGAAAGGGGCGAGCTCCAGTGTGGGAAGCAACCATTTGCTATGGAATTCAACCCCAATAAAAATATGTGTCTGGCAATATGCAGCCCTAGCACTCGAATGCGGTGCTGCCATAATCAAGAGGTCGAACCTCTTTGGCCAGAACTGCACTTTGCTGTACTCATACAATGATGTAACTAACCAGTAACAGTCTGGAATGGTCTTATCTCCATGCTAACAGGACATCAACGGCTCATGGGTGAGCCTGCCCGTTGCCAATCAGACTCCAGATCGTCTTAATTACACCATCACCAGCACAAACTACTCGGATGCTGGTTTGTATAGAGTTCAGCTGCATAACACAGCAGGCGGTGTGAGCATCATCTTCAATGTCACCTACACAGGTAAGCATAAATGCAGTCCTGCAATGACAAACACAATGCGAAGCACCTACAAATTTTCATTCAGCCTGCAGAGGTCCGAATGTGTTGTCACATGTTGTGTCAAATTTCCAGGGCAAGGAGGACCCCAGGCTGAGTTACTACTGAGCTATGATGACTCCTTTAAAATGTTCATTGGTTTGAGGGAAAGATGCAAAATGAATGTGAATGAATGAATGTGTTGTTTGAGGCGGCGGCAGAGAAGACGGGTAGAAGGGAAGTGGCAGGACCATCACACCAGCTTCATGCAAAGGGTATTGTTCAATGCCTGTATTGAGCACTGTCGCATGTGTTCTTTTTATACATATCCTTTTTCACTTTTACTTTCCTGTTGCAGTTGTTCATGCCAAGGAAAACACAATGAGACATTTCAATACCTAATCTTTTTTAGGGCTTATTCTTCAAATGAAGGGAGGGGTAAGCGGCTGTTGGACTTTCACAATGCGCCTCAAAAATATCCATGTATATCTGCTCTCCTCTTAGAACCAGCGTTGATCCTCTCCCAGCCGTCGAGCATCACACTGAATGAAGGAGAAACGGCGACATTCACCTGCACAGCCACTGGTGTGCCCAGACCAACCATCACATGGCAGCTGGATGGAGTTAACATTACCACATCATCGGACATCTCCATCGCATCAACGGAGTACAATGGTGCCTTGCTGCGGCCAGAAAGCTTTGGACTGTCTTCTACCCTGGTCATTTCAGATATCACGTACAATGGGCATCAAGGCAATTATACTTGTGTAGCATCCAATATAATAGGCAAATCCAACAGCCAAATGGCATCTTTGATAATTCACGGTATGTTCTATGTGTAGTGGAGGATTTTGCATGCCGAATAGTTCTGCACTGCTGTGGTCAGCTGTAGTGGCATGGTTTCCAATCTTTATTCTCCCCATGGCCTGAGGCCAATAAGAGAAAAAATAATGCGATCTACATCTTATGGAGGGTTTGGAATGCTTGACTAAGGACTTTGTATGATAATCCGTGGATGAACAAGGCGTACGGGTGAGCATGGCTTGTGTATGTGCAGATTAAGTTGAGCAGCAGGGATGAGTTATTTTGCATCAACAGGATTGGTGATTGAATATCGCGTTGACGTGTCTAATAAGGCATTGTTCAAGTCATTTGAAATCATGTTCTTGCCAATGTCTGGGTTGCTCTTGCCTGCAGTTCCGCCAGACGAAGAGAATCCGCAAGCCAATGTAGCCACTGCCGAAGGGGCTAGTGTTACGCTAGTGTGTGGGATTGTTGGTATTCCCTCACCTAGACTAACCTGGCTCTTCGATGGACAGGTAAGATAGTGCCTTGTGTCCGCTGCTTGTTCATGTCTTGTTTCCCTTCAAAGACTGAGTGTCATTCAGAAGACTGAGTGTCCTTCAGAAGACTGAGTGTCGCTCTTACCCATTTCCATTATTCCTGTGCCTCCCTACCAAACATATCAGTGTTACACTTTACCTCCCTTCAGTCCGTCAATAGACATATTTTCCTTGTACCGATAGAGGATATGCAATGAAGTCAAATCCACCTTATATGGAAGCTAGCTGAGTGGTAAAATGCCTATTTTGAAGTTCAATGCGTACGGGAAGAATTTGATTAGCAAACATACTATGTGGTGTGTTTTGCACGTCCTCTATGGTCGTGTAAATGGCCCATCAATGCAGCACACGTCTTGTACTGGATGCGACGTTTGCGAGCTGTAGCTTGGTCGTACCTGTAACCTTAACCCATCCTAGGACCTGTAGTCCCTAAGCCCTAGTTGAGGGACGGGTGTTCGTGTAGTGGGCGCTTCCTTGCTATGCACATGGATTGTGGAACCGGTCTGGCAAGGTTAGGCCATAGTCGTATCAACCTTTTGGCCACCGTCACCTATTTCTACAATTGTATAGCAGATAGTAGCGAGAATATGGGAACTTTGTTTTTTTATTTTACAAATGTCTACTGCTAAGTTGGCCATGTATACCCACCGTACCACGCACAGTGAAATAGGCTACGGTATAATCGGGGCCAGTAAAAAACTGATTCCGCCGCTCCTGCTGCATGTATCTACTGTCTGGGACATTAAAATCCGATGGAACGACCGGGGCCAGTGACCCTACTGCCTTAGCGCGTTCACGCACTGTAGTTCATTCCTGTACACGCTGAAAAAGATTGACCAGCCACCGAGCACACGCCCGCAGCAGGCCTGTGCTCGGTGGCCGCTTGACTTCTCAACGGATTCCAATGCCCACAACAGTACAGTACAAAACCATGTGTTAACAATGTCAAGTTTTTTTACTTTGAACTGTGTACTGTGTCTGTGTACTATCTCCCTTGTCATGGATGCTGCAGCATATTTTCAGCACAATTGCTTATTTCCAAGGTCGTATCCAACTGTTAGACACCGGTCGTAATATGACGCTGAGCGACGTTCGGTTTTCTGACCGGGGTATGTACCAGTGTGTTGGCGATAACACGGACAGCAGTGGCGCTCTTGGTGGGTCTGCCAACGGCACGGAAATCAAACTCAGTGTGTATGGTGAGTACGACATAAAAGGTAGAAGAATGAGAGTTTTTACTTATTTTTTATATCCAGGCCAAAATATCAAGACTTAACTACCACGAGCGACGTGCATCCTATGAAAAGCTTTTTATAGTAATTTGTCAGATTTTTCACACATTTGAGAGGATGATGATGATGAGAAGAAAGTGTCTGCTCAAAACGTCAGAAAATCCTGAAACTTCAACCCTGTATACGAATCGCGTCCGCATTTTGTGCAGCCGGTTTGCGAAATGTTTTGATTAACGACTTGCTCAGTTCAGTTTTTATGTACTCGCACATCTCAAGTATGAAGAAAGTGTCAGCTCCAAATGTCAGAAAATCCTGAAAATTCATTTTGAATCTGTCTGATGTCCGTTATCGGTATCATTTTGTGCAGCAGGTTTGCGACACATTCTGATTCATGACTTGCTCATTTCAGTTCTCTGTACTCGCACAGCTCAAAGTAATACATACAGAGATTGAAGTACACCTGCACCGATTCCCATACTCTGACAGTTGTCCAGTGAACTCTGGGAACCAAAAACGCTTCGTGACTTCGATCGGCCTGTCAGCTCTTGTAATTTGAGGTCTCAGGAATTGAGCGATGGTGACTCCGAATGTGACTGAAAATGGTGCCAGTTTTTTTTTCAATAGTGTACATACTTCTCAGAGCATATCCACCCAGTTTTTTTGAAGTGCTTTTGTTCCACTCCACCTAACATGTCTTGTCTTGGAGTGGGAGCAAAATGACACTAAATGTTTGTTTCCAGAGGTTGTGTGTGCACATTGTGGACAAGTGCATGCATACATGTTTGTGTATATAGGCAGCCCTATGGGGTATTTGGACATGATTCAATGTGATTTGTGCTTGTAATTTCCATATGCCCAGTGTCCCCGGTAATCATCGACAGTCCCGGTAATCTGACCGTGAATGAAGGCAACGATGCCAACCTCACCTGCTCGTCCTACGGATACCCAATGCCTAACATAAGCTGGTGGTTTGACGGAATACTACTGCCGTCACCTGACTCCCAACAGGTTTTCACCACCACCGAGTCAATGTCTCAACCTGCAGTTGCGACCAGCATGCTATCAGTATCGTCCATTACATTTGCTCAGCGAGGGGCATACGAGTGCGTGAGTGAAGTCAGCAAGATCGGATTCATGGACGCGGACAGCTTGAGTGGCGCCGTCACCTCCAGTGGGTATCTAACAGTGCAAAGTAAGTGAGTGAGCGCTGATGTTGTCCGGACTGGGTTAGAGATCATCACCGGTGTTAGCCCCTGGGAATGAGTTGGTGTGCATTGCGGTGTCCTCGACCTTCCTGTCTTGCTAATATCAGCTAGCTTTGAGTTGTCAGTACCGTATCCGTGATCCACGATATTATTGCAGTATGGTTCTGATGAGCTGAATAGTTTACCACCCTTCAAGTCACACTCAATTGTTATTGGCAGTCGTTTGACTAGCCAGGGAATGTTGAATACATACAAATACAAATACAATTACAAAACAGCCAGAGCTGACAGTATGGTGTGTCTTGGTAATGCTGCTCCGTGTTTGCTGCACACAGCTGTGCCGCAGCTGCAGGCCATCACACCAGCTCTGGATGTGATGATCAACGGCAGCATCAATGTCAGCTGTTCTTTTAGCGGCTTCCCTGCGCCCGACATCACGGTTTCTGCTCCAGGATATTCACCGAGTGAGATCTACAACCTTTCCATGGTGGAGGTCAATCAAGGTAAGATTAAGCATGAAACAAAATGTCTCGTTTTCCATGAGACTCGGCTAGACTGAGTTTTCAAACTCCGAGTGCATGTGCATGTGCATGTGTGTGTGTTTGTGAATGTGTAGGTGTGTAAGTGATTTTTGGGTTTGTTTGCATCCACAGTTTGAAGTGCTCAGTTGCATTTACATGCTCTTGTCTCTGCCTGCCCATGCATTGATTCGGTCTTTTCCATTTACCCTCTATAGGCACGTTGTCCACCGGTATGCCTTGGCGTCAGGCAACACTACTTATATTGGGAGCCAGACGGTCAGACAATGGTTCATATACGTGTACAGCAGTGACACCAGCTGGAAACAAAACTCACGACACGTCTGTTACCGTCTACGGTAAGCTGTCCTTAGCTGTTCCCGTTTCAGTAATTCGCAGCAAGCCTTTCTTTTTAATGCGTATTTTCTAATGGCCCAGAAGCAGCATAAGACCAGTGTAATGGTGGGTTGTGTTTCTATGCTGAACAATTCAGCAGCCGGGTCTACTTCATGTTATGTACAGATCTTTCCAAGTGTAGCACAAAACATCAAAGACACATGGATTTCAATACTGGGCACTTCGGCTGTGATTGCTGGTCATGTCGAAATAGCTTGCCACAATTGGATGATGTAGTATCGTATGTCAATGTGGTGATATTATAGCACCCTTCCCTGCATAGGTCTTGTCACTTAGGCTGCTACTGTTCACACCTGCTTTCATGAACGGTTGCACTCTGCATTACTGGAGCTCTCGCGCCTTGCGCATAACGTTAGCACATTCACATGTCACCTTTCAAGCCGCCTTTGAAGCCTGCTTCCCTTTAAAGCCATTGCGTTTCACTGATCTATTCATTCTCATCTTTCAAAGAGTTGATCTGCCTTGAGCAGGACACAAAAGTCAATAGCCGTCCCCCCCCCCCCCCCAATTGTTTCTACTTGGTCATCTTTAGCAGACTTGCGTATAAACTTTTTTTATGGTGTTGCTGCTGACCCCATGCATATGCCGACACCGACTCGAAACCAAGGTGAAGTTGCGCCACTTACCATGATACACCCTTTCCCCCAAAGTCAGTAAGAGTTTTGGTTGTTAGCTCTAAGTTCAAACGTTTGCGCAAACACGGGGGGTCTCAACTGTGTTCCCTTTTATAGAACAGTAAAGGACCAAGCAATTACAAGTTACGCAATACCAAGTAACTGGAAGTGTTAGTGGACATTAGAGCGTAACTTGTTGTTCCTTGGTCCTTTACTCCTCTATAAATTTATCTTTGGCTGCTGTAAGTCAACAAACATTCGGTGCATATGTATTTTCGGCTATTTTCGGCCTGGTCATGTTTGGCCGAAAATTTGTTGCGGCCCAAATTTTGTTTTCCAATGTTCAGTGTGGCAGTGTATACAGGCGGCAGGAGTACAGGCCGACATTCTATGGAGCCGAAATGAATTTTAGCCCTGGGAGGCCGAAATTTGAATGGGACGAACATTTGTATACTTACAGTATCAATCTGTGTGAATTCTTGTTCCTTATTTGCCTATGTTTTTCTGTGCACGCTTTTAGAGGTGCCCGATGCTCCCACCAACGTGACAATTGTTCTAGATGCACTCCAAGCGCACACCTCCCATCTTGAGTGGGATGAACCAGCAGCAAATAACGCTCCCATCACAAGCTATGGAATAGAGTGAGGATCTCTCTGCCTTTGCTCATGGGCACTTTGGTTAAATGATACGTACGAGTAAAAGTTAGCTCTCAGCTGCTAAAGATAGGGAGGTCAACTGCCTAATCGCAAAAGTATTCTGCTAAGTTTAAACATACCTTTATCTCCTCTCGTAACTGTGTAGCTTGTACCGGAGTCAACTAATATTCAGCGCATATATATTTACGACTATTTTCGGCATGGTGTTATCTGGCCGAGAATTTGTTGCGTCCGAAATTTCGTTTTGCACGGTTCAGTGTGACAGTGTATACAGGCAGCAGCGGTACAGGCCGAAAATTCAGCGTGGCCTAAATGTGTTTTAGCCCTGGGAGGCTGAAATTTGAATGGGCGGAAAATTTGTTGACTTACAGTCGGTGGTTGCCTATCCACCTACCTTGTTTATGATGGGATTGAACCGCTGCTAAATCTGTGCCCAACGGATAAGCCTGCTTGCTGAACTGCTGCCTTTTATGTCCCTGATCTCTTGTAGGTTTGTGTACACTGATTGCTATGGAAACCGGACTGCAAATTTCACGACCACTCTGGGCAGCCAGCAGATTGCAACGTTTGATCTTCTGCCGTATCGGGAGTACGAGTTCCTAGTCCAAGCAACTAACCGCATTGGCACTGGTTTGTTCAGTCCGCCGCAAAGTTTGCTATCTCCCGAAGCAAGTAAGTGCAGTGCAGAAAGAAGGGGAATTCCCAGAAGCTCGCCCACACCAGGCGAGACCTGTAACTACAGTGTGATCATCATAACATTAGGTGAATCCTGATCAGACGCAGACCATGGAGCTATGAAGCCGAGACCTCTGGTCGGCTGAGCTTAATGGGCCACTATTCACCCCAGCGTCTGGAGGTATGTGGATTTTTGTAGAAAAAAAAGACTTGTTGAGCACCATTGGTCAGAATGCAGTATTCTACATATTTGTATTTGTTTGCATGAGATCTAGTTTTCTGCCCCCGCCCCACCCCCTCCCCCTGCATCCTGTCATTGCTGTGCTGTTCGAATCCTGTTCTATTTTCTGCAACAGGGCCCACTGCAGCGCCGTCAAACATATCGGTTGATGTTATCAGCTTTGACTCAGTCAATATCTCATGGGCAGAGCTGGATTGCCACAGCGAGAGAGGAATCATCCACACATTCATCATTCTGTACAAGAATATTGAGGTACGCACTTACTCAACCGCTTACTCGTGCTCTTCTCAGTCATTTCACTGGCGGAGCTGAGCGGCGGGAAGTCATTGGTGGAGACTCCCTCGATTTAGGATAAGGCCTGTGGAGAATCCATAAATACGAATACAAATGCTGTTTCGAGCCATAGAGGTAATGCGATTACATCAGGAGTTGAGATGCTTTAGCAAAGTCACGGCACGGCGATGCACTATCAACTCCCGCCGTATGCATCGCGCCCAGTAGCAGCTTTGCTGACTCGCCCTATATACGTAGCACCCATAAAGTGGTTCCGCTAGTTCATCACCATGACATCATGTCCATAACCTATACACCATTAGCGCCATGAATCCATAGCAAGCCTGGGTTTTGGTTGGCTGGATGCAGACAGACAACTTGATTAGAGTCAGATTCGACACAACACAATTACAGGCAATTGAGACCATTGCCCAATTCCTCCGTGCGTATCATTACTTCTTGCAGTAGCACACGGGAAACCGGCTGCTTCTGTGCTTCTTCCTTCTGTGAACTTCTCTTACACACTGTGTGTCTGTGTGTATGTGTGTGTATGTGTGTATGTGTGTGTGTGTGTGTGTTTGTGTATGTGTGTGTGTGTATGTGTGTGTGTTTTTGTGTGACAAAATGCGACACTATTCTGTTTGAGCAGAACAACACCGATGACGTTTCTTATGCCTCTGGAAACACATCACTCACAGTTGTGTCTGGCCTGGATGCATTCACAATGTACGAATTTGAAGTGGCAGCAGAGAATAATGCAGGTAGAGGGCCATTTAGTGCCCCAATCCAGGCAAGAACTCTTACGATCGGTGAGTTTGCTATCCTGTGAAGAAGGAGCCATGTAGATTTGGGAGGCAATGTCCTCGCCGCTGCTCTAGAGCCTTTGAGTACGTTTCGAAACCTTTGCTTGAGACAATCACTTGAACAATTGATGTGAAATGGGTTGGGTAACTTTCAGACTTAGATCCTCGGTCATGGCCTGTCTTGTAGACCTCATTCACTCCCATCTGACCTAGTTCTGCACCTGCAGCTTCACGTGACTACCTCAGTTTGGGTGTTATATGTCTCAACATAGCTCAGATCTTTCTAAGGAGTAAATAGCCTCATTTAAAGTTTTATAATTTATTGCAGTGAGTATAAGGCCAATGTATAGAGAGAATGGGTGTTAGCCAACCACAGCAGATAAACAGAGATGTGCCTGTGTGTGTGTGTGTGTGTGCTCGTGTGTGCATTCATGCATGCGTGCGCGTGTGTGTGTGTGGTGCCAACTCGGTTGCGGCAGTACCAGTGCCGGCGAGGACTCAGCTAACACTACCCTGCTGCCAGGCTTATTGCAGCGCATGTGGCAGATGCTGCCAATCAAAGAGGGGTTTTCAACTCCACCGCTGCGCAAAGTATACCCGAACTCTCGTTGGCCGCTAGCCTGCGGAGCGTGCTGCGCACCGTATTCAACGACCTACCCCATGTCTGTCGGCCCCTCGTATGAGGGGACATGTGATCGTTTTACGGCAATGTTCAGGACAGGACAGTGTGTGTGTGTGTCTGTGAAGAATGCAGTGGTGGGAATTGCGGATTGGCTGGTGGAGTGCTGGAACAACTCGTTGTTTTCAGTGGAGTGGACGAGCGAGTGCGGAGAGGAAGGTCCCAATGGCGGAATGGTGGGAATTGAAACTTCAATCTTTCGTCGTCATGAGTGCACTGGTCAAGCGTTGTGGAAGTCTGTCGGATTTGTGAGGCCTTGCCCTGCCGCTTACATCGTCAACGTGGAAGAACTGCTAGTGGAGTCCTGGTGGGATTTCGGATGCCCACACTCCTTTTGCTTGGTGGATTCTTTCGTGGACAGTGTTTTTTCGTGACGTGGAATTTTGAATTTTTTTTTCCTTCCTGTTCATTTGCAGTCGTTGTCACTGTAGCTGTCAGGTTGTTGTTACAGTACAGCAGTCGTCCGTTCTGCTCCATTGTTTCATCTGTTTTGCCAGTTCTGCTAGCTGATTCTATTTATTTGCCACTGCCCCTCATAGTGCTCATGCTTGAGTGGAGGGCGGCGTGACCCGTTTAGGGTAGCTGTATCATAGTAGTAGTAGTAGTGTGTCTGTGTGTGTGTGTGTGTGTGTGTGTGTATTCTCATGCCTTGCAAAGGTAACTGGCTGCCGCCGGAAGCCCATGCAGCCCAGAGTAGACTGATCGGAGTGGAAAACCAAGATGTACTTCTCTCAATCAACCTGACCTTTCCTGGCCTGCCACCGCTATCTACTAGTAATATCACTTGGAATAAGGTGAGTGCTCATCTGTTGAGTTATAAGTGTGGTGTAATCGATGTTATCGCACCCCACGTGAGTGTTTCCATGGTTTGAGCCAATCAGCGGCCTTACTGAGCGTGCAATATTCCCCAGTACACCGCCAGCCAATGTGGATGCACTGCAGTGCGATATTGCACCCCGGCGAGTGAGCGTGCAAATAACCTATATTTGCACGCTCACTTCGAAGTGAGCGTGCAGATATAGGTTATTTGCACGCTCACTCGCCGGAGTGCAATATCGCACTGCAGTGCATCAACATAGTCATTGGCTGGCGGTGTACGAGTACTGGGAATATTGCGAGTCGCTCCGCCAGGCCAGGGAGTCGCTGCTGACTTGCTGCAGCACACCAAAATAATTGGTCGAGGACGCTGTCGATGTCACGGAAGCGAATGTGGACCCGGCTTGCGTCCGCCAAGTCAACTACTTCACAAGCTCCGTGAGAGTCGAGACAGCGGACGCCCAAGTATTGGAGAAGACTGTCGACAGCCGATTTGAGAAACTGTCCGACGCCGCCATCGAACAGCCTCGTTACTGAGCAGAAAAACAAAAACACAGAGCAGGCAACTGACAAATGGCTCCGCTTATTCGACGAGTAGTAAAGACACAGGACGTCGCTGTGACCTGAGTGCGGTTACGGCAAGCGACCTAGCTTACATTCTGCGACATGCATAAGTCGAATTGCGTCCGAAGAAAGCTGGAGTGAAGTTCTACTCTGCATCAAGCTTGCTCGGTTTCCGTTCCGCAATACATCGCAAGCTAGTCGAGTTGAAGCGGCCCATGAACGTCCACAGCGACCCAGCGTTCAAGGGCGCGAACATTGCATTGAAGGCCTTCCTCATGATTCATGAAGCCAAAGAAAGCGGGAGAAGTCAAAGCGGTGGAGCACAAACACCCCATCAACGACGACGACATGAGCAAGCTGTCCCGCTACTTCCAGGATCAAACCGTGATAGACAGCAGCTACTTGAAAGAAGTGTTCCTCTAAAAATGAACGCGACTGGTTGTGCTGTGTTGTATGACTGTGAAATGATAGCAGGATTGCATGCAGCATGCTACAGGGTTGCATGCACCAGACTGTGTCAAGTGTGTGGTGACAGACTGTGTGGTGGCAGGGGTGCGATACATGTATTACTGCACTCGGACGCGTGCAATACCGGCGTCGATATCTGCACTTACGGCTTCGCCGTTCGTGCAGATATCAGCCGGTATTGCACTGGTCCTTGTGCAGTAATACATACTTACTACATCAGAGCCATGATGTAACTGATGTCCCTATATCAGAACAATGATGACATTGGATCATATCGACAATGTATTAGTAACCCATGCCACTGCACCATAGTGCTTGCTATCGGAGTTGTTTTGTTTTACAAAATCCCGAACAGGAATTGGGAAAGGGCTGGGGGTTCAGGTTTTAAGTAGGGACATGGCTTTGTAAAGCGTCCACGTTTGATGTTACTGCATTGTACTTGGTTTTCTGTCCAATCAATGAAATTGACTTGTGCAGGGCAGAATACGATAGAATTTAGATTGGCTGGGAGTGCAGGAAAAGATGACGGAAGGAACATGATTTTGAGCACGCCCATAGTTCTTCTCAGGACAACCAACCTGAACGTCCTCCGCTGAGTCTGCTATGTACTAAGTTCTGTCTCTGACATTAAGCACTCTCTGCAGCTCGGGGATCAACAGATTTCTTCTTCTTCAACTGTAATCTACAGATTGATAGGTCTGGGAACCTTACCAGTGAGACCGCTGTTAACTCCAGCATCTCCTCGGATGGCCTGACACTGAACATTCATAGGATGCACTACACAGACGCTGGAATGTACATCGTCTATCTGAGACATTCTGCAGCCGTGCTCGAAATCAATTACACTGTACTCTATGAAGGTGAGCGAGCATGGCAGGCTGTGGTAATCCAATGGTTTTTAAACTCCTGCTGAACTTGTTCCAGGCAGTGCTCCTGCAGGTTTACCAGCCTGAGAGATATGGACTAATTTTCCTCTTAATTTCCATCGCATATGTTGTGTGTGTGTTTGTGTGTGTATTGGAGTACCTGTGATTCAGTATTGTCGTTCGGATAGAAACCGGCCGCATTTCGAATGTATTTACGGAATGTGCTCATCTCTTTGTGTACAGAGCCTGCCCATGTAGTCAGTGGACCTGACGGTCAACATGTCAATACGGGTGTCAACGTGACGCTTGCATGCATTGCACGCGGCAATCCGGCACCATCCCTTGCCTGGTTGTACAACGGCACCGCTCTGCCTGGGAGCATGTCCATTTTTGGACCCCACAGCGAGGCCAGTATTACTGATGAAGGCAGCATGGCGATCAAATCTACTCTCGTTCTGCATGGTGCGACCATCGCAAGCAGCAATGGCACCTACACGTGCACGGCTGAGAACAAACATCTGCCGAGCGCGTCGGCATCGGCAACCGTCAACATTTACGGTACGTCCTCTTTGGCTTGATGTACGCCCACAATGCATCGTGTGTTTCGTGGCAATGTGCACGCTTGACAGCCACCCAGACAAAGCTATGAGCATCTACAGTCCATTTCAAAAACTATAGACGCGTAGAGTTTTGCAAAATTCGATGGGATTTATTTAAATATTTTTAGTTTTTCTCCAGATTCCGTCTCTGCATCGCTTCACAATTCTGGCTATATACTTTGTTTTCGCTACAATTGAAGTTTATTTTTAGGCCAGGTTTTCCGGTTTTACATGAAATTTCTGTTTTGAAGGGTTTGACCAGTTTGTTTTAAGGGTTTGACCAGTTTGTTTCGGATTTTTGATCCTGCTGAGACAGTGCTGCGCCCAGACCATCGCGGGTGCATTTTTGCAATTTTTTCCATTTTTGTACGGGTCCTGGTAGCCTCGTGGTTTCGATCCGTGACTTCCAGTACAAGTGTGGGGCATTCGAATCCCATCACGCCTCCTGCCTTTTTTCTCTTCTTTTCTGCATGTTTGGATCTTGTTGGGTGACATACAGTAGAGATGATAATTATATTTTCTCTTTTTGATTTGATTTGAGCCTCTCTGTTCCCTTCGCCTGGCACAACGAGTGGCAGTGGTTTCACTCACGCTAGTTGCAAGGTAGGTGAGTTCGACGACGAGGATTTCGGATACTCAAGCGTCAATCAAAATCCAGCTCTTGTTCGAAGAAACAATGAACACTACGAAGTAGTGGTTGTGACTTCGGCGATGATTTGTAAGAAAGGGTTTGCTCCGACTAATCATATATTTCTCGGCATCACTGACATTCTTACGGGCCTTGGAAGCCATTACAGTCACGCACTCAGAAAATGCAAGCAAGAAGATTCATTTGCGGCTTTCATTTCTTTTGAGACTTTCCTCACACCTTTTCATTTGCGACTTTGCGTGTTTTGCATCTTTTGTATTTCCCGCGGCGACGAAGAAAAACCTGAAAACACATCTGAAAACCAGAAAGCACTCATGCAAAACTCACGGCTGTCGTGCGCTACAGTATGTACGGCTCGTACGTATGAGTTCACACGTCTATAGTTTTGAAATGGACTGTAATGATATTGTGTTGACTAGAAAACGCAAGGGAGTTGTTTGTTCCCACACTTGAGCTCCCCAATTTCCTGCCGACCTGACTTGACACTCTATGTACGTCCAACCGATTTCCTTATAATATCTTCGCAGAGGTCACTACAACTATGTCATAGAGTACACGGGTCATTTATTATACAAATCGTACTGAAACTATTCCTAATTGAAACATATTCATTAGTTAAGGGAATGGAAATAGGAAAGTAATAAATAGTTCGTTGCTAACTTGCTGAATTCTCTCTTTCTTTGTGATTCCTTCTGGCTTCCATAGTACCACCATTGGAGCTGTCCGGACCAGAGAATAGTAACATTGTCATCGGATCATCTGCTCACTTCGTATGTGACATGTATGGAGTAGGCGAGCCACAGTTAACCTGGTATTACAATGACACTGTGGTGAGTGGCCATGGGTGTCAATGAATGTGTGTGTGTGTGTGTGTGTGTGTGTGTGTGTGTGTGTCTTTAATTTTTCATATACAATGTGCACATCCCTACAAAATAATAGGAGTAATAAAATAGACAAAGACAAAATACAAAGACACAAAGGAGTAGTAGGTACTACAAGAGCTGTGCTGGTCAGGCGCAGTGCACTCCTCCGACGATTTCGGTCTCGGATTCGACATGGACTGTGTGTGTGTGTGTGTGTACGTATGCATGTGTGTGTACGTATGCATGTGTGTATGTGTGTTTGTGTGTGTGTGTGTGTACGTATGCATTTTTGTGTATGTATGTATGAATGTATGTATGTGTGTGTATATGTGTGTGTGTATGCGTGTGTGTGTGTGTGTGTGTGTGTGTGTGTGTGTGTGTGTGTGTGTGTGTGTGTGTGTGTCCTTGCTTTGGGTGGGGACAGTTTGAGTTTTTTTTGCTCTCTGTAAGTCTTCCTCTCCTGACTGTTTCTGGACATAGTGAGACAGGCCTGGGCGGCCTGGGGCCTCCCCAGCCGTCCAGGATAACATACTGAGGCGGGAATATCGGCGGCGGACTTGGTCGACGATTTTTGATGTCGACACTCTTGTCGTCGTCCCGTTCTCGGATGCCTTCGCGAGGCGTTGCGAGCCCGCGAGTGGTGACATCTACAGCATAAAGAAAACGACAGCATGGAGTATTCAGCATAGGCTCTTGGAACGTACGCTCTCTGGTTGAGAGTGAGGGCCACATTCAGACGGCTGCCGCGAGTGGAATTGTTGCCGACGATAAAAAAATTTATCAAATTGTACAACATCTGGAATGCTTGGAGATGGACGCCGCTGCTCTTCAAGAGACCCACTGGTTTGGTCAGGAAAACTATCAAGTCCACGGAGCAATGGTCATTGCTTCGGGTCGGCCTGTGCCTGGGGAAGGAGCGTCCAGACGGCGAGGTGAGGGCGTTGCGTTTGTGCTGAGGGGAAATGCGCTTCGGGCCTGGCGCGAAGGGGGTTGTCAACTCGTCGCAGTATCCGCTCGGTTGTTGTCCATACGCTTGAAGTTTGATCTGGCGAGTGGAGAGGTTGAATGGATGTCGCTGGTTACAGCTTATGCGCCAACATTCAAAAGTAAGCGCTGTGAAAAGGATGCGTTTTATGACTCTCTGCAAGGAGTACTCAACTCAATACCGTGCACAGATAAATTTGTTCTACTTGGAGATTTCAATGCCAGAGTGGGGTCTGGAGAGCCAGGTGATGATTGGAGCGCTGTGCGTGGCTCACATGGCTTGGGCTGCCTGAATTCGTCTGGAGAGGAGCTACTTCAGTTTCTGGCAATGCATCAATGCTGGATCGCGAACACCTGGTTCAGGAAAAAGCAGGAATTGAAAGGCACTTGGCAGCATCCCAGAACTAAACATGTCCATTGTATTGACTTCATCATCACAGCGCAAGGGAGCCGGCACTGGTGCACTGATGCTCAGGTTATTCGCTCGGCAGAATGTGGGAGCGACCATAGTCTTGTTGCCGCCAGGTTTAGGCTCGGCAGGGTCTTGTGGAAACCGCGGAAATCCACAAAGAGAGTACGATTTGCAGTGCATAATCTGCCCGCAGTGGTTTCGACAGATGCTGAGGGAAACCACCGGAGGAAGGTTGACGACTACCAGGAAAACATCAATGCCAAGATTGATGCAGTGGCGGACGCGGAAACGGTAGACGAGAAATGGAATGCGATGCGGGACGTGGTGACGGCGGCAGCTGCGGACACTCTCGGTCATCAGAGGAGACGGCAGCCTGATTGGTATACGGAAAGCCAGGACGGGCTGCGGCCACTGCTGGACGCGCGCAATGCATGCTATCGAACATGGATCACTAGTGGCCGGAATCAGGAAGAGTATTCGCGCTACCGTGTTGCGCGCACGAGGGCTCGCGCTGCCACCCGAGCTGCGAAGAATGATTGGTTTGCTGTCATGGCACAACGTACTGAGAAGGGGCGCTTTGACTCGGCGCGCATTTGGGCCGGTATCAAGACCATGCAGACGGCTCGGCGAGGGCTTGTGGGTGTAACTGCAGTCGCTGTGCGGGACGAGAACGGAAATGTCTGTAATTCACCGGCGGATCAGGGCCGCACATGGCACCGTCACTTCTCCAAGGTTTACAATGTTCCAACCTCGTATGAACCTGCAACTGTTGCCACCATTGAGCAACAGGAAGTGTGTGAAGACCTCGCCGATCCACCTACTCTGGAAGAGCTTAGGCAAGCTGTGCGCCGACTACGGAACGGAAAAGCAGCAGGAGGCTCTGGAATCTTACCGAAACTGCTGAAGGCTGGTGGGGATGGCCTCATGATGGCACTACTAGACCTTGTCCAGACAGTGTGGAATGCAGAGCGGGTGCCCCAGGAGTGGGTGGACTGCCAGCTTGTCCCGATACCAAAAAAAGGAAATCTATCCAGCTGTGACAATTGGAGGGGCATCGCTCTTCTGGAGGTGGTAGGAAAGGCTGTTGCTGGCCTCGTCCAGACAAGATTGCAGCGGCTCGCGGAAGACATCCTACCAGACACGCAGTGTGGATTCCGCAAAGGCAGATCTTGTGCGGACATGATCTTCGCGGTGAGACAAATATCTGAGAAACTAGATGAACATCGCTGCTCTGGTTTCATGGTTTTTGTTGATCTACGGAAGGCCTATGATTCCGTCACCCGTAAGTGCATGTGGGAAATTCTCCGGAAGGCGGGCGTACCTGACAAGCTGGTTACCATTATCAGCTCATTTCATACCTCTATGTCTGCAAACCTGTCGATCCCGGGCATCGAGGCCGAGCCTATTGAGGTGCAAAATGGCCTTCGACAAGGTTGTTGTATGGCCCCAGTATTGTTCAATATATTCATGTGGGCAGTATTCCAGCTGTGGCAGCGTGAGGTTGCGGACATACTTGAGATTGGACTTCCCGTCTCCTCTAACTCTGGACCGTCTCTCCTTTTCAAACGCCAGAAGACTGACACAATCAACATCCATCGTGACTGTCAATTCGCAGACGATTCGGCACTTATTGCTACAACTCACCATGGTGCCACACTTGCGCTCAGCCGGTTCATGGACGTCGCAACTCGCTTCGGCCTCACCATCAACCTATCAAAAACCAAAGTAATGGCGGTCGGCTTCGGCATTTCTCCGGAGGATCGTCGTCCATTGGTGGTTGGCGGGGAAATTGTCGAGAGTGTGCATGACTTTCGCTACCTAGGCTCCATCATCCATACTGGTGGCCGCACCGCAGTGGACACTCGGTCCCGAATAGCGTCAGCGTCTAGGGCATTCGGAGCATTGCGTCGATCTGTCTTTGATGATGGCGATCTTTCACTGGCAACGAAGCGAATGGTGTATGATGCATGTGTGGCTTCTCTTCTCCTTTACGGAGCGGAGTGTTGGGTACCACTGAAAAGCGAGCTTGCGGCGCTGTCCGCCTTCCATCTTCGCTGCATTTCCGCAATCTTAGCCCTCGGTAGAAGAGACACCTGGGACTTCCACATCAACAGGAAGACCATTCTGGAGGCCTGGAATCGTCGAGATCCAGTGGATATTACCACATGTGTTCTTCGCCGCCGTCTGGAGTGGCTAGGCCATCTAGCTAGGATGGACGGCGATAGAACTCCGCGCCAGCTCCTGTTTGGTGCGCTCCTTCCGCCGAGGCCGGCTTGCGGTCCTCGGAAACGGTGGCGAGACTCTGTCAGAGCTGACCTCTCCGCAGTGAACATCGACCACACGGAATGGTACGACCTCGCCCAGGAGCGTGGGAAATGGCGCAGTGCGTATTCCGCTCAACCAGTACCGCGATCGGCTCAGCGTGACACTTCTGTGCTCTGCGATGTTTGCCAGCGTACTTTCGCCCACCAGAAATACAAGAATCGCCACAAGTGCCTGGCCGAGAGGAGGAAGCCCATATCTGAGCAGTCCGGCAGCCGACTATGTAATGCGTGCGGGAGATGGTTCTTGAGTGCTGGCGGGCTAGCTTCGCATAAGTGTCTCTCCAACTCGGCTGCTGAAGTGGCGCCGGTCTCGGCTGTGGCATCGGCAGACTCGGTCCGGAAACAGCGGGTTGCCCTGCCCTGCTGCAGAGCGCATTGTCTCGGCTGCGGTCGCTGCTGCAAGTCATCCCGTGGTTTCGACCTGCATAGCTGTGCTAATTTCCTGTCCAGGAAGTAGAGCGGCGTTTCTGGGTCCAATGCTGAACTCAGTGCTGTCGACCCCTGCACAGGGGACACGTGACCATTTGATGGCAGTGTTACCAAGGACCAAGGTGTGTGTGTGTGTGTGTGTGTGTGTGTGTGTGTGTGTGTGCGTGCGCGCATCAGCCTTGCAAGCTGTTGAATGGTGTAATCCCAGCACAAGTTGCTATGTCTAGCTGTTCGCTATCATCGCTTCCGCGATGGGCAGGTCTGAGGTCTGAGGTGTGCGCATGCCATTCAACCAGCCGTTTGGTGTAGACCAGGCTAAAATTAGTGGCGGTCAATTCAACAGCCTTGCAAACTGTTCGAATGGTGTAAGCCCAGCACAAGTTGCTATGTCTAATATAGCCCGTTCCCTATCATTGCTTCAGCAATGGGCATGAGTATGAGTATGAGTATGTGTGTGCGTGTGTGCGTGTGTGTGTCCCATTCTGTCCAATATGTGTGTGTGTGTGTACATGTACATGGGCATGTGTGTGTATGCATGTGTATGCACACACATTTTATGCATGCATGCGTGCGTATGCAAGGCTGTGGGAACTTTCATGTGCTGGCACTGGTCTTTGTGTATACGTGCCAATCTTTCCAGCAAAATACTTCACACTCGTTTCCCTGTAAAATACTTCACACTCATTTCCTTGTAAAATACTTCACACTCATTTCCTTGTAAAATACTTCACACTCGTTTCCTTGTAAAATACTTCACACTCATTTCCCTGTAAAATACTTCACACTCATTTCCCTGTAAAATACTTCACACTCATTTCCCTGTAAAATACTTCACACTCATTTCCCTGTAAAATACTTCACACTCATTTCCCTGTAAAATACTTCACACTCATTTCCCTGTAAAATACTTCACACTCATTTCCCTGTAAAATACTTCACACTCATTTCCCTGTAAAATACTTCACACTCATTTCCCTGTAAAATACTTCACACTCATTTCCCTGTAAAATACTTCACACTCATTTCCCTGTAAAATACTTCACACTCATTTCCCTGTAAAATACTTCACACTCATTTCCCTGTAAAATACTTCACACTCGTTTCCCTGTAAAATACTTCACACTCGTTTCCCTGTAAAATACTTCACACTCGTTTCCCTGTAAGGTTGCTGAATGCGGGTCATGGTACATCATGCTTTACAAGCGGAGGGCTATTCCAGGCTTCGCTGATTTCAAGGCCAAACAGCGGCAGATCCAGCCATCTCCCCCCCCCCCCCCCCAGTATAGTCCGAACTGAATAGCTGATACATGTACATGAACACGCATATGGTTTTGCGGAACCCCTGGAACCCCCTGGAACCCCCTGGAACACCCTGGAACCCCTCCTGGATCCACTCCTGCCAAAGATGCTGCTCTCTTTCTTGATTTTGCTCTGCAGATGATCACGAACCTGACAAGTCCAAGATGGCAATTGTCCAATGGCGATGCAAACCTGACAATCTCCACCGCTGAACGCAGTGACAGCGGCAGCTTTCATTGCGTTGCGGCGAACGGGAACATCACCGCTGGTTACGGTGGACGGCTGGAGGGATCAAAGGCTTTTCTGACCGTGGAAGGTGAGCGAAATGATCCTTAGGGCTTGAGCATTGTGGAACTGCTGTCATTGAAAGTAAGCAGATAATGATATCTGATGAACAAGTTTCACATTGCTTTTTGAGACAATTGTGACCATCACTGGCATCTCCTTCCAAATACACTTCAGGACTAGTCTGCATGCTGTGTATTATGCAGTGTTGACAAATTTGAAAAAAAACAGATTTTTCATCCAGCGCTTGCTAAGCACCTAGTGTCTAATGTCAGGTATTATTGCTCACACCTCTGACCCAGACACTCCTGTTCACTGTTCTGCGAACTAATGTGCTCAAGGTCTGGCTCTTTGTTGTTGAGCTATTTGGCCTTGCTCAGAGCTCGATATTCTCCACTCGTATAGCGAGCAAGGTATGTGACTATTGGTATCAATGTTGTTGCTCTGTTGATTGTAACGTGGGGTCCTGTGGCTTTCTCTGTCTTGCTCCCCTGCCTCCAGTGCCGCTGAGTATTTTGTCACCCAGCAGTGGCGAGAGCATTGTGATGAACAAATCTGATCCACTGGACGTGCAGTGTATTGTGACATCGTATCCGCGTGCAAGCGTTGTCTGGTACCATGGTAACGACTCGGCAATACAAATAAATCCGATTGGCCAGGTCGCATCCACCTTGAACTCTTCCTATGGTCAGTACTGGGTCCGTGATCTATATTTATTTTATTTATTCAAAATCTTGTGGCTTCCGATGGCAGCCAAAACGGGAACATGTGGGTGATAGCCAACCATGGTAAAAGAAGGAGAAGATTGTATCTATGAAAAGGAAATACCGGGTATTTTTTTCTCGATTTTGGTGATTATTTTTATTCCGCTGGGTTTGGCATTCTGTATCACAATTAATTTTGTAAAAAAATATTTTTTTAAAAGAATTGCAAAAAAGAATTTATGTAGAAGAGAAAAGGACATATGGATACGAGTTAAGAGTAACTCCGAGTTTCAAAAAAGAATTTGTAAAAAAAGAATTTGAAAAAACAGAAGGGAAAAAAATGCTTACTACCAGGTCCCTTATGGTGACCAGTTGTGATCATAACAACAGCATTGTCAAATTTCCAACCATCCTGAATCAATGTGCTGCTCACTCATTGCCATAGGTTTGATTGGGAATATCTATAAGGTAACCACCCCTAGGAATCAAGTTGAGGTCAAGTTGTATATTTGGCGGGGTAAAATATTCCCACCAGTAGAACGTCAGCACCGTCGGTCAGTGCCGTGCAATGTTTATCGCATGAGCTGATTGTTTAGTAGCTGGTGGTGTTAGTGGACATTATAGCGTAACTTGTGGTTTTTTGGTCCTTTTTTCTTTACTGTAAAAAAACGTGCATGCTTTCCTTTCCCAGAGAATAGTTTTTACTTGCAGTAGGTGAATCATACAACCAAGCAGAAGCTGATGTATTTGTGAAAGAATCTGCTGTGGTTCTTGTCGTTGTGTGTTCCTCAGGCACTTCATCACGTGTCTTCACCACCACCAACACCATGACTATTGCTAGTGTTCATGAAAGCAACGCAGGTCACTACTACTGCTTGGCCACAATGAATACCAGTATGGGATACTATCGAAGGCGAGTCAACACGACTTTGACCATCCAAGGTTAGTGAGGAGGAGGTAAAGCAACGAGAATGGGACCAGCTCTAACTGCCACTGTTCTTTGTTCATGCACAGTGGCTCCATCCATCACTATTATCTCAGGGCCCATGCACCGGGATAGACTGGCTGGTGAAAACACTACATTCAGCTTCACTTACGACTATCCTGCGTATCCCATGGCAACAGTGGATTGGAGCCTACCGAGTCAAGCCTCAAGATATGAGTTTGGCAATGATAAGTAAGTTCTATGTGGATTCTGAAGTTAGGTTTTTGTGTGTTCTCAAGGAAGTGAAACCCGTACTCTCCAGTCTGCATAATTTTGCCCCCATTTTCCAGGTGCATTGTATGTGTAGCTTGGCCATTGCTTCACCCGCACCTCAATTTTTTTTCGCATGGCTATGATCCAGAGAAGGAGCTGGTTCTTTATGTTCACTTGTCCGGCAATAGACCAGATCCATTGCATTGAATGCATCTATACATCAAGTGCCACTTGGCTACGGCGCAGATCGAAAGAGCACCTTCATGCCAGGATGCTGACTGCCTTTTGGAACTGTTGCGGAGCAAAAAGGTGCCTTGACTTTGTAAAAATTGACCTTTAAATATGATTTTTGGCATTTTAATGTCCAGGATGGCCATCACAATATTCAACGTGTCCCGAAGTGATGCTGGCACATATGTTCTTACAGTCCACAATGCTGCTGGTAGCACATCTCTATCACTCACGCTTGAAGTCTATGGTAAGAATGTGGCATTTGTTGTCTTTGCTGTTGAAATTCTATGTGTTCCCGGTGGTCCAACTGACCATAGTTGTGCTAAAGGGGGCAATAGGACTTCAGCTGGTATGGTGATGAGTTCCTTTACTGATTGACAGGGGCAATCAGAAGACAGAAAAATGTTCCACGAATCTGTAAATGAAATATTGAATACTTCAGACCTACTCAATGTGCGGACAGAACTGTTTCGTCCTTTGTGGACTCATCAGCACAGCCCAGGAAATGAGGCCGAACTTGATGGCAATGGAAGATATAATTTTCAAAGCCAGATTTAAACCAGGCCCGAATGTACCTTGCCAGAGTACTCAAACTGACAAGTCAGTGAGCTCTGCACAACGCAAACAGCGAAGGCACTACCCCACACAAAAGTGCTCAACTGCTACAAGAAGAGCGAAGTTCTCAATGTGCGGACAGAACTGTTTCGTCCTTTGTGGACTCATCGGCACAGCACAGAGGACATGAGGCCGAACCTGAAAGCAATGAAAAATATAATTTCCAAAGCCAGATTTAAACCAGGCCCGAGCATACCGAATACTTCAGACCTACATTGTATACATTATACTTACTGTCAACTTGGCTAATAACGACTGCGGATATAACGACAATTCGCGAATAACGACAGAATTTCCATGCCCAGAGCAAAGTCACATCTAACTGTAATACATATAATGAGACTTCGGGTATAACGACACTTCGCGAATAAGGACACTTTTTCTGATGCCCCACCGAGTGTCGGTGTAAGCAAAGTTGACTGTATCTACTAGAGTAGGGAAGATACAATAACTGTGTTGTTAATGCTCCACTTGTAACACTCGTAACACTTGTAACACTTTTAACACTTTTAACACTTTTAACACTTGTAACTGGACCAGGAGTGAGTCGTAGCAGGACACAGTTGATATGTTGAGCAATCTGAAAACCTCAGTACTGAAGAGTCAATGATAAGTAGGAAGGTTGCTTTTAGATCATGTCTGGGGTTGATTTGCCCCAGTTTGTATGGGACGCTGGTACCATGTTGCTGAAGGGATCAGGGGAAGCATAGATTGGGGGAAATCTCTTAGCCGCCTTGTGCGTGTTGCGGACAGCGTACTTTGGGTTTGCAGCGGGTTTTGGCCAAGGGGCAGCTTTATGGCAAGGAGGAGTGGTGGTGGAAATGTATTTTGAAGGCTTTGTGAGAGAAGATTATGGCAGTTTACGATGGCTGATAAGACTTAGTTTGTGGAGCGCCAGTGAGCGGGTTAAGTCTCAGAGAGGGAGATACAGAAAGGGAGAGATGTGCGTCACTCTGCTGTATGTACCTCAGTTGGTCATGGAGTGTTTTGGGTAGAGGTGAGAATTCAGTGAAGTTATGCAGTCAGGTATTGACTAAGCCAATTGTTGTTAGTCAAAAGGTTGATTGTATATCCATGAGATCCACAGCAACCCGTCACTTTTGACCAGCAGCATTTACACTTTTTGTGATGACTTGTCTCTGCGTTATTTGCTGAAGGCAGGTAGGGGATTAGCAGAGGTCCTCATTAACCAGGTTTTACTGCAAATGGTGGTCTAAATGTAGACTATATGCTTGACAATGTGTTTGCTGGGCCACATTTCCAAAGAATGCAGTCTCGAAGAATGCTTAAAATTGTTTTTTAAATGTAACCTTGCTCATTTCTGACCATAATTGTGGTCGTGCCACATGAGGGCTCTGGACCATAGCTATACTAATAACGATCAATTTAAATCTCTCTCCCTCAGTTCCACCATCCATTTCCTCTCCTGGATCTGGTGAGGTGTTCATGATCAAGCCGTCGGCTGACCGAACAGTGTTCTGCAATGCCACCTCCTATCCACCGGTGTTACCCACATGGGTTGACAGCAATGGACGAGAAGTCAACTCGTCATCGGTGTTTATGCCATCGACAATGCCCAGTAAGTGTTTTGCCATGTTTTGCCTGACAATCCCGTTTACTCAATTCAACACAAATTCTTCCATTTGTGTACTACAGTCTCAATTGTGATGGTTGAGAAGAAAGCAGAAATGACAATCATTGTAAAACTGAATAATGTCAATATTGTGCGGCAAGTTATTTTGAAGCAAACGAGAGAGAGAGGGATTAACTTTAACTGTGTAGAAAGGAAAGGAATGACGCAATTTTAATGTATTTCTAAAATAATAACATTAGCCAAGGCTTAATTTTCATATTTTTATTTATTATTTATTTTTGTGTCTTCGTTCGATTCAGCATTCACCAGTGACACCAAACTCTACCAATCAAGCCAGGCTCTTGTTTTCAGGAACTCTAGTCTCGCTCACAATGGCCAATACACATGTCAAATGCAAGTTTCAACCCCCATCGGTGTGCTTTCCAATACTGTGACGATAAGCATCGTTGTCGTTGGTGAGTTGGAATGTGATGTGCTTTGTTTGTTCCCTGATGACGGCTAGCGAATAGACCTATGTGTTTTGAGACTGTACCATTTCAGTGATATACTGTAGTCAGAGTGGAGTGCAAATTTCTAGGTCTGGATACAATTGCGTCTTAGACAGGTTCATTGTACAAGTAATCTCTACCAAGTAAATAGGGATGACCTTGCAATGGTACCGCTCTGCCGTGGTCATTATTGAATTCCATTATGTAACCTCTAGAGTTCTGACGTTGTTCTCACTGATTTCTGTTGTTGCACAGTAAAACCAGTGTTCTCTGTCGCCAAATCAAACTTCACACGACTTGAGGCACAAAGTGTTACGCTATCTTTCAATCTGGATTTCCCTGGCAGCCCGCCGATAACACCGGACCAGGTATGGATGGGCAGTCTTTCACTACTATTCCGTGCTCTAAATAGTGCAGGCCATTCGAAATGTCCCATAGTCAATGACGGGAGAACATTGATGTGGAAGTTAAATACGAAATAAAGGCATTGTGAAGAAATGGAAAAGGCATCTAGGCATCAGTAAAGCAGTAGAAGCAGTTTTATTGCATTTCTTTTCTGCAACCAAACACAGTTCATGTGTTGTATCTTCTTCCAACAGGGGCATGGGCAAAGAAAACACATTGCACACAGCTCTGAGCTAGCTGGCTGGACAATTCACCTGGCAACATTTCCACAAGGCATTAATTCTCACCAATAGTGCACCTAACTGAAATAATTCTCAGCACCAGTACACCTTCGGGAAACTCATAGCATGTGTATTTAATCCACAATAGTTGCCATCTGATGGTCGGTTAAAACCGTGAAACTCAGAGTTACAGCAGAAACGCTTTTCATAACTCTCAAGTGTGTAATCCACAATAGCTGTAAATTCCTGGCCACTGAGATCTTTCCTTATGCAGGCAATAGTGACATGCGTTGCACGGCCTCATTCCCCAAAACCCAATGGATACAGCTCTTCTGTGCAAGGCTTTTAGCACCTGAACCAGGTTTATTTCATTCGTGAAGTCTAATTTCACTGGTCTTATCTGGCGCAACCGTCGACAACCCAGGTATCACAGTTACACTTATTTACGTGGGTTAAGCCGACTATAGTATCTTGCTGTTTGCTGATATGCATTGTTCGTTGTAAGTAATAGTTACATGCCCATAGGCAACCACCAGACAACTAACTATCATCAGACAAAAATAGTTACTGTATAGCAGGAAATTTTCGGACGGAATTTATTTTCGTACGATTTCGTACACGCCCTCTTTTGTACTAAAATTAATTCGTACTTCGTAATTCCGTACTCAAATTTGTTCCCGTGAAGTTATGTACACTACACATGCGTACCGCAAGCAAACAAGTGCATTTAGCATGCAACACTGTACGAAAATAAAATCCGTATGAAATGTCGAAATTCGGCTTTGTCCGAAAATATTTAAGTCCGAAAATTTCCTGCTATACAGTATCTGATGATTTCCTATGGGCATGAAACTATTAGTTTCAACGAACGATGCTTGGTGCTCTGTGTCATGTGTACGGTGGCTCTATTCGAACGAATATTCAGCACTTTACCGAGCCGGAGGACTCTCATTTGTTGTTGTGTGCTGATATGTGCATCTATGAAACATGATACACAGATCACATGGACGTCACCAGATGGAAATATCCTCTCCGGCGGCAGCACAGTGGTGTTTTCAGCTGATCGACAGAGCCTGACTATCGACCGACTTCAGAGATTGGATTCCGGGATGTACACAGCACACACCACTCACATCCATGGCAATGCCACTGCAGCCTTCCTTCTCTCTGTTGTTGGTAAGGGTATTTTGTCATTGGTGCAGAAAGGCCCTGTGATGAAGGATATCCTGACCCAAATTTTGCATTCGTGCTTTTTGTATTGCTCCACTTGGCAAGATAGTGGTGACAATACTCGCTAGGGACATAGAACCCTGATAGCGTCCATGGGGTTAGTTGTACTGTGTATGTGATAGACAATGCCCATGCATTTGTCCTGTCTAGAGTTCACCACAGAAAAAGAGTGCCTGTGATCCTACGTTTTAACCTGATGTCACTTCACCGACATAATGCCTAAGTGGCTATATTCTCTATTTTGAAAAGCATCATTAGTTTTTATTGTTCGGAAATGCTGCCATAATATACTTGCTGGTGTCTGATTTATGTAATGTGCTTTGTACTCTTCCAGTGCGGCCTGTCATAACTTCTCCTGACAGAGATCAGAAGTACACAATGGCGGAAGGCTCGGCACTGTCCCTGCCTTGCAATGCCACTGCCTATCCGCAAGCAAGACCCACCTGGGAGAAAGTGGGCGTAGGACGTGTCAATCACACTGGTCAAGTGTATGCCACATCGCTCTCAAGTTACGGTGAGCTAGTTCTCCACGTGTCTTGTATCAATATTATTATTAGACACAATCTCATAGCATGTGACAAGCATAGCTAATGCAGGGACAGAATCCCCTGAGACAAGGGCCTTGAGCCAGCCACGGCAATAGTAAGCTAGAAAAACAAAAGCAAATCTTAATTAATGCAAAAATGAGTGGAAAATTACAAAGAAAAGCGATTAACGGAAGTGAGCACAATCAAAATTCGTGCAACACCCAGGTATTCGAGAATGTTCTTCGACAATAACCATCAATTCAGCATAACTCGTCCTTGCACTGCAGGCCCGGTGGAACTGGTCCGGTTAGTCAGGCCATGACCGGGTCAATGTTTTAGCCATCAATGTGTGTTTATTGCTGAAGAGGTCATGTGTGTGTACCCTTCACATCATTCTTAACGTATGGAATGCTTGGGTATGACCAGATCTATAAAAAACTGGTTCCGCCGGTCCTGTGCAGTGAATTATTAATTCTCCTATAAGGACATAACATGCTATGTCGATTGCCAAGTTGGACACATAAGCAATAGTATTATTGCTATCAAATGCCATGGGTCACAAAGACTTTCTTAAAAAATTAAGCAGTAGTTTTGCTGTGTCTTCACTAAACAGCAAAGAGTCTCGTTCGCCCGGTTCAGTGAAAATGTTATCTGGGCAGTTAGTTGTCTCGATCTTGTTAGATCTTGCCAGCCGAGCGCGGGGTTACTGATCCATCCAATAGCAAAGAAGCCGACGGAACAAAATCATTTTAGCCCGGCTCTAATAGGGGATTCACACACACGGGTAGAACCAAGGTTTTTGGGAAAGTTGTTCCCATTCCGACAATAATGCATGCTGAATGCAACACATAGTGCAGAATGAACTACTAAAATGCAGTGCAGTTTATTTATTTTGAATTCCCCCACCAAAAATTCATGGCAAAAAAATGCGACCAATAGAAAACTGACAACATGTATATGCACACTGTCTTTTCTGGGACATAGATGCAACACAGCAACTCTACCTGACGGCGAATATTCTGGTGATTTCCGACGCTACATTCTACAACAGCGGCAGATACCGTTGCGAAATTGCGATAGTCGACGACACTGGCTCACATTTCACTGCTGTTGAAGTGGACATAGATGTGCAAGGTAGGGTTAATTGTATTTGCCATTATGCCGAATGTGCTTTCTGAGAAAATGTGAAGTAATGGCCATGGGCATGAACGGACCTGCCAAACCAGATATGCACTTTAGTTGCATTGTCTGCCCAAGGCAAGTCATGGAAATGATGCAGTGCTTCAAATTCATAGAAGTACCCATTACCCCTACATAGAGATTGTTCATCAGCATAATTTTATCCTGCAATTAGGCAGGCAACACACAGACAGACATCGTACAACACCAATGGATCTTCAAATTACTGTCAAGCACCTCTGTCCCGGAAATATGATCTGCTACTTATTTGGAGGATTTACAAGTATGGCGTAGATGATCTTTTGATAGTCTGCATCAAGCCAAATATTAGCTTTGAGAGACTGTTTACAGAACTGCAAATTCCTGTCAGTATACTGCGCTAGTCGGAATCCATATTGTGTTACCAATGATGTTTCACTGCTTTGTGTTCAGCCGGTCCAAGGTTCAACCAGTCTCAACGTGAATACACAGTTCTCGAAGGTGAAATGCTTGACGTCGAATGCATCGCATTCGCCAATCCACGGCCATTGTTTGTCTGGACTGTATCACCGGGATTTCCCGCTGCGATGACTGGCCTGGCTAGTGACGTCACAGTCTTGCCATACCATACTTCTACGTATAGTATGAGCAATGCTGCTGTGGACGGATTGTTGAACAACTACACACTGACTTGCAACGTGAACAACTCCATTGCCACAGCCAGCACTACATTCACTGTCATAGTGCAAAGTAAGTCAAGTCTAGAATTGTCAAAAAGTAACACTGCACATTACCTTTCCTTCTCACATGAGGGCATGTGTGCATGTGTGCATATGTGACCAGTTTCTGTCAGTTCCTGAGCACTTCTGGAGCCTGGAATATTGTGCTTTGTGATTTCTTATGTCTTCAAGTCATTTATTTCCTTTCCTCCTTTTCTTCTTTCCTTCCATATTCGCCGTTATGTTGTTGGGCCCGTTCTCGTAAGTGGATCTGTCCCAAAGTCATGCCGCAGTCGCTCATTTCAAAGAAACTGATCTTTCACCCGCCATTCCACTCTCCTTGCTCATATCGAGCTCACGGTTGTGTGCTTTGTGTGTGTGCATGTGTGTGTGTGTGTGTGTGTGTGTGTGTGTGTGTGTGTGTGTGTGTGTGTGTGTGTGTGTGTGTGTGTGTGTGCCTGAGTACCTGTGTGTGAGTGTTTATGTACATGTGTATTTGCATGTTCTTGCCTGTTTGCATTCATGTCCACGTGTGGATGTGCGTGTCTATTTGCAGTCCCACCAGCGTACATCAGCTCAAGAACTGGAATATACGTAACGTGCAATGAACACCAATACGTTACACTGAGTTGCACTTACCGTGGACTGCCCGCGCCAACCAGTTTCTGGCAACATGCATCGAATGCTACGAACCCTTTATTTACAGTCGTTGAACGAAACAGCACATTTCCTAATGTGTACACTAGTGCACATGCCTTACCCAGTGTGAGAAAGTCGGACGACGGAAATTACTCATGTTTGTTCCGGAACGATGCAGGGAATGCTTCTCAGGATCTGTTCCTCCGAGTGCAAGGTGAGCCTAGTACTAGGCCTGTCGGTTTTCCGGCAGCACTGTCAAAATATTTCGCTTTCTTTGTCCACTATTTTCTCCGCCTGTTTGAATTTATAGGATCTGTTAATGTCCAAGTACTCTTTGAAAAGCACCAATGATAATTGATTGTAATGGAAGCAGCTGACAAGAACCAACAAATTAATATAGACTGGTCATGATTCCAACCATACGTAGAGCTCTACCTAAAATAGATGAAGTTCACAGGCAACTTGCTGCTCGTTCTCTAGCAAGAAACAGTGATCATCAATTTCGGTGTGCCGTTCTCGGTATTGACTGATTATATATAATTATTGGTTACTTTCCCCGTTGCTTTTCCTCTCAGTTCCTCCCCGAGCTAGTGCCGTGTCGACACTTGTCCACGGTGTTCAAGATATGGTTGCTTCACTAATAGTTCTACTGGACTTTGCTGGCGATCCGGGTGTTCCTGTGGCTAACATCACTTGGACAAAGGTCAGCCAATTGTACAAACATTCTTGTTTTTTTGTGACTATTGCCATTGCTGTCAGACTTGAACTTCAAGCCTGCTTCCAAAATATTGGGGAGCCACCTGCTGCTAAAAATAAACCTCTGACTGGAGTTATGTGTTGCTCCCTACGTGGGAGCTCGCACTCTTCATGCCAACTTGAATTCTCACTTGGCTGACTCATGCCTGCCATCCAGAGCACATGAGAAGCCCATCGAACCGTCCACTCGGCAAACCTGCGAGAAAGCACTGCTCCCTGCTCAGTACACAGTGTTTCGGGGAATTCAGCCCTCATCAACGAATGGAGTTAGCTGTAAAATCGTATTTTCATTCCACTTGTTCCCTTATGCAGTTTGTCAATGCGTCACCCGAAGTGCCAATTCCAACGTCATTCCTATCACAAAGCCGACTGAACCTCAGCATAGCACACATGAATTACACCGATGCTGGCTTGTACAGTGCACGGCTCTCAAATCCAGCTGGTGCTGCAACTGTAAACTTCACCCTGGAGTACAGAGGTGAGTGGAGACTGTGCATGCCGTTAGAGTGGAAAGCCAGATGAATAAAGAAGGCTGACAGTTATTATCTGGCATTGACGACGTTTGAAAGGATTCCATTTTAACATTGGATCATTTAGACCATCAGACAGGTACTTTTTTCTCTTCTAGATCCTTGTTATGTTTCTGCCCTATCCGTTTCAGAGCCGCCAAGGTTCATCTCACAGCCAGTCGTAGAAACACGTAACGAAGGCGCCAGTGTACAGCTTGAATGCATTGCCAGTGGTGTGCCGAGACCAAGCATCAAGTGGCTGCACAATGGAATTGTCCTGAACGGATCAGCAATCACTACAATCACGGAAGCGACGTACAACGCCAGCTTTGCATGTGATCATAGCGAGTGTGTTTTGTCAACATTGGCGATATCGAACATCACGTATCCGGAGCATCAAGGCGATTATGAGTGTGAAGCATCTAACATCGTGTCTTCTGCCATCAGCCGAAATTCGACTTTGAACATTTATGGTGAGTAGGTTTGGAACTGTTTGGCCAGGTTTACAATCCGGCCTCAAATGATACTGAAAGTTACACTTCTTTCACTCAAGTCTCAACATTTTTCTGATGATTTCGTGTCTTAGTAAGGCAGAGCGGAACATTGCAGGTTCTCTTTAAAACCGTGCAAGGTAGCATTTAGTGCCATGATCATTCCTATTTTGATAAACGCTTTGCATGGGATGAACATAACTCAGAGCGACAGCCCACTTTCCACCGGGAGTAAGGTAGCGGAGATGCAGCCTACTGTATCCCCCCCGCTGGGAATGTGTATACTTGCACATGCCAGTCGGTGCGTTCATATATGCTACATAGCAGTGTGATCCAGCACATGAAATCCGTTGTTTGCAGGTTATGTTCATCAACATAGTTGTATAGCAAAAGTGTCTGGACATTTTTTACGAGAAACCACGAACCTCGAGAACAGAATACTGCATGATAGAGGTGGCTGTAGACGCAATTGTGGTGGTGAAACAGGAGCATCTCCGCCGACCTGAGGTCTCGGCTTCAGCGACACTTCAGTGCACCAAAAAGTGGGGAGGAGTAGGCACAGAGGGGAGGGGAGGACATGTGCAGGATTTTATGGTACGTGATATTGTGCTGGCTGTTGCTTGCAGTTCAGCCAACGGAGATCATTGCCGCATCAGATCTAGCAGTGGCAGAAGGCTCCACGGTTCTCATGACTTGCAATGTACATGCGGTACCACCACCAGCGATAACCTGGTTCTTCAACAATGTGGTAAGAGGGGCTGTTTGCTTACTTGGTATTTCTAACCTTGATCCTAGTGCAGTGGCCAAGAATACAATCCTGTGCATGAGTCTTGTACTTAGAATACATCGTGGCTGTGGACAGTGAGAATTAAGTCGTCCACCTGAGAACTAGAGATTCTGCTCATTTACGGCTAGTGTGAAAAATCTCTACATATTGGCAGTCATTTTTTCTTCAGACTTTTCCCGTTTGCGTCTTTCCCTCAAACCATTGATATCTTTCCAAACACATGCCTTGAAAGAACATCTGAAAATATTGTTCACTTGGTCCTTCTAATGTTGCTGGCTTACAGGAGATATCATCAAGTCATGCCTATTCGGCTGGTCGTATTCAACTTACGCAGTCCGATCATAATCTGACCATCAGCACGGTTGAATTCCGTGATCGCGGCGTCTATCAATGCACAGCCAGTAACACAGATAGCAGCGGAACTCTTGGTGGGTCTGTTAATGGCACAGACGTCACTCTCAGTGTGTATGGTGAGTTGACAATGTACGCCCCTGACCACTAGTTAATGGCTTGTAAACGAAAGGTTTAGCGTGAGCGAATTGAGAGCTATAGAAGTACTTGTACAAGTCCACATTTCTCAATTCTTGCAAGAGCCAGTCTCTCTGGCATCTCAGTATATGTCAGGCCCGTCGCACTGACTTTGGAGGTGCGGCGGCCATGGAAGGGGGGGGGGGGTGGAGGGGTGGGCGGGGGGGGGGGGGGAGTCTTGGAGTGTTCTCGAATAGTCAGGGCTACACATGTTCTTTCCTGAGAAACCTGATCAGCTTTGCCCGTGTGCCGTAAGCTCTTGATGCTTACAAAATTCCCAGTGTTAACGGTTGGAAAAAAGAATTAATTGTAATTTTGTACATTGCCATATTGTACTAATGATCAGCATTGCTATATGGATGATTATCGCCGATTCCCTCTGCAGTGGACGAGTGTGTAGCTCCCGGTTTTCCTGCCGACTTGAATGAGCGACACTACCTCACGCTGCTATCTGGTGTTCACGAGGCCTTAGTCGCACTGGAAAGGGAGCGTCTCTGTAAGTTTGTGTCCCTGGTGATATTTGTGCCTGGAGAGCACAATATAAGTGGTGCTCTTCGGGCACAATCTTCCTCAGCCTAGTCCAGCTCAACTGATGAGGGGTGAATTCCCCGAAACACTGTGTATCGAGCAGGAAGTGGTGCTTTCTTGCAGGTTTGCCGAGTGGACGGTTCGATGGACTTCTCGTGTGCTCTGGATAGCAGTCGTGAGTCAGTCAAGTGAGAATTCAAGTCGGCAGGAAAACCGTGATCTCCCATGTCGTCCCCTACTATCGCCGAAGTCCCACCAACCTCTTCTTCACATTGTTGTCCCTCTGCAGTTTCGCCAATAATATCCGAAGCACCAGACAATATCACAATTGTCGAGGGTGAGAATGTCACTTTAACCTGTAGGGCAACTGGGCACCCAGCTCCAAGCATACATTGGCAGTATAATGGTACTGATCTGCCGTCATACTCAAATATCAGTATTGCTGTAGGTCCAGTGGAGCCAACCTACATCACGAGCAGCTTGAGTCTGGACAGCGTTGGGTTTGGGAAACGCGGTGCTTACAGATGCGTGGCCAAAATCAATGCCACGGGTTCCCGGGACGTGGAGAGAATGAGAGATGTGGCTAGCAGTGAAGGCATCTTGACAGTTTACAGTAAGTACCTCTCTAGTAGAAAAATTATGTGATGCAGGGATACGTTGAGCAATATTATAGTGTTATGAACTGGTAGTAGCAGCCCGTCCGGCCAGGCCCAGAAGTGCCCAGACTGCAGGATTTTGCACCCTAATTTCAAATATTTCCCCATGGGACACCCCCAGACACCCTCCAACCGGACTGCGTCCAAGGTCGGTGCTACGCGCCTGGAGTGGCAGGGCAACAGCGATTTAAGACTGATACCTTGTTATGTCCGTGTATCTTTGTAAGGCATGCTATCTAACTGGTCTGTCGATGTGCTTGTCTCCTTTGTGAACCTGTACAAGTATGCCTGTTGCATGTATGTAAATTATTTACACCCTGGACAATTAGCCCATTCACGTTTGCCATGGGATATATATTTGTTTCACCATGCACGTCATGCACGTTCATGCACGTTCCTGGAGATATATGGATGTTGTAGAAAACAAGACTATTGCCGGCCATTTTGCATTGTGGATGATGCTTTTGCATATGCAGCGGAGCCACAACTCCAGTTCTTGTCCAGCGCCTTACACATAGAACCTCCTGAGCAGATCAACATCACCTGCACTTTCTCAAGCAACCCTCCTCCAACTGTTATAATTTCTGCTCCTGGCTACACTCAAAGTCAGATTTTATCACTGGGATTGCTACACACTGTTCAAGGTAAAATTATATGATGTTTCATGCTGCCTAGAAAGATTGCACCTATGCTGCTTTCAAAAAGCTTGGGCCATGTTATCTATGTGGATCCACAGCTGCATGGTCATCATGAGGGGCTGGCAACATGTATAAATGAAATTGAGCCACCATCAGTTCATTGTGCAGTACAGTAAAACCTGTAACTAAAGACCACCCTGACTAGCGACCAGCCTGGTACTACAGTAAAACCTGTAACTAAAGACCACCCTGACTAGCGACCAGCCTGGTACTGTAGCGGGCCGCAGTCTCTCTCGGAGGCAAATGCACACTGTAATTGGCAATTGAAATGTACTGGCAACGAAATTAACTGACTGGCAACTAAATTAACTAACTGGCTACTAAATTAACTGACTGGCAATAAAAGAATCGTGAGCAGCAGCTTTTATGCAAAGGCAGACTCCGTACGCTAATGTACGGGGATACGCTAACGTATGGGGATACAGTACGGGGATATGCTAACGTACGGGAATACAGTAACGTACGGGGATATGCTAACGTACGGGGATACGCTACAGTACTACAGACCACTTTGCCAGGCACAGACTGTCTCACATTCAATTATGGTTGTGCGATGCAAACCTCTCACTAACGACCACCTGCCACTAAAGACCACTTTCTCTGGCCCCAAGGGATGGTCGCTAGTCACAAGGTTTACTGTACTTGAAATACACGAGAGTGACCACCATTGGTCCCCCAGGAGTATGTTCAACTGACTTCTATGTCTACCCATTAAACAGAAGTCAGGATTCTGCATAGCTCAATAGCTCACAACAGCAAACAGTGCAAGGCCACAGTGGAAACCATGTACACAAAGCAAGTGTAGGTGCACACTTGTAGCGGTAATTTCCATACTGTCAGTACTGTGTCATGACATGGGATATTTTGTAATCCTTGTTCTTCCGAGCAGGAACCAGACCCAGCTCGTCTACTCGAATCGCCAATGAGCCATGATGCAGATCGCGAGTGCCAGTAGCGTGGCAGCCATTCACTCCATGGCTTTGACAAATCGTCCTACGGATAGCCTGGACTTTTCTTTAAAACCTAGATATTTTAGATGTTTGCATTTGGCCAGAAATTGACTAGGTTATGACAGTTCTAAAATCGAGCACCGGGGATTGATTTTCAAAAAGTGCAACTGTGAAAGGGTAAACAGCTTCAACCGACTCCTTCCGATTCAATTGAGCCACCATCAGTGCATTGTGCTGTCTTGAAAACTTGTAACTAAAGACCACCGTGACTAGCGACCAGCCTGGTACTACAGACTACTTTGCCAGGCACAGACTGTTTCACATTAAATTATGGTTGTGCGATGCAAACCTCTCACTAACGACCGCCTGCCACTAAAGACCACTTTCTCTGGCCCCAAGGGGTGGTCGCTAGTCACAAGGTTTACTGTACTTGAAATGCACGAGAGTGACCACCATTGGTCCCCCAGGAGTATGTTCAACTGACTTCTATGTCTACCCATTACACAGAAGTCAGGATTCTGCATAGCTCGTTAGGGCTTGAAAGTGCTACGTCACAGCATAGCAACAATTTCAAAAATTCTAAAACTGGATCCACTTGGATCCAGTTTTTGTATGGATCCAAGCACATTTCAAGCGGTCTTACCCACAGCATGGTGATGTAGCCAGTGAAACTGACTGATTTGGCTACTGGGGGCGGGGTTACAACTGGTGGCGAAATAAAAGTCACACCTGCATGCGACATGAGTGGGCTGCTATGCACCCACATACTTAGGCAATAGCAAAGTCACACCTTAGTGGATCCAAAAATAGAAATCTGATGTCAACTTACTACTCCCTGGCCGTTTTGACGTCATCACTTTCAAGCCCTATAGCTCACAACAGCAAACAGTGCAAGGCCACAGTGGAAACCATGTACACAAAGCAAGTGTAGGTGCACACTTGTAGCGGTAATTTCCATACTGTCAGTACCGTGTCATGACATGGGATATTTTGTAATCCTTGTTCTTCCGAGCAGGAACCAGACCCAGCTCGTCTACTCGAATCGCCAATGAGCCATGATGCAGATCGCGAGCGCCAGTCACTTGGCAGCCATTCACTCTATGGCTTTGAAAAATCTTCCTACGGATAGCCTGGACTTTTCTGTAATTAAAACCTAGATATTTTAGATGTTTGCATTTGGCCAGAAATTGACTAGGTTACGATAGTTTTAAAATGAAGCAAATAAAGTGATTGATTTTCATAAAGTGCGACTGTGAAAGGGTTATCAGCTTCTTCCGACTCTTTCCGAAGGTGTTACTGTACTTGAGAAATCCTTACCCATGTTGTCTATCACTTGCTGTATTTCTACATACAACCAGGAGTATATTCCAGTGGCATGCCTTGGCGTCGGGCAACACTACATCTAGCAGCAGCAAGGCGTTCAGACAATGGTACTTACACGTGTACAGCAATGACACCAGCTGGAAACGCAACTCAGGACACATCCGTTACTGTTTACGGTCAGTAGAATGTGTAAATTACCAGTGTGTTTACTGGATATAATCCTGACCAATTGCTACACTGTATTGATCTGATCCTGTGCCAAGTACAAGACAAATTGCGACAAATCAGGTCGACAATTACTGATCACCAGCCCTCGGAAAGTGTGGAACCGATTTGATGCATGTGATTAAAGAATAATATAACAATAAGAAAAGGTCGCATATTGCCCGCATAAACAAATCATATGGGGTCATGCATCTGTCAATGATCGTTAACCCGAGTTGCTTGTTGGTAGCGAGGTTGAGGAATTCCTGAATAGGCACATTCAGAGGCTTAACGAGAGAGCTTGGAAGCTCAGGGCCCTGCGCTATGTTTTGTTGCCTAGCTCCTCGTGCATGTTGTTAGAACTGATGGAAATGCTTTTTCCTTTGATTAGCTACATCATTGTATTGCAAAAACGTTTCAATGAGATACTGAAGTAAAGTCTTCTGCATAGCTATGGGACCGGCGCTGACTCTGCCGATCACAGGCGTTCTGGACTCGACGGGATGTCTGTCCTGACGTTTCCTGGGACCGGCGCTGACTCTGCCGATCACGGGAGTTTATCTTCTTCTTCTTATTATACTGACGGCAACTAACATCCATTCTGATTGCATTTACTCGTCTCCCTACTTCGTATTTCTTTCCAGAAAATCTCCCCATACAGCAGGGAGTCGTTTACATAATATGACTCCCTGCTATACATCTACATGACTGTATAAACGTTATAATTATTATGCTATCCGCCTACATGCGATTCCCGGGCTGGTCGACAGGCGGCCCAGCCAGCCTGCTAGTGGGATCTCGGCCTCGCACACAAATCCACACAAAATGTTACTGGACTGAATGCATTCCCCCGATACACTTCGCATATATACTCATTCTCTTGTTGGTACCGTACTCTTGATGGTACGGGACAGGTACGGGATAGCGACAGGCATGTCTATGGCACAAACAAACAAAAATATTGTGGCCAGCTGTCTTTGCTGGTACGGTACAGTACGGGACAGATACGGGATAGCGCCAGGCGTGACACAAACAAACAAACACACAAACACACAAATACCAAACGAGAGAGCTTGGAAGCTCAGGGCCCTACGCTATGCTTTGTTACTTAGCTCATCGTGCATGTTGTGGGAACTGATGGAAATGTTTCCTGGGAAGACGCTGACTCTGCCGAGCACGCGCGTTCTGGAGTCGACGGGACCACTCTGCCGACGTTTCCTGTGACCGGCGCTGACTCGCCCGTTCACGCCTATTTTGGAGACGACGGGATCTCTCTTCCAAAGTATGTTTTGCTGACGCATCCTATCACCTATTCGGCAACTAACATCCATTCTAATTTCATTTCCTCCTGGTCTCCCTATTTCTTTCCAGAAAGTCTCTCTATACATCAGGGAGTCGTACTGTATTGGCAGCTGCCCTAACGGGTCACGCCGCCCACCACCCAAGCATGGGTATGATGAGGGACAGTGGCAACAGAAACAAAAAAAACAGCAAGCAGGTAGAGAAAGCAAGAGAAAGACGGCGATAGTAGTACATCTGGTGTGCGACGTATAGAAAAGAGAGTTGACAAGAGATGCGCACAAAATAGGAAACAATAATTATTTTTGCAGTTCCGAAACAATCAACCAGGTGATGGAGTGTGGGCACCCGAAGTCCCACCTGGACTCCACTGGAAGAACATCCCACGCAGGGATATCAGCGATAGGCCAAGCGTTGAAAAACAGCCATGAGGACACATCGTCTAGAAGTCCACCGCGCTCGAACTGAAATTGCAGGTTCAAACAATTTCCCACGCGGCGTCAGGCAGCGTAACTCTTCTCCCTGCATCACCATTCATCTCCAGCAACCGTCTCCACTCACAGCTCATGCCTCTGCCACCACTGTACTCCTCCGAGCTTCGCAGTTTGAAACCATTCGGGGGTCAGCTACACCACCGCGAATGGAGAGACGAGGACGACAACGGTCGTGACTGAAAAGACACTGCCTTGGCGACCACGTCGCGGAACCCTCGCCCCAGCAAATTCAGAAATACGCCAGGGGCAACTCTGGTGGACTCAGAGCCACCCCCTTGGCAAGACTAGTAAGAGGAACGACTGAAAACTCAGATAAAACGGAGCTACAAAAAGTGCAACCGTCCCCTTCAAGCACAGTTGCAACACACAGGGAGTCGTATACATGTACATAATATTGTGGCCAGCTGTTTGTAGCCAGCTGTGTTTGATGGTACGGCACGGTACGGGACAGATACGGGAGCCAGCAAATGGCCAGCTGTGCGATACGGTACGGGACAGATACGGGATAGCGCCAGGCGTGACACAAACAAACAAACAAACACCAAATTAAAGCTGTGTGGACCCTGGCTAGCGCCAGACGTTACTGAAGTAACGTCTTCTGCATAGCTACGGGAATTAAAGCTGTGTGGACCCTGGCTAGCGCCAGACGTTACTGAAGTAACGTCTTCTGCATAGCTACGGGAATTAAGGTCTTCTTTGAAGTTGGCAACCAATCTCTTGTAGGGCCGTCCACTTAATTAAAGAATGCTGGACGCTAATGTTGCTTGTGGTGTTTCTGGTTTCATTTTTGTTACAGAGATACCTGATTCTCCCCGGCCGGCTATAGTGGTGCGGAATATACCCTACAGCATCACTATTGAATGGACAGAGCCACAAGGCAATAATGCTCCCATTTTAAGCTACAGGATTGAGTAAGTTGAAAAACACTGATTTACGCGTTGTGAATGTAGCAAGTACTCCGATTCTGGGCTACATAGTCTGAAAGTGCATGCTCTGGGCCTATCTGAACAGACCAAAATACAGAACAGACCGAATCAGAAACTGTCTTGTCAACATTGTCATTGAGCGAAGTTTTTCTTTTTCTGCAATCGTCCATCATATGCAGGACATGTGCATAGCACATTTTATTCCCGGGTATTCAGTACAGATTGAGAAGTGAAAGTCGACTACTATGGAAACTTCAATTAATAATATTATTTCAATTTTTCTCACAATCCAAGGCCTCCTAGTTGATCCTTCAGTACTGTTTTTTTTGATATACAGGATAACGTCTTTGGACTGTCAAGGAAACAAGGTGGAAATGTTTCACAACACATCTGCTGGAGTGCGGTTGGCAACATTCAGTGTGTTGCCAAATCGGCAGTACGAGTTCCGTGTCCAAGCCAGCAATAGAATTGGAACAGGGAGCTTCAGCCCCCAGTTGTCTGTTCACTCACATGAAATTGGTAAGGACCTGTGTGATTTGCTTGCAAAGAAAACATCTACAGGTTTTAAGGAGCTCACAATGTATTCCATTTTTCCTTCTCCATGTACATCAAACTTCCCGGTGTTTGCGATGACGAGAATTGAAACCAATTCTAGTATATGAACCCATGAATTGCAATCGATGGTCCTGATGTGTGCATACCGTAAAGTCGCGGATAAAAGCCGGGTTTGCATACAAGCGCATCGCGGATAGAAGCCTGGAAATCAAACGGGTCAAATGCATATCAGCCTGTCACGCGTAGAAGCCTGGCTTCTATGCAAGCGCGGATCGGGTAGGTCAAGAGTGCATACGCTATGTACAGTGCATAGTAAAACTGCCGTCATACCGGTAGTCAGTGGTAGATCCACGCGTGTCGCTCGTAGAAGCCTGGCTTCTATGCAAGCCCGGATCGGCCGACGTGCATACAAGCCTAGCAAAAATACCAGTGGTGCATATAAGCATGGTTTGCATACAAGCCTAGTTTGCATTGAAGCCTGATGCAGAAAGCGGCTTATGTGCTTATACGCCCGGCTTTTATCCGCGACTTTACTGTAAACCCAGTGCAGAGGAATGAATTACTAGTGATTAAATAATTATGAAGTCAGCGGATTACTAGTATGTTGGACACCTACTCAACACAGGGTGGAGTTCGGTATCAACATTGCAATGGCATTCAAAAATGACAAATGAAGAAGATTTTTGGTGATTGTTTTCCTTGACCCTTTGCAGAACCACTGCCTGCCCCAGCCAGTGTCAAGGTAGAAGTGATCAGCTTTGAGTCTGTCAACATCTCCTGGTCAGACATCAACTGTACAGAGCAAACAGCACAGACGCAGGGATACCGTGTGTTGTACAAGGACCTATTGGTATGTAGGAGCAGCCCGGCTGGAAATCTACTCTAGCTGCCAGTGGAGTACATCATTGACCATATACGTTTTCATGCATTCAAGCCCCTGAAGCCGCTGAGTGTCAACATAGTATTGGCAAGGCAATATTGCAGGACAGCAAGCAAAACCTGACATGTAGTGTTGTAATTGATGATTGTTGCGTGCCTTCCACCAATAGCTTATAATCAACAGTGTGGAGAGTTTTGCTGCACGAAGTATGCTTATTGATGCAGATACTGAAAACCTGGAAACCTTTGCAATCCAGAATCCTTTGCAGTTTTTGCGATAGGTGTGAAATTGCCAAATTGAAGCAGGCACAAAATGTAGAGCTGTGGAAAAAAACTGAGGAAATTGACTCCGATCGCAAACATTTCCAGATGCAAATTTGTCTGTGCTCGAAGATCGCAAACAGAAACCGACACAAAGGTTTTAGGGTTTACGGTAGTAGGTGAAAAGGTCTGGTGAAGAGTCTTAGCAATCCCATATAGATAATAGATTTGATAGAGGGTAGGGCATCTGCCACAGGATTTACTGGGTGCTAGCTGGGTGCTAGCAGCCGTCATGAGTTCCCTTGGGAACGTGTATGATATTATCCTTTTTCCATCTTGTTTCTACAGGCATCCAACTTTTCATCTGTGGAAGTGTCAAACCAAAGCCTTTCATATGTGCTGTCAGGCTTGGACGCACTAACGTTCTACACATTCCAAGTGTGTGTGCTCTCGACTACAATGTGCAGTGCTGACAGTGATCCGGTTCAGGCGAGAACCTTGGCTATAGGTCAGTCGTATGTGTCTCAATGTCCCATTCCGACATAGCAAGCTCAATGTCTAATGTTTCTCTCTGTTGGGCTCTTAATGCTCGACCCACACCCCATTATAGAAGTTACAGGATCATAAAAAATTAAAAAATAGCTTGCCGCATATCTCTATTCTGTTTCAACTTGTGCTGCATAGCACCTTTGCATTGAATACATTTTCTGGACAACCAAGTAGTTCAACATTTTCACATCTCATCAGTGGAGCTCGGACCTACCGGTTGAAGCAGCGAACAATACACTTGTTATTAATGCCTCAAAGCTCAAAGTCAGAGTGCTCTAACTAACTACTTTTCCTTTGTTCCTCAGGCAACCGCTCTCCACCTGAAGCACATGCACCCAACAATGCAGTAACTGGAGTGGAAAATGAAGCAGTGGAACTGTTTGTGAATCTCACAGATGCCGGCATAGCCCCGTTACCCAGTTCCAACATTACTTGGGTGAAGGTAAGAACTCAGCGTGCAATGAAGACCACACGTGCATGATCCCTTGATTTTCAGATATCCGTCTCTTTTCACTACGGGGAAGTGACTAACCGGAATAAGATCATGGGACGAGCATCTGTGGGATCATTAATTTTGTACTCTTGTCAGCAATGTTTAGTCTTGTCAGCAATGTTCATTCTTGTCATCAATGTGTGAATGCTGGGGAATAAATCCTCTGGGCTATGAGGTCCTGAGTATCCTATTTACCTTGTTTTTACCCATTGTGCTTTTGTTCCAGGTTGTGAATGCTACATTTGAGGCAGCAGTCAACGCCAGCATCTCCTCAGATGGCCTGACACTGAGCATACATAGGATGCACTACACGGATGCTGGAATGTACATAGTCTATCTGAGACACTCAGCAGCCGTACTCGAAATTAACTATACTGTACTCTATGAAGGTGAGCAAGCATAGTATAATAAAACCTGGTGTAAGCGAACTCTGGGTTTAGCGACCACCTACTCTTAACAACCATTCTTCCATGCACCGACAGTTCTACACAGACACTGTGGGACCTGGTTCAAAAGACCACCTGGCTTCAACGACTGCTTTTGCTTGCACTTTGGGGTGGTCGCTTAAACCACGTTTTACTGTAGTATATATCTTGTAGTGGTTTAGGCTATAGGTTTCTTCGACTATATCACTGCCTCTTTGAAACTCGGGTATAGGGTACTGCCTATGAGTATTAACATGCGTGTAAGGCTGATGTGTCTGGTGCACAAAGGTTGCAAACACTATGCAGGCTGTAGTAAGTTATATAGCACCCCTTGTATGATGTTGGAACCACCAAAATTCGTTAATAGCAGAAACATGGAAGACAGTGGCACTTAGGTCGGACCTAAAGTCTTCGTTTTCATTCTTCCTTTCTCAGTCCTTACACTGCTCGTCTTAGCTCTCAGGGAAAAGGTTAACTTCCATTGTCAGTGTTGGGTATTACCACGTGTAGTACTGTAGTGTCTTGTATGAAAAAGCCAATGTCATATAGAAGCCTGGTTTGAATACAAGCCTGATTTCAAGATGCATGTACACTTTTGGCAAATAAACCTGGTTTGTGTAGACACACGTAGAACTATCTTGTTTGAATAGAAGCCTAACTCTGACATCTGCTTCTACAGGAATAGGTCTGGCGCTAACCTATTGAGGGCTACAGGGCCTTTCATCTGAGGCTCTGAAGAAAATGCTAAAACTGGTGCCAATGTAAAGCTCCACAACTGCATAGTCTAGGCAACTAGGTTGTTGAACTCTTGTGAAATGTTGTTAATACATGACACTATGGTATGCTAATGTAGAATTCGTTTGTTTTGTTGGATTTTAATAATATATTACCAGAACCGGCTCAAATACTCCGTGGACCTGAACTTACCAATACTAACGAAGGGAGTAATGTTACGCTGGAGTGTGTTGCTCGCGGCATGCCAGCACCAGCGGTAGCATGGTATCATGAGGGGACTTTGGTCAGCAGTGATCTATACCGCACTGTCACATATGCGGATGCCGTCACTACCCGAAGGGGTACGCAGGGAGTATGGTCGGTGTTGACCTTGGACAATGTCACCACTCTGAATGCTGGAATCTTTCGTTGCGAAGCTATCAACAAACACTTGCCGTCAGCAAGTGCCTCTGCCAGGCTCAATGTGTACAGTGAGTATCTTTGAAAGGAAATGCACAATACTTTTCTTATTGGCTCACATTGAAACCTCTCAACAGTCCCTGTTGTTCCTACAGATGATGCCTTCCAAACAGAACCATTCTGATTAGATGCAGTTCAGAGCTGGGTTGCTGATAGGGTTATGACTATTAATAATTTAGTAATCTTGCTGGGTGTGTGTGCATGCTTGCATGTTTGTACTGCCCGTGTCAAACTGTTTACAGGGTGTTAGCAGCCGTCGTGAGTTCCCCTCGGCAACATACACGATAATGTACTTTACTTGTTGCCTGATGATCGTAGTAATACGTGAAACTCAGAGTTGCGACACAGCTTCCAATCTCTCTTGTATACATGTACTTTTACTTTATCATTGAGTGCAGTGTATTTTCGTTTGAAAGGTTGCCCTCGGTGTATTTTGATATGTTATTATGCTGCAGTACCGCCTGAAGAGTTGGCCATACAGCCAAACACGTCGCTCACAGAAGGACAAACAGCGCAATTTTCCTGTCAAATGTCGGGATTTGACACACCGCATGTCACATGGTACCACAACAAAACACGGGTGAGTGATAAATCCTGGCCGCAGTTAAAAGCAAATTTCAGCAGACTTCAATGTTGACCTAAGTCTGCAGGCTCTCAAACTATCTGGACTGTGCATGTCTGAGGTGGGGTGGGAGGGTATAGTGGAGCATGTTGTTTTGTTTCAGCTTGTACTCCACTCACCCACCATCCTAGGAGCTGCATGTGTGTGTTTAATAATAGGAGCAATCATTGGGACATTGAAAAAGCAGTCCAAAAGAATTGACTCTCACACAAGCGAGACAAGAAGCACATTATGCTTACCCTAAGTACCATTTAAAAAATCATAATTATTCCGAGTTGACCAACATGTCTAAGACGCTAAAGATACCGTACTTTCCGGAGCATAAGCAGCACTGCGGTATAAGCCGCACCCAGGTTTTTTCACGAAATACAGACTTTTACCAATGTTACCTCTGTTGATTTGATCATTGTAGTGTAAGCCACACAGACGTTTTTGTCGTGACTTACTGGTGCTGAAAGTGTGGCTTATACTCCGGAGAATGCGGTAGTTCTCCCTGGCCCTGAGGCCGATCAAAGATCTGGCACATGCTTGTACACTACTGATATACAGTGCTGGCAAGTGGAATTCGACCCCTGAGCGGTGTGCTCACATCTCAAAGACCCAACACGGGATAGTTAAACTACGAAATAGAGACCGCTAGAATGTGGAAGGGTCGGATTTCAGTTTCCAGCACTGTAGTACACGTAGCTGTGCTTGTCTGTTTGTGTCTAAAACTGTTCAGGTTGTCACCACACTGACCAATCCCAGGGTAGCACTGTCCAATGGTAGCTGGAACTTGACAATCAGCTCTGTTGTGCGCAACGATACTGGGACGTACGGCTGTGTGGCGGAGAATGGCAATGTGACGGCTGGATACGGTGGTGTCACCGCAGGTTCTCAAGCACTTCTCACAGTACATGGTTAGTCCTTAGACAAGCTGCTGGTTAGTTGTTGCAAGCTGTGTATTCATCAATTCCCGAACAGTGAATGAATATAAAGACTGCAGTGGAGTCTACAAATTCAGTCAACTACAGCTGTATTACATTTTCTAGTGTAATAATTCTACAATAACTACCTTCACTGACGAGAGTTTTATAGCTGTACGAAGGAATTCAGTACTAATGGATATGTCGCTTTGTTGATGATGTGCCTTGAAAACGTGTTGATGTCGGCTTGAGAGCGCAGTTGTGGTGTGGAGGTTGAAGAAAAAGATGTACTATTGTTACATTTACTGTCGTTTGGACAGGTCATGTATGGCGTTGCCACCTTATATCTTGGAATATCAGATGTGTATTGCGGCTACAGTCACATAGTCTGCAACGAGCGACCACCACTTGTTGCAATCAAAAAGTAATCTCTTACGGCAAGTGGGTTGCTATTATTGTTATGAGCATTCCCACTTTGAATTGTGGCAGCAGTATGCTGGGTCCACAGCAGAAGGGTCCACACACACTGAGTGCACAGCAAGGCCAGCAACCCAATTCTCCTTTACTTCTCAACGGGTTTCAGTGCCGGCTACAGTAGATGCATTGCGCACTGCCACAAGCAGCCACAACTCGTGAAGTTTCTTTCTTTTCAGCTTTATGTGTATTTCGTGAATGTGTGGTGTTGTGTTTAAAACCAGTGCCTCCCAAGATAATATTGCCACAGAACGGAAATGTGTTTGTCGTCAACCAAACCGGTGATCTGGAGTTGGAGTGCGTCGTGGAGTCGTTTCCAATGGCAACCGTCACTTGCTACTTTGGCAGCAATATTGTTACTCGGACTCATGAGGGGACGATCATGACCAATGAGTCATCAGTATACAGTAAGTATGCACTCAATGCCTGAAGTGTTAGAATTCATTTTCATCACTGGTCTCTATGCCCTGAGGAAATCTGTTTGAAAACCTTCTAAAGGATTTGTAGCTCCAAATAATGAATGACATGGGCGACGGGGGTATGAGAGATTTGGAAGCACCTTGAGGAGATTTCGTGTTCATTGCTATATCGATGCAGGGAAAATTGTCCTTTGCGTTGCAGTACACCTCTGTTCGTGAAAGCTCAGATAACTGTTATTGCTGTCATCCTGGTTGCATACAGGTACTTCATCCCAGCTGTACACAACTACATACCAGCTCAGTGTGAGCAATATCAGTGAGAGTGATGCAGGACAGTATGTATGCATTGCTACGGTGGTTGCAACAACTGGTGTTCACGTGGACAGCATCAATACTAGTCTTACAGTGCAAGGTAGGGACACAACCATATACAGTCAGACCTCGTATAACCGCACACATCTGTTTTCCACAAAATTCCGGTTAGGCAAGGGAAGCGGATAATCAACTACACATACTGTATGTATGCATGGCACATGCTGTATATCGGTAAACAACGATTTTCTTCCGGATGGCAAGGAATCCAGATAAACGAGGAGCGGACAAGCGACGTCTGACTATAATAATACTACAGGATGAATAGCCAATGTACTGTGCGGTATACACCTAGCAGAGAGCGCAGATATTAGCCTGGATTCGAGTAGAATGTTAAAAGATACAATGATGCTGTATTCCCTTAGCAAAGACTACATGCAGCATTGGTGGCCTGGTAACGAACAATCAGAATAGGATTCAGTATCTCAGAGTTGAACATCATGTGACAATACAATGGCAATGTGTGCAGCGTGACGATACACTGTATGTAGAGACAAACATCATGATATGTACTGTTTGTATTGACATCTGTAGATTCAACTCTCCCACAACCATTCCCTGACGAATATAGTAGTACAGGTCGTCCCTCGTTAATACATAATCTCTGGGACTTGACAAATGTTATGTATTAACGGGGTTTATGTACTAAACGGAAGTGTACATAACTTGCTTGTGTACCAGAATTTTTCACTTTTTTCAACTTTTCTGAATGTTTCTGGCTACCATGACAAGAGAGCGAGATATTCTTGATTCCCTCGATATAACATAAAAATTATGTTATAACGGTCACAGTTAATGAAGAATCTACAGTTTACGTGATACATGTCCAGCCGCGCCTGTACAGTCACTCGGAAAAAAAACAGAGCTTTGTCGGTTTGTGATGTGCGCTCTGATTTCTGAGCTAATTGCGTCCACAAGTAGAAACTAGAACACAATGTGCCTCTACTGGAAGGCCAAAAGACCAACAAATTATGTACTATTGAGGTAGGTGACATGCGGGTACAGAGAAATGTTATGTACTAACGGGGTTTATGTACTAACGAATTATGTACTAACCGACAAAATTTGTATGGAAGTGACCACGTTTCGTCCGGGACTTGAGATTTCTTATGTACTAACCGGACTCGTATTAACGGGGAACGACCTAGTAGTACTAGCAGCACACGAAGCACAGAAAGCCATATCGCTTCGACTAGGCCTTTCGTACCATTACTTTTCAAGACGAATTCAATTAAGGACTTTATTGATACTTTGTTAATTATAACCGGCACTTTGGCGGTCAGAGCATTGGCAAAATTACACTTTAAAAGATAACGCTAGTGTAGTAGCATAGTAATAGTACTAGCGGGAATGAGACTTTTTCTAAATTTTTTTCACATTTCTTTCTCCAGTTCCACCGGTTGTTCAGAGAGTGAGTAATGCCACCCAGGACAGTCTGGAAGCAAGCAATGTCACATTCAGTTTTGCGTACACAAACTCCCCACAACCACAGCCAAGCATACAGTGGGCACTGCCCATGGCCAGTCCGAGATTTGAAGTTTCAACGAACAGGTAAGACACCACCATTGCACCGCACCCCACTCGAGTGAACGGTTTTCAGCACAAGTATTGATGGAAAAAATTGTGTGTTGCTCCCTACATGGGAGCTCGCGCTATTCCTGCCGACTTGAGTTTTCACTTGACTGACTCACGACAGGGTATCGCCGAGGTCGCACCAACCTCTTCTTCACAGTATTGATGGAAGCTGGAAATATTCTTTTCTCAAGACTTTATGCCCAGAGGCGTTTTTATAACTATCATGATCACTATTGCCAGCAATGCTTCCATTTTCATAGCCTTTTAATAATAATAATAATCAATGAATGGATATTTCCCCGGTGTTAACGTGTGTGTGCAGGATGTCTTTGACTATTCGCAACTTGTCCCTGGATGATGCCGATACCTACGAAGTGTGGATTAGTAATGCAGCAGGCATCACTTCGCTCAGCTTTACTGTCGTTGTTTACAGTAAGAGTTCACTAAAAAAACTTCAAGTTTATGCTCCATGGTGATTACGCTTTCTTGAGGGATGCACACTGCTGCTTGAGGAAGTCCGTTCAAGGGAGTCAGTGAGTAAGTGAGTCAGGGAGTCAGTGAGTCAGTGAGTGAGTGAGTCAGTGAGTCAATAAGTCAGTGAGTCAATAAGTCAGTGAGTCAATAAGTCAGTGAGTCAGTGTGTCAGTGAGTCAGTGAGTCAATGAGTCAGTGAGTCAGTGAGTCAGTCAGTCAATGAGTCAGTCAGTCAGTGAGTCAGTCATTCAATGAGTCAGTCAGTCAGTGAGTCAGTCAGTCACTGAGTCAGTCAGTCAGTGAGTCAGTGAGTCAATAAGTCAGTGAGTCAGTGAGTCAATGAGTCAATGAGTCAGTGAGTCAGTGAGTACCCAGGTAAGTGAGTCAGTGAGTCAGTGAGTCAGCTTTCCGCAAGTAAGTGAGTCAGTGAGTCAGTGAGTCAGCTTTCCGCCCTGGACTAGTGAACATGCGGTCTCTGGTCTTGGGCTGTACAGCGCCACGCGTGTAGATGACTGACATGGTCACGATCCCATTTCAACGAGCAGCAGAGTGTGTGACGACTGTGTGACGCATTGTGAATAAATGCTCTCTGCCAGAACATGATGCAAGTCAGGGCCACTATCACTATCGACAAATCCCGAACCTCATTCCCTTTCAATGTCTTACGTACAAGACTACTTTTGCTAATTTGTGTCAATTTTGTCTCCGATTCACATTTTTATAAATATCTATTTGAAATTTTCTGCTTGGTGCTCTCTTTCCATTCCTGTACAGCATTACCCCGCATTACCAGCCCTGCTGATGATGCAGTGTACATTGTCAATGTAACAGACGTGTTCCAAGTCACCTGTCACTCTGAATCGTATCCTGAAGCAGACGTCTCCATCCTGAACGGCACTGATGACCAAATATACAGTTCCAAATATGCAGCGATCACGGAATCAAATGGTACGTACATACACTTTGGTGGTGCATGTTGGGACACAACGAGGGCATTGTATTCCTATTGCTTCGCTGCGGATCACCACTTTGCAATAATTTGTGTAAAATTCATCCCTAGAAACTGACCGTTGTTTACCAGCCAAGCAAATTTCAGCTCTGCTGCTTTCAGTAATGGCCCGCGGTCCGTGGCATCAAAAGTACATGAACCAGAGAGTGTGCAACTCCAGCTATGGGATCTGCGATGTCAGAACTTCACATCATGTGGCAAACAGATACACAAATATGTTCACTCTGTCATGATAGGTGCCATGTTGCCATAGATGCCCTGCTTTATATTCAGCTCTCTCGTGGCGACTTCGCACTGTTTTCTCATGTAAAATTTGGAATCATGTCACATGATGTGAAGTTCTGGTGTCATAGGAGTGGACAGAGGTTGTGCAGGAAGTTGCAAACTGTTTGGGTTATTATGTCCAAGTGGCATGCATAAGTAAAATCTGTGGGAATTCTCAACATTCCTAGTGGCAACCGAGGGTTTGGTCTAAGATCGGGGTAGAGCAGTACCAACCCATCACAGATATCTTTATATCCCTTGTCAGATGGATAAGTTTAGAAGAGTACAGTTCTGGACAGAGAAATCCAACCTGTTATTAACGTAGCACAGTGTTTTGTGCTGCGCTGGGACTGCACAGGGCTTAACTTCCCGTGCTGTTCTATTCATGATGCTAGATTTCTCTGCCCAGCACCATGTATGACCATAGGAACTCAATCTGGTCCAGGTGAGCTGTGCACCTGGCGGATTTCTTTCGCACAGGTCCAGGCACTTTTTCAATGGAGTCACTAACGCAATCTGGCTTTTATAGTAGTCGTCGCTTGATGTTTCTCCTATTTAGCTTCCATTCCGGGAACTCAACTGACACAATCAAGCAGCACCATGACTATCGCCAACACAACTCTATCTCATAACGGCACGTACACATGTCAGGCTCAGCTCGCCACTCCAATAGGGACATACGCGAGAAGCACTAGATTCTCGTTAACAGTGGCAGGTAAGTGAATCCTTGTAGCATTTTCTCTTTGGCATTGAGAAGGTTCTTTATCTTGTTTGATGCTATAGAGTGGTTGTGCATCTATCACTTGACTATACGGGATAGCTGTGTTTGTTCCAACTCCACTCAACCCAAGTACGTATGGTTCACATTGTGTCCGCCATGTTCGTTCCACCATCCACATGCCATAATCATTTTCGGCGCAAATTTAGTGTCGTCACTCCCTAGGTGCGTACAGTCTGGTGACTAACACATTGCCATCTCAGTACCTCAATGTCTTCTTGCTGCTTTTGATTGTTTACACAGTGAAACCAGTGTTCTCCGTCATCAAGTCCAATTTCACCCGGCTGGAGGCCCAGAGCGTAACGTTTACCTTGGTGGTGCTCTACCCTGGCAACCCAGCCATCAAGCCAAGTGATGTACGTGCTGATCGTAGTATTGAGCCTTTCACTCTTCATTTCTTATCCTGACACTTGGTGGCAATAGTGACTGTTTTGGTGTTGGGGTATATCGTCTGTACTCATGCCTTCCCTTCATAGCAATCTTTACCAATAGCTTCGGCGAATTCTACATTGCTTACTTTGTGTCGGGTACATATCATTTGGCACTATGGAAGACACCTCATGTTATTCTAAACCAGATCACAACGTGCCTGGGATTGATCAAAATGTTGATGATTAGTCATTATTATAATGTCTTTCATGAAAATCTGCTCTATTATGAACAGTGAGATCTTTTTCATAGACCACTTCCCTCTTGCATGCCATCATACGAGTCAGATAGAACACGTATTATTTTCTCTCTGGTCTTATTCTTGTGTCTTCTCTACTAGATCATTTGGGAGTCGCCCCTGGGCACTGTGCATCCGATTGGATCCACATTTGTGTTCTCTGTTGATCGTCAACGCCTCACAATCAACCGCCTGCAGCGCCTTGACTCTGGCATGTACACAGCACGAGCTGGAAATTACAATGGCTTTGCAGTGGCCGTCTTCCACCTGCTGATGAATGGTATGTAACCTGGGTCTACAGAGATTATTCTACGGTATGTCCAGGTGCATACTCACACACACAACCGCACCCCCCCCCCCCCCACAAATACACTCCTGAACACACGCACGCATGCACGCACACCTACACACCTACACACACGCACGCCCGTACGCACACACACACACACACACACACACACACACACACACACACGCACACACATAACCCATGTTCGAAGAACCTGCAAATTTACCAGCATCCACGTCTTGTAATGCTATGAGGTTTGCGCTCACATTGAAATTGTCAACCATCAGATAGTGTGTCATTTGTATCAAATTGTGATGTTCCCAGACTATTAGCCCCCCCCCCCCACACACACACCATTCTCAAATGCCTCCATTAATGGTCAATGCCATGCTATAACAAGTGATCTCCTTGTTCCAAAACACTTGTGAATGCTCTTACTTATGAAGTTTTGGTTTTTTGTCAATGATGCAGTTCGACCCTTCATATCAACCCCTTCTAGAGATGAGAAGTTTACTGTAGAGGAGGGAAAGTCCCTATCGATCCCATGCAATGCCAGTGCTTTCCCCAGCACCATGCCCGTGTGGGAGCATATCGGACTGGGTCGAGTTCCCACCACGGGCAGCGTCAGTGCCAGCACACTATCCTCTTATGGTAAGCATGGTATTATTAGTATTCTCGTAGCTATAGCTCTTTTCACAAAATTAATATTATTATTATTATTATTATTAAACTCAATCTCGTAGCATGTGCACCCATTGCTAATGTGGGGAGCAACCCCAGAGATGAGGGAAATAACCAGCCATGTTAAGAGTACAATAGAAAACAGTGGTATGATTCAATTGCCAACTGTCGATGACTACTGTAAGACCGGACATGTTACCGAACATTTAATTCTAACGATTTAATGAAATATATATATTTTTTAAACATTTGAAGTCGTTATGTGCAAAACGATATGTACATGCACTGCAGGCCCGTTGGAACCGGTCCGGTTAGTCAGGCCATGACCGGGTCTACGTTTTAGCCATCAATGTGTGTTTACTGCTGAAGAGGTCATGTGTGTACCCTTCACATCATTCACAACGTATGAAAGTCATGTGTGTAACCTTCACATCATTCACAAAGAATGAAAGGCTTGGGTATGGCAGGATCTATAAAAATCTACTTACGCCAGTCCTGTTCAGTGAATCATTAATTCTCTTTTAAGGACATAACATGCTATGTCTATTGCCAAGTTGGACACATCCGCAATAGTATTATTGCTATCAAATGCCATGGGTCACGAAGACTTTCTAAAAAAATTAAGCAGTAGTTTTGCTGTGTCTTCACTAAACAGCAAAGAGTCTCGTTCGCCTGGTTCAGTGAAAATGTCATCTGGGCAGTTAGTTGTCTCGATCTTGTTAGATCTTGTCAGCCGAGCGCGGAAATACTGATCCATATAATAGCAAAGAAGCCGACTGAACAAAAGCATTTGAACCCGGCTCTAATAGGGGATTCACACACACGGGTAGAACCAAGGTTTTTGGGAAAGTTGTTCCCATTCCGACAATAATGCATGTTGAATGCAACACATAGTGCAGAATGAACTACTAAAATGCAGTACAGTTTATTTATTTTGAATTCCCCCACCAAAAATTCATGGCAAAAAATGCGACCAATAGAAAACTGACAACATGTATATGCACACTGTCTTTTCTGGGACATAGATGCAACACAGCAACTCTACCTGACGGCGAATATTCTGGTGATTTCCGACGCTACATTCTACAACAGCGGCAGATATCGTTGCGAAATTGCGATAGTCGACGACACTGGCTCACATTTCACTGCTGTTGAAGTGGACATAGATGTGCAAGGTAGGGTTAATTGTATTTGCCATTATGCCGAATGTGCTTTCTGAGAAAATGTGAAGTAATGGCCATGGGCATGAACGGACCTGCCAAACTAGATCTGCACTTTAGTTGCATTGTCTGCCCAAGGCAAGTCATGGAAATGATGCAGTGCTTCAAATTCATAGAAGTACCCATTACCCCTACATAGAGATTGTTCATCAGCATAATTTTATTCATGCAATGTAAAAAACGGTGGAGACGATGTGCAATAAAACGATGAAAATATGAAGAAATGGTGTAGGGAAAAAATATATGGATTCAAACAAGTTTTCGTACAACACTCATCAGGAATTGTCGTTGTACTAAAGGATACTGAAACAAAAATTGAACTATTATAGAAAATCTAAGTTACAGAAATAACACTAAGAGCAACAACAGTGAAATTTACAAGTGTGAATTTTAACAATCAAAGCGAGAAATGAACAAAGGAGAAAGGAAGGAAAGACAACGTGATAACACATAACAGCAGTACATTACACCTAGAACATTAACGGCCAAGCTTGGCCGCACTAAACACGACACGTTACTTGAACAATTTCAACCCAATTATACTATCTTTCTGTACACACAAATTAGGCTTGTACAGACGCTGATAGATAGCTTCCAACACTTTTAACTGTAGTCCATAACCATGACGACCACGGCACAATACAGTGAACGAAGAGTCGGAATACGAATTGCAACAATCAGGACTAGCTAGCAGATGATTGTACACTGAAGACTTGCTACCACGAAACCTACGCACAACACTAACACTCTCACCGGCATTCTCACCATCACTCGGCGGCTTTGGCTGAGGTGGTGCCGCTTGCGGTCCCGGTCCCACTGCCTCCTCCCGATCCTCCACCATCGGTTCTTGCGGCGGTGGAGCTTGCCAGTGGGAGACCGCGAGCAACACTGACAGCTGCATTAACACTACAAATGCCGACTCAAAAAGACCCACCTTGCATATCAGTAGCTCCCACACCAACACCAACAACGCAATCTACAGCAACCACAACTAATCCACCATCCAAGCCCACAATTGAAAGACCAAGACGATCAACAGCCAACTACAACAGAAGCTACGCACTCAGCGGACAAGGGCGAAAGGAGGGATGTGATAGCAGGGTGACGGCCGAGTTGACTTCAATGGAACCGGTCAGGCGGGATGGACGAGACAGAGAGAGTACAGAGGAAGCGGAGGATGGAGCGGACGGCGGAAGGAGCAGTGAGTCGGAGAGCAGTGATGGGAGTGATGGTGAGAATGCCGGTGAGAGTGTTAGTGTTGTGCGTAGGTTTCGTGGTAGCAAGTCTTCAGTGTACAATCATCTGCTAGCTAGTCCTGATTGTTGCAATTCGTATTCCGACTCTTCGTTCACTGTATTGTGCCGTGGTCGTCATGGTTATGGACTACAGTTAAAAGTGTTGGAAGCTATCTATCAGCGTCTGTACAAGCCTAATTTGTGTGTACAGAAAGATAGTATAATTGGGTTGAAATTGTTCAAGTAACGTGTCGTGTTTAGTGCGGCCAAGCTTGGCCGTTAATGTTCTAGGTGTAATGTACTGCTGTTATGTGTTATCACGTTGTCTTTCCTTCCTTTCTCCTTTGTTCATTTCTCGCTTTGATTGTTAAAATTCACACTTGTAAATTTCACTGTTGTTGCTCTTAGTGTTATTTCTGTAACTTAGATTTTCTATAATAGTTCAATTTTTGTTTCAGTGTCCTTTAGTACAACGACGATTCCTGATGAGTGTTGTACGAAAACTTGTTTGAATCCATATATTTTTTCCCTACACCATTTCTTCATATTTTCATCGTTTTATTGCATAATTTTATCCTGCAATTAGGCAGGCAACACACAGACAGACATCGTACAACACCAATGAATCTTCAAATTACTGTCAAGCACCTCTGTCCCGGAAATATGATCTGCTACTTATTTGGAGGTTTTACAAGTATGGCGTAGATGATCTTTTGATAGTCTGCATCAAGCCAAATATTAGCTTTGAGAGACTGTTTACAGAACTGCAAATTCCTGTCAGTATACTGCGCTAGTCGGAATCCATATTGTGTTACCAATGATGTTTCACTGCTTTGTGTTCAGCTGGTCCAAGGTTCAACCAGTCTCAACGTGAATACACAGTTCTCGAAGGTGAAATGCTCGACGTCGAATGCATCGCATTCGCCAATCCACGGCCATTGTTTGTCTGGACTGTATCACCGGGATTTCCCGCTGTGATGACTGGCCTGGCTAGTGACGTCACAGTCTTGCCATACCATACTTCTACGTATAGTATGAGCAATGCTGCTGTGGACGGATTGTTGAACAACTACACACTGACTAGCAACGTGAACAACTCCATTGCCACAGCCAGCACTACATTCACTGTCATAGTGCAAAGTAAGTCAAGTGTAGAATTGTCAAAAAGTAACACTGCCCATTACCTTTACTTCTCACATGAGGGCATGTGTGCATGTGTGCATATGTGACCAGTTTCTGTCAGTTCCTGAGCACTTCTGGAGCCTGGACTATTGTGCTTTGTGATTTCTTATGTCTTCAAGTCATTTATTTCCTTTCCTCCTTTTCTTCTTTCCTTCCATATTCGCCGTTATGTTGTTGGGCCCGTTCTCGTAAGTGGATCTGTCCCAAAGTCATGCCGCAGTCGCTCATTTCAAAGAAACTGATCTTTCACCTGCCATTCCACTCTCCTTGCACATATCGAGCTCACGTTCTGTGCTTTGTGTGTGTGCATGTGTGTGTGTGTGTGTGTGTGTGTGTGTGTGTGTGTGTGTGTGTGTGTGTGTGTGTATGCCTGAGTACCTGTGTGTGTGTTTATGTACATGTGTATTTGTATGTTCTTGCCTGTTTGCATTCATCTCCACGTGTGGTATTTGCAGTCCCACCAGCGTACATCAGCTCAAGAACTGGAATATACGTAACGTGCAATGAACACCAATACGTTACACTGAGTTGCACTTACCGTGGACTGCCCGCGCCAACCAGTTTCTGGCAACATGCATCGAATGCTACGAACCCTTTATTTACAGTCGTTGAACGAAACAGCACATTTCCTAATGTGTACACTAGTGCACATGCCTTCCCCAGTGTGAGAAAGTCGGACGAGGGAAATTACTCATGTTTGTTCCGGAACGATGCAGGGAATGCTTCTCAGGATCTGTTCCTCCGAGTGCAAGGTGAGCCTAGTACTAGGCCTGTCGGTTTTCCGGCAGCACTGTCAAAATATTTCGCTTTCTTTGTCCACTATTTTCTCCGCCTGTTTGAATTTATAGGATCTGTTAATGTCCAAGTACTCTTTGAAAAGCACCAATGATAATTGATTGTAATGGAAGCAGCTGACAAGATCCAACAAATTAATATAGACTGGTCATGATTCCAACCATACATAGAGCTCTACCTAAAATAGATGAAGTACACAGGCAACTTGCTGCTCGTTCTCTAGCAAGAAACAGTGATCATCAATTTCGGTGTGCCGTTCTCGGTATTGACTGATTATATATAATTATTGGTTACTTTCCCCGTTGCTTTTCCTCTCAGTTCCTCCCCGAGCTAGTGCCGTGACGACACTTGTCCACGGTGTTCAAGATATGGTTGCTTCACTAATAGTTCTACTGGACTTTGCTGGCGATCCGGGTGTTCCTGTGGCTAACATCACTTGGACAAAGGTCAGCCAATTGTACAAACATTCTTGTTTTTTTGTGACTATTGCCATTGCTGTCAGACTTGAACTTCAAGCCTGCCTCCAAAATATTGGGGAGCCACCTGCTGCTAAAAATAAACCTCTGACTGGAGTTATGTGTTGCTCCCTACGTGGGAGCTCGCACTCTTCATACCAAGTTGAATTCTCACTTGGCTGACTCATGCCTGCCATCCAGAGCACATGAGAAGCCCATCGAACCGTCCACTCGGCAAACCTGCGAGAAAGCGCTGCTCCCTGCTCAGTACACAGTGTTTCGGGGAATTCAGCCCTCATCAACGAATGGAGTTAGCTGTAAAATCGTATTTTCATTCCACTTGTTCCCTTATGCAGTTTGTCAATGCGTCACCCGAAGTGCCAATTCCAACGTCATTCCTATCACAAAGCCGACTGAACCTCAGCATAGCACACATGAATTACACCGATGCTGGCTTGTACAGTGCACGGCTCTCAAATCCAGCTGGTGCTGCAACTGTAAACTTCACTCTGGAGTACAGAGGTGAGTGGAGATTGTGCATGACGTTAGAGTGGAAAGCCAGATGAATAAAGAAGGCTGACAGTTATTATCTGGCATTGACGACGTTTGACAGGATTCCATTTTAACATTGGATCATTGAGACCATCAGACAGGTACTTTTTTCACTTCTAGATCCTTGTTATGTTTCTGCCCTATCCGTTTCAGAGCCGCCAAGGTTCATCTCACAGCCAGTCGTAGAAACACGTAACGAAGGCGCCAGTGTACAGCTTCAATGCATCGCCAGTGGTGTTCCGAAACCAAGCATCAAGTGGCTGCACAATGGAATTGTCCTGAACGGATCAGCAATCACTACAATCACGGAAGCGACGTACAACGCCAGCTTTGCATGTGATCATAGCGAGTGTGTTTTGTCAACATTGGCGATATCGAACATCACGTATCCGGAGCATCAAGGCGATTATGAGTGTGAAGCATCTAACATCGTGTCTTCTGCCATCAGCCGAAATTCGACTTTGAACATTTATGGTGAGTAGGTTTGGAACTGTTTGGCCAGGTTTACAATCCGGCCTCAAATGATAATGAAAGTTACACTTCTTTCACTCAAGTCTCAACATTTTTTTGATGATTTCGTGTCTTAGTAAGGCAGAGCGGAACATTGCAGGTTCTCTTTAAAACCATGCAAGGTAGCATTTAGTGCCATGATCATTCCTATTTTGATAAACGCTTTGCATGGGATGAACATAACTCAGAGCGACAGTCCACTTTCCACCGGGAGTAAGGTAGCGGAGATGCAGCCTACTGTATCCCCCCCCTGCTGGGAATGTGTATACTTGCACATGCCAGTCGGTGCGTTCATATAATAGCAGTGTGATCCAGCACATGAAATCCGTTGTTTGCAGGTTATGTTCATCAACATAGTTGTATAGCCCAAGTGTCTGGACATTTTTTTACGAGAAACCACGAACCTCGAGAACAGAATACTGCATGATAGAGGTGGCTGCAGACGCAATTGTGGTGGTGAAACTGGAGCATCTCCGCCGACCTGAGGTCTCGGCTTCAGCAACACTTCAGTGCACCAAAAAGTGCGGAAGAGTAGGCACAGAGGGGAGGGGAGGACATGTGCAGGATTTTATGGTACGTGATATTGTGCTGGCTGTTGCTTGCAGTTCAGCCAACGGAGACCATTGCCGCATCAGATCTAGCAGTGGTGGAAGGCGCCACGGTTCATATCACTTGCAATGTACATGCAGTACCAATATCAGCGATAACCTGGTTCTTCAACAATGTGGTAAGAGGGGCTGTTTGCTTACTTGGTATTTCTAACCTTGATCCTAGTGCAGTGGCCAAGAATACAATCTTGTGCATGAGTCTTGTACTTAGAATTCATCGTGGCTGTGGACAGTGAGAATTAAGTCGTCCACTTGAGAACTAGAGATTCTGCTCATTTACGGCTAGTGTGACAAATCTCTGCTTATCGGCAGTCAATTTTTTCTTCAGACTTTTCCCGTTTGAGTCTTACTCTCAACCCAGTGGATATCTTTTAAAACACATGCCTTGAATGAACATCTGAGAATATTGTTCACTTGGTCCTTCTAATGTTGCTGGCTTACAGGACATATCATCAAGCCATTCCTTTTCGGCTGGTCGTATTCAACTTACGCAGTCCGATCATAATCTGACCATCAGCACGGTCGAATTCCGTGATCGCGGCGTCTATCAATGCACAGCCAGTAACACAGATAGCAGCGGAACTCTTGGTGGATCTGTCAACGGCACAGAGGTCACTCTCAGTGTGTATGGTGAGTTGGCAATGTACGTGCTTTGCAACTAGTTAATGGCTTATTTATTTATTTATTTATTACAGCATCTCATAGCACAGTGAGAACACCGGCCAATACAAAGAGAGAGGGTGTTAGCCAACCACGGCAAGGAAGGGAGAAGGGGAGGAGAAAAAAAAAGGAACCGGCATGGATAAGTAGGCTTGTAAACTAAACGTTTAGAGTAAGTGAATTTAGAGTTATAGAAGTACTTGTTCAAGTCCACATTTCTCACTTCTTGGAAGAGCCAGTCTCTCTGGCATCTCAGTATATGTCAGGCCCGTCGCACTGACTTTGGAGGTGCGGCGGCCATGGAAGGGGGGGGGGGGGTCTTGGAGTGTTCTCGAATAATCAGATCTACACATGTTCTTTCATGAGAAACCTGATCAGCTTCTCCCGTGTGGCGTGAGCTCTTGATGCTTACAAAATCCCCTTTGTTAACAGTTGAAAAAAAGAATTAATTGTAATTTTGTACATTGCCATATTGTACTAATGATCAGCATTGCTGTATGGATGATTATCGCCGATTCCCTCTGCAGTTTCGCCAATAATATCCGAAGCACCAGACAATATCACAATTGTCGAGGGTGAGAATGTCACTTTAACCTGTATGGCAACTGGGCACCCAGCTCCAAGCATACATTGGCAGTATAATGGTACTGATCTGCCATCGTACTCAAATGTTAGTATTGCTGAAGGTCCAGTGGAGCCAACCTACATCACCAGCAGCTTGAGTCTGGACAGCGTTGGGTTTGAGCAACGCGGTGCTTACAGATGTGTGGCCAAAATCAATGCCACGGGTTCCCGGGACGTGGAGAGAATGAGAGATGTGGCTAGCAGTGAAGGTATTTTGACAGTTTACAGTAAGTACCTTTCTGGTAGAAATATTCTTTGATGCAGGCATACGTTGAGCAATAACGTAGTGCTATGAACTGGTTATAGGGTTGCAGGGCAACAGCAAATTAAGACTGATACCTATTTATGCCTGTGTATATCTTTGTAAGGCATGCTATCTAACTGGTCTGTCGATGTGCTTGTCTCCTTTGTGAACCTGTACAAGTATGCCTGGTGCATGTATGTAAATTATTTACACCCTGGACAATTAGCCCATTCATGTTTGCCATGGGATATATATTTGTTTCGCCATGCACGTTCATGGAGATATATGGATGTTGTAGAAAACAAGACTGTTGCCGGCCATTTTGCATTGTCGATGATGCTTTTGTATATGCAGCGGAGCCACAACTCCAGTTCTTGTCAAGCGCCTTACACATAGAACCTCCTGAGCAGATCAACATCACCTGCACTTTCTCAAGTAACCCTCCTCCAACTGTTATAATTTCTGCTCCTGGCTACTCACAAAGTCAGATGTTATCACTGGGATTGCTACACACTGTCCAAGGTAAAATAATATGATGTTTCTTGCTGCCTAGAAGTATTGCACCTATGTTGTTTTCATAAATGCTTGGGCCATGATATCTATGTGGATCCACAGCTGCATGGTCATCATAAGGGGGTGGCAACATGTATAAGTGAAATTGAGCCACCATCAGTTCTTTATGCAGTACTTGAAATACACGAACGTGACAACCATTGGTTCCTCGGAAGTATGTTCAACTGACTTCAGTGTCTACCCATTACGCAGAAGTCAGGATTTTGCATAGCTCTATAGCTCACAACAGCATACAGTGCAAGGCCACAGTGGAAACCATGTACACAAACCAAATGTAATTTCCATTCTGCCAGAGATGTGTCATGACATGGTATATTTTGTAATCTTGGCTTGTCCGAGGAGGAACCAGACCCAGCTCGCCTACTCAAATCGCCACTGTGCTTCGAGGACATAATTATGGAAACGAGTTAAGAGTAACTCTCCACCACTGTAACTAGATACTATATACAGTCAGAAAGTGCGACAACTAGGCACAAAACTGACAGAGTACTGAGACATTCGACGTCCTGACACCTAGCTTCAACACATCTCCGTAGCGCTAACCGACAGCCTTCCAACTTGGAAGGTTCAAGGTTATGGAAAGACCAAAGAGGGGAAGGGAAGCGCAACGAAAACGAGCACAAGCTACAGTCTCAACGGAACAAAGAATGTCGATTGTCACTGGACGATGACGAGACCAGTAGGCGATTTGACAAAGCGGTCTAACTACAATTTGAAGCACAGTGGCGATTTGTGGCTGTGAAAGGGTAAACAGCTTCAACAGACTCCTTCCGATTCTTTCCTCATGTCTTACTCTACAGTCAACTTCGCTAATAACGACTGCGGATATAACGACAATTTGCGAATAACGACAGAATTTTCATGCCCAGAGCAAAGTCCAATCTAACTGTGACACATATAATGAGACTTCGGGTATAACGACACTTCGCGAATAAGGACACTTTTTTGATGCCCCGTCGAGTGTCGTTATAAGCGAAGTTGACTGTACTTGAGAAATCCTTGTCCATGTTTTCTCCCCCTTGCTGTATTTCTACATACAACCAGGAGTATATTCCAGAGGCATGCCTTGGAGTCAGGCAACACTACATCTAGCAGCAGCAAGGCGTTCAGACAATGGTACTTACACGTGTACAGCAATGACACCAGCTGGAAACGCAACTCAAGACACATCCGTTACTGTCTACGGTCAGTAGAATGCGTACTTTATCAGTGTGTTTACTGGACATAATCCTGACCAATTGCTACACCGTATTGATCTGATCCCGTGCCAAGTTCAAGACAAATTGTGACAAATCAGGTCGACAATTACTGATCACCAGCCCTCGGAAAGTGTGGAACCGATTTGGTGTATGTGTTTAAAGAATGCTGGAGGGTTAATGTCACTCATAGTGTTTCTGATTTCATTTTTGTTACAGAGATACCTGATCCTCCCCGACCGGCTACAGCGGTGCAGAATATTCCCTACAATATCACTATTGAATGGACAGAGCCACAAGGCAATAATGCTCCCATTTTAAGCTACAGGATTGAGTAAGTTGAAATACACTGATTTACGCATTGTGAATATAGCAAGTATTCCGATTCTGGGCTACATAGTCTGAAAGTGCATGCTCTGGGCCTGTCTGAACAGACCAAAAATACAGAACAGACCGAATCAGAAACTGTCTTGTCTACATTGTCATTGAGCGAAGCTTTTCTTTTTCTGCAATCGTCCATCATATGCGGGACATGTGCATAGCACAGATGATTCCCTGGTATTCAGTACAGATTGAGAAGTGAAAGTCGACTACTATGGAAACTTCAATTAATAATATTTCAATTTTTCTCACAATCCAAGGCCTCCTAGTTGATCCTTCAGTACTGTTTTTTTGATATACAGGATAACGTCTTATGACTGTCAAGGAAACAAGGAGGAAATGTTTCACAACACATCTGCTGGAGTGCGGTTGGCAACATTTAGTGTGTTGCCAAATCGGCGGTACGAGTTCCGTGTGCAAGCCAGCAATAGAATTGGAACAGGAAGCTTCAGCCCCCAGTTGTCTGTTCACTCACATGAAATTGGTAAGGACCTGTGTGATTTGCTTGCAAAGAAAACATCTACAGGTTAAGGAGCTCACAATGTATTCCATTTTTCCTTCTCCATGTACATCAAACTTCACGGTGTCTGCGATGACAAGAATTGAAACCAATTCTAGTATATGAACCCATGAATTGCAATCGATGGTCCTGATGTGTGCATACCGTAAAGTCGCGGATAAAAGCCGGGTTTGCATACAAGGACATCGCGGATAGAAGCCTGAAAATCAAACGGGTCAAATATAAGCCTTTCGCTCGTAGAAGCCTGGCTTCTATGCAAGCGCGGATTGGGTAGGTCAAGAGTGCATGCGCTATGTACAGTGCATAGTTAATCTGCCGCCATACCGGTAGTCAGTGGTAGATCTACGCGTGTCGTGCGTAGAAGCCTGGCTTCTATGCAAGCCCGGATTGGCCGATGTGCATACAAGGCTGGCAAAAATATCAGTGGTGCATATAAGCATGGTTTACATTGAAGCCTGATGCAGAAAGCGGCTTATGTGCTTATAAGCCCGGCTTTTATCCGCGACTTTACGGTAAACCCAGTGCAGAGGAATGAATTACTAGTGATTAAATAATTATGAAGTCAGCGGATTACTAGTATGTTGGACACCGACTCAACACAGGGTGGAGTTCGGTATCTACATTGCAATGGCATTCTAAAATGACAAATGAAGAAGATTTTTGGTGATTCTTTTCCTTGACCCTTCCTCTACAGAACCACTGCCTGCCCCAGCCAGTGTCAAGGTAGAAGTGATCAGCTTTGAGTCTGTCAACATCTCCTGGTCAGACATCAACTGTACAGAGCAAACAGCACAGACGCAGGGATACCGTGTGTTGTACAAGGACCTATTGGTATGTAGGAGCAGCCCGGCTGGAAATCTACTCTAGCTGCATGTGGAGTACATAATTGACCATATACGCATTCATGCATTCAAGCCCCTGAAGCCGCTGAGTGTCAACATAGTATTGGCAAGGCAATATAGCAGGACAGCAAGCAAAACCTGACATGTAGTGCTGTGATTGATGATTGTTGTGTGCCTTCCACCAATAGCTTATAATCAACAGTGTGGAGAGTTTTGCTGCGAGAAGTATGCTCATTGATGCAGATACTGAAAACCTGGAAACCGTTGCGATCCAGAATCCTTCGCAGTTTTTGCGATAGGTGTGAAATTGCCAAATTGAAGCAGGCATAAAATGTAGAGCTGTGGAAAAAAACTGCGGAAATTGACTCCGATCGCAAACATTTCCAGATGCAAATTTGTCTGTGCTCGAAGATCGCAAACTAAAACTGACACAAAGGTTTAAGGGTTTACAGTAGTAGTTGAAAAGGTCTGATGTAGGGTCTTAGCAGTTCCATATAGATAATGGATTTGATAGAGTGTAGGGCATCTACCACAGGATTTACTGGGTGCTAGCTGGGTGCTAGCAGCCGTCATGAGTTCCCTTGGGAACGTGTATGATATTATCCTTTTTCCATCTTGTTTCTACAGGCATCCAACTTTTCATCTGTGGAAGTGTCAAACCAAAGCCTTTCATATGTGCTGTCAGGCTTGGACGCACTAACGTTCTACACATTCCAAGTGTGTGTGCTCTCGACTACAATGTGCAGTGCTGACAGTGATCCGGTTCAGGCGAGAACCTTGGCTATAGGTCAGTCGTATGTGTCTCAATGTCCCATTCCGACACAGCAAGCTCAATGTCTGATTTTTCTCTCTATTGGGCTCTTAATGCTCGACCCACACCCCATTATAGAAGTTACAGGATCATAAAAAATAAAAAATAGCTTGCCGCATATCTCTATTCTGTTTCAACTTGTGCTGCATAGCACCTTTGCATTGAATACATTTTCCGGACTACCAGCTAGTTCAACATTGTCACATCTCATCAGTGGAGCTCGGACCTACCGGTTAAAGCAGCCAACAATACACTTGTCATTAATGCCTCAAAGCTCAAAGTCAGAGTGATCTAACTAACTACTTTTTCCTTTGTTCCTCAGGAAACCGCTCTCCACCTGAAGCACATGCACCCAACAATGCAGTAGTTGGAGTGGAAAGTGAAGCAGTGGAACTGTTTGTGAATCTCACAGATGCTGGCATAGCCCCGTTACCCAGTTCCAACATTACTTGGGTGAAGGTAAGAACTCAGCGTGCAATGAAGACCACACGTGCATGATCCCTTGATTTTCAGATATCCGTCTCTTTTCATTACGGAGAAGTGATTTACCGGAATAAGATCACGGGACGAGCATCTGTGGGATCATTTGTACTCTTGTGAGCAATGTTTAGTCTTGTCAGCAATGTGCATTATTGTCAATGTTTCGATCCTGGGGAATAAATCCTCTGGACAATTATGTCCCGAGTGTCCTATTTACCTTGTTTTTAACCATTGTGCTTTTCTTCCAGGTTGTGAATGCTACATTTGAGGCAGCAGTCAACGCCAGCATCTCCTCAGATGGCCTGACACTGAGCATACATAGGATGCACTACACGGATGCTGGAATGTACATAGTCTATCTGAGACACTCAGCAGCCGTACTCAAAATCAATTACACCATACTCTATGAAGGTGAGCAGGCATAGTACAGTCAGACCTGTGACTAGCGACCACCCCTTGGGACCAGAGAAAGCGGTCTTTAGAGGCAGGTGGTCCTTAGTTAGAGGTTTGCACCGCAGAACCATAATTATATGAATGTAAGACTGTACGTGCCTGGAGAAGTGGTCTGTGGTACCAGTCTGGCCGCTAGTCTCGGTTGTCTTTTGTTACATATCTTCTAGTGGTGTGCTATAACTTTCTTCGACTATAACACTGGCTATCAAAATGCATGGCAAGTTGATGTGTCTTGTTCACAAACGTTTCCAACATAATCCAGCCAGTGCTAAATGAAATAGCACCCATTGTATGGTGTTGGCAACACCAAAATTCGTAATAGGAGAATCATGCAAGACAGTGGCACTTAGGTCGGACCTAAAATCTTCGTTTCCATCCTTCCTTTCTTAGTCCTTACACTGCTCGTCTTAGCTCACAGGGAAGTGGCAATTTCCATTGTCAGTGTCCGTACTATCATATGTAGTACTGTAGTGTCTTGCATTAAAGCCTATCTCATATAGAAGCCTGGTTTGAATACAAGCCTGATTTTCAAGATGCATGTACACTTTTGGCAATAACCCTGTTTTAATTGTAGACACACATAGATTTTGTTTGAATAGAAGCCTAACTCTGACATCTGCTTCTACAGGAATAGGTCTGGCGCTAACCTATCGAGGGCTACAGGGCCTTTTATCTTAGGGTCTGAAGAAAATGCTAAAAATGGGGCCAATGTAAAGCTCCACAACTTCATAGTCTAGGCAACTAGGTTGTTGAACTGTTGTGAAATGTTGTTAATACATGACACTATGGTAACTGTGCTAATGAAGAATTCGTTTGTTTTGTTGGATTTTAATAATATATTACCAGAACCGGCTCAAATACTCCGTGGACCTGAACTTACCAATACTAACGAAGGGAGTAATGTTACGCTGGAGTGTGTTGCTCGCGGCATGCCAGCACCAGCGGTAGCATGGTATCATGAGGGGAGTTTGGTCAGCAGTGACCTATACGGCACTGTGACATATGCGGATGCCGTCACTACCCGAAGGGGTACGCAGGGAGTATGGTCGGTGTTGACCTTGGACAATGTCACCACTCTGAATGCTGGAATCTTTCGTTGCGAAGCTATCAACAAACACTTGCTGTCAGCAAGTTCCTCTGCCAGGCTCAATGTGTACAGTGAGTATCCTTGAAAGGAAATGCACAATACTTTTCTTATTGGCTCACATTGAAACATCTCATCAGTCCTTGTTGTTCCTACAGATGATGCCTTCCAAACAGATTTTTCCACAAAATGTCTTGTGAAATCCGCACCTTGTCTGAGGGTAAATTCGAACCATTCTGATTAGATGCAGTTCAGAGCTGGGTTGCTGATAGGGTTATGACTATTAATAATTTAGTAATCTTGCTGGGTGTGTGTGCATGCTTGCTTGTTTGTACTGCCAGTGTCAAACTGTTTACAGGGTGTTAGCAGCCGTCGTGAGTTCCCCTCGGCAACAGACACGATAATGTACTTTACTTGTGGCCTGATGATCGTAGTAATACGTGAAACTCAGAGTTGCGACACAGCTTCCAATCTCTCTTGTATACATGTACTTTTACTTTGTCATTGAGTGCATTGTATTTTCGTTTGAAAGGTTGCCCTCGGTGTATTTTGATATGTTATTATGCTGCAGTACCGCCTGAAGAGTTGGCCATACAGCCAAACACGTCGCTCACAGAAGGACAAACAGCGCAATTTTCCTGTCAAATGTCGGGATTTGACACACCGCATGTCAGATGGTACCACAACAAAACACGGGTGAGTGATAAATCCTGGCCGCAGTTAAAAGCAAATTTCAGCAGACTTCAATGTGGACCTAAGTCTGCAGGCTCTCAAACTATCTGGACTGTGCATGTATGAGGTGGGGTGGGAGAGTTTAGTGGAGCATGTTTTTTTGTTTCAGCTTGTACTCCACTCACCCACCATCCTAGGAGCTGCATGTGTGTGTTTAATAATAGGAGCAATCATTGGGACATTGAAAAAGCAGTCCAAAAGAATTGACTCTCACACAAGCGAGACAAGAAGCACATTATGCTTACCCTAAGTACCAAAAATTTCAAAAATCATAATTATTCCGAGTTGACCAACATGTCTAAGATGCTAAAGATACCATACTTTCCGGAGCATAAGCAGCACTGCGGTATAAGCCGCACCCAGGTTTTTTCACCAAATACAGACATTTACCAATGTTACCTCTGTTGATTTGATCATTGTAGTGTAAGCCAAACAGACTTTTTTGGCGTGACTTGCTGGTGCTGAAGGTGTGGCTTATACTCCGGAGAATGCGGTAGTTCTCCCTGGCCCTGAGGCCGATCAAAGATCTGGCACATGCTTGTACACTACTGATATACAGTGCTGGCAACTGGAATTCTACCCCTGAGCGGTGTGCTCACATCTCAAAGACCCAACACGGGATAGTTAAACTACGAAATAGAGACCGCTAGAATGTGGAAGGGTCGGATTTCAGTTTCCAGCACTGTAGTACACGTATCTGTGCTTGTCTGTTTGTGTCTAAAACTGTGCAGGTTATCACCACACTAACCAATCCCAGGGTAGCACTGTCCAATGGTAGCTGGAACTTGACAATCAGCTCTGTTGTGCGCAACGATACTGGGACGTACGGCTGTGTGGCGGAGAATGGCAATGTGACGGCTGGATATGGTGGTGTCACCGCAGGTTCTCAAGCACTGCTCACAGTACATGGTTAGTCCTTAGACAAGCTGCTGGTTAGTTGTTGCAAGCTGTGTATTCATCAATTCCCGAACAGTGAATGAATATAAAGACTGCAGTGGAGTCTACAAATTCAGTCAACTACAGCTGTATTACATTTTCTAGTGGAATAATTCTACAATAACTACCTTCACTGACGAGAGTTTTATAGCTGTACGAAGGAATTCAGTACTAATGGATATGTCGCTTTGTTGATGATGTGCCTTGAAAACGTGTTGATGTCGGCTTGAGAGCGCAGTTGTGGTGTGGAGGTTGAAGAAAAAGATGTACTATTGTTACATTTACTGTCGTTTGGACAGGTACATGTATGGCGTTGCCACCTTATATCTTGGAATATCAGATGTGTATTGCGGCTACAGTCACATAGTCTGCAACGAGCGACCACCACTTGTTGCAATCAGAAAGTAATCTCTTAAGGCAAGTGGGTTGCTATTATTGTTATGAGCATTCCCACTTTGAATTGTGGCAGCAGTATGCTGGGTCCAGAGCAGAAGGGTCCACACACACTGAGTGCACAGCAAGGCCAGCAACCCAAGGCTCCTTTACTTCTCAACGGGTTTCAGTGCCGGCTACAGTAGATGCATTGCGCACTGCCACAAGCAGCCACAACTCGTCAAGTTTCTTTCTTTTCAGCTTTATGTGTATTTCGTGAATGTGTGGTGTTGTGTTTAAAACCAGTGCCTCCCAAGATAATATTGCCACAGAACGGAAATGTGTTTGTCGTCAACCAAACCGGTGATCTGGAGTTGGAGTGCGTCGTGGAGTCGTTTCCAATGGCAACCGTCACTTGCTACTTTGGCAGCAATATTGTTACTCGGACTCGTGATGGGACGATCATGACCAATGAGTCATCAGTATACAGTAAGTATGCACTCAATGCCTGAAGTGTTAGAATTCATTTTCATCACTGGTCTCTATGCCCTGAGGAAATTTGTTTGAAAACCTGCTAAAGGATTTGTAGCTCCAAATAATGAATGACATGGGCGACGGGGTCTGAGAGATTTGGAAGCACCTTGAGGAGATTTCGTGTTCATTGCTATATCGATGCAGGGAAAATTGTCCTTTGCGTTGCAGTACGCCTCTGTTCGTGAAAGCTCAGATAACTGTTATTGCTGTCATCCTGGTTGCATACAGGTACTTCATCCCAGCTGTACACAACTACATACCAGCTCAGTGTGAGCAACATCAGTGAGAGTGATGCAGGACAGTATGTATGCATCGCTACGGTGGTTGCAACAACTGGTGTTCACGTGGACAGCATCAATACTAGTCTTACCGTGCAAGGTAGGGACACAACCATATACAGTCAGACCTCGTATAACCGCACACATCCGTTTTCCCCAAAAATCCGGTTAGGCAAGGGAAGCGGATAATCAACTACACATACTGTATGTATGCATGGCACATGCTGTATATCGGTAAACAACGATTTTCTTCCGGATGGCAAGGAATCCAGATAAACGAGGAGCGGACAAGCGACGTCTGACTATAATCATACTACAGAATGAATAGCCAATGTACTGTGCGGTATACACCTAGCAGAGAGCGCAGATATTAGCCCGGATTCGAGTAGAATGTTAAAAGATACAATGATGCTGTATTCCCTTAGCAAAGACTACATGCAGCATTGATGGCCAGGTAACGAACAATCAGAATAGGATTCAGTATCTCAGAGTTGCACACCATGTGACAATACAATGGCAATGTGTGCAGCGTGACGATACACTGTGTGTAGAGACAAACATCATGATATGTACTGTTTGTATTGACATCTGTAGATTCAATTCTCCCACAACCATTCCCTGACGAATATAGTAGTACAGGTCGTCCCTCGTTAATACATAATCTCTGGGACTTGACAAATGTTATGTATTAACGGGGTTTATGTACTAAACGGAAGTGTACATAACTTGCTTGTGTACCAGAATTTTTCACTTTTTTCAACTTTTCTGAGTGTTTCTGGCTACCATGACAAGAGAGCGAGATATTCTTGATTCCCTCGATATAACATAAAAATTATGTTATAACGGTGACAGTTAGTGAAGAATCTACAGTTCACATGATACATGCCCAGCCGCGCCTGTACAGTCACTCGGGAAAAAACAGAGCTTTGTCGGTTTGTGATGTGCGCTCTGATTTCTGAGCTAATTGCATCCACAAGTAGAAACTAGAACACAATGTGCCTCTACTGGAAGGCCAAAAGACCAACAAATTATGTACTATTGAGGTAGGTGACATGCGGGTACAGAGAAATGTTATGTACTAACGGGGTTTATGTACTAACGAATTATGTACTAACCGACAAAATTTGTATGGAAGTGACCACGTTTCGTCCGGGACTTGAGATTTCTTATGTACTAACCGGACTCGTATTAACGGGGGACGACCTAGTAGTACTAGCAGCACACGAAGCACAGAAAGCCATATCGCTTCGACTAGGCCTTTCGTACCATTACTTTTCAAGACGAATTCAATTAAGGACTTGATTGATACTTTGTTAATTATAACCGGCACTTTGGCGGTCAGAGCATTGGCAAAATTACACTTTAAAAGATAACGCTAGTGTAGTAGCATAGTAATAGTACTAGCGGGAATGAGACTTTTTCTAAATTTTTTCACATTTCTTTCTCCAGTTCCACCGGTTGTTCAGAGAGTGAGTAATGCCACCCAGGACAGTCTTGAAGCAAGCAATGTCACATTCAGTTTTGCGTACACAAACTCCCCACAACCACAGCCAAGCATACAGTGGGCACTGCCCATGGCCAGTCCGAGATTTGAAGTTTCAACGAACAGGTAAGACACCACCATTGCACCGCACCCCACTCGAGTGAACAGTTTTCAGCACAAGTATTGATGGAAAAAATTGTGTGTTGCTCCCTACATGAGAGCTCGCGCTATTCCTGCCGACTTGAGTTTTCACTTGACTGACTCACGACAGGGTATCGCCGAGGTCGCACCAACCTCTTCTTCACAGTATTGATGGAAGCTGGAAATATTCTTTTCTCAAGACTTTATGCCCAGAGGCGTTTTTATAACTATCATGATCACTATTGCCAGCAATGCTTCCATTTTCATAGCCTTTTAATAATAATAATCAATGAATGGATATTTCCCCGGTGTTAATGTGTGAGTGCAGGATGTCTTTGACTATTCGCAACTTGTCCCTGGATGATGCCGATACCTACGAAGTGTGGATTAGTAATGCAGCAGGCATCACTTCGCTCAGCTTTACAGTCGTTGTTTACGGTAAGAGTTCACTAAAAAAACTTCAAGTTTATGCTCCATGGTGATTACGCTTTCTTGAGGGATGCACACTGCTGCTTGAGGAAGTCCGTTCAAGGGAGTCAGTGAGTAAGTGAGTCAGTGAGTCAAGGAGTCAGTGAGTCAGTGAGCCAATAAGTCAGTGAGTCAGTGTGTCAGTGAGTCAGTGAGTCAATGAGTCAGTGAGTCAGTCAGTCAATGAGTCAGTCAGTCAGTGAGTCAGTCAGTCAATGAGTCAGTGAGTCAGCGAGTCAGTGAGTCAATGAGTCAGTGAGTCAGTGAGTCAATAAGTCAGTGAGTCAGTCAGTCAGTGAGTCAGTGAGTCAATGAGTCAATGAGTCAGTGAGTCAGTGAGTACCCAGGTAAGTGAGTCAGTGAGTCCGTGAGTCAGCTTTCCGCAAGTAAGTGAGTCAGTGAGTCAGCTTTCCGCCCTGGACTAGTGAACATGCGGTCTCTGGTCTTGGGCTGTACAGCGCCACGCGTGTAGATGACTGACACGATCACGATCCCATTTCAACGAGCAGCAGAGTGTGTGACGACTGTGTGACGCATTGTGAATAAATGCTCTCTGCCAGAACATGATGCAAGTCAGGGCCACTATCACTATCGACAAATCCCGAACCTCATTCCCTTTCAATGTCTTACGTACAAGACGACTTTTGCTAATTTGTGTCAATTTTGTCTCCGATTCACATTTTTATAAATATCTATTTGAAATTTTCTGCTTGGTGCTCTCTTTCCATTCCTGTACAGCATTACCCCGCATTACCAGCCCTGCTGATGATGCAGTGTACATTGTCAATGTAACAGACGTGTTCCAAGTCACCTGTCACTCTGAATCGTATCCTGAAGCAGCCGTCTCCATCCTGAACGGCACTGATGACCAAATATACAGTTCCAAATATGCAGCGATCACGGAATCAAATGGTACGTACATACACTTTGGTGGTGCATGTTGGGACACGACGAGGGCATTGTATTCCTATTGCTTCGCTGCGGATCACCACTTTGCAATAATTTGTGTAAAATTCATCCCTAGAAACTGACCGTTGTTTACCAGCCAAGCAAATTTCAGCTCTGCTGCTTTCAGTAATGGCCCGCGGTCCGTGGCATGCAAAGTACATGAACCAGAGAGTGTGCAACTCCCGCTATGGGATCTGCGATGTCAGAACTTCACATCATGTGGCAAACAGATACACAAATATGTTCACTCTGTCATGATAGATGCCATGTTGCCATAGATGCCCTGCTTTATATTCAGCTCTCTCGTGGCGACTTCCCACTGTTTTCTCATGTAGAATTTGGAATCATGTCACATGATGTGAAGTTCTGGTGTCACAGGAGTGGACAGAGGTTGTGCAGGAAGTTGCAAACTGTTGGGGTTATTTTGTCCAAGTGGCATGCATAAGTAAAATCTGTGGGAATTCTCAACATTCCTAGTGGCAACCGAGGGTTTGGTCTAAGATCGGGGTAGAGCAGTACCAACCCACCACAGATATCTTTATATCCCTTGTCAGATGGATAAGTGTAGAAGAGTACAGTTCTGGACAGAGAAATCCAACCTGTTATTAACGTAGCACAGTGTTTTGTGCTGCGCTTGGGACTGCATAGGGCTTAACTCCCCGTGCTGTTCTATTCATGATGCTAGATTTCTCTGCCCAGCACCATGTATGACCATAGGAACTCAATCTGGTCCAGGTGAGCTGTGCACCTGGCGGATTTCTTTCGCACAGATCCAGGTGCTTTTTCAATGGAGTCACTAATGCAATCTGGCTTTTATAGTAGTCGTCGCTTGATGTTTCTCCTATTTAGCTTCCATTCCGGGAACTCAACAAATACAATCAAGCAGCACCATGACTATCGCCAACACAACAATATCTCATAACGGCACGTACACATGTCAGGCTCAGCTCGCTACTCCAATAGGGGCATACGCGAGAAGCACCACATTCTCGTTAACAGTGGCAGGTAAGTGAATCCTTGTAGCATTTTCTCTTTGGCATTGAGAAGGTTCTATAATGGTTTGATGCTATAGAGTGGTTGTGCATCTATCACGTGACTATACGGGATAGCTGTGTTTCTTCCAACTCCACTCAACCCAAGTATGTATGGGTCACATTGTGTCCGCCATGTTCGTTCCACCATCCACATGCCATAATCATTTTCGGCACCAATTTAGTGTCATCACTCCCTACGTGCGTACAATCTGATGACTAACACATTGCCATCTCAGTACCTCAATGTCTTCTTGCTGCTTTTGATTGTTGACACAGTGAAACCAGTGTTCTCCGTCATCAAGTCCAATTTCACCCGGCTGGAGGCCCAGAGTGTAACGTTTACCTTGGTGGTGCTCTACCCTGGCAACCCAGCCATCAAGCCAAGTGATGTACGTGCTGATCGTGGTATTGAGCCTTTCACTCTTCATTTCTTATCCTGACACTTGGTGGCAATAGTGACTGTTTTGGTGTTGGGATATATCTATCGTCTGTACTCATGCCTTCCCGTCATTGCAATCTTTACCAATAGCTTCGGCGCAAAAATGGCCTAATTCTACATTGCTTACTTTGTGTCGGGTACATAATTATCATTTGGCACTATGGAAGACACCTCATGTTATTCTAAACCAGATCACAACGTGCCTGGGATTGATCAAAATGTTGATGATTAGTCATTATTATAATGTCATGAAAATCTGCTCTATTATGAACAGTGAGATCTTTTTCATAGACCACTTCCCTCTTGCATGCCATCATACGAGTCAGATAGAACACGTATTATTTTCTCTCTGGTCTTATTCTTGTGTCTTCTCTACTAGATCATTTGGGAGTCGCCCCTTGGCACTGTGCATCCGATTGGATCCACATTTGTGTTCTCCGTTGATCGTCAACGCCTCACAATCAATCGACTGCAGCGCCTCGACTCTGGCATGTACACAGCACGAGCTGGAAATTACAATGGCTTTGCAGTGGCCGTCTTCCACCTGCTGATGAATGGTATGTAACCTGGGTCTACAGAGATTATTCTACGGTATGTCCAGGTGCATACTCACACACACAACCGCACCCCCCCCCCACAAATACACTCCCGAACACACGCACACATGCACGCACACCTACACACCTACACACACGCACGCCCGCACGCACACACACACACACACACACACACACACACACACACACACACACCCTTGTACTTGCTCACTGCCAAAACTGGTCACGTGGGTCTCCCCGGGAGAGGGGAGAGAGACTCAAAAGGAATCTTGGAAAGATGACTCAATTGGCCATTGAACCACCCAGCGGCCGACACCCCCTGAAATCCCCAAACTAGGGTGGACTTGAAATGATCCCACTGATGGGCTCACCACACCTCAGTAAGTGGGTGAGGACAAGGTGCAGAAAAAGGATTGACGGCATCAGGGTATCCGTCCCGGGATCCAACTGCAGGTACCCCTGCCCCCAGTGAAGGTAATACTTGGTACCAGTGTGGGTGGCTAAATCAGAGTGGATCTGATATAAGCTTCACTAGCACCATTGATTACACAAGACACGCACACACATAACCCATGTTCGAAGAACCTGCAAATTTACCAGCATCCACGTCTTGTAATGCTATGAGGTTTGCGCTCACATTGAAATTGTCAAGCATCAGATAGTGTGTCATTTGTATCAAATTGTGATGTTCCCAGACTATTAGCCCCCCCCCCCCCCCACACACACACACCATTCTCAAATACCTCCATTAATGGTCAATGCCATGCTATAACAAGTGATCTCCTTGTTCCAAAACACTTGTGAATGCTCTTACTTATGAAGTTTTGGTTTTTTGTCAATGATGCAGTTCGACCCTTCATATCAACCCCTTCTAGAGATGAGAAGTTTACTGTAGAGGAGGGAAAGTCCCTATCGATCCCATGCAATGCCAGTGCTTTCCCCAGCACCATGCCCGTGTGGGAGCAGATCGGACTGGGTCGAGTTCCCACCACGGGCAGCGTCAGTGCCAGCACACTATCCTCTTATGGTAAGCATGGTATTATTAGTATTCCCGTAGCTATAGCTCTTTTCACAAAATTATTATTATTTTTATTAAACTCAATCTCGTAGCATGTGCACCCATTGCTAATGTGGGGAGCAACCCCAGAGATGAGGGCAATAACCAGCCATGGTAAGAGTACAATAGAAAACAGTGGTATGATTCAATTGCCAACTGTCGATGACTACTGTAAGACCGGACATGTTACCGAACATTTAATTCTAACGATTTAATGAAATAATACTCATAAAAAGGACACACTTCAGGCTCATTACAAACATCTTGAAAGTTTTTGTCTTCACAAAACTGAAACTGTTTACCTATTTAATGAAATATATATATTTTTTAAACATTTGAAGTCGTTATGTGCAAAACGATATGTACATGCACTGCAGGCCCGGTGGAACCGGTCCGGTTAGTCAGGCCATGACCGGGTCTACGTTTTAGCCATCAATGTGTGTTTACTGCTGAAGAGGTCATGTGTGTACCCTTCACATCATTCACAACGTATGAAAGTCATGTGTGTACCCTTCACATCATTCACAAAGAATGAAAGGCTTGGGTGTGGCAGGATCTATAAAAACCTACTTACGCCAGTTCAGTGAATCATTAATTCTCTTTTAAGGACATAACATGCTATGTCTATTGCCAAGTTGGACACATCCGCAATAGTATTATTGCTATCAAATGCGATGGGTCACGAAGACTTTCTAAAAAAAATTAAGCAGTATTTTTGCTGTGTCTTCATTAAACAGCAAAGAGTCTCGTTCGCTTGGTTCAGTGAAAATGTCATCTGGGCAGTTAGTTGTCTCGATCTTGTTTGATCTTGTCAGCCGAGCGCGGAGTTACTGATCCATACAATAGCAAAGAAGCCGACTGAACAAAAGCATTTGAACCCGGCTCTAATAGGGGATTCACACACACGGGTAGAACCAAGGTTTTTGGGAAAGTTGTTCCCATTCCGACAATAATGCATGTTGAATGCAACACATAGTGCAGAATGAACTACTAAAATGCAGTACAGTTTATTTATTTTGAATTCATCCACCAAAAATTCATGGCAAAAAATGCGACCAATAGAAAACTGACAACATGTATATGCACACTGTCTTTTCTGGGACATAGATGCAACACAGCAACTCTACCTGACGGCGAATATTCTGGTGATTTCCGACGCTACATTCTACAACTGCGGCAGATACCGTTGCGAAATTGCGATAGTCGACGACACTGGCTCACATTTCACTGCTGTTGAAGTGGACATAGATGTGCAAGGTAGGGTTAATTGTATTTGCCATTATGCCGAATGTGCTTTCTGAGAAAATGTGAAATAATGGCCATGGGCATGAACGGACCTGCCAAACTAGATCTGCACTTTAGTTGCATTGTCTGCCCAAGGCAAGTCATGGAAATGATGCAGTGCTTCAAATTCATAGAAGTACCCATTACCCCTAAATAGAGATTGTTCATCAGCAAAATTGTATCCTGCAATTAGGCAGGCAACACACAGACAGACAACGTACAACACCAATGGATCTTCAAATTACTGTCAAGCACCTCTGTCCCGGAAATATGATCTGCTACTTATTTGGAGGTTTTACAAGTATGGCGTAGATGATCTTTTGATAGTCTGCATCAAGCCAAATATTAGCTTTGAGAGACTGTTTACAGAACTGCAAATTCCTGTCAGTATACTGCGCTAGTCGGAATCCATATTGTGTTACCAATGATGTTTCACTGCTTTGTGTTCAGCCGGTCCAAGGTTCAACCAGTCTCAACGTGAATACACAGTTCTCGAAGGTGAAATGCTTGACGTCGAATGCATCGCATTCGCCAATCCACGGCCATTGTTTGTCTGGACTGTATCACCGGGATTTCCCGCTGCGATGACTGGCCTGGCTAGTGACGTCACAGTCTTGCCATACCATACTTCTACGTATAGTATGAGCAATGCTGCTGTGGACGGATTGTTGAACAACTACACACTGACTTGCAACGTGAACAACTCCATTGCCACAGCCAGCACTACATTCACTGTCGTAGTGCAAAGTAAGTCAAGTCTAGAATTGTCAAAAAGTAACACTGCACATTACCTTTCCTTCTCACATGAGGGCATGTGTGCATCTGTGCATATGTGACCAGTTTCTGTCAGTTCCTGAGCACTTCTGGAGCCTGGACTATTGTGCTTTGTGATTTCTTATGTCTTCAAGTCATTTATTTCCTTTCCTCCTTTTCTTCTTTCCTTCCATATTCGCCGTTATGTTGTTGGGCCCGTTCTCGTAAGTGGATCTGTCCCAAAGTCATGCCGCAGTCGCTCATTTCAAAGAAACTGATCTTTCACCCGCCATTCCACTCTCCTTGCTCATATCGAGCTCACGGTTGTGTGCTTTGTGTGTGTGCATGTGTGTGTGTGTGTGTGTGTGTGTGTGTGTGTGTGTGTGTGTGTGTGTGTGTGTGTGTGTGTGTGTGTGTGTGTGTGTGTGTATGCCTGAGTACCTGTGTGTGTGTGTTTATGTACATGTGTATTTGTATGTTCTTGCCTGTTTGCATTCATGTCCACGTGTGGATGTGCGTGTCTATTTGCAGTCCCACCAGCGTACATCAGCTCAAGAACTGGAATATACGTAACGTGCAATGAACACCAATACGTTACACTGAGTTGCACTTACCGTGGACTGCCCGCGCCAACCAGTTTCTGGCAACATGCATCGAATGCTACGAACCCTTTATTTACAGTCGTTGAACGAAACAGCACCTTTCCTAATGTGTACACTAGTGCACATGCCTTCCCCAGTGTGAGAAAGTCGGACGAGGGAAATTACTCATGTTTGTTCCGGAACGATGCAGGGAATGCTTCTCAGGATCTGTTCCTCCGAGTGCAAGGTGAGCCTAGTACTAGGCCTGTCGGTTTTCCGGCAGCACTGTCAAAATATTTCGCTTTCTTTGTCCACTATTTTCTCTGCCTGTTTGAATTTATAGGATCTGTTAATGTCCAAGTACACTTTGAAAAGCACCAATGATAATTGATTGTAATGGAAGCAGCTGACAAGAACCAACAAATTAATATAGACTGGTCATGATTCCAGCCATACCTAGAGCTCTACCTAAAATAGATGAAGTACACAGGCAACTTGCTGCTCGTTCTCTAGCAAGAAACAGTGATCATCAATTTCGGTGTGCCGTTCTCGGTATTGACTGATTATATATAATTATTGGTTACTTTCCCCGTTGCTTTTCCTCTCAGTTCCTCCCCGAGCTAGTGCCGTGACGACACTTGTCCACGGTGTTCAAGATATGGTTGCTTCACTAATAGTTCTACTGGACTTTGCTGGCGATCCGGGTGTTCCTGTGGCTAACATCACTTGGACAAAGGTCAGCCAATTGTACAAACATTCTTGTTTTTTTGTGACTATTGCCATTGCTGTCAGACTTGAACTTCAAGCCTGCCTCCAAAATATTGGGGAGCCACCTGCTGCTAAAAATACACCTCTGACTGGAGTTATGTGTTGCTCCCTACGTGGGAGCTCGCACTCTTCATGCCAACTTGAATTCTCACTTGGCTGACTCATGCCTGCCATCCAGAGCACATGAGAAGCCCATCGAACCGTCCACTCGGCAAACCTGCGAGAAAGCACTGCTCCCTGCTCAGTACACAGTGTTTCGGGGAATTCAGCCCTCATCAACGAATGGAGTTAGCTGTAAAATCGTATTTTCATTCCACTTGTTCCCTTTTGCAGTTTGTCAATGCGTCACCCGAAGTGCCAATTCCAACGTCATTCCTATCACAAAGCCGACTGAACCTCAGCATAGCACACATGAATTACACCGATGCTGGCTTGTACAGTGCACAGCTCTCAAATCCAGCTGGTGCTGCAACTGTAAACTTCACTCTGGAGTACAGAGGTGAGTGGAGACAGTGCATGCCGTTAGAGAGGAAAGCCAGATGAATAAAGAAGGCTGACAGTTATTATCTGGCATTGACGACGTTTGAAAGGATTCCATTTTAACATTGGATCATTTAGACCATCAGAAAGGTACTTTTTTCGCTTCTAGATCCTTGTTATGTTTCTGCCCTATCCGTTTCAGAGCCACCAAGGTTCATCTCACAGCCAGTCGTAGAAACACGTAACGAAGGCGCCAGTGTACAGCTTGAATGCATTGCCAGTGGTGTGCCGAGACCAAGCATCAAGTGGCTGCACAATGGAATTGTCCTGAACGGATCAGCAATCACTACAATCACGGAAGCGACGTACAACGCCAGCTTTGCATGTGATCATAGCGAGTGTGTTTTGTCAAAATTGGCGATATCGAACATCACGTATCCGGAACATCAAGGCGATTATGAGTGTGAAGCATCTAACATTGTGTCTTCTGCCATCAGCCGAAATTCCACTTTGAACATTTTTGGTGAGTAGGTTTGGAACTGTTTGGCCAGGTTTACAATCCAGCCTCAAATGATACTGAAAGCTACACTTCTTTCACTCAAGTCTCAACATTTTTCTGATGATTTCGTGTCTTAGTAAGGCAGAGCGGAACATTGCAGGTTCTCTTTAAAACCGTGCAAGGTAGCATTTAGTGCCATGATCATTCCTATTTTGATAAACGCTTTGCATGGGATGAACATAACTCAGAGCTACAGTCCACTTTCCACCGGGAGTAAGGTAGCGGAGATGCAGCCTACTGTATCCCCCCCTGCTGGGAATGTGTATACTTGCACATGCCAGTCGGTGCATTCATATATGCTACATAGCAGTGTGATCCAGCACATGAAATCCGTTGTTTGCAGGTTATGTTCATCAACATAGTTGTATAGCCCAAGTGTCTGGACATTTTTTTACGAGAAACCACGAACCTCGAGAACAGAATACTGCATGATAGAGGTGGCTGCAGACGCAATTGTGGTGGTGAAACAGGAGCATCTCCGCCGACCTGATGTCTCGGCTTCAGCGACACTTCAGTGCACCAAACAGTGCGGAAGAGTAGGCACAGAGGGGAGGGGAGGACATGTGCAGGATTTTATGGTACGTGATATTGTGCTGGCTGTTGCTTGCAGTTCAGCCAACGGAGACCATTGCCGCATCAGATCTAGCAGTGGTGGAAGGCGCCACGGTTCATATCACTTGCAATGTACATGCAGCACCAATATCAGCGATAACCTGGTTCTTCAACAATGTGGTAAGAGGGGCTGTTTGCTTACTTGGTATTTCTAACCTTGATCCTAGTGCAGTGGCCAAGAATACAATCTTGTGCATGAGTCTTGTACTTAGAATTCATCGTGGCTGTGGACAGTGAGAATTAAGTCGTCCACTTGAGAACTAGAGATTCTGCTCATTTACGGCTAGTGTGACAAATCTCTGCTTATCGGCAGTCAATTTTTTCTTCAGACTTTTCCCGTTTGAGTCTTACTCTCAACCCAGTGGATATCTTTTAAAACACATGCCTTGAATGAACATCTGAGAATATTGTTCACTTGGTCCTTCTAATGCTGCTGGCTTACAGGACATATCATCAAGCCATTCCTTTTCGGCTGGTCGTATTCAACTTACGCAATCCGATCATAATCTGACCATCAGCACGGTCGAATTCCGTGATCGCGGCGTCTATCAATGCACAGCCAGTAACACAGATAGCAGCGGAACTCTTGGTGGATCTGTCAACGGCACAGAGGTCACTCTCAGTGTGTATGGTGAGTTGGCAATGTACGTGCTTTGCAACTAGTTAATGGCTTATTTATTTATTTATTTATTACAGCATCTCATAGCACAGTGAGAACACCGGCCAATACAAAGAGAGAGGGTGTTAGCCAACCACGGCAAGGAAGGGAGAAGGGGAGGAGAAGAAAAAAAGGAACCGGCATGGATAAGTAGGCTTGTAAACGAAACGTTTAGAGTAAGTGAATTTAGAGTTATAGAAGTACTTGTTCAAGTCCACATTTCTCACTTCTTGGAAGAGCAAGTCTCTCTGGCATCGCAGTATATGTCAGGCCTGTCGCACTGACTTTGGAGTTGCGGCGGCCATGGAATGGGGGGGGGGGGGGGTCTTGGAGTGTTCTCGAATAATCAGATCTACACGATGTTCTTTCATGAGAAACTTGATCAGCTTCTCCCGTGTGGCGTGAGCTCTTGATGCTTACAAAATCCCCTTTGTTAACAGTTGAAAAAAAGAATTAATTGTAATTTTGTACATTGCCATATTGTACTAATGATCAGCATTGCTGTATGGATGATTATCGCCGATTCCCTCTGCAGTTTCGCCAATAATATCCGAAGCACCAGACAATATCACAATTGTCGAGGGTGAGAATGTCACTTTAACCTGTATGGCAACTGGGCACCCAGCTCCAAGCATACATTGGCAGTATAATGGTACTGATCTGCCATCGTACTCAAATGTAAGTATTGCTGAAGGTCCAGTGGAGCCAACCTACATCACCAGCAGCTTGAGTCTGGACAGCGTTGGGTTTGAGCAACGCGGTGCTTACAGATGTGTGGCCAAAATCAATGCCACGGGTTCCCGGGACGTGGAGAGAATGAGAGATGTGGCTAGCAGTGAAGGCATTTTGACAGTCTACAGTAAGTACCTTTCTGGTAGAAATATTCTTTGATGCAGGCATACGTTGAGCAATAACGTAGTGCTATGAACTGGTTATAGGGTTGCAGGGCGACAGCAAATTAAGACTGATACCTATTTATGCCTGTGTATATCTTTGTAAGGCATGCTATCTAACTGGTCTGTCGATGTGCTTGTCTCCTTTGCGAACCTGTACAAGTATGCCTGTTGCATGTATGTAAATTATTTACACCCTGGACAATTAGCCCATTCATGTTTGCCATGGGATATATATTTGTTTCGCCATGCACGTTCATGGAGATATTATGGATGTTGTAGAAAACAAGACTATTGCCGGCCATTTTGCATTGTCGATGATGCTTTTGTATATGCAGCGGAGCCACAACTCCAGTTCTTGTCAAGCGCCTTACACATAGAACATCCTGAGCAGATCAACATCACCTGCACTTTCTCAAGCAACCCTCCTCCAACTGTTATAATTTCTGCTCCTGGCTACTCACAAAGTCAGATGTTATCACTGGGATTGCTACACACTGTCCAAGGTAAAAATAATATGATGTTTCTTGCTGCCTAGAAGTATTGCACCTATGTTGTTTTCATAAAAGCTTGGGCCATGATATCTATGTGGATCCACAGCTGCATGGTCATCATAAGGGGGTGGCAACATGTATAAGTGAAATTGAGCCACCATCAGTTATTTATGCAGTACTTGAAATACACGAACGTGACAACCATTGGTTCCTCGGAAGTATGTTCAACTGACTTCAGTGTCTACCCATTACGCAGAAGTCAGGATTTTGCATAGCTCAATAGCTCACAACAGCATACAGTGGAAGGCCACAGTGGAAACCATGTACACAAACCAAATGTAATTTCCATTCTGCCAGACATGTGTCATGACATGGTATATCTTGTAATCTTGGCTTGTCCGAGGAGGAACCAGACCCAGCTCGCCTACTCAAATCGCCAATGAGCCATGAAGTGGATAGCGAGCACCCGTAGCGAAGTAGCCATTCACTCTATGATTTTGGCTAACGTTCCTACAGATAGCCTGGAGACGATAGTAAAAATCGAGCACCGGGGATTTATTTTCAAAACGTGCGACTGTGAAAGGGTAAACAGCTTCATCAGACTCCTTCCGATTCTTTTCTCATGTCTTACTCTACAGTCAACTTGGCTAATAACGACTGCGGATATAACGACAATTTGTGAATAACGACATAATTTTCATGCCCAGGGCAAATAACGACTGCGGATATAACGACAATTTGCGAATAACGACATAATTTTCATGCCCAGTCCAAATAACGACTGCGGATATAACGACAATTTGCGAATAACGACATAATTTTCATGCCCAGAGCAAAGTCCAATATAACTGTGACACATATAATGACACTTCGGGTATAACGACACTTCGCGAATAAGGACACTTTTTTGATGCCCCGCCGAGTGTTGTTATAAGCGAAGTTGACTGTACTTGAGAAATCCTTGTCCATGTTTTCTCCCCCTTGCTGTATTTCTACATACAACCAGGAGTATATTCCAGAGGCATGCCTTGGAGTCAGGCAACACTACATCTAGCAGCAGCAAGATGTTCAGACAATGGTACTTACACGTGTACAGCAATGACACCAGCTGGAAACGCAACTCAGGACACATCCGTTACTGTCTACGGTCAGTAGAATGCGTACTTTATCAGTGTGTTTACTGGACATAATCCTGACCAATTGCTACACCGTATTGATCTGATCCCGTGCCAAGTTCAAGACAATTTGTGACAAATCAGGTCGACAATTACTGATCACCAGCCCTCGGAAAGTGTGGAACCGATTTGGTGTATGTGTTTAAAGAATGCTGGAGGGTTAATGTCACTCATGGTGTTTCTGATTTCGTTTTTGTTACAGAGATACCTGATCCTCCCCAACCGGCTACAGTGGTGCAGAATATTCCCTACAATATCACTATTGAATGGACAGAGCCACAAGGCAATAATGCTCCCATTTTAAGCTACAGGATTGAGTAAGTTGAAAAACACTGATTTACGCGTTGTGAATATAGCAAGTATTCCGATTCTGGGCTACATAGTCTGAAAGTGCATGCTCTGGGCCTGTCTGAACAGACCAAAAATTCAGAACAGACCGAATCAGAAACTGTCTTTTCAACATTGTCATTGAGCGAAGCTTTTCTTTGTCTGCAATCGTCCATCATATGCGGGACATGTGCATAGCACAGATGATTCCCTGGTATTCAGTACAGATTGAGAAGTGAAAGTCGACTACTATGGAAACTTCAATTAATAATATTTCAATTTTTATCACAATCCAAGGCCTCCTAGTTGATCCTTTAGTACTGTTTTTTTATATACAGGATAACGTCTTATGACTGTCAAGGAAACAAGGAGGAAATGTTTCACAACACATCTGCTGGAGTGCGGTTGGCAACATTCAGTGTGTTGCCAAATCGGCAGTACGAGTTCCGTGTGAAAGCCAGCAATAGAATTGGAACAGGAAGCTTCAGCCCCCAGTTGTCTGTTCACTCACATGAAATTGGTAAGGACCTGTGTGATTTGCTTGCAAAGAAAACATCTACAGGTTAAGGAGCTCACAATGTATTCCATTTTTCCTTCTCCATGTACATCAAACTTCCCGGTGTTTGCGTTGACAAGAATTGAAACCAATTCTAGTAAATGAACCCATGAATTGCAATCGATGGTCCTGATGTGTGCATACCGTAAAGTCGCGGATAGAAGCCGGGTTTGCATACAAGCACATCGCGGATAGAAGCCTGAAAATCAAACGGGTCAAATATAAGCCTGTCGCTCGTAGAAGCCTGGCTTCTATGCAAGCGCGGATTGGGTAGGTCAAGAGTGCATGCGCTATGTACAGTGCATAGTAAAGCTGCCGCCATACCGGTAGTCAGTGGTAGATCTACGCGTGTCGTGCGTAGAAGCCTGGCTTCTATGCAAGCCCGGATTGGCCGATGTGCATACAAGGCTGGCAAAAATATCAGTGGTGCATATAAGCATGGTTTGCATTGAAGCCTGATGCAGAAAGCGGCTTATGTGCTTATAAGCCCGGCTTTTATCCGCGACTTTACGGTAAACCCAGTGCAGAGGAATGAATTACTAGTGATTAAGTAATTATGAAGTCAGCGGATTACTAGTATGTTGGACACCTACTCAACACAGGGTGGAGTTCGGTATCTACATTGCAATGGCATTCAAAAATGACAAATGAAGAAGATTTTTGGTGATTCTTTTCCTTGACCCTTCCTTTACAGAACCACTGCCTGCCCCAGCCAGTGTCAAGGTAGAAGTGATCAGCTTTGAGTCTGTCAACATCTCCTGGTCAGACATCAACTGTACAGAGCAAACAGCACAGACGCAGGGATACCGTGTGTTGTACAAGGACCTATTGGTATGTAGGAGCAGCCCGGCTGGAAATCTACTGTAGCTGCATGTGGAGTACATAATTGACCATATACGCATTCATGCATTCAAGCCCCTGAAGCTGCTGAGTGTCAACATAGTATTGGCAAGGCAATATAGCAGGACAGCAAACAAAACCTGACATGTAGGGTTGTGATTGATGATTGTTGTGTGCCTTCCACCAATAGCTTATAATCAACAGTGTGGAGAGTTTTGCCGCGAGAAGTATGCTCATTGATACAGATACTGAAAACCTGGAACCCTTTGCGATCCAGAATCCTTCGCAGTTTTTGCGATAGGTGTGAAATTGCCAAATTGAAGCAGTCATAAAATGTAGAGCTGTGGAAAAAAATTGAGGAAATTGACTCCGATCGCAAACATTTCCAGATGCAAATTTGTCTGTGCTCGAAGATCGCAAACTAAAACTGACACAAAGGTTTTAGGGTTTACGGTAGTAGTTGAAAAGGTCTGGTGTAGTATCTTAGCAGTTCCATATAGATAATGGATTTGATAGAGGGTAGGGCATCTACCACAGGATTTACTGGTTGCTAGCTGGGTGCTAGCAGCCGTCATGAGTTCCCTTGGGAACGTGTACGATATTATCCTTTTTCCATCTTGTTTCTACAGGCATCCAACTTTTCATCTGTGGAAGTGTCAAAGCAAAGCCTTTCATATGTGCTGTCAGGCTTGGACGCACTAACGTTCTACACATTCCAAGTGTGTGTGCTCTCGACTACAATGTGCAGTGCTGACAGTGATCCGGTTCAGGCGAGAACCTTGGCTATAGGTCAGTCGTATGTGTCTCAATGTCACATTCCGACACAGCAAGCTCAATGTCTGATTTTTCTCTCTATTGGGCTCTTAATGCTCTACCCACACCCCATTATAGAAGTTACAGGATCATAAAAAATAAAAAATAGCTTGCCGCATATCTCTATTCTGTTTCAACTTGTGCTGCATAGCACCTTTGCATTGAATACATTTTCCTGACTACCAGCTAGTTCAACATTGTCACATCTCATCAGTGGAGCTCGGACCTACCGGTTGAAGCAGCCAACAATACACTTGTCATTAATGCCTCAAAGCTCAAAGTCAGAGTGATCTAACTAACTACTTTTTCCTTTGTTCCTCAGGAAACCGCTCTCCACCTGAAGCACATGCACCCAACAATGCAGTAGTTGGAGTGGAAAGTGAAGCAGTGGAACTGTTTGTGAATCTCACAGATGCTGGCATAGCCCCGTTACCCAGTTCCAACATTACTTGGGTGAAGGTAAGAACTCAGCGTGCAATGAAGACCACACGTGCATGATCCCTTGATTTTCAGATATCCGTCTCTTTTCATTACGGAGAAGTGATTTACCGGAATAAGATCACGGGACGAGCATCTGTGGGATCATTTGTACTGTTGTGAGCAAAGTTTATTCTTGTCAGCAATGTGCATTATTGACAATTATGTCCCGAGTGTCCTATTTACCTTGTTTTTAACCATTGTGCTTTCCTTCCAGGTTGTGAATGCTACATTTGAGGCAGCAGTCAACGCCAGCATCTCCTCAGATGGCCTGACACTGAGCATACATAGGATGCACTACACTGATGCTGGAATGTACATAGTCTATCTGAGACACTCAGCAGCCGTACTCAAAATCAATTACACCGTACTCTATGAAGGTGAGCAGGCATAGTACAGTCAGACCTGTGACTAGCGACCACCCCTTGGGACCAGAGAAGGCGGTCTTTAGAGGCAGGTGGTCCTTAGTTAGAGGTTTGCACCGCAGAACCATAATTATATGAATGTAAGACTGTCCGTGCCTGGAGAAGTGGTCTGTGGTACCAGTCTGGCCGCTAGTCTCGGTTGTCTTTTGTTACATATCTTCTAGTGGTGTGCTATAACTTTCTTCGACTATAACACTGGCTATCAAAATGCATGGCAAGTTGATGTGTCTTGTTCACAAACGTTTCCAACATAATCCAGCCAGTGCTAAATGAAATAGCACCCATTGTATGGTGTTGGCAACACAAAAATTCGTAATAGGAGAATCATGCAAGACAGTGGCATTTAGGTCGGACCTAAAATCTTCGTTTCCTTCCTTCCTTTCTTAGTCCTTACACTGCTCGTCTTAGCTCACAGGGAAGTGGCAATTTCCATTGTCAGTGTCCGTACTATCATATGCAGTACTGTAGTGTCTTGTATTAAAGCCTATCTCATATAGAAGCCTGGTTTGAATACAAGCCTGATTTTCAAGATGCATGTACACTTTTGGCAATAACCCTGTTTTAATTGTAGACACACATAGATTTTGTTTGAATAGAAGCCTAACTCTGACATCTGCTTCTACAGGAATAGGTCTGGCGCTAACCTATCGAGGGCTACAGGGCCTTTTATCTTAGGGTCTGAAGAAAATGCTAAAAATGGGGCCAATGTAAAGCTCCACAACTTCATAGTCTAGGCAACTAGGTTGTTGAACTGTTGTGAAATGTTGTTAATACATGACACTATGGTATGCTAATGTAGAATTCGTTTGTTTTGTTGGATTTTAATAATATATTCCCAGAACCGGCTCAAATACTCCGTGGACCTGAACTTACCAATACTAACGAAGGGAGTAATGTTACGCTGGAGTGTGTTGCTCGCGGCATGCCAGCACCAGCGGTAGCATGGTATCATGAGGGGAGTTTGGTCAGCAGTGACCTATACGGCACTGTCACATATGCGGATGCCGTCACTACCCAAAGGGGTACGCAGGGAGTATGGTCGGTGTTGACCTTGGACAATGTCACCACTCTGAATGCTGGAATCTTTCGTTGCGAAGCTATCAACAAACACTTGCCGTCAGCAAGTGCCTCTGCCAGGCTCGATGTGTACAGTGAGTATCTTAGAAAGGAAATGCACAATACTTTTCTTATTGGCTCACATTGAAACCTCTCATCAGTCCTTGTTGTTCCTATAGATGATGCCTTCCAAACAGATTTTACCGCAAAATGTCTTGTGAAATCCGCACCTTGTCTGAGGGTAAATTCGAACCATTCTGATTAGATGCAGTTCAGAGCTGGGTTGCTGATAGGGTTATGACTATTAATAATTTAGTAACCTTGCTGGGTGTGTGTGCATGCTTGCATGTTTGTACTGCCAGTGTCAAACTGTTTACAGGGTGTTAGCAGCCATCGTGAGTTCCCCTCGGCAACAGACACGATAATGTACTTTACCTGTTGCCTGATGATCGTAGTAATACGTGAAACTCAGAGTTGCGACACAGCTTCCAATCTCTCTTGTATACATGTACTTTTACTTTATCATTGAGTGCAGTGTATTTTCGTTTGAAAGGTTGCCCTCGGTGTATTTTGATATGTTATTATGCTGCAGTACCGCCTGAAGAGTTGGCCGTACAGCCAAACACGTCGCTCACAGAAGGACAAACAGCGCAATTTTCCTGTCAAATGTCGGGATTTGACACACCGCATGTCACTTGGTACCACAACAAAACACGGGTGAGTGATAAATCCTGGCCGCAGTTAAAAACAAATTTCAGCAGACTTCAATGTTGACCTAAGTCTGCAGGCTCTCAAACTATCTGGACTGTGCATGTCTGAGGTGGGGTGGGAGGGTATAGTGGAGCATGTTGTTTTGTTTCAGCTTGTACTCCATTCACCCACCATCCTAGGAGCTGCATGTGTGTGTTTAATAATAGGAGCAATCATTGGGACATTGAAAAAGCAGTCCAAAAGAATTGACTCTCACACAAGCGAGACAAGAAGCACATTATGCTTACCCTGAGTACCAAAAATTTAAAAAATCATAATTATTCCGAGTTGACCAACATGTCTAAGACACTAAAGGTACCGTACTTTCCGGAGCATAAGCAGCATTGCAGTATGAGCCGCACCCAGGTTTTGCTCACGAAATAGAGATATGTACCATCTTTATCTCTGTTAATTTGATCATCGTAGTGTAAGCCACACCGACTTTTTGGGGGTGCAGTGATGGTGCTTAAAATGTGTTTTATACTCCAGAGTTCTCCCTGGCACCTATGCCGAACAGAAAATCGGGAAAATGTTTGTACACCACTGATATAGTATACGGTACTTGTGCTCACCTGTTTGTGTCTAACACGTTTTTATTTTTTATTTTTTCAATTTTTACTATTATTCACACACTCACGATTCAGGTTATCACCACACTAACCAATCCCAGGGTCGCACTATCTGATGGTGGCTGGAACTTGACAATGAGCTCTATTGTGCGCAATGATACTGGGACGTTTGGCTGTGTGGCGGAGAACGGCAATGTAACGGCTGGATATGGCGGTGTTACCGTGGGTTCAGAAGCACTGCTCACAGTACATGGTTAGTCCTTAGACAATGCACTGGATAGTTGTTACAAGCTGTATATTCATCAATTCCCGGACAGTAAATGAATATGAAGACTGCAGTGGAGTCTACAAATTCAGTCACCTGCAGCTCCATTACATTTTCTAGTGGAATAATTCTACAATAACTACCTACATTGACGAGCGTTTTATAGCTGTACGAAGGAATTCAGTAGCAATGGATATGTCGCTTTGTTGATGATGTGCCTTGAAAACGTGTTGATGTCGGCTTGAGAGCGCAGTTGTGGTGTGGAGGCTGAAGAAAAAGATGTACTTCAGGCTTAATTCGAACATACTGCTTAATTAGAAGTTTTTCCAGGACCGATTTCTATCAATACGATTCCCACATAAAAAATTCTGATAATTCGAACCTCGAACTGGGTATGTCCGGTTAATTCGAAGTTCCACGGATTCCACTTACATAGAAAATGTGTGGGATTTGTGCTCATAATTCGAAGTTAGCAAAGTGTAATTCGAAGTTCAGTGTACACTGTACTGGTCAGTTAAGTTTGTATGAGCAGGCTGTGCTGGTCAGTTCAGTGTCCGTAAAATGTGTGTCTAAAGTCCATAGCGCCACTCTGCATGACCATGAGAGCATTTTGACATACATATTGAGTTGTGGGTTCATGCTTGGATAATTAAAATGTCCGGATTATTAGAAGTTTTTTGCTGGCATTTTGGTGTTCGAATTATCAGGATTTCACCTGTATTGTTACATTTACTGTTGTTTGGACAGGTATGTTGTTACCACCTTACATCTTCGAATATCAGATGTACAGTCAAATAGTCTTCAATGAGCGACCACCATTTGTTGCTATCAAAACGCAATCTCTTACGGCAAGTGGGTTGCTATTATTATTATGAGCATTCCCACTTTGAATTGTGGCAGCAGTATGCTGGGTCCACAGCAAAAGGGTCCACACACACTGGGCCCACAGCAAGGCCTGCAACCCGAGTCCCCTTCACTTCTCAACGAATTTCAATATCGGCTATAGTAGATGCATTGCGCACTGCCACGAGCAGCCGCAACTCTCCAAGTGTTTCTTTTCAGCTTTAGTGTATATCCGGACTATATCCTGAATGTGTGGTGTTGTGTTCAAAACCAGTGCCTCCCAAGATAATAGTGCCACAGAATGGGAATGTGTTTGTCGTCAATCAAACCGATGATCTGGAGCTGGAGTGCGTTGTGGAGTCGTTTCCAATGGCAACTGTCACTTTCTACGGTGGCAGCAATATTGTTACTCGGACTCTTGATGGGACGATCATGACCAATGCGTCATCAGTATACAGTAAGTATGCACTCAATGCCTGAAGTGTTAGAATTCAGTTTTTCATCACTGGTCTCTATGCCCTGAGACAACCATTTGAAAGCCTTTTTAATGATTTGTAGCCCCAAATAATGTTATGGGCGGTGGGGGGGGGGGGGGTATTGGAGATTTGGAAGCAACTTGAGGAGATCTCGGGTTCATTGCTATATCGATGCAGGGAAAATTGTCCTTTTCCGTAGGAGTACGCCTCGGTTCATAGAGTCTCAGATAATTGTTATTGCTGTCATCCTGGTTGTATGCAGGTACTTCATCCCAGCTGTACACAACTATATACCAGCTCAGTGTGAGCAACATCAGTGAGAGTGATGCAGGACAGTATGTATGCATCGCTACGGTGGTTGCAACAACTGGTGTTCACGTGGACAGCATCAATACTAGTCTTACCGTGCAAGGTAGGGACACAACCATATACAGTCACACCTCGTATAACCGCACACAACCGGTTTCCACAAAATACGGTTAGGCAAGGGAAGTGGATAATCAACTACAAATACTGTATGTATGCATGGCACATGCTGTATATCGGTAAACAACGATTTTCTTCCGGATGGCAAGGAATCCAGATAAACGAGGAGCGGACAAGCGACGTCTGACTATAATAATACTACAGGATGAATAGCCAATGTACTGTGTGGTATACAGCTAGCAGCGAGCGCAAATATTACCCAGGGCTCGAGTAGAATGTTAAAAGATACAATGATGCTGTATTCCCTTAGCAAAGACTACATGCAGCATGGATGGCCAGGTAACGAACAATCAGAATAGGATTCAGTATCTCAGAGTTGCACACCAAGTGAAAATACAATGGCAATGTGTGCAGCGTGTTTATACACTGTGTGCGATACACTGTGTGTAGAGACGAAAATTATGATACCGTATATTCTCTATTATAAGCATAGGTCTCCATTACTAGCACAGTCTCTAATACTAGCACACTGTGAGCACCTTTCGAAACATTATAAGCACACTCTCTATTATTAGCACGGTCTTGGTGGAAATCAATGGGGCATGCATGATATCTAGCATGTATTTCTTCTTGCTCTGTAGGGATGTATTAGTTGAAAAAATATAAGCACGGTCTCCAATACAAGCACGGGGTAGAGGGGTGTGGAAATAATATAAGCACGGCGCTTATATTAGAGAATATACGTATGTACTGTTTGTAATGACATCTGTATATCCAATTCTCCCACAACCATTCCCTGACGAATATAGTAGTAGTAGTACTAGCAGCACACGAAGCACAGAAAGCCATATGGCTTTGAATAGACCTTTCGTGCCATTACTTTTCAAGTCGAATTCAATTAAGGACTTGATTGATACTTTGTTAATTATAACCAGCACTTTGGCGGTCAGAGCATTGGCAAAATTACACTTTAAAAGATAGGGCTAGTGTAGTAGCATAGTAATAGTACTAGCGGGAATGAGACTTTTTCTAAATTTTCTTTTCACATTTCTTTCTCCAGTTCCACCGGTCGTTGAGAGAGTGAGTAATGCCACCCAGGACAGACTTGAAGCAAGCAATGTCACGTTCAGTTTTGCATACACAAACTCCCCACAACCACAGCCAAGCATACAGTGGGCATTGCCCATGGCCAGTCCGAGATTTGAAGTTTCAACCAACAGGTAAGATACCAGCATTGTCCCCTCACCGTGACTGCTCTCGCACAGATAGAATCACTCGCGGCCAAGTCAACAATTCCCTTTCTTTACCCATTGTGCAAACTCAAGCTGCAGGGTTCTAGCTAAAGGGGGGTAGGGGAGCGCTGCGCCCCCTACCCCGTTTGCGTGCCCCCCTGTGAAAAAGTGCCGCCCCCTACTCATTTTCCAATTTTTGTGTTTTTTCACGCCATTCAACGAAAATACAGTCGATAGTCACTACTAGAGGGTTCGTAAAGGCACATTTGTGAGGGGTGAAGTTGGGGGTTCACCCCGTATGTTACATTTTGCATGGCAAGACAATTTTGGACAATGGAAAAAATTGGTCATGCCCACCCCCTACCCCTACCCATGCCCACCCCCTACTATTTTGACCTGGCTAGAACACTGAGCTGGATACAAATATCTTTCATTCCTTTGTGCTGGCCGCTTTAATGCGCTTCCCGAATCCCTTCGCACAAATCATATCCCCAATTCATTTCGCCAGGAACTTAACACAATTATTCATCTTGGGCACCCTGTAAGAAGACCTTAGTATCTGCTGGGAATGCCCAAGTAAAATAATAAAATACAATACAAAATACACAAATTGCACCTTACCCTATTCGAATGAATGGTTTTAGCCCAAGTATTGATTGAAGCTGGAATATTCTTTCCTCAAGACTTAACGCCGAGGGAATTTTTAAATTAATTATGATCACTCTTGCGTTGATAAAACAAAGAATGGCTATATCCCGGTGCGACTGTGTGCAGGATGTCTTTGACTATTCGCAACTTGTCCTTGGATGATGCTGATACCTACGAAGTGTGGATTAGTAATGCAGCAGGCACCACGTCGCTCAGCTTTACTGTCGTTGTTTACGGTAAGAGTTCCCTAAAAAAGTTTCAAGTTTATGCTCCATGGTGATTACGCTTTCTTGAGGGATGCACACTGCTGCTTGAGGAAGTCCCCTGAAGTGAGTCAGTCTGTCAGCCCTTGCGCCTTGGACTAGTGGACATGAGTTCGCATGTCTTGGGGAGTACAGCACCATGTGTACTTGACTGACACAATCACGATTCCATTTTCATTGAACAGCACATTGAATGTGCGTCGATAGTTACTACAACTGTGTTACCAATTGCGATCAAAGCTCTCTTTGTGAACATCATGGAAATCATTGCCACTGTCACAATCCACAAACCCCGAACCCCATTCCCTCTTCGCACTCTCAATCACTAAACTACAAGACGATTATGCTAATTTGTCTCATTTTTTTCTTCAGATTCACATTTTATAAAATTTGATATCTTTTGCCATCATCATCATCATCATCAGTTTCGGCTCATTTCCTCTGTGCTGCGCTGATGAGTCCACAAAGGATGAAACAGTCACATTTTATAAATATTTGTTGAAAATCTTATACTTGGTATTCTCTTTGCATTCCTGCACAGCATTACCCCGCATTACCAGCCCTGCTGATGATGCAGTGTACATTGTCAATGTAACAGACGTGTTCCAAGTCACCTGTCTCTCTGAATCGTATCCTGAAGCAGAGGTCTCAATCCTGAACGGCACTGATAACCCAATCTTCAGTTCCGAATATGCAGCTATCACGGAATCAAATTGTACGTACACACACTTTGGTGGTTCATGTTGGGGCATGAGGAGGACATGATATTCTCATTGCTTTGCTGTGGATCACTACTTTGCAATTATTTGTGTAAAATGCAGCTTTATTAACTGACTGTGGTGTACCAGCCAAGCAAACTTCAGCTCTGCTGCTTTCCGTAATGGCCCGCGGCCCGTGGCATCAAAAGTACATGAACCCGAGAGTGTGCAACTCCAGCTATGGGATCTTCGACGTCAGAACTTCACATCATGTGGAAAACCGATACACACATATTTTCACGCTGTGCATAATAGATAGCAGGTTGTATGCAGCCCTGCTTTGTATTCAGCTCTCTTGTGGCGAATTTGCACTGTTTTCTCATGTAAAATTTGGAATCATGTCACATGATGTGAAGTTCTGGTGTCACAGGAGTGGACAGAGGTTGTGCAGGAAGTTGCAAACTGTTGGGGTTATTATGTCCAAGTGGCATGCATAAGTAAAATCTGTGGGAATTCTCAACATTCCTAGTGGCAATCGAGGGTTTGGTCTAAGGATCGGGGTAGAGCAGTACCAACCCACCACAGATATCTTTATATCCCTTGTCAGATGGATAAGTTTAGAAGAGTACAGTTCTGGACAGAGAAATCCAACCTGTTATTAACGTAGCACAGTGTTTTGTGCTGCGCTGGGGCTGCATAGGGCTTAACTTCCCGTGCTGTTCTATTCATGATGCTAGATTTCTCTGCCCAGCACCATGTATGACCATAGGAACTCAATCTGGTCCAGGTGAGCTGTGCACCTGGCTGATTTCTTTCGCACAGGTCCAGGCACTTTTTCAATGGAGTCACTAACGCAATCTGGCTTTTATAGTAGTCGTCGCTTGATGTTTCTCCTATTTAGCTTCCATTCCGGGAACTCAACAAATACAATCAAGCAGCACCATGACTATCGCCAGCACAACTCTATCTCATAACGGCACGTACACATGTCAGGCTCAACTCGCTACTCCAATAGGGACATACGCGAGAAGCACCACATTCTCGTTAACAGTGGCAGGTAAGTGAATCCTTGTAGCATTTTCTCTTTGGCATTGAGAAGGTTCTATATGGGGTTTGATGCTATAGAGTGGTTGTGCATCTATCACGTGACTATACGGGATAGCTGTGTTTCTTCCAACTCCACTCAACCCAAGTATGTATGGGTCACATTGTGTCCGCCATGTTCGTTCCACCATCCACATGCCATCATCATTTTCGGCACAAATTTAGTGTCGTCACTCCCTAGGTGCGTACAGTCTGGTGACTAACACATTGCCATCTCAGTACCTCAATGTCTTCTTGCTGCTTTTGATTGTTTACACAGTGAAACCAGTGTTCTCCGTCATCAAGTCCAATTTCACCCGGCTGGAGGCCCAGAGCGTAACGTTTACCTTGGTGGTGCTCTACCCTGGCAACCCAGCCATCAAGCCAAGTGATGTACGTGCTGCTCGTGGTATTGAGCCTTTCACTCTTCATTTCTTATCCCGGCACTTGGTGGCAATAGTGACTGTTTAAGTGTTGGGGTATATCGGCCGTGCTCATGCCTTCCCTTCATAGCAATCTTTACTAATAGCTTTGGCACAAAAATGGCCTAATTCTACATTGCTCACTTTGTGTCGGGTACACATCATTTGGCACTACCGAATACACCTCATGATAATATGTTAAACCAGATCACAAGGTGCCTGGATTGATCAAATGTTGATGATTAGTCATTATTATAATGTCTTTCATGAAAATCTGCTCTAATATGAACAGTGAGATCTTTTTCATAGACCACTTCCCTCTTGCATGCCATCATACGAGTCAGATATTTTTGAAGTAGAACACGTATTATTTTCTCTCTGGTCTTATTCTTGTGTCTTCTCTACTAGATCATTTGGGAGTCGCCCCTTGGCACTGTGCATCCGATTGGATCCACATTTGTGTTCTCCGTTGATCGTCAACGCCTCACAATCAACCGCCTGCAGCGCCTCGACTCTGGCATGTACACAGCACGAGCTGGCAATTACAATGGCTTTGCAGTGGCCGTCTTCCACCTGCTGATGAATGGTATGTAACCTGGGTCTACAGAGATTATTGTACGGTATGTGCAGGTGCATACTCACACACACATACACATATGCACACACACACACACACACACACACACACACACACAAACGCCCACACGCACACACGCACACACACACATGTGCCCCCCCCCCACACACGCACACACGCACACACACACGCACACACACGCACACACCCACACACACACACACACGCGCGCCCACACGCCCACACGCCCACACGCACACACACACACACACACACACGCACACACACACACACACACACACACACACACATTAACACACTAACACACACGGCGCACAGCCCATGCTCGAAGAACCTGCACAATGACCAGCATCCACGTCTTGTAATGCTATGAGGTTTGTGCTCACATTGAAATTGTCAAGCATCAGATAGTGTGTCATTTGTATCAAATTTTGATGTTCCCAGACTATTAGCCCCGCCCCCCCCCCCCCCAACACGCACACCATTCTCAAATACCTCCATTAATGGTCAATGCAATGCTATAACAAGTGATCTCCTTGTTCCAAAACACTTGTGAATGCTCTTACTTATGAAGTTTTGGTTTTTTGTCAATGATGCAGTTCGACCCTTCATATCAACCCCTTCTAGAGATGAGAAGTTTACTGTAGAGGAGGGAAAGTCCCTATCGATCCCATGCAATGCCAGTGCTTTCCCCAGCACCATGCCCGTGTGGGAGCATATCGGACTGGGTCGAGTTCCCACCACGGGCAGCGTCAGTGCCAGTACACTATCCTCTTATGGTAAGCATGGTATTATTAGTATTCTCGTAGCTATAGCTCTTTTCACAAAATTATTATTATTATTATTATTAAACTCAATCTCGTAGCATGTGCACCCATTGCTAATGTGGGGAGCAACCCCAGAGATGAGGGCCATAACCAGCCATGGTAAGAGTACAATAGAAAACAGTGGTATGATTCAATTGCCAACTGTCGATGACCACTGTAAGACCAGACATGTTGACGAACATTTTATTCTAACGATTTAATGAAAAATAATTTTTTTTAACATTTGAAGTCGCTATGTGCAAAACGATATGTACATGACAGAAATTTGTCGGTTTGAGACAGAGTTCTTTAGAATTTCACCTTGCTAACCCACAAAAATCAGATTGTTAACTTTCATTCACGTCCACCTGGTCTAACAGTACCTGCAGTAAACCAGCAGAGAGGGTGCCTGTATAAACCAGTATTGTTAGCGCTGTGTGTTCAGACGACGTCATCACGAACAATTCACCAATGACACCTGATAACAGCAGACAGCAAAGCCTTTTCACTTTACACCAGAGTAAACTGTGAAATGAGAGAACTGACGCGAATGTTGAATGGATGGACGAAATAAATATAACACCAATAGACTCTCTAAAACCTCTGGCTATTCAATCTTCAGGTGATAGTAAATTGCAATGACATGTTACGAGTCTAAAATGCTATGCAATGGCAATTTTATGTGTCTAGTGCGGAATATGGGGAGGTGGTCATGCAAAACTGGTTGATAACTTGGTATTTAGGTGTGGCATGTATAAGCCATGGTGTAACTACTCTTCTCGTTTGCAGATACCATCCGACAAGTTTACATCATGTCCAGCATCCTGAGATTGACTGGTGCCGAATATGGCGACAAGGGCACGTACAAATGCGAGATATCTCTCACAGACACCACAGGTTCACACGTCGCAGCTGTTCAAGTCGACGTTGATGTGCTAGGTACGGTCACGCAATGTGCACCACAGCAGTGTATGCCTCAATATCATAATTGACTTTCTCCAGTGGCATGCCCATTGGCAACGTACGAGTTTCATTGATATTTTAAAAGTTTTGCAGCTCCTATTCCACCAGTAATCCAGCATTCCTCTATGTAGCTGAACTATGTTCAAAAGTTGTGATCATGTGGATAGAAGAAGGAAAAGGACAGAGTATGCTCACTGTAGACTCAGATGGAGAGCCAAGGAGTGGGCACATGTCGTTGAATGTTAGCATTGCATCAGTATAAGCCGTATGCCCTTTTTCGGGGGGGGGGGGGGGGGGATTTTGAGTGTTCAAAGTGCGGTTTATACTCCTGAATGTACGGTAGTATGTACTCATCGCATATATCCTGTTCTAGGCAATTCGTCTCACTAGGGCTTGGATGCTTCAAGGTCTCACACACATAAAAAAAACAAATCTGCTTGTATTTCCAATGCAGTTGGTCCCAAATTCAATCACTCGCAAACAAAGTACACGGTATTGGAAGGTGATACATTCGACATTGACTGCATCACCTTTGCTAATCCCAAGCCATCCTACAACTGGACAGTATCACCAGAATTCCCAGCTACAATGACAGAGCTCATACGTGAGGCAAGCTCCGGCCCGTTTCACACATCCAAGTATCGTGTCAGCAGCGCTCCTATCCAAGGTTACACACACACCTACAATCTAACCTGCGCTGTCAACAACTCCGTGTCCAGTAACAGCACAACTATCTCGCTTCTAGTTCAAGGTTGGTGACTTTTTGGATTCATAATGTATTTAAAAGAAAAGGGGGTTTGTCAACTGACAACCGCTCCATTCAGTTGGTATTCACACTCGGCGCATGCTCTGGAGGAAGAATTATTTATTGACATCACAGTAAATACTTTTCAGTTCAGCAGTTTACAAACCACCTTTTCCTTATACTGCCGTTGCGTGATGTCCAGTACTTTCTTTGATAATGTACATGTATATCATTCATCTGTATTGTCACTGCATGACTGTGTTGATTGCTACCAGCCTTGTCGGCAACTTACCAACATAGGGACATTGGCCACACGTTACATGTAACCATTTGTAGTCTGCCTGTTTCGGCCATTCTAATGTTTACCACGACGTATTGAGCATACCAGCAAAGTGGGATTTGGTCTTGTTCATTCTCCTGTGCAGCAAAACCTGATTTTTCCGGCTCTGACACTGGTCTGCTTATAAGCAGCAGGGAAGAGGATACGGATGTTCGACTCAGCTGCACTTTCCGTGCTGTGCCAGAGCCGAACATTACCTGGAATCACGGATCAAGTGCCATCCCTGTTGGCACAGTGGTTCTTGTGGCTAACGAAACCGTCCCATTTCTTTACACTAGCACACTGACTATCCCCACCGTACGGAAGTCAGAGGGTGGAGGCTACACTTGTACTGCTACAAACGCTGTGGGAACAGATGTCCAATCGCTATTTTTGAATGTTCGACGTAAGTGGGGTTGATGTTAACGCTACTTCGTGCTTAGCTAGCAATGCAGAAGGATTTCTTCTTTGAGTTAGTGCATGATTTAGGGGATTGGTTCCAGGGATTTATATGGTGGCTGTCCCTCTGTTGTGCTGTGCAAGCACCGGATACCTTCTCAATGGTCGCTGTTTTATTCTTGAAATCTGGTGTTCTTCTTCGAAGTAGGAGTTTGAAATAGCAATCCCTGCTTTCAACTTACACCCTTCAAGCAAACCTGTACTGCTTGTGTCTCATTGATCAAAAGATATGCCAAGTAATCCCTCTGAGAAGCGTTATCTCGGAAATGGTGACCGACAATAATTATAATCTGAAACATCCTCCTAGTCGTCGGCAGCTAGCTCATTACACATTGTTATGCCAAATCACTGTGATTGGCGGAACCAATCGCAGTGAACTCTATTGAACAAAAAAGCATATCAACGACATATCCAGCTATCTCTAAAGGGGGGGGGGAGGGGTTCCAGTATAGTCAAAACTGAATAGCTGGTACATGTGCACGGACACGCATATGGTTGCCAGTAGTACATTTACGAAATTTAGGGGGTTCCGCAGAACCCCCTGGAACCCCTCCTTGATCCGCCCCTGCATATCGGCTCAATGCATCAAAGTCAGATTGCACTAAGTGTGAGAACACACCCCAACCTGTGCATCAGGACTGACACTTCACTGGGATTGATCTGAATCGTTTCGTCGGCTGACAGAAAGGGGGTTTGTCGAACCCTGTGGACCCCCCCCCCCATGGTGCGCGCCTGCACATACAACTCGTTGCTCTAGCGCCAGAGTGCTCAAACTACGAAAGTAGTCAGCAATGTGTAATGCAGCAGGATTACGCATTATGCCCATGTCAGCCTACCGAGAGTGCTGAACAAGACGAATGTCAAGGAGCGAAATACCCAATACTCTAGACAGCCTCACAAAAGCCACAACAGTACAGCTAGAAGTGTTCGTTAGTGGACGGGTGCCAGTACACTGCAGTGGTGAAAGGTTTTTAAAAGTAAGAGATTGGAACTCTAATAGTTTGGTGCCTGTGATGTTGTTGACTTGCAGCACTATACACGGCTGACTGTGACTTTGAAGCGGGAGGTTTCTGTGACTACACAAATGAGCGTGGAGCAGACCTGATTTGGTATCGTACCCAGGGAGCCACAGCGAGCTTTCACACTGGTCCGCAAGCTGATCACACATACCGCAATTCTACTGGTAAGGATGTGCAGTAGTGCAATTTGTGTGCTGCATACAAGTAGAGGGTGGAGCTGGGCAAGGTACGATACCAATACTTTTGCGAGCTTAGATTTCATGAACTTCACTCATCAACTACAATAAGGGTCTCTTTACTGCAATTCAAATGATATTATGTAACATATATTTATCTCGGATACTGAGCCAGTAAATATATTTTAATAGAAGAATTCACATGGAAACGAGTTATGAAGCAACTATTCACGACTGTTACAAGATAAGAGTGTCACGGGTGAGAAGTACCGCGAGATATTGGCGTCCGGTTTTGTACAATACGTTTTCGCAAAGCTTCCCCTTCTTTCATCTCTGATAGTGCTGACCCACCCAAGTTGGGTGGTGTGTTGCTTTGCTGCCTCGAATTGTACCTAGACCGCATTGTCATGTTATTAGCTGGAGTTGTCATCTTCCTGTTACGGTCGCCATTCTTTGTTGGAAAGGAGAAAGGACAAAGGAACTACAAGTTACGCTATGATGTCCACCAGTTACTAAACAATCAGCTCATGCGATAACATTGCACGACACTGACCGACGGTACTGACGGTCTACAACTAACTGGCTAACAGCTCTAGCACGCGCACTCCAACAGCCTTCCAACTGGGAAGGTTCTAAACACTCCTGTCCGTACTGATGAGGCATTTATGGCCGAAAGAGCTTGCTGTGTACAGCATTGCCAATGAAGTTTCGTAAAATTAATTGATGTGTAATTAGTTGCATTAGAGTTGGGGGACAATAAGAAACTCTTAGATTTTGTTATTGTGGTTTGTTTGGTCTCAAAAGGTGTCACCTCTTGCTTATAATAATGTTAGGTCCACAAGTTCATGTATGCACGCACTCTCACACCAACGACCTCCTACGACCTTTCTCACGCATATGCATGTACACACGCACTCATACACACGGCATGCACCTTTTCCCGCTTCACACCTACAACTTCTCGCACTATCGTATTATTCATTTGGCCTGGGTAGCTACTTGCGCGCCCATGTTTGCCATAGCTACCCAGGCCCTTTATATTGCGTTGTTTCTCAGTCGAGCTCTCTCTCTCTCTCTCTCTGCAACAATCTCTCTCTGACGACTTGTACTGAAGACCTTGCCTCGAATCCGATTCGCTCCGTACGTCTGCTGTTGTGAAACATTCAACAATGATAACACCAAGCACCATAGAAGTACGTCTGTTTTGCTGTAATCGGCTAGCCGTATTAGGGGGCTTGGCTGCTTCAACTCCCAAACCCTGTCTAGACACAGAATCTATTGAAGAAAATTGCGCGAATCGACGTGCTCTGTGTCCTAAACGAAGTTATGGCCACGCATTTCCTGTGATGGTAAAAAAGTAACAAAGAAAGTAAAGTATCGTGTCCGTTCCCGAAGGGAACTCACGACGGCCGCTAACACCCGGTAAACCCTAGCGGCACCCTGTGATGGCAATATCATTACAAGTGTATAGCCATGCCATGCCCATACATGACCTTCTGAATGTCCCGCTGTGCAGGTCACTATGTATACCTTGAGACGTCTGTGGGAGTGTCTGGCCACAGCGCAATCTTACGCTCTCGGCTGATCACCTCGCAGCCTTCAATGAACTCGCGTCTGAGCTTCTGGTACCACATGTATGGTGCAGCCATAGGATGGTTATCTGTACAAATCCAGTGAGTTTATTTTATAATTATATTTTTTGCTTTTAAACAATCGTCGAGGAGACAGTAAGCGTGAAGTGGCAATGAATAAAACAAATTGTGCAGCCATAAGTATGTGTTAGATGTACTAATTTCAAAAAAGTTGAGTGGCACTCATCAGTGGACAGTAGTCACTAAATTAGGGTAGGCAAAATTACTTTATAATTATTACCGTATTTCCCCGATTGTAAGTCGCAGCCCCATTTCCAGGTCCTTGTCATATCGTTTCAATATATTCACTTCAGTAGTAATTCATGCTCGATTGTAGGTCGCACCCCCTTTGTTGGAAATGAAGTTTAGTGTAAAAGGGTGCGACTTATAATCGGGGAAATACGGTATTCTTTATTTTTCATAAAGACTACATTAATGCCAGACAGTAGGTGCAGCTCGGAAATCAATGATCCGGAGAAGGCATCGTGAAGTCGTTAAAAAGAAGATGTCTGAACACAAACGAAACAGCCCAAATCAAAAGTCCTTCCGACATTTTGTGTAGACCGGCTTGTAGTGCATGTAGATTTCGCGTGCTCTGCACTTCGCATGCGAGAAGTCACGCACAGCCAACGTGATTCAGGTCGCGTGAGTAGGGGCCCACGCGACAGTAGAGTTGCCCTCTTGCTCGAACCCAGACAATACTAAGGGGATCGGTCTATTCGCTTAAAGAACAGACAGTACTGCCTTCTCACCAGAGATTGCCTCTCTGATTCCTACCAAAACGGAAGTAGTATAAAAGATTTGAAAAATGAAAGTGTGAAGAGGGAAGAAGATAGCAACTATAAAAGTGGTCATTTACCAACGATACGTGTACATTTATTATCAGTTCGCAGCACTCCTCATTTATTAACCCATCCTAACCGGTGTGCCCACTTCATTCCTGAAGATGGTTATTTCATGACCGAAACGTTGAAATAAAATATTTTTCTGGTGAAAAGCAGTGATGGAGTGTGAGCCAGTATTGCTCACAAACCAAATTTTTACTTATGAAGCTGCGTTATGCGTCCCACAAGATTTTAAATACATGTACATGTAAGTACTAAGAAATTTACCAACTCAACTGGGCTATTGTACTGGATAATACTTGAAATGCATTGTCCCATACATCTTGGATGCAGCCTCATGACACAGAATGATATAAAGTAGTTCGGGGGTGGAGGAGGGATGGAGATATTGACTGATAGCTACGGCAAGCAGTGACAGGAGCATGTGGTAGGAGTGAGGCGGAGTGGACTGTGGCTTGCTCCTGTGTGTGTGTGGGGGGGGGGGGGGGTCGACTCATACTCTGTATTTTGATCTATTTACAACGTACATCAGCAAACGAGGAACATGGCCATATTGGAGACACGTATTATCAGTCCCAATTTTTCCGGAACAATTTGCAAAGGCTTTTAGGTCATGGATGCATTTTTTCATTTGCACTTTATGATGGCAATTCTGCAGACTCCTGTGCTATGCTTTGGGAATAAGTGTGTCCACCCAACTTCTCTCTACAGGTCATAAGTTGTCGACTTATCACCTGAACATAGTACACTCGGGCTCTTTTTCCACCTGCAGGTATGCAGATGGGTCGAACAGAACATTATTGGAAATGTTCACGAATCGAGGCGATCTTTGGCAGAAAGCAGTTGTTGATATTCCGCGCAATGGCCAAGATTTCTACATACTATTCAATGCCACCCGATTCTACAGTGATACGGGAGATATTTCCATCGATGACATTCAATTCCTAGGCACCGAGCCACCCACCCGTGAGTTCCTATCACAAATAGTTACTCAATCATATGCTTGAATTACAACTTCTTGGCTCCAGTGTCGTGAGCAACCAACCAACTTTCTTAGAATTATCTCCAAAGTCGCTACCATCAGAACCATTGCTCTAAATGCTGTAGTGTTGGCTACCGGTGTAAACATTCCCTGAATATAGGCAATGAAGTGAATGTGATGCCATTGGATGCTGTCAAAAGTAATCATGTAAAAAGAGTCTCGTATCTTGATCCTGGCCTGATGTCATGTTTTGTGGCTGCTGTTTCACCCGTGTCTCTCCACGATGTTCACATACACTGTAGCAACACCCATGTGTTTGCCTGGTCAGTGGTACTGCTACAAGAGCACACTGTGCATTGACTCTCGTCAAGTGTGTGACTTCAACCATGACTGTGGTAACTCTACTGAAGACGAGGACTCTTGCTGTAAGTTACAATACAGGTGTTAGCTCCCGGCCAAACGCAGTCCCCTCGCAGTCCCCTCGCAGTCCCCTCGCAGTCCCCTCGCAGTCCCCTCGCAGTCCCCTCGCAGTCCCCTCGCAGTCCCCTCGCAGTCCCCTCGCAGTCCCCTCGCAGTCCCCTCGCAGTCCCCTCGCAGTCCCCTTGCAGTCCCCTCGCAGTCCCCTCGCAGTCCCCTCGCAGTCCCCTCTCAGTCCCCTCGCAGTCCCCTCGCATTCCCCTCGCAGTCCCCTCGCAGTCCCCTCGCAGTCCCCTCGCACTTCCAGAACACAGGGGTTTTGTAGTATTGAATAATTATATGGACCAAGTACTTAGACCAAAGAGTAGACAAGAAGGAAGATACAACTAGAGAACCACTGGAGCATGCGCTCTTCCACACTTGCTAGGCTCTTGTTGCTATGGTGAAGGAGCGGGAAATACGAATAGTGAGTATTGTACGGTCTTAGTATAAACACACTTATTACACATTTATGTCATTTCTGTCAATAAGTATCATACGCTAGGGCTCAAACGGCTACGGTTTTCACCTTAACGGTTAACTACCACGCTAACGGTCGGTTTATCGGTTATACCCTATTAGCTGCGGCAGTCTTGCCTGTGGCTAGTTTGAACACTATTGTACAATATACTTGGTCAAAAATGTACTGTGCAGACTTGCTTCTAAGGACTTATCCATGCACATGTTGGCATGCTCATTCACGCCTATTCACAGACCAGAAGCATTAAAGATGGCATGAAATTGATTCAAATTGTCACGGATGGTACTATGTAGTGTGCATGTATGCATGGGTACATACACAATAGGTTGTAAAACTGCCAAAACTCGGTAAAAATGCGTACTTCGAAAACTCAAAAAAGTACCCGCGTAACCTTTACACAAACGGTTAACCTTTATCTTTTCAAAACCGGTCTTAAACCGGTGAATCGGACTAACTGTTTGAGCCCTATTATACGCTCATACGTACAGTGAAATGATTCTTGCTGAATCCCCTGTTCCAATCCCAAATATTGAATGTGAACATGAAAGTGGTGATTGATGACCATCGGGTGATTTTGTAGATTTCAGGAAAGGGGTAAGGCTTTGCCTGGTTCACCTCCCTGTGATGTTCACAGCAGTCAAGTCGTGGTGATATTGCCAATCAGTGCTGCAATTGTGTCTCTGTGATGATCACAGTGACAAGTTCATGGTCATTTTGCTATGCAGTTTTGCCTACATATATCAATCTTGTATTCATTGTGATGTACCTGATGTAATGCTTTCAGCCAAGTCGTGCAACTTCGACACGGGCGAATGCAACTGGAAGAATGCCATCTTTCGAGACTTCCTTTGGTACAGACACTCCGGTAACACCAGCACTCCAGGCACTGGACCATCTGTAGACCACACCACGGGAACAGTACAGGGTACGGAATTTAAATTGTGTTCCCCACCCCACCACTTTGATTGTTAGGCTGCATTTTGAATGGACAATTCTGCTTGTAAAATTAGGCTTGTGAGCAGCACTGGCTCACACTCAATCACTGCTTTTCACAAAATCATTTCAGAAAAAAATTTCAATTCAACGTTTCACTTATGAAGCTGCGTGATGCGTTCTAAAAGATTTTAAATAAATGATGCATGTTCTTGAAGAATAGAACGATCCGTGCAGTGAGGTCTTCATTGTTGCCATGGTGCCCAAGTTACCCATGCACATACAATGTACATGTATGCTAGGTTCAAATTTGGCCCTCGAGGGAAGTATGGATGCAGTGAACTGGATTTTTTCGGTTTTTGACCACTTTGGTAGGTCTGATCTCCTCAACTCCCACCGCTATAGGAGCTGTATCTGCGCTTGATCCTTGAAAGAATGGTGGCATTTCTACGAATGCGGAAAACCAGGCCTCCAACCAAGTATCATGCAATCAGTGCCTTTTTTGCCAAACATCATTATCTTTTTCCGTAGGATTGCATCGTAGCATGAAGGCAGATAAACGAGCGCACCCTATGCGCGCAGCACTGCAATGCGCACAAAGTCAGGCACAGCTACACTAAAAAGGTTTAAGGAGACGGCTGCTCCAATAAATGTTCAGCGTTAGCCTTTTCATGATCATTCCGCAAGGTGTGCACTGTGGATCTCAAGATTTGAATTCTATTCATTTGTACTCCGCTATTCTTCTCTGATTATTCAGGTTACTACATGTACACAGAGGGCATAACCATGTTCAATGGTGCGTATACAAACTACGAATCTACAAACTTCCAGCGCACTGGACCAGCGTGTCGTCTGAATTTCTGGTATCATGTGTATGGACGTCATCAGGTATGCTAGATGACAGCACAATAATCATTATTGTCTCCATACTCCTTGTCATTTTGGTGGCAGATATGCACGCTTGTTTATACCGATTTTGACTCGTTAGAAACACAGACCTATTTTATTGTGTTCTTAGTTCTGCCTAATCTTGTCGGCATCATCAAAACATTGTCTTCGGTCAATGGTACGAATACCCTGCATTCTTTTGTCCATGGCATTATTTATATTTACGAGACTCGTATGTACTTTATTGTCTCCCGACTATATAGGGACATCTCTCTCTTGCCATTTGGACAGGATTTCGTCACAAGGATGTTCTCTGGAGCACAACGGGAAACCAGAGTGATTATTGGAGGCTAGGATCAGCTTTCATTGGAACAAGGTAGGCTAGTTCTGCTGTTCTCACCTTCTCCCATTTCATAGTGATGTGATTGAGATTCGAAGCGGGCACAGTGTCTGCTCTAGGATTGTAGGACAGCCGGGTACACGTGTACCTGGCGCAACCATTTCAACCGGGTCGGAGCCGGGTACACATGTATTCGACGCGCGCCTAGTGCCTCTGCATGATCTGTCACACATACAAGCCATGTAGCCAGTCCTTTCAAAGTGAGTTCGAACGTGTAAAGTACCAACCGCGTCACAGGTGACCCGGTACTATATTTTCCACCTGGTCCAAGCGCCGCCCAACCGGGTGGATTACCCGGCTCACCCGGCTCTGGAGCAGACACTGGGGCGCTTGTGTAGCTTTGGGCAGTGTTGAGGAAGATACATTCGAGGACACATAACTCTGTGATAGATAATGACTTTTGACTGAGGTTGTGTATGCAGTGATCTTCAGATTACAGGAATGTAATGACGTAGCTAACTCACGACGCTTGTAATTATAAACCCCTTTTGGATCTGGAGGCTAAAATAAATATACAATTGCAGTTCCTGTTTAACATGTTGAGGTCATACAAGGTTAGGATCTGTGTCATCGGTGCGCTTTCACCGTCCTAGTATGGCGCATGGAAAATCTCTGCACACCCACTTTACGGTATTGCAAACTCTCAGACAAAGCACACTTTATGGTGATGGGTTGTACCAAGAGTGTGCAACTCCTATCTCGAACTGCGATGGGTTCACCCACGGCGGATTTGCGTCATTCTTTGGCTGAAGTATGATCAAGTGTGTATGCTTTCCCGCGCATGTTTTGTAGATACGGTGAGAGTTCATCAGGTTCAGAACACATCGATCTATCGTCCGTTGTTCTGCTTCGACTACAGTAGCTGTGATGTACAAATTCGTTGTACTTTGATCTCTGGCTACGCATGATGGCATCAGTGAGCCAAACAGCCGCCAAAGACTGATGTCAAAAAATAGTTCCACCATGCGCTGGGGGGATCGTTGAGTTGCACAATCTTGGTTATCGGTTTGATCGGAGTCTTCTATCACACAGCACTGCAGAATAGACGGACATATGCAGGTTCACTGGCAACAGACTCATGCTGTTGTACAGGAAGCACCCCCTCCCTCCCCCCCCCCCGTATTACCTCACTTCATTCAGTTGACCTGTAGTAGGTCAAATGACTCGTTTCTTTGTCTGCATCCTTTCCCCTTTCCAGGTACAATTTTAGCATTGCGTTTGAACAAATCCGAGGAGGTGGCGCGCTGAGCGATGTAGCTATTGATGATATCCAGTTCATCAATTGTGCGGCACGTAAGCTCATTTTTCTTGTTTTGTTTTTTTCTTCTGGGTCGAAGTTGCCCAGGTGACAAACCATTTATTGGAGTGTCAGAATCCCATCATACCCCTAAATGCCCACCGTGTGGTTATGTATTTGACTTTGATTTTGTGTTTCTCATTTTGTTGCAATCACTGCTTATCCATGCCTGTTCCTTTTTTCTTCTCCTCCTCTTCTCCCTTCCTTGCCGTGGTTGGTTAACACCCACTCTGTTTGTATTGGCCGGTGTTCTCACTGTGCTATGAGATGCTGTAATAAAATGCCTTCCAATGAGTTTTTGTCAGTGCAGTCATGCCATTTGCATACCATCAAACTGGCATCTCTGGAGAGGGGAACTGCAGAGTATCTGGAAATTTTCTGTGTGAATGTTCAGTTCAGGGTGGTCCACTTGCTAAACTGCCTGGTCAGCTCACCGCATGTCTTGTATCTGAATATCCTGTTTGTGTGTGTGTGTGTGTGTGTGTGTGTGTGTGTGTGTGTGTGTGTGTGTGTGTGTGCGTGTGCGTGTGTGTGTGTGTGTGTGTGTGTGAGTGTGTGTGTGTGAGTGTGCGTGTGTGTGTGTGTATGGGTGTGTGCATGTGTGTGTGCATGTATGTGTGTGCATGTGTGTGTGTGTGTGCGTGTGTGTGTGTGTTCTCATGTCTATGCTGCTCGGCATGTAGCTAAGACCATCCAGGCATGCACTGCCAGTCAGTTCACCTGCAAGAACCGAAACTGTGTGCCGCTTAGCGCAGCATGCGATGATGCTAACAACTGTGGTGACAATTCCGATGAAGTGGGATGCCGTACGTATGATTCTAATGAAAAAATTTCCTTGAAAGATTGCGCAAATGCATGCAACTGATAAGATCAGCCTATGACTTGAACAAGTAACTATACCTTCTCTGAATGCTAACTGCAAATGATGTGCCATTTCCATTTAAAGGTGTATCCATGGGTGCTATATTTTTATAGAAGCTTTTGTGTTCATTGTGCATGTATGATGTGCCTGAAGAGGCATCTGCTCACATCCGCAAGTGCTCTATGGCCTTGATACGAAAAAGGACCCTTGGATTTGTGAATTGTTGCATCTGATGATTACTGCCTCGGAAATAGCTAATTACTTCTGATATTCAAGGCTATGGACAAGGTTAGATTTCCTGTTATCACCCTTCACATATCACAAGGAAGTCCGATGAAATGAAACAATTTTTTTGTGGACATATCAGTGATTTCCGTCACTAAAACCTTATTCATAGCCTTGATTACGTTAGCGCCTTCGCGCTGCTTAAAGTACTTCTGATATTTATATAATTGCAGGCACCGGCTTATCATCCTCACCCACCACATGTTCTATCATGTTTTCCCTACAGCGGTGTACAACGGTGACTGTGACTTTGAGACGAGTATGTGCAACTGGAAGAACACTGGTGGTGATAAGCTGGACTGGACCCACCATTCTGGGTCTACTCCAACGATCTCCACGGGCCCTAGATACGACCATACCCTTGGATATGTTCTAGGCAAGTCTCATCGAATTTATTTTGAAGAATCAGCGTGGAGAAAGCAATTTTAACATTCTACTCCCCATGCTAGAGTATAGAGTAGACACACACGTTGTGCAAGACGCGACACACCAAAAGACAAGAGAGTGAGTTTGGAAGAATAGGAATGTCGGGCAGAGTAGCTGGCCTCAATTGAGTGCGCGTTAACGAATCGTGTGGTGGGCCTACCGAGGCCAGGAGCTGTATATGACCAAGTGGGTCGGCCTGCACTGGGCAGGAGCGGTTTGTGATCCATGCGAGTTGGTGGGTCGGCCTGCGTTGAGCAGGAGCGGTTTATGACCCATGCGAGTTTAATAGTAGTGCGCGAGAGGCCAGTTACGGAGGAGTGTCCGCATCCGTGTGTTTCAAAATATGTGGAGTGGAGTGCAAGAGTATGAAATGGGATGAGGAGGGTGGGTCAGAATTTGAAAGCTGACTGCAGGCAAGGAAACTGGAAAGACAGCAAGCTCTGTTGTGTGCACAGGAAAATCTGCGCATGCGCAGAGCGTGGGCATGTGATGTCTATGATACACAGCAGTATGTAGAGAGAGCAAGATTGTGCACACACGTAAGGAGGGTCATGCAACCCGTTATAAAGGCCAGCAGCGAAGCAATAGTACGTTACTGCTAACAACGGTTAACTCCTACGATAACCGAAGATTTATGGGTGCAATAAAGAGTATAATAGATGCAGACATGGCCAGACAACAACGAGTTAATGGAATTTTAAAGGACTTTTAGATTACAGTCAGACCTCGCTAAACCGCACACATCTGTTTTCCATAAAAAAGCCACCACGCCCACCCTCCTCCACCACCGCCACCAGCGACGGCGGAGCAAGCACAATCTGTGAGCCAGGATCCGCAAGTTGTGTAGGTAACGGTTGCCATACAAACTTTAGTCGACTCCTGTCCTTTCTGAATTACAGATGGAGCGGACTCGCTCCCTTCTATTTACACTGCAACGTTCGAACACATTTTCGTAGTTAAAACAACGTTTCGGCATATAGCCCTCATCAGGTTTGCAATGATGTGCACTCTACAAAGGAGCAGTAAATATACTGTGCTGTGCTGTGTTTGCGCCAAATGTGTCAGCTACAAAGGTGGCGAAAGGGATTGGTGATAATTATATTAATATCCAGATACGATATATTCACAGTAGTGCCCAGCCAGCATTAGTGTTTACTTGCGGCCGCAAGTTGCGGATTTCAACAGCTTCTCGCAGTTTTCTGCTTGCTCTGTCGCCTGCCCTTGCCAGGACTGACACAGCCGAGAACACACTATCCGCAGCAGCTATACTCTCGCCAGAATGTTTGTCGCGCACGTGGTCACCCCATGGCTTATCGAGAGTGCGATAGCGTGCCTCGCCATTGTGCTCCCGAATTCTTGTTTCCAAGGAGCGTTCCGTCTCCCCTACATACGTTTCCCGGCACCATTTGCATTGCAATTCGTAGACTACATTCTTTGTCATACATACTCGTTCGCCTCCAATCTCACAGGTAATGCAAGGCCCTAGTGGACGTCCTCTTTGTCTTTTTTCAGTAATGTTGGGCTCGTTTACGCACTTGGGTGGTAACAGCGCCGAACGGCACAGTTGACGCCTGAGGTTGCCCGAGTGCTCGTATACGACACGTACCGGCAACTTGTATTTCCGTATTGCTTTGTTCACATGGTGGTGTACTTCATCGGACTTGAACGGTAGTTTAAGGAAGGCAGAGCGGGGATTACCGCGTCGTCTACGCCGAGGTTTCCTGGCAGCTTCCCCTGCTTCCGATATGATACTGTCTGGGTAGTTATTTATGCGCAGTTGTTTGTGTATTTTTTGTTCGCTCTCGGCTTGCATCATGGGGTTAGACGATAGTCGCTGTGCCCTTAGGAATTGAGATTGAGCGACGGCTAACTTGGTGTGGTGAGGAACTGCCGATGAATAATCCACCAGTAGGCCACTACTGCATGCCTTCTGGAACAATTTGAATGACAGCTCTCCGGTTTGCCCAACCGCGATCGTTACGTCCATGTAGTCTATGCAGCAACTGTCACAACTTAATTCATGCGTGAATTTGATACGTTCGTGGCTGGCGTTGAATCTTTCTATGAGCTCCAGAAGGCGCTGCCTACCATGTGTGCATAGGATGATGATATCGTCGATGTATCGTCTGAACAGAATAGGTTGGAAGGGTGAGTCCTGAAGAAGTCGTGTCTCAATGGTGTGCATAAACAGGATGGCAAATGGAGGTGCCAGGTTGTTCCCCATAGCAACCCCATCTAGCTGGTGGTAGATCTGTCTGCCAAATCTGAAGTAGTTATGACTCAGAACAAACTTCAGTAGTGTCCTGACTTGGGTCACGCTCAGCCCGAGCATATCAACTCTGTTATGGTGTTGCTCTAGCACGTCACTAACGGCATTCACGCCCTCTTCGATCGGTATGCTGGGATACAAACCCACCACATCCATCGTAGCCAGAATCGTTCCAGCAGGTGCTTTAAGGCCAGGGTATATGGTGCGGATATTGTCTAGCGCGTCTTTGGTGTTGATGAGGTGTGATGGGACAAATGCAAGTAGTTGATGCAATATGCGTTCGAGAACCACCGAAATTCCTGTGACTGTACTGTCACAAGCAGAGACAACAGGTCGGAGGGGCAAATTTTGCTTGTGGTCCTTTGGAAGACCGTATAGTTCCGGGAATCGTGTGTCATGAGGGAGTATTGCAGTCCGACGATCAGGATCCATATTCGTGCATTGCTCTTCCAGTATGGATTTAACCTCTTTCTCATACGCAGTGATAGTTAGATCCACTTTTCTGTACATAGTGCTGTCAGACAGAAGTGCCTCTGCCTTCTCCAGGTAGAGTTCCTGTTTCATAGCTACTAGCTTCTTGCTCTTGTCGGATTGCTTTATCACTACACTGGGGTCATGACGTAGTTCTCTCAGTCCGTCGCGTTCCTCTTGCGTCATATTATGCTTGGGAGGTCTTTGTTTGCCATATGCTGCCAAAACTTCGTCCTTGAAGTTGGCCATCTTTCTTTCCCCATCCTGGCTCATTCTGGGCGGTTGCTTGAAGCCATGCTTCTTTAGCTTCCACAGCCTGCGATCACACTCAGTACCGGTATCGTGGTCGTCCTCTGGCTGGTCCACACCCTGAGGCCGCGCCTGCTGCCATCTCAAAGCTGTCCTTTCTGAAACAAAAACTCAGGGTACCCGTTCTTAACGAAAACTGACCGGAGAAAGTCAAGCTCTTTTGTTGCAGAAGTTGTTGAAAGTCGAACAAACTACTAAGGCTCCTTTGTTTGGTCGTGCTCGTTGTCCCGTCTATTTATGTTTGCCTTGGAAAGGACAGGAGTCGACTAAAGTTTGTAGTGCAGTCAAGTCCGTTGTTCGTCGAACATACTATGCAGTACACTTTGTGCCAGTTTTACGACGATGTGTGCGTTTACGGTGCGGAAGGACGTCCTACCAGCCTTTCACCTTAGTCATCTTATTTACAACTTTGAATGCCGACAATGCGCTAGTCGATATGTTGGTAGGACTGTTCAGCACCTGAACGCACGCATCAAACAACACACACCACGTCACATACTTCCACCTTGCGCACAACAACAAAGACCGAAGCGAGGGCGACCTAGAAAACAACCGTTACCTACACAAGTTGCGGATCCTGGCTCACAGACTGTGCTTGCTCCGCCGTCGCTGGTGGCGGTGGTGGAGGAGGGTGGGCGTGGTGGCTCATCGGGCCAGTTTGTGTCGCCGCCTTTGCTCCTGCCGTCGGTGGTTCCTTCATCAGTGCCCCCGGCGGCTTTGGCTGGGGTGGTGCCGCTTGCGGTCCCGGTCCCACTGCCTCCTCCTGATCCTTCGCCGTCGGCTCTTGCGGCGTTGGAGCTTGCCAGTGACAGACCACGAGCAACACCGGCAGGGGCATTGGCACTACAATTGCCAACCCAAAAAGACTCACCTTGCGTATTAGCAGCTCCTACACCATCACCAACAATGCAATCTACAGCAACAACAACTAATCCACCATCCAAGTCCACTATTGAAAGACCAAGACGATCAACAGCCAACTACAACAGAAACTACGCACTCAACGGACAAAAGCGTAAGGAGGGACGTGAGAGCAGGGTGACGGCCGAGTCCCGTTCAATGGACCATGTCAGGCGGGATAACAGAGAGAGAGAGAGAGCGCGCAGAGGAAGCAGATGATGGGACGGACGGTGAAGGGAGCAATGAGTCGGACAGCGACGATTGTGGTGATCGTGAGAGTGCTGTTGAGAATGTTAGTGTTGTGCGTAGGTTTTGTGGTAGCAAGTCTTCAGTGTACAATCATCTGTTGGCTAGTCCTGACTGTTGCAATTTGTATTCCGACTCTTCATTCACTGTATTGTGCCGTGGTCGTCATGGTTATGGACTACAGTTAAAGGTTTTGGAAGCCATCTGTCAGCGTCTGTATAAGCCTAATTTGTGTATACAGAAAGATAGTATAATTGGGTTGAAATTGTTCAAGTAAAGTGTCATGTTTGGTGCGGCCAAGCTTGGCCGTTAATGTTCTAGGTGTAATGTACTGCTGTTATTTGTTATCACTTTGTCCTTCCTTCTTTCTTTCTCTTCTTTGTTCACTTTTCAGTTGCAAGTTTAGTGTTAGTACACACATTCGTTTTTGCTCTCGCTTTCTTTGTTAAAATTCACACTTGTAAATTTCACTGCTGTTGTTCTTAGTGTTATTTCTCTAACTTAGATTTTCTATAATAGTTCAATTTTGTTTTCAGTGTCCTTTCGTACAACGAAGATTCCTGATGAGTGTTGTACGAAAACTTGTTTGAATCCCTATTTTTTTCTCTACACAATTTCTTCACATTTTCATCGTTTTATTGCACATTGTCTCCACAGTTTTACAAAACATGATAACAGTGAACACAAATGTCGATCCAGCTTGTATTACCGAGTGCGGTTATCAAATTGTTGTCTACTCGCCGTTTGTTTGAATAATATAAAAATCCTTTGAACGTCCATTAACTCGTTGCTGCCTGGCCATGTCTGCATCTATTATTATTATTATTATTATTATTATTATTTGTGCTCCCGCGTCAATGGGCTCGCCCAAATTCGCTTGCACCGAACCATGCGAAAAAAGGCCGCCAGCAGGCAGGCAGGCAAAGAAAAATAGAAAATGGTGTCACATAAACTAATACAAACAAGAATATCATTATTGATGACATTAATATACTGAATGAATGGCAAAGGCCATGTGAATACGGATAATACGGATAATCAGAGTACCAACAACAAAGAATGTAGCTCAAACCATTGCAGTGCCAACTTCCTTCACCAGTACTCTGCCGCGGATCACGCTACCAGTCCTGCTGAATCAAGACGCGGAGCGAGTCGGCTGCCGTCTGAGGACTCCAAGGGACTTGCAGCTGATGGCTCAGCGAGCACTGGATCGCCGTGAATGGACATATCTGTGCAACGCAGTTACAGATGCATCTATTATATTCTTTATTTATTTAGATAGATAATGCAATGAATAGAGCTATATTATGTGCACTCATATCACAACCATAACGACAAATAAAGTATTCCAGAACGTTTTCTTGTCACAATTAACAATCCCATTACCCAGGCCGAAGTCACTCGCGCTCTAAAATGCCTAAAGAATGGACGTGCATGTGGTCCTGATGAGCTACCAGGAGAGCTTTTAAAGTACAGTCGACCAACAATAGCCAATCTCATATCAGCAATGCTCAATAACGTATTTGAAAATCATCGAAGAATCGAAGTCGACGAAGGCACCTTCATCCCGCTGCAGAAACCTGGCAAACCGAAAGGTCCTCCTGCTAACCTCCGTCCAATCATTTTGCTAACCTCACTCAGGAAGAGCCTCTCTCTTATCATCTTGAATAGAATCCGACCGGGAGTGGAGAAATTTCTGTCACCAGGACAGTCTGGCTTTCGCTGCAACAGGTCGACGGCGGACGTAGTCTGGTGCAAGAGGTGGCTTTCGTCTCTTGTGGAAAGATTTGACACTGAAATTCATGTTCTTGGCCTTGATTTCAGTAAAGCATTTGACACTGTGAACAGAAACAAGCTACTGAGTGTGCTGAGCAGCGAACAGATTGCAACTGATGATGAGCTACGCATCAATCGGTACCTCATGTCAAACACCACTCTGGAGGTCAGGGTGGAATCAGCAAAATCATCTGCCTTTCCAACTACGAAAGGCATTCCTCAAGGAGATGACCTTTCGCCGGTCCTATTTACAGTTTACCTCGAAGCCGCTCTGCGTGACCTTCGTTCAGTCCTGCCACCGAGACCAGCTGCAAATGAACACCTACCGGCAGAAACAGCTTATTCTGATGACGTAAACTTTATTTCAACGTCCAAAGCCTATCTTGACCAGCTTCTGTTGCTTGAGGAGAGCACCTTCAACACATGGAATTTAAAAGTTAACGTTACAAAAACAGAATGGATCAGAATATACCTAGAACCAACGGCACAGTCAGCAGTAACACACCAGTCCGTTATTCGTGGACAGGAGCCTTGGAGAACGGTAAAGACACTTGGCTCCTTGGATGGATCATGCTATGATGTAGCACGGCGAATTAGCCTTTCCGCAGAGGCATTTGGGCGCATGAAAGAGATTTGGCTCCGGCCACAGTACCTAACAACTAACACCATGATGAGGCTGTACAACGCATACGTCCTCCCGATTCTTACGTACAGCATTGGCTGCGCAGGCTTGTCAAAGGCACTGGAAGACTCCCTCGACAAGAGCGATCGAAAGCCGCTTCGTCACGTGCTTGGCATCCTTTATCCGAAAATCATCACAAACAACGATCTGTATAAGCTCACCAACACCGAGCAAATATCTGGAATTGCGAAGCGAGCTAGATGGCGGTTACTCCGGCACATTCTCCAACCAATCGGCACACCAGGGAACCAAGCAATGATGGCATACCTAACTGCAGAGGAAACAACTAAACACAGGAAGGTAGCACCTCGGTCCTGCCTGGTAACCACCCTTCAGCAAGACTGCAAGCTAACTGCAGTTGCACTGAAGACTAATCGACACTAGGCTAGACACGCTCCGGGACTTTGCGGCCGATCGAACGAGATGGGGCAACATCTGCTCGGCCATCACATGAACATATGGACTGTCTTACATGTGTGGACGGTGCTTGTGCTCACTACTATATCAGGGTCTACAGGCATCCGAAGCACTGATTGTATCTGTATTATTTTGTACTCAATGTATACAACACTATTATCTCCACATCACCATGTTTATATTTTTGTTTATGTTTTTCCACGCCATTGTTTTGAGTTCCCCTTGGGAACGGATACGAGAATAATAATAATAATAATAATAATAATAATATTAATGATCAGTGGAATTCGTGACTAAAAAGAATGATGAAACTACGAAAGGATTTATGCACTTGGAGTGAAAAAACACGAGGATACAAGAATAGTGTTGAGTACAGAAGGACTCACCATCCCAGACACAAAGGAACAACTGGGGACAGGTACTAGTAGTGGGAAGACATTCATCATAGACGGAGAGACGGAGAGAAAGAGGAACTAAACGACTACATTGTGAAAGAAAGAGATTCGAAGAGAGTTGAGAGAGAGATCTGAAGAGAGTTGACGCAATATATAGGGCCTGGGTAGCTATGGCAAACATGGGTGCGCAAGTAGCTAGCCAACGGAACGAAAGATGAGAATGACGTAGGTGAGAATGACGTAGCACGGGCGGAAGTACCTAACATAATACCCCTCCATGAAAAAAATCCCGTGTCCTCGCGGAGAGAAAAAAAGAGAGAAAAAGATTAAAAAAATGACTGAAGGAGAAAACACACACACACACACACACACACACACACACACACACACACACACACACACACACACATATTGCAGGCGCGCACGGATCTCACAAAAGTGTGTACTAAAAATGCACTTCATTACAACGTTCCTGTACTACTTATAGTGTGTAATAACTATTGGAGTTTGACGAGGAACGTGAATTACTAGTATTTTGCACGGCTAATACAGCCTAGTTACACTTTCGCTAAACATCCAAAAATTAGAGCGTGGCTCACCATGATCGGACCCCTAACTTGGTAGTATTTTGTGAACACACGCGCGCACACACACTACAAAAAATTCACGAAACAAATAAACCGAAAATAAATTTGACGAAGAAGGAACGCATACAAAAAAAAGAAAGAGAGAAAGGTAGCTGACCTGCATGATGAGACGAGGTGGACATAGGCGGGACGAGGTTGACAGAGACGAGGTTGGCGTAGGAGAGACGAGGTTGATATAAACGAGACGAGGTTGATATGAACGAGACGAGGTTGATATGGACGAGACGAGGTTGATATGGACGAGACGAGGTTGATATGGACGAGATGAATTATGCGGCCAGTCGGTAGAGCACGAGAATCCCAGGGTCGTGGGCTTCGGCAAAAGCCGGGCGCCAATGTTGAGTCCAGAAGGACTCACCATCCCAGACACGAAGGAACAACTGGGGACAGGTACTAGTAGTGGGAAGACATTTATCATAGACGGAGAGACGGAGAACAAGAGGAACTAAACGACTACATTGTGAAAGAGAGAGAGATTCGAAGAGAGTTGAGAGAGAGATCTGAAGAGAGTTGACGCAATATATAGGGCCTGGGTAGCTATGGGAAACCTTTTTTTTTTTTTTTTACTAAAAAACACAGCCCTACTAATAATCAGGGGAAGAGGACAACTGTAATGACGCTGGACAACAAGACAAAGGGGAGTAGGGGCGATGTGCCGATGTGGTTGGCGAGGCTCATCCGACCGGAGGTCTCGGAATCATAGCCTACGACCAGGCATCGTTAGGAATGCAGCTAGGGAGGGAGGAAGATCAAGTGAGAAAGAGAGAGAGAAAAAAAAGAGAGAGAGAGAGAGAGAGAGAGAGAGAGAGAGAGGGGAGAGGGAGGGAGAGAGAGAGGGAGAGAGAGAGAGGGAGAGGGAGAGAGAGAGAGAGAGAGAGAGAGAGAGAGAGAGAGAGAGAGAGAGAGAGAGAGAGAGAGAGAGAGAGAGAGAGAGAGAGGGGGGGGGAGAGGGAGGGAGAGAGAGAGAGAGAGAGAGAGAGAGGGGGAGAGGGAGACAGAGAGAGAGAGAGAGAGAGAGAGAGAGAGAGAGAGAGATGGGTGCGCAAGTAGCTACCCAGGCCAACGGAACGAAAGGTGAGAATGACGTAGGTGAGAATGACGTAGCACGGGCGGAGGTACCTAACAATAGTAAGAAAATTAGCACAAACTTCGGAAAATGTGTTTATTTTGATTTATTTTAGTTCGAACTTAGAGTTATTTTAGTCCGTTTCCTCAACAGTGCCATATTCAACAGTAAGTCATGTGGAGGCTGTTGTGTCCTGACTCCCCCGGCATGCAGTCTAATACAGCCCATAACGAAGGTTCATCCGGTCAGCACAGGCACACGCAGAAACAGAGTATGAAGCTGACAATGCATTGTGTGTGCATACAAATGTGTAGTGTGTATACAAAATGTGTACAGAGTACATATTACACAGCAAAATAAGGACACACTTCAGGCACTTGAAGAACATGTTTTTGAGTGTTATTGCATTATTGTCTCCGAAGATGCTATTACATATCAGAGTGCATATTTAACAGAGTGCATATTTATCAGAGTGCATATTTATCAGAGTGCATATTTATCAGAGTGCATATTTACTAGGGCAAATAGCTCAACTGGAACGCTGGCGTTTACTGTCTACCAGCAGGATTACGTTATCAAAAAGACCTTTCAAAGAAATTGCTTGCACACTGAGACAAGGTGATAAAAACAAATACATAGGCTAAAACAATGCGTCTGGTCTTCAAGCCTTGTTGCAGTATGCACTGCTAATCAGCCTATGCCCTCTTCTCCTGTCCAGGACACTACATGTACATTGAAGCTAGCGTTCCTCACAATAATACTGACTACGCTCTCCTTGTAACGGATACCTACTACCCGCCAACGACTGATGGAAACTGTCATATCCGTTTCTACTACCACATACTTGGTCATGGTTCTGGATGGCTGGCGGTGAGAGCAGCCCTCTGCACTGATTGTGACCATCTTTTGCATTTATTTGTGTGCATGTGCGCTCTTGTTTAGTCAATGGTGCTACTGAAGCTTATATCAGATACACTCTGATTTAGCCGGCCACACTAGTAGCAAGTATTTGCTTGACTTGGTAGGGGTTAGTGACTGCATTTGGATCCCACGAAGGATAACTGGCTGCCATCAATCAGGGAGGTAGGGAGATTGAGAGGGAGAGAGGGTGTGAGATAGGCAGCGGGAGAGAGTGAGGGAGAGAGGGAGGAAGAGAGGGAGAGGGAGATGGAGAGAGTGAAAGGTAGAGGGAGGGAGAGGGAGAGATGGAGAGGGAGGGCAGAGGAGGGGGAGGGAGAGAGAGAAGGAGAGAAAGAGAGAGAGGGAGGGAGAGGGAGAGGGAGAGAGAGAGAGAGAGAGAGAGAGAGAGGGAGAGAGAGAGAGAGGGACAAAGGTAGAGAGAGAGAGAGAGAGAGAGAGAGAGAGAGAGAGAGAGAGAGAGAGAGAGGGAGAGAGAGAGAGAGAGAGAGAGAGAGAGAGAAAGAGAGAGAGAGGGTGAGAGATGGTGAGAGATGGTGAGAAAGGGAGAAAGAGAAAGGGAGAGAGAGAGAGAGAGCACGGCAGAACAGCAGCCAAAATGAGTGAAAAAGATGTCCAGAATGTAAAAATGTTTGCATGTCTGTACATGGTGTGTACTCTCCAGCTGTACACGGAAACAAACACATCCATCAGGACAAATGTATGGACAACATACTCCCATCAGGGCAACGTATGGCACCGAGCTGATGTAATTGTCGACTCCACAGAACCATACCGATTTGTCTTCAACGCCACCATCGTCACACACGTGTACAACGATATCGCCCTTGATGACATATCATTGACAAAGGGTTGTAACGAAGGATGTGAGTTATGGTTGCTTGAAACTGGCTACTGTATTAGTCTTGTAATTACTGTCAAAAGGTCTGCAATTGTGGGCTTGTATGTTGTAGGGCCTCAGAGGAAGGGTTTCACACATAAATCCCCATACCTGAGCACAATAAGAAAATCCAATTTTTTTCCCTAGATGTGGACAATAATTATATTGAGCATTGGCAAAATGGTGAAGAAGAGGTTGGTGCAATACTTGGGGAATTGTGCGTTCCTGGTGACATGGGTGCTCGCGCTTTTCCTGCTGACTTGAATTCGCACTTGAATGACTCACGACTGCCATCCAGAGCCCACAAACCTGAAAGAAAGCACACTCCGTGCTCAATACACTGTGTTTCGGGGAATTCATCCCACATCAGTTAAGCTTGAGTAAGGTGAGAAAGATTGTGTTTGAAGAGCTCCACCTATATTGACAACATGATTGTTTTATTACCATTTTCAAGGATCAGTTCATCCGGGCCCACTTCGCAGTTTGCGAATCAATATTGATTGGCTGCGATTCGCCTTTCGTTTTTTTATCGCCCAAAACTGCAATGCACTGGCCCTGCACACCGGTACAGACAATAGTGTGCAGCTTACATGCAGCTGTCGTACACGAGGAGTGGTGTTTTTACTACTCTAACCAACTGACCTGTCGTGCTCGGTCCGCGGCGATTTCCCCTGAGGTTCTCTTTTATTCTTTCACAGCCAAGCTCAGTTCCATTTGTTTCTGTTCAACAAGACAAAGTTGAAGTAGATAATTCTTTGTCAATGCCTAATCTGTAGCCAACATGTCAATAAATCTGGACAGTGCCCAGAAGTGGGGAAAAGAACTGGGCGAGCTAGGAGTTTTGATTCGTTTCGAGGGAGGAAAGGAGGAAATCGACAATTCTGTGCGCTTCGCTCGTATCGTCACTATTGCTTGAGCGCTTCCCTGGGCTTCCTTTGTCGAAGGGCTAAAAGGAATTGCTCTGTTGAAGGATGTTGTGTGTGAAGCACTCAAAGTCAGGTGGACTCCAAGACGGTGAGCATGAAACGAGCCCATGTGAAACCCTAACGCTGATACTCAGGTCAGCCAAACGCGTGGAAAAGCAAATAGCAACTGCATCTATTATTCTCTTCTGTACCGCATCCTGCAATAAATATTGTACACATATAATTATACATGTAAACTTGTGATAACGGAAAAGTGCTAAACAATACTAAGGCCACACCGTTTTTTATCTGTGTTTCGCGTCCCCCGCGCGCATGTTTATTTATTTATTTATTTATTCAACATCTCCTGGCCCGTCCGAAGACTGCCAATAAACATGAGAGGTCAGGTGATAGCCAACCACGGCAAGCTAAAAGGGAAAAAAAAAGAAAGATGCTGTCAGAGAGGGAAAGGAGATAGGGAGAGAAAAAGAAAGGGAGGCACATTAATAATACATGGGATCACTTCGGATGAGACAGTGTGGAAAGCTGGACTGTGAATTTCCTGATATCCTGGCATGTCTTAATGCTAGTAGGCAGGTTAGACCAAAGGGAGTATGCTGAGAAGAAAGGGGATTTCAAAAACAGAGAGGAACTAGCGCGGGGCAGTGATAAGGCATTGCGTGTTGGGCTAGTGGTAACAAACCAGTTGTACTTGGCAATATGTTTCGGGACTTGGGCTAGGAAGATTTTTTGCACAAGGATACAAAGATGCTGCTGATGTCGGGCAAGAAGAGGGTGCGTGGAAGCAAGTTTATAAAGACAAAGGGAGGCAAATGTTTGGTCTTTTCGAAACAGAATTTTCAGAAGCAAGCGTTGATGTACCTCCAGTCTGTGGAGTAAAGTCTGAGACAACCCGCACCAAGCTATATCGCAATAGTCAAATATAGGCAAAATGTACGACTTAAAGAACAATTCTCTGCAGTTATCATTCAAGTGTTGGCAGTGGGGTTGTAGCATACCTAAGGACGCACTCGCACGCTTGCACACAGACTGGACTTGTGGAGACCAGGAGAGTTGGCGGTCGAGAATAACGCCCAGGTGCTTGTGCTCGTTAACAACTTTAATAGGTGTACTATTTAGACCAGAGGTTTGCACGTGGATGACACATTGCGCATCTGGTCGAATGGAGTGTATCATCGAGTGTAGAGCAAAGCCCTTCTTATATGTGTTTCACAGCCGGAGTTTAAAAAAAAAGAACGGAACAAATTTTTTTGGGAAAATGCAATACAAATTTAATGCAAAACCAGAAAATCGGAAAATGTAACCCAAAAGGAAAAAAACGGAACATGATTGTTATCTCAGCTCACACACATGTCATGTACAGCTGGGCCGCAAGTCACACAATCATCATGCCGCCTGTGTTTGGATCACAAGCATGGCAGCGGGGATACACAGACAATGTACGTACATGTACATGTACCTGAACAGTGCAGTGCCGCGTCGCTTCACTGTACACAAATGCAATGCACGTACACTGTTTTTTTGGATGGCTTTTTTATTTTTTTCGCCCTCCCTCATTGATTTCATCGAATAAGGTGACGCGAAACATAGGAAAAAACAGCGTGGCCTAAGTCTTATTTAATTAAAAAAACTGTGTAGCAGTGACTGCTATGCAAAAGAATCCAGGTAAATCGATCCCTGGTTTTATAGAGAGGTGACTCCTCATGGATTCAAGCCCACCATGTTCTTCAGTTCTAGTTGCCTTGCCCTCCCCCCCCCCCCCCCCCCTGTGGAGATCTGATTCACTCTGTTTGATTCATCTTTGTTGTTTGTTGCTTCCGGGGCATTGCTCATACTAGCTCCACAAGTATGCCCTGCTGGTCAGTGGTATTGCACAAAGAGTAAGATATGCATTGACTCGCGCCAGGTGTGCGATTTCAACAACGATTGCGGAATTTCGGCCGAAGATGAAGAACATTGCTGTAAGTTAATGCCACGGTGCTAGCGTTCGTTCTGTGATTTGTTGTCCATTTCGGTATTTATGGAAGGATGATGAGGCTATATCCAATCCTGTAGGCAGGTAATGATGTGGCTATATCCAATCCTGTAGGCAGGTAATGATGTGGCTATATCCAATCCTGTAGACATGGAGCTGTGAAGACCATAAAGGCCTCATCAGTACAGCAACGAGATTTAAGTAAGCCGTCCTAAGAGTGCTCAACACCCATGTAGGGCAGAGCCTTGTTTGTACACAAGAGAGAGATTGGAAGCTGTGTCGCAACTATGAGTTTCACATATTACTACGATCAGCATGCATGGCTATATGTATATATTATAACAAGGGACCGAGTGTATATCGAGAAATATAGACCAGTATAAAAACCGAGGCGAAGCCGAGGTTTTAATAACTGGTCGATATGTCTCGATATACACGAGGTCCCTTGTTATAATATATTTATACCTCTCCATGCGCAAGCTCAAGAGCAAAAAGGAGTGAATATAGCTTTCTTTCCGTAAAAAGGAGTGAATATAGCTTTAGAGAAAGAAAGCTATATACACTCCTCTTTAGAGAAAGAAAGCTCCTCAGTGGGTTTTTTTATGGTTTTTCTCAGTCGTGTATATATCTCCTCAGTGGTGTATATACCTCCTTAATGGTGTATATATCTCCTTAGTGGTGTATATTGAACAGTGTATGTGGAAATTTGTAAACTTCATGGGAGATCTGGTATATGAGTGTGGGTGTATATGGAGTGAGGTATAAGCCCCCTTGTAACTTAGAGCAAAACGAGAGAGCTTGGAAGCTCAGGGCCCTACGATATGCTTTTTTGCCTTGATGACCTAGACAAAAAAAAAGCATAGGGATGTTATAAATTCTTTAAAAAATTCCTTTTTTTTTAGACATAACCTGGGATTCGAACCCGCACTATCGCGCCCTGCATGCATCCCCCGATACACTTCGCATACATACTAATTCTTCCAAGTTGCTTCACATTATGATCTTGCATTTGAAAGCCCTATTTGAATATGCATTGTGGCCAGCCGTCTTTGATGGTACGGTACGGTAGGGATAGGTACGGGACAGGTACGATCGAGGGTAATACGACACCGTCTCCCGTACCGTACCATCAAACACAGCTGGCCACATACAGCTGCCCGCAATATTCAAATAGGGCTTTCAAACGCAAGATCATAACGTGAAGCAACTTGGAAGAATGGGTATGAATGCAAAGTGTATGGGGGAATGCATGTAGGACGATAGTGCGGGTTCGAATCCCAGGATATGCCTGAAAAAAAAAATAGGAGAATTTAAAAATTTATAACATCCCTATGATTTTTTGCCGGCAGATACGGGATAGCGCCAGGCGTGACACAAACAAACAAACAAACACACACACAAATACCAATTTAAAGCTGTGTGGACCCTGGCTAGCGCCAGACGTTACTGAAGTAACGTCTTCTGCATAGCTACGGGAATAACTATCACCTTGCTCTGTTAGTTTGGGGGACAGGAAGAAATGTGTAGATTCTGCTTTCCTTGCAGCTAAACCCTGTGACTTTGAACGTGGTGAATGCAACTGGGACAATTCCATTAACCTGAACCATTGGCATCACTACTGGTGGGAAAGGATTGCTGGAACAAGTGGCGCAATCGGTACAGGACCATCTAGTGACCACACAAGAGGAATTCCACAAGGTAGGAAGCCAACCGATAATTTGCAAAGCGTGTTAGCCACGGTATGCGTGGAATAATCTTGTATATTGGAACTGTAACCCAACAATAATTATTGGTCTTCTCTATTAGTGTCGGGTTGTGGTGATCTGGCCAGCAAAGCAATTCAACCAATATACATATAAACATTTTGGTATTTTTCCTCTTCTGTTTCAGGGCATTACATGTACGCCGAATCAAAGTACGACTCAGGAACTGGATGGGTGGCCAACTACCAGTCAAGAACCTTCCAGCGGTCTGGACCTCTTTGTAGTATTAGCTTCTGGTATCATATGTATGGACAAAAGCAGGTACAGTTAAGGTTACATTCAGTGAATATAAAAAAGAGAAGAAACACATGAGGACGAGTTATGCAGCAACTATCTACGACTGTAATAAGATGATAAACAGTCAGGAAGTGCGATAATAGGGCACACAACTGACAGGCTAATGAGACATTCAACGACCCGAGACCTAGCTGTACCACATCTCCAGTGCGCAAACCAACAGCCTTCCAACTTGGAAGGTTCATGGTTACGTAGGACCGAACAGGGGAAGGTGAGAGCGCAGCAAAAATGTGCACAGGCTGTTGGTTTGCGCACTGGAGATGTGCTAAGGCTAGGTCTCGGGTCGCTGAGTGTCTCAGTAGCCTGTCAGTTTTGTGCCCTATTATCACACTTTCTGACTGTTTATCATCTTGTTACAGTCTTGGATAGTTGCTGCATAACTCGTCCTCATGTGTTTCTTCTCTTTTTTACATTTTATTACTGGCTCAGTGAATATGCTTTGTTTTTCACGCCTAAGCGCAGGGAAAGAGTGCAAATTACCCCTTGTACCGGACAGCTGATCTGCGCGTGAAAAAAACTAATACTTCTTCATTCCGCTTGAGTGTAACAAAGAGATGTATGGCACTGTTCGATGCTGTTCAATGCTGTATGACAAGAAGGAATTTGGTGACACATGCTATGTAAGACATCCAGTAATGCGCATGACTTGGAGATGTGTTCTGCTTCTGTAAACTTGACCCTTGTTCAACCCCACACCACCTTATTTTCGGCCAAATTGTGTCTGAGATGACATTTTATATATGTCATAGTAGGTTCAAGCAAGCCTGTAGGATAGCCAAACTGTGGCAAAGATTTTCACTCTAGTTCAGTATAATATTATATCCTGCGGTGATGACACGTCTTCCTCTTGTGTGGTATAGAATTGATTGTATCATGCGGAGAACAGCCTCTTGATAGATGCAGTTTTTACTTTGAATGCTTGGTCACTTTTCTGAATGTACTGTATTACAATTACCATGCAGGGGCAGCTCTCAATCTTGCTATGGAGCCAAGGTGGTCACAGGGAGGTGATTTGGGCAACGGATAGAGACCAAGGAGATGTTTGGAAGTATGGCAAAGCCCATATCGGCACAAGGTAAATCAGCAAACAGTGAATGGCAATTTCCACGGCCCGTATGGCAGCCCCTGTAGCTGAACTCCCCCCCCCCCCCCGATGAGAAGCATTGGCTCTGCGCATTGCGAAGCAAAATAAAACTGAAACACAACAACATGTTGCGGTTGATATTTCTCATCACACTCAAAATAACCTGTGCCCTCTAGAGGTAACATTGCCACTATATTGGCGTTATGCTATTTTCAAACTCTTGCGTTACAACTACAGCTGTAGTACTTCGCTTGGTTGACTAGTTTCAACTAGAGGACACAAGAACCGTCTAAAGTATTACACCCAAACACTATGAGCACAGAGAAAGTGTTTTAACTCGGAGACAGCTGATGATCGCTTAGTGCATAAAACTCAGAGTTAAAACACTTTCTCTGTCCTCTTGTTGTTTGAACCAGCTCTGCCACTCGGTATTGAGCACTCTCTTGGACAGCCTGGAACCTCTCTGCTTTAAAGTATTACAGCAATCAGTGCTTAGAATCATGTGACATGCCACGGTTATGCTTACCCACCTGAACATAATTCTGTGCTCTGCATTCAAGGTACGAGTTCAGTGTTGGCTTTGAAGGCATCCTTGGTGGTGAAGACTTCAGTGACTTGGCCCTGGACGATATCAACTTCACAGATTGTGCAGCTTGTAAGTCAATATGTTAACAGATTAGAACCAGCCACAACGGCAATTGAATAATGTGAAGCTCTTTGCACTGTAGGTAAAAAATATTGATTTTTGCAGAATCTAATATCGGAATGTTACTATTTATTGCAGCTGTAGGATTGTTTTTTGCACCATTGCAAGATGGCTCCAAGGAAATGATTCCGTTAGAACTGACGAGCGCGTCATAATCAATTTTAAACTTCACGTTTCATGGATTATTTTGGGTGACAGTGTAGCAGCAGATTAGTGACTGCTGCCTGCACATTTGGAAGTAGCAACTGCGTTTCTGTCAATCGGAATTGCTTCCTGTATTAGCGTGGCTTTCATGTATTGTGAAATTGGGCTGAATAGAAAAATTGATTTCAGAACCTCTTTTTACTTCTTCTCCAAACTCAGCATACTTTCTCCTTTTGGGAAGACACTCATTAATAAATTAATAATATAGCACGCATATAGCTCATATGAAAAATCAAATGAGGGTCATGCATCTGTCGACAACGTCGAGCCAGTGCGTTCTGTTTGAGGCAAGTTGCTCCACTTCCAAAAGAGACATATTGAGAAGTAAAAGGTCATTCCTAGTGTTGTCTACCCATCTGGTCACTGGGCGACCTCTGGGCTTCTTTATATCTGTGATATTCATTGCCATGGACACCCATTAGACTTTTGCATTTGTATTCTTCTGCAGCTAAACCAATATTACCATGTACAACAAGTGAATTTGAGTGTCAAAATCGCAACTGTGTGCCGCTTGCGCAAGTATGTGATGATGCCAACAACTGCGGAGATGGCTCGGATGAGCAAGGATGTCGTGAGTATAGTAAATTTCTGAATGCATGCGGTTTATCTTCTCAAAGTCCTTTCCACTGCACTGGTGATTGCACAACCTTCCACCGATGGTCATAGTCACTTTAGGAATCTTTTTTAGCTGGATGCATTGACTTTGAATATAGATGACCTGACCCTCGGATTCCACCGCAGAGGAAAGGATACTCTGGTAGCAACAGAGTGGTTAGTTGAACAACAATCTTGAGGAAAAGTTGGATTTTTTTATAGTGGATGAAGACATAGTACCCTACACTGAGATTGGTTAAGGTGCTAGTGTGTGTCACTGCACTGTGAACAGGATTTACCGCAAGTCTGGGTCACTGAACTGTGAAAGGTTATAGGACAAGGTTGGGTTGCCACACTATCCAGTACAAGGTTATAGGACAAGTCTTGGTTTTTCGTGTGCATTTTCGTTATCCTGGAGATGCTGCACTGACATCAATGCTAACCATTGTGCATCCGGAATGTCTATTCTTCGTAGTTGCTTTGAGGTCATTTCTGTGTCCTTTTCTTTGCCGTGACCATGCCATCAGCTTCTTATGTTGGAGATTGTGATTTCGAAACGGACCTCTGTGTCTGGAGAAATGTCGCTGGTGATCGTCATGAATGGCAGCATCTACAGGGTAACACTCCGACAACACTCACAGGTCCCAACTACGACCACACGCGAGGGAACAACGAAGGTATGTGATGCATGAATATTTAATTATTTATTTATTTATTACAGCATCTCATAGCACAGTGAGAACACCGGCCAATGCAGAGAGAGAGGGTGTTAGCCAACCACGGCAAGGAAGGGAGAAGGGGAGGAGAAGAAAAAGGAACCGGCATGGATAAGCAGTGATTGCAACAAAATGAGAAACACAACATAAAAGTCATGGCGCGACAAGGCTCTTAAAAAGGCGGAATAAACAACCTGATCAGCCGCAGTCCCCTTCGGAGATAGTCCCATCATAATTACATGGGTGCCTGACGTACAAATGTGTTACTGAGGGCAAGTCTCTTTGTAACCTGTCCAGGTAGTTATCAATCATGCTCACTGATTCTGCAGTGCATAGCCCCATTATCATGATTTTCACCAGCCCAATCCAATCCACCTTTGAACATGTTTCCTGTTTCTCACAGGGCACTTTGTGTACGTAGAGGCCAGTGGTCCCTCTCATACTCTGGGAGACAATGCACTTCTCGTCACGAATTATACCTATCCTGCCACTACCGACAGTAGCTGCCACATTCGCTTCTACTATCATATGTATGGAAATCGGATGGGCAACCTTTCGGTAAGACATGTATATGATGATGATAATGATGAAAACGGTTGGACTGATTTTTTTCTGTCGAGTCTTCTGAACCAAAATGCATGCAGATATATGTGTGATGTGAATCATCCCTCTTGAAACCGACAAAGCGATGCAAAATTTCGTTCAGTCTGCCTCTGTAGCAAAAGGCAATACTTCCACATTCCACACACTGGGTTAAAAAAGGAGACCTTCAAGACCATGTGTGTGCAACAACCAGGTGGTCTCTCTGACATTGTTTATTGACATTGGAAAGGGAAATACACAGTACACACTGTACACATTGAGAGATAGGGTAAGGTGAGGATTAGTTAACAAACTTCAGGGATAATGTTTCATGACCGATGCCAAGGAACTAACCCCCAAACAATGTGGGGGATATTACCCAGCTGCACAGAACCATGGCAGTTGTATCATCGACTGGATGTGTTCATTGCACGCCTGTATCAAGCATTTGTGGCACCCACAAGGTATATTTGCGGATCCTAGAGCTTCTCATCACGTCATTAATTTTGGTTTTCACTGCAAAATTCCATACTCCTGCAGCTTTTTCTTGAAGATGACTCCTCTCTGCGGACGTTGGTCTGGAGCAAGAGTGGCGACCAAGGATACTTTTGGCATCGAGCTGACGTCACCGTGCGATCCACCTCGCCGTACCATTACGTGTTGGAAGGAGTAGTAGGCACTGGTTGGGCAGGAGACATTGCAGTGGATGACATCTCATTGACCAGAGGATGTCTCGATGGCAGTAAGTTCATTTCAATTTTCAACGCAGAATTTATACTCAAGTCAGCAGGGGCATAGCTGGTTCCCCTTTCACGGGAGGGGGGGGGGGTGGGGGGGGGGTGGGGGTGCATGGCCGCATATGTGTAGGATGGCTGGTGCAAGTCATCCATGGTCATGATGTGAATGCTGAACCTAGGTCGAGAAATTTAAGGGGGGGGGGTGGTGCATGTGCCCCCAATACCCCCCCCCCCCCTCCCCGCGCACCATGTGCGCTACACGCCTGTAAGGCATGTGACATGCGGAAGATATACAGTGGTACCTTCACCCAGGGTGACTAGAAATTAAATGATTACAGGTCCTCCCTCGTTAGTAGATAATCTCTGGGCCATCAAGAAAGTTATCTTGTAAGGAGACTTATCTTGTAACAGGACTTGCAGCTGAAGGTTAAATAGGCTGTAATTCGTATTCAACGGGGCTACCCTCAATACAACATAAATTATCGACGCTTTTAACTCGTTATAAGATAATAATAAAAACTCCAACATAGCTCTTCCTTGGATGCAAAATATCGTTCATATCACCGAATACATAGATACACACGTTGTGCCTTTGTGCTTTGTCCTATGTGTTGTGGTCTTCATCCTTCATAGTCATTACCATCTTATACTGAGGGTTTGGCACTCCAGGGACCTGGGCAAAGGGTCGTTATAACGAATTTTATGTACTAACGAATTATGTTGTAACTGGACCTGTAAACAGTTGTATAGACCACGTTTCGCCAGGGGATTTCAGATTTCTATTTACCAACGGGGTATATGAGCCTCAGGCTGAGAAAAGGGTGATATTGGCCTCATGCGCACAACTGAGAAAAGGGCACTTGAAAGCAGGGTACAGACCTTCGCTCTGTAAAGTGTGTACTACCCGGACTCGTTATAACGAGGGAGGACCTGTATTATCACTTTAATTAATTCCCAAGACCTGGGCACTTGTACTTTGGTATGTTGTGCTCAGGGCCCCCAATCGTTCTTGGCCCTCCTTCCAATGTAGCATTGAATGAAGGAGATGACGCCCGCTTCACCTGCACCGCAAGTGGCCACCCTGGTCCGAATATTACATGGCTGCACAATGGAACTGCCCTGGGCATGTCATCAGCAGTATCTATCACGGAGACTGTGTACAATGGTAGTCTGCTTGTGTTAGGTAGTTATGGCATAGTGTCTACACTACTGCTACACAATGTGACTAACAGCGCTCACCAAGGCAATTACACCTGCTGGGCCACAAATGCAGGTCTCACGGATGACGCACGATCAGCGTTTCTCAGCGTTCATGGTATGTACTGTGTCGGAAAACACCTTCCAGCACATCAGAAATAGCCGTTGCAGCGCAGTACATTAGCTGTGACCACAGTTAACCTGTTTTACTCTACCGTCCTTTACATGTACTAGCGCTGGTGTGGACATTGAAATCCTGTGGGTTGACCAGAGCCAGTACCCTGCACTCATGCTGTAGTTCATATTATACCGTATTATCCAGAGTATAAGGCGCACTGATATATATGCCGTATCCCCCCCCCCCCCATCAATGTTTTGCCACGAAAACAAACATCTATCCTTTTTATCACGTTGAATTTGATCATCCGAGAACCCCCCCCAAAAAAAATTTATTTGGCTGAATTTTGATTTGATTGTTCAAATGTGATGTTACTGGGCAGTGGTTGTTCTGGTTGCCATTGAAGACATGGAGACGGTTCACATTGATGGTCTGGTCAGTATAGAGAAATTGATAGCTGCTAGCTCACTAGACCAGAATGGTTTGATTAGTGCACATCACTAGGCGTGATGTATTCCTGAGGGATAAAGACTATCCGTTTTGAGATTTCACAACATGTCAGTGCATTTTCATCTAATCTCCTTTGATTTTGTGTGTGAGACATGTTCTCCGTCTGCATTTCCTCAGTTCCTCCTGTAGTGGTCACGCCACTGGAAGATATCATCACAGTTGAAGGCACAAACATAACGTTTACATGCAACATACACGGAATTCCATTCCCGTCTGTTCAGTGGTACTACAATGACCAGGTACGAGGTTTTGAATCACCGTGTAGCACATAGCCTAATGGAAGGACTGCTCATCAAATATAGTAGCTGTATTGATTTTTAAACTCTCGGTCACAAGTTTAAGGATATTCATTGACCACTACAGTGATAGGAAAAAGGTTTTCAGAGCAGACCCGCTCTCTTCCCATTTGCTCTGCCAACTTGAACACTGAGTTCGAGGTTGCGGAGTGAATGGGAAGAGAGCGGGTCTGCTCTGAAACCTTTTTTTTCCTGTGAATGAAGTTGCAGGAAGCCTCACCACTGCCACTACTGTGATGCTCATTAAAATCGCTTTTGTACTGCTTGCAATCAAACTATTCACTTCTTTCACCTTTCACTTGACCCAGGATATGTCAGCATCACCAGCCCTTGCCGATAACCGAGTTCACCTCTCAGTTAGCGGCAAGGTTCTGACAATCATCAACGTTCAATTCCGTGATCGAGGCCAGTACTACTGTCATGGCAATAATACAGACACATCTGGAATGCTCGGCGGGACTGTAAACTCCACGAAGGCCACATTGACTGTTCACGGTAAGGCTGATGAGGCAGCCGATTTCAGGCGAGGATGATGTGGCTCAGGACTGGCGGTAGCAATTTTTGATTGGCTTTCATACAGTTTGTGTATGATATGGAGGGTGGTCACATGACTTTCATACAGTTTGTGTGTGGAGGGTAGTCACATGACCTCTCCGTAGTAAACACATGTTGATGGCTAAAACAGTTGGTTCGGTCATGGCCTGACCAACCGGACCGGTTCCGCCGGGCCAGTGTGTGCGTGAGCATATCCAACAACTGATTGGGATATTGTGTCTTTTCACGTGTATCACTACACACCAGCACACACTAGTTTTGTTTGGATGATCGTGAGAAGAGATTGGTGATGTTCATGTTTTCTTCTGTGTTTCCCAGTGCATCCTCAATTGCAGTTCATAACTCCTTCGTTGGAAGTGCTCAAGGATGATCTAATTCGCATAATATGCTTATACAACAGCTATCCTCTGCCCTCCGTCACCATCATTGCTCCCGGTTACTCACAAAGCCGACTGCAGTCACTTGGCATGCTGCATTATGCTGAAGGTAACCAATGAATAGGACCAGACTGGCTATGATGCGATGCATGACATGTTATTTTGTTTCTCAATGGGACACTGGCTTTTCCTCTTTTTGTTTCTATTGGCTACATATATTTTTCTAGGAATGCTCTCCAGTGGCATTCTTTGGCGTCAAGTAACACTTCAAATCCCGGCAGCATCACGCTCAGACAACGGAACTTACACGTGCACGGCAGTGACGCCAGCTGGAAATGCAACTGACCAGGCATCGGTCACTGTCTATGGTAAGACAGTCCATCGACCATTCCTCTAAGTTCAGTACCACGGCTACGGATGTTGGGTCCCATGTGTGTAAGATCTGAGCAGACACTTGATAGATGTTAGCTCAACTAACCTTGACGTAAGGCGCGTAGATGGTAATTCTCCACACTGCCCAAACTGTATCTAACTTAATGATGGATGATTATCCCATGGATGTTTTTCATCTCTGGATAATAGTTTCCTGTAAAACAAGAATGCCAGCAGCCAATAGGGCAGTGTAGAATTGAAACATGATACCAATGTACACGGCAATGTCATCACAATCTCTGGGCCTGGCTCATGTATACAATGAGCAGGGTGGTTCTGACCTGTCTATGTGTTCTAATTCTGCCTGCCACTGACAAGGTGCAAACCACTCCTACAAGTACAGAGAAACCTGTCTAAGACGAACGCTCAAGGGACGTTCAAGATGTGGTCTCTGTTACCAGGTGGTCTCCTTATCCAGGGTCAATTGACTGGAAATAGCATCCCTTGGTCCTGGTTCCAGTGGTCTTCCAGGACAGGTGGTCGCCTTATCTGAGTGGTCGCCTTGACCGGTTTTCTGTATATTCATCGAATTTGTACAAACAGAGAAATTGATTTGCTTCTCTTTCCACCCTTCTGGTCTCCTACAGAGGTTCCTGATGTTCCTGCTCCCCCAGTGACATTGACCAAAGCACCGTATATTATCGAAATTCAATGGAGGGAGCCGAGGTGGAACAATGCGCCTATCATTCACTATCAGGTTGAGTAAGTGGTGCTGCAATCAGAATCAAGCACTAATTTCCTGAGACATGCTGATACAATTCCTACGCGCACAGTATATGCAGGAATGATCGAGCTTCTTCAGTGGTGCTCAATAAAATCCACTCATAGTCGGGTCAGTCAACTTCGCACCCAGCACAAACCGATGTTTGCAGAACCCTAGCTCAATAGTGCGAGGTTTGGCACTGACTCGCTTGGTTGGATTTCATTGAGCAGCACGCTATGTAGAGCACACAGGCAACATAGCCTAATGATTGAATAGCATGAGACACAGAGTGTCTACAAACTAGCCTTATCCCTTGTTCTTCTGTGTAACTCTGCCTCTGTTTAAAGTCTGCGGCACCAATACTGTTTTAGCCTTAATAAAACTGTTATCTCCCCAAAGATTGTTTTTAACTGTAGTTATCCTAGCAATGTTTTTTTCTATTGCAGATACGTGCACATTGATTGCCATGGAAACGCCATGTCCAATACAACCAATGCCACTGCGAGTGCCAGAGTGATGTCATTCACCGTTTCACCGAATATCGACTGCACCTACAGAGTTCGAGCTGTGAACCGTATCGGAGTTGGCAATCTGAGCAAAGCTCTGACTCTCAGATCACATGACATTAGTAAGAAACTCATAATTGAATTTTATAATTATGCAATTAGCATTCCGCGCACACAGACGACATGCAGACAGGCATACATCATTAGCATTCCGCGCACGCAGACGGCATGCAGACAGGCATACACCACACGAATAAGGCTAGGTTGTGTTGGGCAAGTACTGGTGACGAGGAACTGGTTGGTCTTTGCCGCAAGGTAGGCACGAACCCGTGAGGCTGCGAGTGCCACAGAAAGACAGAAGCCCGGAGGCTGTGATTGCCGCAGGAAGGCAGAAGCCCGGAGGCTGTGATTGCCGCAATGGAAAGGCAGGACAATAAGGCCATAATGCCGCAATAGAAAGGCAGACCAGTTATGAGTGATTCGCCACCAGGTTTATTGTGCTTGAAGTAGGAATGATGCAATGTAGTATTAATGGTTAGTGGTGGGATGGTGGGTCTGCAAAAGACAAAGGCAGCAGGATGCAAGTCGGGCATGAGCCAAAGCAGAGAAGACTCAAAACTGAGAATGGCAAGGAGATGTGCCACGTTGCTGACTCGAAGCCGATCAAAACTGAATTAATTATTGCGATGGCGTACCCATAAATTAATGTGATGTACACCAGGCAGTCTTGCCGGTCGCGGCAAGGCACGCTAAACAAGTGACGCGGCCAGAACAGTAGAGGGCGCTGTTGCGCAGCAGATACGTAGTTGCAAGATGTGCGCCTACGCAAAACTGAATTCATTACATGAATACATCATACAACCTGAAGAATCTGTAAAAGCAACCCTAAACTACTCAGTCAGTTGCTAGATGATATAATTTATGTAATTTGAAGAATGGGTTTTTAACTCTCTTATTGGGCACCCGGTGTTCATTGATTTAGTTGTGAAGGGTTTTGAGAAAAACCGAGTCAGATCAATATTTTTGATTCTCAAATTTGATACTGATTGCTTTGTGTCGAAAGTAAATAAGACACTTCTGACTTCACAGCGAGGAATACATCAACCCAGTAAGACCGTTGTACTGAACCAGTCTAGGACTGTACAGTGCATAGTACACCCACCCTGTGATACAGTTATACGACATTCTTGTTCTCGGCAATTTGAACCTTCATTCTGAGTTTTTATGACCCTTTAAAATTGTGTCACAGCTGCTTCAAGAAATGTGCTAAGCAAAACTGTGTTTCTGTTACTGTTGACGTGTACATGCAGACCCTACAGGATCACCGGTGGATATCGTTGCACGAGTTCTGACGTTTGAACATGTCAATACCTCCTGGAGTCCACCCAACTGCTCGCTGGAGCAAGGACTCATCATCCAGTACCAAATTCTTTACGAGGATATTCAGGTTAGAGGCAAAACTCACGCTCGTATGCTTCAGGCAGGCGGAATACACAATGTTTGCTGCACAATTGAGCACTTCCCACCTGATGTATGTCATAGCATATCAAAAGCAGTTGCCGCGCTATCTCAAACATCGACCCACCAGTGCCCAGCGTTTTGAACATTCTCGGATTAGGTGTGCATTCATTTCTAATTGTTTTGTTTTGTGCGTTTGTCCAATAGAGTATGGCTACCGACAGTGTCAACGTCACTGGAAGCAGTATAAGATCTGCTCTTGTCACCGGGCTAAGCCCATACACCGCATACCGATTCACTGTCCGCATGTTCAACAGCAATGGTTTTGGACCATACAGCGCTCCATTTGAAACAAGAACCCTGACAATAAGTGAGTGATGGTGTGTGTGTGTGTGTGTGCAGTGTCTGGTTCATCCATGGGGCAACTATCTGTGATATTTAGGAATCAATGCTTCGAAGATGCTCCTCTGTGGAAGAGCTGAGCATCTGTGAGAATGGATTCTATAAAAGTTCCCCGCAACAGAAAGAAATTGGATTTGTTCGGGGAAAGACTAGTTGCTGGTTCTCCCGTGTAGCTGGCAGCCTACAGTGACTGATCTGTCCAATTATGATGTTCAGATGTCACTACTGATTTCCTGAGCATAACATAGCCAGGTGAACAACCCCAACTGTGTGCTATTTCTTATGCATGGTGATTGCTTACGCAAGGCAAATTTAGTTGATTGGATATGAGTGCAACTACCTTGTGTTTTCAACCCTGCAGACAATCAGTATCCACCCGAGGCCCATGCCCTACACGCAGTAGTGATCGGTGTACAGAACACACCCGTCAGGCTAGAAATGAACCTAACACATCGCGGTATTCCAGCTCTACCAAGTACCAACATTACCTGGTCTCTAAGGTCTAAGGTGAGTTGTCTGGATCTGAAACTGGTCCTGTCTGGAGCACGACATCTCCCTTCAAATGTGCGGTCTCACTCGCAAACACTTAATAAGCGTCCCATAATGCTCACGACTAGCTGGTGAAGCAGCACGGTGCTTCAACAATACAATTGCATTATAGAGAATCATGTGCCGAGAGCTGCAGTGCTGCTCTTTGAAATCCGATTGTTTGAGTGAAGAAAGTGCAAACACTGGGATGCTAAATAGAGCAGCGCTCTATCTTGACTCAATCGATTGTATTTCATTGAGCAGATCTGCACTTCGGGGTGCTGTAAGGCTACACATTTTCGACCCGTTCGGATTTCGGCCTTGCAAGACTGAAGCACATTTCGGCCGCATCAAAATGTCGGCCTGTACTACTGCTGCCTGCATGCATTGGCACACTGAGCCCGGCAAAACAAAATTTCGTCAGCAACACATATTCGGCTATATATGCCCAGGCCAAAAATAGCCGAAAATAGATATACGCCGAATACTTGCTGACTTACAGTAATCCACTTTATTTATTTATTTATATAATTATTTCTCAAAATGCGAAGACTCCACTGTAGTCATCCACTATATCCATACATCTTCACTCTCCAAACGGTCTCTTTAGTGCACAACTCCAACGGGAGCACTACTAACATAAAATCGCCTACCTGCCTTCGCAATGGATATACTTCCTTCTTCGTCTTTACTTAAAAAGGAAGCACACAAACCACGTCTGCCACTAGCCACTGTTTCTCCCGGTTTATTGCACCCACTCTGATTGATAACACATAGTACTGTTTCTCTCTTTTTGGCTACGGTCATTGTGAGAATAAAGATAATAAAAATAAATATCCATACATCTTCACTCTCCAAACGCTCCCGATGGAGTTGTGCACTAAACACCAGCACCTGTCTTTCCGTTTCCCCGCAGAGTTCCAGTACGGGTCAAATCGACTTGACAATGTTTGCGTCAGGGGATGGCCTGACTCTGCAACTTCCCAGTATGAATTATTCGCTAGCCGGACAGATCTGTGCTTGCCTGCATCATGACGCTGCTACGGTCAAGGTCAACTTTACTCTTCTCTATGAGGGTGAGCTTCTGAAGATTTGAACAGAGGATGTGTATTATGCCTAGAAAAGTTTTGGATTTTTATAGCATTATACGTGCACGAGTCACAGAGCATGCACACGGCTGGTTTGTTGTTACTGTTAACTACACTGGAGTTCGGATATAAGGACCTTGCATATAACGACAGATTGAGTTTAGCGACACAATTCTGTTGCCCAAGTTGTTTAGGAAGCCCTTTGCAAAGGCCGGGTTTAGTGACAAATCGAATATAGTGTCATTTTGTTCTCTCCCAAAGGAGTGTCGTTATATCCAATCTCCACTGTAACAGCTTCATTGGGGACATGTGGAGCAGGCGGAGCAGTTGTAGGAGGGGAGGATACAAATACAAGTTTGATGATTAAATGATCACACCACTGTCTACATGTCGTTGCTATTATTCTTTCCAGAGCCTGCGTATGTCATTCAAGGCCCAAGCCCAGTCAATATCAATGCAGGTCAAATACTCGCTCTTCATTGCATTGCTCGAGGCAAGCCAGCCCCAAACATCACCTGGTATAGAGATGGCTTTGAAATGAGTCACTCGTTGTACACAACCACAGCATACCAAAATCAAGCCATAGACGAACGCGGAAGCAAAGGAGTAGAATCAACCCTGCTGACGAGTGTGGTCTATGGTGTACATGGTGGTGTATATGTTTGTCGCGCTGTGAATGAATATCTACCGGAGTCCAGCGCACAGTCAGTGGTCAAGATCTTTGGTGAGTATTATGTAGGGGTGTTTTCTCTCTTACGGTCGACCGAGTTGTTTGAAAACGCTGTCATTGAGTTTTGATGACAACATGGTACAGGCGGTTCCTTTTGTGGTATCTGCTTTAGCGATGGCAGTCTCAAAATGAGAAAGTGCTGATGGTAACCATGCGATATTCACTGCTTGTGATTGCTCAATATGATTTCTTCCAGTGCCGCCCACTGAGCTTACTCCTCCAAGTGATGTAACCGAGCACGAGGATCGGTCTGCCACATTCAGTTGTTCAATGTATGCAGTGAACTCACCGGACATCACATGGTACCATAACAACTCTTTCGTGAGTAACTCATAATAATCATTGTAGTGAAAAAAGAGGCCAAAATATTACGAGTTATGACTAACTGTCCACCATCCACCATCCCTGTAAAATAATCATTGTGTGTGTGACATGAAAATGAGTGGGTGCACTACAATTCTGAGCGCCAAAGATCGATACGCAGGCCTGATGGACCTCTTCTGTTCTCTGGATGGCATTCATTAGTCAGTCAAGGGTCATGTCAATTAGTAGAAAAATGTGCAAGCTCAAGTGTGGGGAGCACTCGACTTCACCAAAGATTGACCAGAATGTAATCCAATATTGACATTTGTTGCCGACAAGAAGCCAAACACAAAGCACATCATTTGACTTACATTTACAGATAAATAGAAAAATGATAATTTCTGTGCATGTAGGAACAATAATTATTAACCCTTTGGAGTCCTTAACTTTTTTGCTTCCTCAGTATTTGTCACGAAAATGCGCACTCAATTTCCAACATAACTTTGGTTCTACGTCACCGATTTTGAAGATCCTGGGCTCGTTGGAAAGCTCTTGATGAGAGAAATACAATGAGCCCAAACTTGCCAAGAGCACTACTCATTGTCCGCCACAACGCGCTCCAAACGCGAGCCCAGCTCCAGATCTGAGACGAAATCGGTCTCCTGCAGCCATTTCACTGAATCTACATGTTAGGCCTTGACAGATTATGCTAGCATAATTTTTCGCATAATTCCTACCAAAATCGAATGATCGCATAGTTCGAGGCAAATTGCATACGAATCGCATAAAATTGGAATAATCAGCCTGTTCGCATCAAATTCCATACAGTTGTACGTGTACATGTGAGTCTACAAGTACAAGTACATGTAGATGCACCAGGAAGTCGTAGGTTTACGACTCCCTTGAGAACATGTCCAGTCCACTACAATCAGTGACGGTCGTAGCTAGGTCGGACGGTGCGTTGACCCCGTTGAACTTTTGCTACTACAGTACAACGCCCTCTACAAAAATATTCCCCTGTTATTTTGCACAGAACCATTATACATTAGCAGCATATGTGAGCATAATGGGGCATAATATGATAACTTTTAGCATAAAAATAGCATAATTCTGCAATATTTTCAGCAATGCGAAAAGCATAATTTCACGAAAATATTAGCATAATCTGTCAAGGCCTACTACATGTAGCTCGGAACTGTTAAATTTTTTTTCGAGGAGCAGCTTACTTTGCCGTGACTTCGCGCCGCGCCGGTCCCGGCACGTCCCGCCTGTCTTGAAGCTGGGAAAATCCCTTTTTTCACGCACTACTGACTCACAGCACGTAGCGCAGAAAACTCAAAATGTTCGATCACTCGCCGCTCACTCGAACTTCATCGGAGAAACTTCGGATCTGGTTGAGGCGATAGCTGAGAGTTTTCTCTACCACCTAGACCCTTCCATTGTTGAATTTGGTCAATATTTGGCCGAGAACCGAAAGTTTGACAGCGACCACATGCATACAAAATGTCCATGGTTCGAAATCGAACCATGGACTCCAAAGGGTTAAACCAGGTGCGTAAAAGAATTATACTTTTAATGTCACCAACAAAGTATCTCAATTCATGTTCCATTGACTGAAGACATTTGAAACCTCTTGCTCCAAGTGATTTCAACAACTAACCACAAATGTTCTTGATTTTCCCGAATGCAGATTATCGACCCACTTGTCAATCCCCGTGTGTCTTTGTCCAATGGCAATGCATCGCTCACCATCAGCCCGCTCTTTCACAATGACAGCGGCAGCTACAACTGCATTGCTGAGAATGGCAATGTGAGACTGGGCTGGGGTGGAGTGACAATCGGCACTGCTGCATATCTCACAGTACTTGGTGAGTGTGGTAGAAAGTATAGCGCTTGCTTTGGTCGCCATCCTGATAATAGCTCTTGTTTCTAGGACACGGACGACGTATCCGCTTCATGGAGTTCATGGTGCAATCATACCAGGACGTACGAGTTATTATGGACAGAATCAGCAAAATCAATCCAATCAAAGTATCTGTACGAGTATCTTTTGCAGCCACCCGCCAGATTGCACAAGTTTCTTCTACTGAATATCAATGTGTTTGTATCTGGGGTGGATCAAGGGTCACATTTATAGTTCTCTACCAGTCTTTTGTGAAATGATTCAGCTATCATTAAGTTTGCTCTTATTATTATTATGGTTGTTGCAGATCGGCCAACGTGCAGAATTGCCAATGTTGAACATGCACACATTGCAACGGGGAGATTCTACCCTGGTGATACGACCAACATGACGTGCTATTCCGGATTTGTGCTACAAGGGAACGGCACGCTGACGTGTAACTCCTCTCTTGGATGGAACACTATGTCGTCGTCATGTCAAGGTAAGGGGATGGTTGAGAAGCTGTTACCGGGCCATATCCGTATATGCGTAAAGTGGTCCTTCGAGTGTGATATAAAGCATGTCTCCCTTTTGTTAATATCTTGTGTTTGTTTGAGACAAGCACGAAGGAATTACTCTGTCAATACCTGGGTTTGTGGATGACCGTATAAAGTATCATTGTTTGCTTAAGAGTCTGTCACCGTATCCATGGAAACACAATCACACTCAAGGGTAATGGCAGATAATCAGGTCGTGAAGTAGGCAGAGGTGAGAATATCAACCACAAAGTGGTTGAAAGCCACAAAAAGGGATTTATAACTGTGTCTCCTTTGTCCTTATACCAATGCAGAGTCGGGGGTGACAGTAGGTATTCTACAATGGTTGGTCTATGAAAAGGTGGTTGTAGGACGATCCGCCGAGGAAATTGCTTGGCCTATAAATTGTATTAGCACTTTGTCCTAACATAGTCCACATTTCAATGCTTCAAAAATCACAGGATACTATTATTATTGGTTAGGCTTTGCCCACACCTGTTCCACCAGTTCCGATACCCCGATAATGCTATCGAACCTCGATCATGAAGGGATGCACTTTTTTGTCTTGTTCTATTCGAAAATTTGAGGTTGTTAAAGATGAAAAAAGTCTGAAGAAAAAATTGACTGTCCCTTCAAGGACTTAAAGCCATGAACTGTTACTGATGGCCAGAAATTCTCCGCCGCTAAGATATGATACCTTGTGTTTCCTTGCTGTATTGTGTGTGGTGTATGATGTTCTATTGTCAATGATCTCGACCTTTGCGTTCCTGTATCTGCTCTTTACCAACTCTGGTTATGTTTATTGTCACTCCAACCTCCAGATATAAATGAATGCACTTCTGACATTCATAACTGCCCAATGAACTCCACCTGCTCCAATTCTCCTGGAAGCTTTACATGCGATTGCTTTTCTGGCTTCGTACAAAGTTCTTCCTCCGGTCTCTGCTCTGGTAAGGGGTTGACGCATGACAGTCTCTATTTTGTGGTAACCCAACAAAGAGCTCTGGAGTATTATTGATGTGCGTAATAAGCAGGAATTTATGTGAGTAAGCTGTGTTCTGTGAAGCCACACTAACAAAGAATAGCATGGTAATTGTCAGAAATATTGTGATGTGAGGAGGACAGAGAAATATATGCAAGGAATGTTTGGATGTTGATCAGCCTTGATCGAGGAGCTATCTTCATCTGCTGATCCTTCTAGAAAATATGTCCGATTGGATTTCTACTCTCGTGTAGAGTCACATTGATATTTTGATTAGTTCATTTCTGATTGTTGATTTCCCTCATTGACCACTGACTTATCACTTCTGCAGCTTGTGTCCTGCCATGGAGACAGCTAGCACCGGGATCCCGATATTGTGGGTATCTGCCAGGTGTTTCGGATAAATATGACATGGCTATTTACTACTGTGCATCATTGACTGGTGGCGATGCTTGGTTGCCGAGAGTTCGCAGACAACGGGACAACAACGCCATCTCTGGCTTCCTCTCCAGTTTCAACACCAACCAAGTGTGGTTGGGTACAGATGACAGACAGGTGAGTGAAGTATTGTTTCATTGTTCCGTTCTGCATTAAATTGTTCGGAAATGAGCAGCATTTGTTTGAAGATAATACCAAATAGAATCCTTTCTGCAATCTTTACCGCTACCAGTTAGCAAAATAGAAGAAGAGAACAGATTTTTACGTGATTACAAAGCTACCAAATTATAGTTATACCTACACCATACATCGGCATAATTATGTTCAAGACAACACTGTTGGGGAAGGTTTGAGAAAATAGTCGAGAAGCAAGATATACCTGTTTCGGATAACCTTCTGAATCTCTTTGTCAAGTTCGTTTTGTGTTATAAAAGTTGTATATGCCATCAACAAAGGGTTAATTACGTTTCCTTGAAGTATTGGTATCTTTGGCATTGTCTGGGTATCTATGACAACACAATACACGTATGCATGTGAACAGAAGTGGCTGGCTTGATTGACACTGGGCATGCTGTCCGATGTATTGCCAATATTCCTTTCTGCTCTTTCCCGTGCTGTGCATGTTTCAGATGGAAGGCAACTTCCTCTGGACGGATACACAAGAAAATCTCACGTACACAAATTGGATCGGCGGTGAACCGAGTAACACAACTGGCAGTGAAGACTGCGTGGTCATTTCCACCACTGGTACATGGACAGCAAGGCATTGCAACATGGCTAGTACTGTACTGTGCGTAAGAGGTAAGTTGAAATCTGTAAAGGTTCTGTGTGAGTCTAATCACCTGATATTTGTGCCAATGGCAGGAAAAACTAACTTTTCATGTTACGAATGCATGGCTGATGTCAAAGCAATGGCTGTGTTGGTCATTAATCAATTTCCCTCTCTCTCTTCCTATCTCTTTCTCTATCACTCTCTCTCTCTATCTCTCTCTCTATCTCTCTCTCTCTCTCTCTCTCTCTCTCTCGCTCTGTCTCTCTCTCTCTCTCTCTCTCTGTTTGTCTGTCTGTCTGTCTGTCTGTCTGTTTGTCTCTCTCTCTCTGTCTCTGTCTCTCTCTCTCTCTCTGTCTCTGTCTATGTCTCTCTCTCTCACTGTTTTAACCATAGATATGCCAACTTGCTCTGTGCCACAAATTCAAAACGGTGGGATAAGTTCAGGAGTCCAGTTCTACCCGGGAACTGCCGCAAATGTCACATGTAATCCAGGCACGTTGCTGACTGGCAGTGAGATCATCACATGTAATGACAGTCTTCAGTGGCACGCAGCACTGCCAACATGCCTAGGTAAGGGACTGGCAACATCGAACTAGCCTTTTCTCGACCGATAGGGTCATGTCCACCTCCAATATACACACGAATTTGAATATGCAATACTAAGTTTGCTTCAATTCCCAAGCACGTGCAATTCAAACTCATTTGTAGAATAGATTTGACATTTCAATCACGGGAACGTATTTATTGAAACACCATTTCTCTGGAAGGGTCTGTTCCTCTTCCTTTAAAGTCTTCTGCCGCGTATGTCATCTGCAGGCGATGTGACTAAAATAGCAATTGCTGGTCAATCGACAGCAATGCACTGTGATCTTCCACTTATAGAGCACGCCACTGTGTCATGGTATAGAAATAAGCAGGTGAGGTATAACGCATGGCTATTGGTGATTTCCCACTATCTATCTATTAATCTTTTCTATCCACCCATCCGTACATCAATCTACCTGTCCCTCCGCTCGTCCATCCATCCGTGCGTCAAGCCATCCGTCCATTCATCTATCTATCTACAATAAAGTTCCCTTTAGTCAGCGGAGAAGGCTCATGCTCAATGCAGTCACCAGGCGACTTCACTGCATTGACCAGAAAGTCAGAGTTGTTAAAACTATACAAACCTTCTTTGTGCACTTTGTGTGTAATTATCCACCTATCCATCTATGACGCCATCTATCCATCAATCAATCAATCAATCAATCCATCCATTCATCCATCTAATCATCTATCTATCTAGTCATCTATCCAACCATCCGTCCGTCCGTCCATCCGTCCGTCCGTCCGTCCATCCATCCATCCATCCATTCATCCACCCATCCATCCATCCATCCATCCATCCTTGTATCCATCCATCCATCCATCCATCCACCTATTCATCCATCCATCCACCCTTTCATCCATCCATCCATCCATCCATCCACCCATCCATCCATCCATTCATCCACCCATCCACCCATCCACCCATCCATCCATCCATCCATCCTTGTATCTATATTCTAAAGGGTCCTAAAAACAATGGTTTCTACTGTACATACAAGGCATGGTGTACCACACTTCATATGTACAGTACCGCTCAATGAAATCCAGTCACATCACTCAAGCCAGTCACATCCCTCAAGCCAGTCACATCACTCAAGCCAGTCACATGACTCAAGTTTGTGCCTTCCACCTTGTCACAGCCCAGTGTTTGCAGGCCTAGGGCTGCGCAACGCCCAGCGCGTACTTGAGGGATGCAACGACTGGATTCTTTTCAGCAGGACTGCAGATAGAGCTGTTGCCAAAGTGAATCTCATGATCCTAATCCTGTGGGTTTTATCCTGTGTGCTTTGGGCTCAGAAACTCTATCAAGATGATCTCCTTGGAAGAGTGTCATTTCATCTCGGCGATCATATCCTCACCATCTTCCGCCCAGAGCTCAGCGACACTGGTACTTACCACTGCACTACAGTGGACACTGGCGGCACTGGCAATGTCGCAAGCGTACAAGGAAACTATACCATATTTATTGTACATAGTAAGTTGTCAGGCAAGCACAGCCCCCCCCCCCTCCCCCGCCACACACACAGCACATGCTAGTTTGGTGGCAGACATAATAAGCATTGCTAAGAAAGTGGGTTTGTGTTTTGTGGCCTTTGTCCTGCTCACCCAGCTCACCAGGTGTTCACGTTGTTTTGCGAACACTATGTTTGGGGATATCATGGCCCTTGTACACAACACCCCCCTCTCCCCGTCTCCAGCCAGACGAACTACTTTAACAGAGGAATGTCGGGTTGCTGCTCACAAAGTGATTGGCCTGACACTGTGAACTGATTTTGTTGACCTGATATTTTAGACCTATAAGCAAAGTATAGATAGCATACAGCCCATTCATAAGATGATGAGCCCTGGCTCTCGCAAGCTTCCATATCTGACGATGTTTTTGATTTTAGACGATTTTCAGTGCAGTGCTGCAGAATTGGAAATTGGAAAAAAGGTCCAAAAAGGGTAACCGAGCTAGGGGTTCAAACTGCACAGTGCACTGTTCCAGGCGGGGTTCAAACTGCACAGTGCACTGTTCCAGGCGGGGTCAAACGGCCTGGATTTTGATGTCCCCCCCCAATTCAGTGCTTTTGGGGCAAAACCTGGCCGAAATCTTATTTTTGTTAGAGATTGAAGACAAATTTAAAAAAATCAAAGTTTTTAACCCATTTACGGCCAAAAGCTAGAAGTCCATGTTTTATGAATGGACAGCAGAGATCCATAAAACCATTTGACGAGCAATTTGAAGCTGCTATGTTACTTCCCCCTCTACTCCTCTATTCTCCTCACAGCGAATCCATCAATCGTTCCTCCCCTGCCAAAGTCCATTACATCATTTTCTGGTGCAAGGCTGGAAGTAAAGAGCAGTTTTCTTGGCAATCCCGAACCCGATGCTGAATGGTGCCTGATAGCGGATGGTGAATGCAACGGCGTGGACACTGAAAACTGTTCAGCTGTGCACACTACAAGCACGCCGGGCAAAGCAGAGCTCATATTTCCATCTGTTCATACATGCCACAGCACAGTGTACACACTGACTGTGAATAATTCTCTTGGGACGATCTCAGCACAGATCCATATACCAGTGAAAGGTGAGTGATCGGATTGCTACTTTTTCAGGTCATAGCAGCAGTATCACCTCTCCTAGCTGTGGGAAGAAATTTTGTTGCTGATTGTTTTTTTTTTTTTTTTTTTTTTTACTATTCACAAACCCAACTGGTAAAATGAATAATTATGCGGACAAAACAAACAGCTACTGAGTAGGGGCTGCACTGGGTGTGTGTGTTGACTGGAGAGCTCTGATTTGCTTTGTGTGTATTCGCACTGATCGCATTAAGCTTACCGTACCAGCGCGATTTTTTCTTCCCTGGAATAGTGCCCCATCTCGACTATTGCCCCAATCTCTAGGAGCCAGTGAAAAAATGAAGCCCTCTCTTTAATAGTGCCCCCCCCCGGGTCTTGTAACCAAGTGCATGTGCACGTTTATTTTTGTTCTTTTCGTAGTGTTCTTGTCCATGTCATTGAACTCGTGGTGTCAGGATCAAAATCACACTTCTTGTTGCCCTTTCTGACGAGTCGTGATAGTTTACAACACACTTTAAGCTCTGTTTTCTTTGCCTTATTTGTTTTAAACGGGATGACGTAAATGTACCAGCCTTTAGAAAAATAGTGCATTCTCTTGAATAAAAAAGATGATTGATTTTCCAGTAATCCTTCTGATGAGATGGCCTCGAAAACGTTCAAGGAACAAACATGCAAATGACAAGTAGCTTTGTAAATGTTTTTTTGTACAGAGTGCGCAACTTACTCTTTCATTGCACTAATATCTCTCTTAAATGGCGTGATCATATCTGTGATGGACATTGAAAAATAATAGTGCCCCAGGCGCACTAACCGCGGGAGTATGGTAATCGTCTTACATTGCCACCTTAAACGCTGGTCTGTGAATATAATTACCACGTAACTGTAAGCTGATGCATCTTTAGTTTCTCTTTGTTCAATACTTAGTTCCCATTTAGACCTGGTCTGCAAATGAAAATGAAAATTCTTCTTTCCATCATCAGAACAAACCCGAATCGGGTTCCAGGGAATATTCAACACCGCCAATCTTCGACGAAGGCGAAACCTGGAGGCCACTAATGAGAGCGACGCAATCGAGCAAGCATTCTCTACTCTGGTAGGTGGACTAGAGAGGTGTGATCTTAAATAGGGATATTATCAGAAATACAATAGATTGCTCTTGGGTTGATGTCCACGTTTATGCTATCCTAGAGTACGACTGGATACCAGTCTCATGCTCCTACATGACCACCACGGTATTCCACTGCAATCAAACATTTTCTCATTGATCTCCAAATTATTGCTCAAATTATTAATATATCCACTGGTTGGGGGAGTGGAAAGAAAAGTCAGAAGAAAAATTGACTGTAACCACCAGTACTTGAAGCAGTTAACTTTGTTTGAGGCCAGCGATGCTCTAGCTACTGAGCTACGGTGTAGCTGTCACCCAAGCAGTGACCGCTCAGCATTTTCTTCAGACTTCAAACCTCTGGCGTGTGTTCAGCGCATATAAACTCAAGAGCTGGCAGCCAGCCCTGCCGTGCACATCTAAACGCCCTCGTCAGGCTGGACCGCTCGCTCCAGCCAGAGCTGGAGTCGCACACAATGTGCCCCTTAGCTGTCGTTTACTTGTCATTTTTGCATTTACACCAAAGGTGATCGGAGTCAATCTGTTTGTGCTTTCCGAATTCTATTCCTGCAGCTGCGGATGCTGATTCCGAATAGGCTCATAGAGCAGGAACATTTCGAATATGACAGCTCTCAAGGGTAGGACTAACTGAGTCATTTCAGACTGAATATTATAATTATTAGTGTGTGTTTTCATGTATCTATGGCTGGGGCATATGCAGTGAGATTAACGCAGCCTTTTTTTTGATTAATCCACACAAAAATCACAGCGTATACACCCGAAATCCGTCCTAAGGCCCCGGTCACACCGAAACAAGCCACTTTGAGCTTGTTATCGCTGGCGCTCAGCTGGCTTGCGTGATCCCTTTGACGCGGTCACACCAGAGTGCAAAGCTTGAATGGCTTGTTTTTCTTACCCGCCAAATTTTGAATATCTCGAAACACACCAATGTTTGCAAGAAACTGGAGAGCAGAACGTTCGCGATCTAAAACTGTACTTGTTCTAGCGTTCAGTTTTGATGAAGAAGCAAAGGAAGCCCGGATTCTTAATTGCGAAGTCGTGCTCTTTTTATTTGTTCGGTGTGCATGGACGCGATGGTTCGGGTGGTGTTTCCTGATGTCGAGCTTTCTGCCCCGCCGGTTGCCGTTATTGAACTCAGTTGCAATCCACTCTCTTCTTCGTACCCGGCTTTCTTCATGAATTCGGTCGTGAGTGTGGTGCCTTGTCTTGGCCTCAAACCACAGCTCCAACAATCTACGCGGCAGTCTAGAGGCACAGTGGCAGAAATCCATGGTCGTCGGACAAAATCCAAATCAAACTGAATACAGTGTAGTTGGGGTAGACAGACTCACGGTCAAAACCAAAGGCACAGGGATAGCACGGTTCCACGGACACAAGAAAGAACATCAATATCAGTTCATCATGTCAACTAGCTACATGGTGTGCTCCGGAGCTCCAAGCGCACTCAAATTATTTTTTGAATTTCGGCTTTCAGCCGCTTGTACAAGCTGTGGCTGAAACAAGCCGGAAAAAACGGCTGAGAGTCAGCCACGGCTGAAAGTCGCTTGTAGGACATTTTTCAGCCATTTCCATGGTAATAGTGACGTAAACAAGCGCTTTTTTCGGCTGAACGGCTGAATCGAGCTCGGTGTGACCGCGGCCTTAGCTACTCAAGATTATTCAGTTCTTCCACAAGTTTCCATTACTCCCATTACTCTACCTTCCAAGGCTACATTTGGCTAACATTGCTCATATCAAGCCTCCAACTTTGAAAGTTGGCTTCATGCAATGTTCTGTTACAACGGCCTTCCAACTTGGAAGATTCACGATTAGGTAGGACCAAAGAGATGGATTTGGTTTGAGTACTAGAGATGGGTTAGAGCTAGCTATCAGGTCGTTGAATGTCTCAAAAACTTGCATTTTCTGACTCTTTATTACCTTGTTTCAGCCGTGGATAGTTGCTTCCTTGTGTTTTCTTCATTTTTTTACTAAACTACGTAGATTATAATAATGTGAATTCAAAATTTGTTTGGTTTCTTTGTTCAGACCATCATCTGTATTGATTCTAGTGGATCTTGTCATCCCAGCCGAGTTCCTGACAGCAATCGATGCAAGTGTTTCCATTCCAAAGATACGAGCGAATTTAACAGCTAGACTATTGAATCCAAGTATGCCACTTCAAGTAAATGCTTCCTCATTCAACTTACTTTATTACGGTGAGTAAAAAAACAATTTCCAGCAACCCTGCAACCCTTAACAATGGCTGCCCTCTAAAATGTACCATCCACTTTTCGCCCATTCTCCTCCTCCCTCCCCTGATGGCGCATGATGTATCGTTTCCTTACAAAGCTTATAAAGTTGTCCAAAAGAATTCTCATGGTTAACCTTGTTTGAAGAAAGCTCGTCTTTTTGTTTTGGCTGTCTTACTGTGCACAGATCAGTGTGATTCCGAAACCACATACGGCGGAATCAGGGGCAATATAACGTGGCCACAGACCTTTATCGGTACAGACATAACAGTACAATGCCCCGTCGCAGTCCACAGCAACCTTATAAGATACACCACACGGACATGTGGAATGGTCCCGCGACCTCATAATGCTAACCTGACCTGGGGTATATGGTCTGCTGCTAACCTCAATCACTGCCCGAGTGCAATAACAGTGGATCTCTACAAATTGTCCAAGGTGAGTGTTAGGTTGGCTCTATAAACCAGTTACATATTATTTAAAACCATTCAAAGTGATTAGGCCAAGTAAAAAATTGATTGTTTATCGTCCGCGCCCGCCCCAAATTTTCACCCTCCCGGCCGAATTATTTTATTTTTTAGTACTGGTAAATGTACTGGTAAATGTACTGCGGTCTACAGCCTCTAATCAGCACAGCCATAGATTTTCGAAGGTCAAGTCCACAGACTGAGCCATAACTCAGTTGCTATGGGCTTGAAAAGTGAAACTGATCATAAGCTGCCTGATTTTCTTCGATTTTTCTACATAACGTTGGTTGTTCCACTTTTCATTATCCTCTGGGGTTGCGAACACCTGCCCCACAGCCATACATGCATAATGAAAAAAAAATTAAATACCTCCCGTCCGCCCCGATTTCTCGGGAAAACCTGACGATAAACAATCAATATATTCTAACATGGTCTTATACTGCCACTCATCAGTAAAAGCCCAGGCACATAGCTTGTATGTAGTCAGTGTAGTTAGTTCACCACACCAACAAATGGCCGTCATGCATACTACATAGTCAAAACGGGCACAATTTCAGCTATCAGGTTGCCAGTGGCACATATAGGTACCACACCACAGATGTGCTCTTGCACTTAATCACCACACCACAGATGTGCAGGCAACATTCCTGCTCCACATCTACAAACGAGGAGTGGTACTTCAGAAGTGTTTGGGTACCCTCTTCTGTCACCTTCCACATCCTTTTTTCCTGCTGGCCCCGCTTCCGGTTTTCCTGTACTCATATTTTGTTCCATTGACCTGGGTTGCAACTAGCGCTAGCTACTCAGGTCCTTTATCTGGCCTCTCTCTCTCACTCTCTCTCTCTCTCACACACACTATCTCTCTCTTGTCATCGCCATGTAGTCTTCCGTTTTGTCTCTCATCTTCCCCAGTAAAATGTTGTTCCTATCACCTGCCTGTTCTGTAGTTCCTTGCGTATGGTACTATAGTTACATGAGTACTTGAGTTTCAACAGAAGACACCAACAGTCTGGAATGGGTTTGCATAAAATGATCTGCAAGTGAGCGCAGTTCCCAACCTCCAAGTCAAGTGCTGGTCCCCAGGAAAATCTCTCAAGAACACCTAGTTTGGGGCTGACTGCTTTTGGGCTGCCTTCATTCATTGTCATCATGTGTTATTCCACTGTTACTTTGCAGGCCCGACTAAACACAAGCAACCCCTCCACGATTCTAGATCATTCCATTGCCGTGTCGAATCTCACCAGCTTTGTTCAGAATCTCATAGCAGATGATGTTGATTACGCGACATCCAGCATCTACAATGCTGTTTCGACTGTCAGCAAGGGATCCAACTTTAACAGTACTTATATCAAGCTGGTATGTGCCAAATCTCAGAATTGTTTTCCTGTGTTTTGCTCTGTGCTGAAGTTCGTAAAGACTCAAAATGAGTTAAATCGCATGGCTTAAAAGAAAGTCTGATCATATTTCTGGTCAGAGAAGGTGACATAAAGTTCAAGGTGAAGATCACAAGTCATGTACATGCCTCATTGCAACAGTGAACGAGAACAGTTTTCGTCAACTCCAGTCTCCTGTTCTTGTAAAGCACAAGTTACTTATAGGGGAACAGTGTGGTTTTGTTAGCATTGCGTTCATATTCTAAGACAGAATGTCATTATTTTCATTGGCTGTGAATGTGTATTCTGGAACATGTGTGTTTGTTTGTGAGCATGTGTGTGTGTGTGTGTGCACGTGCGCGTGCATTGGCGTGTTGATGCATGTGTGTGTACGTGCATGTGTGCGTGTGTTGGTGTGCTTGTGTTTCTATTATATTATGTGTGTTGTCTTAGATTGCAAATGCCACGCTGCGATCCGTAGACAACATTCTAGACGTCAATTCCACCATCATTTTGCCCCCACCAGCTGCCAGGTAAGATTCTGGGGCATATCAACTCCCAATAAGGTTGCTTTTATGTTTGTTGGTTGCACGAATTTTGCAGTGTGTGCATGTTTCCTTTTGTTCAAGATCAAATCTCTTGTACTGGCAAAAATACTTAAGAGAGCATGACTGAGAAAACCAGAAAAGCTGGGCTGTGCCATCTCTCCGATTTAGCTCAAATTTTGCAAGTAGGTTTCCTTTGGAGTCTACAACATCCATGCGAAAGGGTTGGGTGCATACCTTACGGACACCTTGGAACTGGGGACAACCTCGAAATGGGCACCAAATACGACTGAATATTGGGTCCAAAAACGAGCGCTGGTACAGCGTACTCAATGCAGTTGAGAACAAACCACCACCATGCCAACATCTTAATTCTCGATCAACTCGATCAAATCCGTCGATTTGCTCTATCACGCAGTGGTCGGCGCACGGCCAGTTTCAGGATGTAAAAATATCGTGTTTCGAATCACACAAATCGAGATTTGTTCAATACACTTTGCACTTCTGCAGAGATTTGCTGCTAGTGAAATTCGAGTCGTTCAGGGAAGGAAATTCTTGTTGTTTTGAATGACAAGAGTTGTCAGTTCAAATTTCTTGTCACACTCGGTAGAGGTGACCACGCTGCAGTGTTTGGCGTGCTGTCGTCTGGAGTGGTGCCTGGTGTTGGAGCTTGAGGAGGCGCTTTCCGTCGTCGGGTAGGAAATTGGCAATGTTGCAATGTGGTGAAGTGAACGTATTCAATTTTTTTTATTTTCCAAAAACGTGGAACACTATTTACGAGACATGAAATGGGTGGTAGTGGAGATAGTCCACTGTCCTGCAGTGCATGGTTCAGGAAAATAGACGCCGTAAATGGTTCCTGCTATGGCCCTTGAAATATGGCGATGCAATTTAGTGATATTTGGAGATAATGGCCATTGCTTTCTTGGATGTAGTCATGGCTCTATATGGTGGTGATGTGAAGACTACTCAGGTGAGGTAATGTTGGCATGGTGGTGGCTTATTCTCAACTGCATTGTGTACGCTGTACCAGCGCTCGTTTTTGGACCCAATATTTAGTCGTATTTGGGGCCCATTTCGAGATGGTCCCCAGTTCCAAGGTGTCTGTAAGTGATGCAACGTACCGTTTCGCATGGTTATTGTAGACCCTAAAGGAAACCTACTTGCAGAATTTGAGCGAAATCGGATAGATGGCCCTGCTCAGCTTTTCTGGTGTCCTCAGACATGCTCTCTTAATCAATGGTCAAGTGAAAGGAAAAAAGAAGTAAAGAGAAGTCCAGCACAGAGCTGGAGTGTGGCCGCCCTATAAGCGGACTAAGAACTAATAGTAGTAGGTTGAAAAGAGCAAAAATGAATCCAATACGGAAAAAAACTAGAAGGAAACGTTATCAGAGACGCATGCCCGCCAAGGTGGGAGGTGACTCCAACTGCACCGGTCGAAGATTTCGGGATCCGCGCAAACCCATCATTCTGGACCGGAGTAGGGCAAAACACAATTTGCAGCGAACCCAAGACATGACACAGCTGTATGCTTCTCCGGTCTTCGCTGCTTGAAGAGAAGAGAAGCTATCCGCTTGTAGAGTGACTCCGCGTGTTTGCCCAAAGAACCAGTGGTGGACAATATGGCCGGAACACACAACAAAATACTCTATATCGCAGCACTGCTTCTCCTTCTTGTGATTTATGTAGCAGGAAACAATGGAGGTAGCACAGTTTGAAGGGGCACGAGGATCCCAACCCTCACATCGATAAAAAGGTGCGCTCAAACTGACCACCACAGCTGCCACTTGCCGCCACGTTGAGACAAGCCTGCTCTGTCTGGATAGCGGTGCAATACCATAGCTGTTCCCCAGTGACTGGCTGTTTACTGTGATGTTGTGCTGTAAAATCCAAAAAAATGGTGAATAAAATCCGAGTTGAGTGTGTGTGTGTGTGTGTGTGTGTGTGTGTGTGTGTGTGTGTGTCTGAGTTGTTGAGTTGAGTGACGGTTGGGGATTTTTTTCCTCCGTCTTCTGCAAGTAGATTTCAGCCACGGGCTGGCTTCTGGCCAAGGCCAGAGCCAGCCCTGATGACAGGAGCATTAGATAGGTTGCGCTGAACAAGACGACGTACATCTTGTCGTCGCGGGCGAGGAAATAAATCAGTGTCGACACCATGGTCACTTCCGATGTGACCACTCGTACTGAACCTCGTCCGCCTGAGCGCGGAGGCTCTGCAAACCCCCGCTTAGAGTTCGGCTCGCAACGTGCACCAGCAGCAAGGAGATTTGTGTTGTCCATGGGGACGTGGAACGTCAGAACTTTGGTGAACGTGGACGGCGATTTGAACACTGCCTCAAAAAATATCAAAAATTCAAAAAGACAACTCCGCGAGGAGAGAAAAATCGATCTTGTTTGCCGGCAGCTGCAGGGCTACAGTATGGACGTCGTTGGACTTCAGGAGACCCTCTGGTTTGGAACTAATTCCTACCAAGTCGACGACTGTCTCGTCTTGGCGAGTGGCCGTCCGACTCTGTCTGATGGGGAGTCGGCGCGGCGGGGTGAAGGAGTTGCAATTGTATTGCGCGGTCGTTGCAGGGACGCATTTGTTCGCGGTGGCTCGCAGTGGAGGGGGCACAGCTCGAGTTTGGTTTCCTCCAGGATCAAGTTCGAGTGTGGACGGAACCGTTCGCCGTTGTGTATTCACATCGCCGTCGGATATGCACCGACGTTCGCCAGACCGCGCGCTGAAAAAACTGCGTTTTATGACAGCTTGCAGACCTTCATTGACAGCGTTCCAAAGTCAGACCAGTATTGCATTCTTGGTGACTTCAATGCTAGAGTTGGAGTTGGCGAGGTGGATGACGAGTGGAGTGACGTGCGGGGGCAGCATGGTTTTGGTCGTATGAACTCAGCAGGAGAGGAGGTGCTCAATTTCTTGGCATGAAATGGAGCTGTTGTATGCAACACATTATTCAAGAAGAAGGAAATCCATAAACATACCTGGTTTCATCCACGCTACAAACACCCGCACTGTATTGATTATTGCATCATACCACAAGCACATTGGTCGCAGTGTTTGGACTGCCAAGTAATACGCAATGCGGAATGCGACACTGACCATAAGTTTCTAGGCATGAAATATCGTCTAGGTGCCTTGCCCAGTTCACATGTCTCCCGCAATGGTGTTGGGCGATCGAAACCCATTGCTGTGCCGCGCCTGCGTAGTGGTGCTCCGGAGGATATGGAGGTTGCACGTGAGAGATTCTCCAAGGGCATGGATGCTGAGCTGGAGAAGGTTTGGACCCCGAATCCGTCCATCGAGGAGTGGTGGAGTACCCTCAGGACGACCACCATCAACGTTGCCAGCGACTGCCTGGGTCGGGAGAGGCGACGACAGCCAGAATGGTTTACAGACAAGCGCACTGAGATCGAGTCGGTACTCCGTGATCGGGACAGTTGTTACTCAACCTGGATGTCAACGCGGAAGGCCAGTGATCTGGATTTGTACAAGAAATCTCGTAGTGCGGCGCGGTGCCGCGTGACCATGCGGAGGCTGAAGCGAGACTGGCTGCTGAGACAGGCAAAGGATTGTGAATGGTTTGGCTTGACGGCGAAGAGCGGTTGGGAATGTATCGGTAACATTAAGACCACCTTGGGTGGTATGCATCCCCGTGCAGCAACTGCTATCAGAAACAAGCAAGGAGAGATATGTGACACGGCAGAGACCACCGGTGGAAGGTGGCGTGAACATTTCGATGGCCTCCTGAACATTGCCAGTGCTTACGACTTGGAGGTAGTGGATTCGATCGAGCAGCGGCCGGTTATGACGGAGCTTGGTGTCGTGCCTGAGTGTGATGAGATTTGGCGTGCATTGCGAGGGATGAAGTGTGGCAAGGCATGCGGCGGATCCGAGATATCTGTGGAGATGCTGAAGTACGGTGGCCCTACCCTGATTGCGAGGTTGCATGAACTGATACGGGTGGTGTGGGAGACTGGCAGCGTTCCACAGGATTGGTCTGATGCTATCCTCGTCCCCATCCCCAAGAAGGGTGACCTGGGGTCTTGCGACAGCTGGCGTGGGATATAGTTACTGGATGTGGCTGGAAAGCTAGTTGCTCGCATGATTGGCAAACTGTTCGGCAATGAAATCATGGGTCGAGCCCGAATCTATTAACATAAGCGCGCGACGACCGTTGATTTTGCCTTCTACACGCAGGAGCTCATGTTCCGTTTCCACATTGACGCTGGTAACCTGGGCCTCAATAGTTGGTGTAACATCTCGCTTGAAATTGGCTTCGGAGCATTCAGCGTCATCGTCAACATCCTCCACAGCGAGGCTACTGAATCGGTTACGGGTAGAGACGGAGCACACACTACACGCAGGTGATGCCTTTTCTTGATGCGTCAGTAATCGCATCGGCCTTACTGACGTCCACCGTTTGGGTGATCTCGATGCTGCGGGCAATTCTGGGCTATATGGCCTGGTCGACGACATGCGAAGCAGCCCCCCCCCCCCCCCTGGGCTCGTAATGTCTCACGTTCCTCGGGGCTTAGTTTTGTTAGCTTTCTGCTACCTGATGGTGGTGCGAATCCCGGCGCGGTCGCCAGTGGTGGTCTGCGCTGAAATCGGCTGTCTGAGGCGACTGCTAGCGCTGCCTGAACGGCGGCTGACAGTGCAGTAGGGTGTTCCTTCACTACCAAGGTCCGCATGTTACCGTGCAGGCCGTTGACAAATAGCAAGGCTCTGGAGAGTTCGTCAAGTTCCGGCACCTGTAAACTTAGCCGAGAAAACTCCGTTACGTACGATTCAATTGACCCACGCTGTTGGATAGAGAACATATCCAACCGCACTCTTTCCCCGTCATAGTGCGGGCCATACACTCGCGCTAGGGCGCTTTTCAAAGAATGCCAATCCGAAAATTGCTCACCTGCTTCCATGGAAGAAATTAGCCAAAGACGCGCATTCCCAGCGAGGTAGCTAGCCGCAAAGTTAACTTGGCTCTCCGGGTCACCTCGAGGTGAGCACTTCAACTTCAAGGCTAACTCGACCGTAAATACCCACTCTTTGAACTCGGAAGGGTTGCCATGGAAAACATTCGGTTCTCTGGTAACGCGTTTGACGCTCGGGCTTGTCTGGGAGAGAGAACGTGATCGACACAGAGCTAGATCCGGAGGATTTGAGCTTGATGTAGCAGGTAATTGATGTCGTCCAACTGTAGCAGCCACGTTGTCCCGAGCGCGGCGGATCTCACGGAAAGCGGCGTAAGCAGAGCAGTAGCGGCCAGGAGCACAAGGCACGTCAAAGGGCAAACGATGATCTCAACCATCCTCAAGCTACCAGTGTAACAGTATCTCTTAGCCTGTCACCAGGAAACCCTATATATAGGGTTTGACATAACGCTACACATAAAGACCCTATATATAGGGTTAGGACCCCTAAAGAAAGGGTTTGATCAGTCCTCACAACTTGGCACACAATACACACAGTTTCACTTGTTTTTTTTTGATATTTTCACTGCATTGCCATTGATGTTAGCAGGAGCGCTCCTACGACGTGCGCGAGTGTCGCCGCATTTGCTGCTTCCGACCCACGTGTGGATCAGCTGATGCAGAAACGGCAATGGCGGGAGCGGCAGCTGCGACAGCCGCTGTTGATGCTTCGCCTTCTTCTTCAGGAGCATCCGACGCTGCTGGACCATTGACATCATCATCCTGAGTCGACACCAGGTCGCCAGGAACATTCTCATCGCCCGAGTTCGTCTCCACTAACTCAAGTTGCTCTTCCTCCATCGTGAAAAATCAAACCCTAGATATAGGGTCTAGAAAATGTTACGACAGCGCTGCACTAAAACTAACCGTACTCGAAGAAAACAGCAACAAAATGATCACGGTCTTCAGCAAGAGAACCGTACGTACATTCTACGTATGTAGGCCCAGGCGTCTAGTTGCCATAGCAGCCAAGTGGGCTCTCAAGAGAGCTCAAGATAGAACGCGCGGCTGAAAACCCTATATATAGGGTTTGACAGGCTAAGAGATAGACTTGATTGATTGGAGAATTCCCCGAATGATGTTCAAACCAGAGGTTATAAAGCAAAAGAAAGGCGAGAACCGCAGGAGTGAGAATAGAAGAAACACAAGGTGTTACCATAAGACAAGCAAGAAGTGTCAAGGTAAAACTATTATAGTTCCTACGTTTAACATAGCTGTTCACTATCATCGCTTCCGCGATGGGCGTGTCTGAGGTCTGAGGTGTGTGTGTGTATGTGTGTGTGTGTGTGTGTGTGTTTTGCACAGAGTTGCCAAAGCAATGGAAAAGCTGATGACAATTGTACCACTGGATCAGGGTGAAGTGTTTCAGGCATATGAGAGCAACGTGGGCTTTGCCCTGGCCTGTCATGTGCCAAGCAGTGTCAACGAGAGTCTTCACTCCCACTATGATAGAGTTGCTAATAGGTTTTACATCAACACTAATTTCACTTCAGGTATGTAGTTAAATCCGGTATTTAGTACGCATATGACTGACCAAATTTCATCTTTACACTACAACTGCAAAGCCGGACATATTATTATAGTTTTGGCTATTTCAGTGTTTCCTAAGAGAATTTCAAAAACGAAGTTGTACAGTGTGACAAGAACATCCTTTGAGGTAAAACGTTCACATAAGATGTCAGGATAAATCCAGTTTCATGGTGACCCTGGACATTCAGCAGTCTCCCAGCTCTGTGTATAGGCCAATTTCTGCAACGACTGGGTAAAACACACAGGAAATGTATAGTAGATGGGCTCAATTCAGCGTTGCAGTCTGTGACAGTCACACAACAGACATGAAACACTAATCACATGTAGGAGCAGATCACATGTGTCTTACTTGTTTGTTTTTTCATGTGTGACTCCAGGAGTTATACCACTAGTGTCACTGGTAATTCCAGGCAGTGCTATATCGCAAGCCACCGAGAGATTACCCAATTCCAGTCGCATCAACTGCCCGATAGCCCCCACAGCGTTGATCCTGTACCGGTCACATGAATTTTTCGTTGACTTTCAACTTTACGACAACACCACAGTGACGTCTGACATCATCTCTGTCCAGATTGGCCAGGAGGAGTTGGAGCATCTCAGGGAACCATTCATCTCCACCTTTGATCTCCCCTATGCTGTTCCTACAGTGAGTTTGATATTTTTTCGCTCCCGCTCTTGTAGTAGTTGAGCACTCTCATGTGGGGTAGTGCTTTTCTGTTTGCATTACGCAGAGCTCACTGACTTGTCAGTTTGAGCCCTCTGGCAAGGTAGGTTAATTATACTGTGCCCAATTTGCATACCAGAAATTCGAATGTTGAGCCAATAATAAATGTAGAAAGTGTTGAGTTCCAACAGGAGGACGTCATACTCTCCAAGCACAGCAATGGACAACGGGAACTGGTAGGTGGAACATTTATTACAGGAGACGAAGATACAGAGACCAAGACGAACAAAACGACTACATTGTGTAAGAGAGAAAGAAGAGAGAGAAAAAAGAGATCAAGTGTGAACCGCAAGATAAAGGGGCTGGGTTGCTATGGCAATTATGGGCACGCAAGTAGCTACCCAGGCCAACGGAAGGAGACAAAATGGTGAGTACGAGAGTGCATGCAGGCCAGCTTGGATAAGGTTGTAGAACGTACGGAAGGAGGTACCGAAGAAAAGGATAGTTACTCTTAGCTCATATATCCATATGTCCCTTTGCTTTCTAAATTTGCATATCGGTCAGAAAATAGAATGGATCAAGTCTTATTTTGTGTTTTGTGCGTGCTCAGGGAAAGGATGACGAAGTTCGTTGCGTTTCATGGGACTTCAAACTTGGTAGGTCATGCTAACTGGAAATACCCACAGCCGCCAAACATGGCCTCTTCGCAGAAACAGTAACAACATTGTCAACATTAAATTACAGTAGAATATTTTTTTGAGGGGAAGGAAAAAAGGAAGGAAGGAAAAAGAGTGTGATGTGTTTCTCGGCCATGTTTGCCTATTTGTGAACTCCTCAGCTGATGGAACCGGTGGCTGGACAGAGGATGGATGCAAGGTGCTGGAAATCAGTACGTCCAGGAACCAGACGACATGCAGATGCGATCACCTGACACATTTCGCTGTTCTCCTGGTAAGACACTCATTCATTCTTCTTTCACCTGCAGTTTCCCTCTGCTGTTGAAGCTCATAACATTTTATAGTGTTGTTTTGTGTGTATGGACTCGGACGGAGAGCCAGCGATCAATTTATAAGAAAGAAAAAGGACAAAAGAACTAAAAGTTACGCTGTAATGTCCACTAATACCACCATTTACTAAACAATGAGTTCATGCGATATTGTTTTGTGTGTGTTAATAATATGAAGGAGCCTATTGCCAATGGTCTTCTTAATTTTAATATGACATTTCAATCGGATTCATACTATGAGCTTGTAAAAAGGAGTAAACAGAGATTCATGCTGATTTCAAATGAATGCGCATAACTACATCGATCTTGTGCATTCACAATGCTACAGTAAATCATGGTTGATGCTCTGGCTACAATCTTGCTCGAGGGCCTTGACTGAATGTGCGTGGATATATCTAGCAATCTTGCATTGGAAATTGCCTTTACTGCTTACCACTTATAGCCCATCTTGTCACAAGGCAATTGTTTGAATCACGAGAAGAAACAAATCCAAATATTATTGTGATAATAATGTCATTCAAATGTAAAAGGATAACTTTTCACAACTACATCTGATGGTTCTTATTCTTTGATGATGCCAGGTTCGCAGCTCAGTAGACTCGACTGATCTACCGCCTGTCGAAGAAAAGGTGCTGAAGTACATATCGATTATTGGCACTGCCCTCTCCATGGTTGGACTACTCTGCACTAACATTGCCATACTTTGGATCAAGTAAGGCACTATCTGTATACGCTTCTATCTTTTTGAATTTTTTTAGATTTCTGTAATTTCTCCATACCCTTCCACCATCTGCCGCTAGGGTTTATCGGGTGTTAGCGGCCGTCGTAAGTTCCCTTCGGGAACGGATGCGATAATTTACTTTTTTTACTTTTACTTCCACCATGCACCCACACTATTTCATGTGATCAGTAAATTTTTCAGTGCAAACACTTCCTGACTTCCTGACTTCCTGATTGTCACAGTATGTTCCAAGTTGAGTGCCTCACTAAATGAGGTTCACACTGCGTTCGATTCATTCACAAGTTTTCTGTTGCCATATTGCATATTGCTCTGCCTTTACAATGGTTTGCCTATCTTGCTTGATTTCTGCAGGAAACTTCGGCAGGGCCACCACCATCAGATGGTGTTTGGGCTATGCACAACTCTACTTCTCTTCCTGTCGATATTCCTGCTGATCCTGTATTACGAAAACCTTCCACAGCATGGCCTGGCATGCAAAGCACTAGCCATAGCCATGCACTTTCTCCTGCTCTCTTCCTTCATGTGGACGTCAGTGGATGCCACGTTCCTCTACAAGCAGATTGTGATCGTGTTTGATGAGACCAAGCAAAGTGTCAGATACACACTTCACTCGTTGGTTTTCGGTGAGTAGCACTTGTTTGCCTGCGGCACTTGAGCATTGACCGATTGCAGCATCTTTTCACGTGGCAGTTAGTCCAGAGCTGAGCAAGTTGTATCCGGGTATTTTGCACAAGCCACTTACAGGAGGCTGCGAACACTCTCCTCATTCCTTCTACCCCCTCCCCCCCCCCCCCCCAGGAATGCTTGGCAGTAAGCTCTTACTCCGTAGTGCTCTGTGTGTGTGTGTGTGTTGTACTTCTGAAGTGTTGGATAGTTGTTGATTCCACCAATACGAGCTGTAAGAATGCTGGTATACGCCGCTAGTGCAATTTGATCAGAATGTGACGTAATGACACCACATCACCGCCGTAATGATAATTATGAGAAAGTTTTTAATTGAAGTTATCAGCGGTGCTATCATAGTCTTCAGTTCTTGCAACGTGGCTTATATCCATCCTCTCTGCTCTCATTCTCCCGAAACAGTACTGCCGTTGATTGTGGTTGCTGTGTCTGCTGGACTGACGCTGCCTGATGGCTATGGAGGAGAGAACATGTGAGTTCTTGTTTGTTTCCAGATGACCATAGCTGTTCATAGTGTGATGGAATGCTTGCAGTGATTTGAACACAAGAATTACTGGTTTGGATCTACGGTTATTTGGTCCCGTACGGACATCTGAATGCAAATATCAATGTGTCCACCTGAATTCCTTCATCATTAGTCAAAACTCAGATGGTGAGCCAAGGAAAGAAATTGTTACCTGGAAATTGTGGGCACAAGTTATGTAATCGAGTTCACGAACTAAACCAGATGTTGAACAGTCAAACGTGCACAATCTAGGACAAAACTGACAAGGAGTTCTGGGACATTCCACAGCATGAAAGTCAGCTTGAGCACTGCTCGACAGCGCTAACCTTCCAACTTTGAAGATTCATGGATATTAGTGCTAATTCCAAAGAGGGGACATCTAGCGCCATCGAGCCGAGCACAAGCTACATTCCAAGGCTTCATGGAATGCTGGCCTGGTATGACTTTCATGCTGTGGAATGTCTCAGTACTCCTTATCAGTTTGTGCTAGATTGTGCACGTCTGACTGTTCAAAATCTTGTTTAGTTGGTGAACTCGATCGCATAACTTGTACCCACAATTTCCATGTTACAATTTTTTTTATCAATATTCATGTTGCAATTTCAAATTTGGACTTCACGGAGAATTTCAAAGTTTTAGGAAATTAGAGGTCACATGCCACGTACTGCTCCTTTCTCTCCGAAACTCAACACTTGCAAGCCAGATATGAAAGAAAGAAGAAATCATCAGTCACACCACCGGGACTCGAACCAGGGACCTTGCTATTCGCGAGCAATGCTCTAACCAACTGAGCTACAATGACTCTTATCCACAGTGATGGTAAATCTATCCTTCTTCGATCAATCTACATCTGGCTTGCATCAAACTGGCAACTAACACCAATCAAGAGGGCCCTCGGCCATTCGCTTGATATCATGGGGAGGGCATCAAACTATGTCCACTGCGAGCAAATACCGTACAAGTTGCAATTTCAAATTTGGACTTCACGGAGAATTTCAAAGTTTTAGGAAATTAGACTGATGACTGATGATTTTTTCTTTCTTTCATATCTGGCTTGCAAGTGTTGAGTTTCGGAGAGAAAAGAGCAGTACGTGGCATGTGGCCTCTAATTTCCTAAAACTTGGAAATTCTCCGTAAAGTCCAAATTTGAAATTGCAACTTGTATTTGCTCGCAGTGGACATAGTTTGATGCCCTCCCCATGATATCAAGCGAATGGCCCAGGTCCCTCTTGATTGGTGTGAGTTGCCAGTTTGATGCAAGCCAGATGTAGATTGATCGAAGAAGGATAGATTTACCATCACTGTGGATAAGAGTCATATAGAGCATTGCTCGCGAAGAGCAAGGTCCCTGGTTCGAGTCCCGGTGGTGTGACTGATGATTCCTTCTTTCTTACATATCTGGCTTGCAAGTGTTGAGTTTCGGAGAGAAAAGAGCAGTACGTGGCATGTGGCCTCTAATTTCCTAATATTCATGTTTATATTAATATTGGATCATAAGAGTAGAAAGACCCAGGTGCATCAAGTTATCCATTAAAACAATAACTTCACATGCTGGAAAAGGCTTCCGGAGTAGTTTAGTGTACCCTTATTGTTGTGGGGCCCAAACCTTTGCAGAAGAATTTGTTTGCCAGAGGATTTCTCTTCATGGAAATCCCGTTCTTCATTTGTCTGACCTTTCACAGCTGCTGGATTCGTTCCGACCCGGTCTTCTACGGTGCTTTGATTGCACCGATGGCGCTGTGCCTTGGATACAATCTAGTCATCCTTGTCATTGTCGTCGTCACTCTGCAGAGACGTGGAAAGAACCTGGCTAACAGCATCAACAAACGCCAACAAGGGAAAGAAGGCTCTGCTCCGTACGGTCGTGTCCATCTCCATCCTGCTTGGCCTTACATGGGTATTCGGATTCCTGGTGCTTGCTGATGACAACATTGTCTTTCAGTACGTGTTTGCCGTTCTGAACTGTCTGCAGGGTGTGTTCATCTTCGTACACGTCATCCGGGGCCAGGATGCCAAGAGAGGTGTCGAGGAGATTTTCTCCTCTCGCAAGTCGACAACGGGTTCAAGCACCAAATTTACTGGACTTATCAGCCTCATACGTCGCGTGCGTAACACGACGACCAGTAGCAAGGCTGGCAGCGGCAGCAGCGGCAGTCATGCGAAGAAGGGAACGGGTGAGGTCAGAGGAGTGCGAGGCATTAAAGGCGGCAGCAGTAACAGCAACGGCAACGGTAGCAAAATTCCGGATAGTGCTCAGCTAAGCACTCTGGAGAGAGTAAATTTCAGAAGTCCGGTGAGCACGAGGAGGGCGATAGGAAAGGAAGGTCATGCCACATCTCATGTTACACCCACTCCAATACCTATACACCTCGCAACAACGCTCGACAGACATGGAAAACTGGGTCAAACCTCAGGCAAACACCGACAACCGATGATGAGCAAAGCGTCTTCGTGCATTCTCAAACGCCGGTTGACCTTCCCGATATTGGCACCCTCCTGTCGCCAGAATCCCCAACATCGGACTGGCGGCAAAGTTTCGAACTCTCGCCAATAAATTCCGCCTCAAGTATTTCACCATTAACGCCACAAGATGTGTTTAAAACCCAACGAACACAGTCATTTCGGAACTTCAAATTCGAGCAATATAAAAGTCCATCTGGTGACATCTACGCTGGTATAGATCTTGCACCGAAAGCCAGTTCAGAGAGTAAGAAGTAATGCCCGGCTGAACACTTACCAACAACCACTGCTAGCAGTTCGTTTTTCATAATTAGAAATGCAGATGATTTCACTTTCCTGTTGCTCTTACAGGATAAAGAGATATTTTTTGGAATCTTACTCGAATACAATAATTATTATTTTAATAAAAATGAAATTGAACATTCGACCGCGTAAATACTTTTAAGTATTTACGCGGTCGAATGTTGAGTTTCAATTCTCCTTTTACAATCTCTCTTTGAGCGCTCCCATTCATTAATTTTACGCCATGAGGACTCATTCTCTCCTACGTTCTTATCTTTGTGCATGTCTTTTGATGCTGCATTTAGTTAGATAATTTTACAAAAGAGAATGCCTCCATGCAAGCAAGCATAATGTTTTTGATGAATTTTTTTGTGTTTCCTCTTTCGTTACTTTACAACACTAGTTGAAAGATGATAATGATATTTTCGGTAGTAAAGTATTTCTGTACATGTACTACACATGCTACTAATTCGACTGCCTGCTGCATCTAATAACGTTAATAGCCTGAATCTTTGTTATGGGTAGGCAAGTGATTTTGAATGATAGCCGATTGGCATGGTACAATTTTCATCGCTTCTTTTACTGGCTTGTGGGAATCATTTTAACCCGCTTGGATTTGCCATTCTGTATCACAACGTGTAGTTTTCAGCAAAGAAGCTTTGTAGTACTTATTCGACTAGTACGGTGTCGGTCACAAATCCACCATGCTACAAATTGCCTAAAGCTTTTAACCATCGCGCAAAACCCATTGTGGCGCTCTGAAGAAACATTTTCGTTTTTCTTCACTCGCAGATCAAACATGGTAGAAATGCTCTGAACACCACTGGAAAGCTCAGTTTACCAGTCGTGCCTTGTTTCATTCGATAATTTTTCACATTGGTTCGATATTTGAAAGGGCCACTTTCTTGCGAAGGTATACAGTACACGGGACATGTTTCCAACGTAGTTACTATCGTCGCTAAAAAATCTGGCATAAGCTGTACATGTTAATCCACCGGGGGGGGGGGGGGGGGGGGGGTGCAAGGGATTTTATGCTTCATGTTCTTGTAACAGTCGATGCGAACATGGCGGCAGACTGAGGCTGCGTTTACAGGACAAGGAAGTACGACCGAAACGGAACGAATCGTTCCGTTTGGGTTGCGCTCACATTACAATAAAAATATGTCAGAAAGGTTGCACGGTGAGCCGAGAAATGTACTAGCGCGCTCACACGAGACTTTTACGGGTACGATCACGATGCACACAAGTATCAGAGAGTAGTAAAATATATATTGCAGTTCAGAGAGTAGTAAAATATCTATTGCAGTTCAGAGAGTTGTAATGATATTTCCGCGCGCCCGCAGAGAAATGAAAATTCTTCACGTGGATCGCCATCGAGTTTTTCTTCGTTGTGGAGAAGACGGCTGCACGATGAATGACCGACATGCTGCATTGGTGGTTTTTGTTTGTTGAAACGTCTTTGACAAAATCAGAGCCACCATGCATGGGAACGTCATCATGTCAATGACAAGACTCAGTCAACGCACACGAACTGACCTTCCTTTATACCCAGTGGTCAGGCGCTGTACAGGTGAATTGAGATAGCAAGGGGGCGTTCAAATTGTCTTCATCAACTGTTCGAGTAGATTTTTAAAAGAGATTATTCGCAACTCAGATGGATTGACAATATTGAAAATGATCTAAAGCACGCCAATATTGATATTTCTGACTGTTTTGAACTGGCTCTAGACAAGAAAAATTGGCTGATGCTTGTGGAAAAATGTGCTGCGCTTGCGTAGTTGTTCTCACTGCGATACGTTCTAACAATAATGAGATGCCTTTTGTTGGCTCTTCTGCCTGGATTTCCGTTGACAGATGCGTTAAGCCCATGGATCCTTCCATGAGTGACATGCGAACTGTAACTATTATTCTTATTCTTATTCGAAGTGTCCCACTAGAACGGTTTCTATCATTTTAGAATTTTTCAGTGGAATTGTCATGGCGATGATGACGTTTTTTCAGATCGACCATCTCACGTACTACGTGACGTAGCTATTCCAAACTCTTCGCAACCATCCACCTCTCCCACCAGATGAGGTTGCGGAGTTTCGTTTTTCTGAAGAGGCCAATAAGGCCACCTCTTCAGAAAAAAGAAACTCTTCGAAAAGTCCAAGAGTGACAATTGGAACGCGCCCTTAGACTTCTTTTAGACTTCTTCACAATGTGCATGATTTGGACAGTCAATGATAGCATCGCAGATGGCGCGAAATGGCGAATGTAATCATGACATCAGACAAAATTATGTGTTTTACATGTACTTGTAAGTGCACAGTCTAGATCCCGAGATATGGAGTCTGCAAGTGAGAACGTCGCCATTATGGTATGGCCACACACCGACAGCTACAGCCGGAGTGAAGTAAGTAGTTCGCTCTCGCTCACTTGGCACTAGCTCGGCATCCTGGCACAGGACTACATGTTTGACATTATGCTCAGTGCCAGTGGACCGCATGTCACTGAGGTGCACGTGTTGAATTATTTCACGAGAAGTCACCTCAGGACCTGTCACATGGGACTGTGTTTTACACTGAAACTGCATCTTCTGAACCAGATAGTCGCGCAAGGGTTTGCACGACTCCCCGGCGGCGATCTGAACTGTGAAGTGCGTCCAACTCGCTCCGGATCGACGACTTTTAGTTTACTAGAATAACATGTCATTCTAAGGCCATCTGAATAAGGGACCATCGCAAAAGTTCGCAGAAGCCCCCGAAACGAAGACCGTGAGTTTCAGGCCTGACCCCCCTCCCTCCCCCTCAAACGAAACGACAGTCACAATATGGGCTTCATTTTTTCACTTGGATGCTCACACATAATAATTATTATAATACTACACAAGCATTGTTGTATCAGTGTGTAACAATGTACAGCACTTTATAAATGCAACGATGATATCACCTTGCAGTGGGTGATCTAAGAACGAGAACAGCTAGAGCTATGCAGTTGTATCCTTTGAGCATTACAATGAACGTTGATTGGTGTATATTGCTTTCACATTCCCCATACGCGTCCTGACAAGCGATCTACGCCGGCTGTGATGGCATGCTAATCCTACAGCTCCTATAATTATGTCGTCAATACTTTTTTGAATTGAAGCCCGGTTGCGATTTTCGCACCGACTCCCTCCCCCCCCCCCCCCCCAAACGTATGCTCTTCGTTTCAGGGGCTTCTGCGATGGTCCCTAAGGTTTTGTTCCATATCGCTCAGTTGAATGAATGGTTTTTTTACTAGCGCCCACTAACGTAAATTTGTTGTCCGTAACGAGCAAATTTAGCAACGTACCAGACGGCAAGCGTTTGCAGTGCTGGCTGCCGGCCTAGCAATGGAGAAGAGTGAAGGGCGACTCTCTGTGCTGCTACCACTAACCGCTTTACTGTTGCCCATGACAGGTAACGTTATGTTCTGCTCTGCTGTACTAGTACATAGCGCTTGAAACACCAGGGCTGTTTGCTTTGCTTGCTATGGCTTGTGTCTTGCGTTGACTGTGGCGCGCATTCTACCCAAGACGAAAGGAGGAAATGCCCATACCCACATAAGCGTTATCTACGGCCGCATGCAGTCGACCTAGTCACACATGAAAAGCTTGCACGCTTTTGCGGAGGCGAAAAGCGTAACTACCGCGCCGCTTTGGCGGAACACACGATGCAGCGGTCACACATACATGCAGACTACTATACTGTGCTCCTCAACGCTCCGCTTTGCAAATTTGGCGGAGGGAATGCAAATGCAGCACGTCCTATTATTAGAATTAGAATGATGTTCTTGTCCGACTTGAAGCGACCTTCGCTTGTACAAGTAGAGCTATCGTGGATCGCTGACAGGCTGGTGAATGTCTCCTGTCAAGTACACTCGTGGATTTGGGGCACATTCACTGCGGCCCAGTGCGGGTGTATTTGAATATTAGTTTAGTTTACATCAATATCAAATTCAAAATTTGTAGTTGTATAGCAGGGTGTCGTTGCCTCCTCCATGATCCATCATCGACCCCAGCGACTGCGTGGATGCCTGCAGTTGCAGTGAGGGTGTGGCAGAGTACTCTACTACTCCCTGGTTGCAGTCCTAGTGCTGCATACTCTGGTGGACGCATTGCTTGGAGAGAGAAGGAGAGAGTTGGCGATCGTCCGCGATCGGGGCCCATGAGTTGGGAGACGGATCCCCTCACCAACTATCCACTCATAACGATGCAGTATTGTTTGCGAGATCTCTGGAACGTACAGTTCATTGGTAAAGAAGAACAATATGAAAACTGAATACCAAACGGCAACCAAACAACACCAGAACTCAGTGCACACGTAGCACACCAAACTCCAAAGCCACCGCCATGCAGGTTCCGCCAACACGGATCCGCGAAAGCGGAGGTTCCGCTCGCATTTTTTTGAGTAGCGAAATCCAAACTTTCCGCCAAAGCGTAACTTACGCCTCCCGCCCCGTTGCCTCGGTGGAAGCGTAAGTTACGCTTTGGCGGAACCGCTAAAAATAGTGCATGTGTGACCGCGGCCTAAGGCATGCCGAAATTCTTGTTCACATCATGTTTAGGTACATGTCATCTACTTGTACATGTAAGTATTACTGTACAACCTCAGGGCAACCGCAATGTGTGCTTACCTTCACCACAGATTTTTCTCTCAACATTTCTGTGGCTTGCTTGATCACCATATGCCTGAGAAAGTTTGAAGCATGGTCACATTTTCAACATTACTCCCAATGTTTTCTGATCTTGCACGTCGCAAGAGGAATCAAAACTCGCTGTGGCCACAGTATAAAATTTCAAACAACTTTCCTACCTAACTAAGAGTCGTTGCCACAAGGATCAGCATTAAATTTGACACTTGTGTCAATTCAGTTGCCCCGTATTCTGTCGCCTGAACATGCCCAGACGGCGTATGAGTAACAGTACAGTCCTGTACATATCCTAGTACATGGTTGGCATTGGTAAATGCATACATACCAACAATGGCACTATGCTAGCATGAAGCACCGCCGGTGAAAGCGCACCATACAACTGGACCATAGACTGGATTTTATAGGCGACGACAGTGCGTGGCACTGCGTGCACATGTACACTCGACCTCGCCGATAAAGTCTCTAGAACGGTAATGCAGGTCAATGAAATACAAACCAGTACAAGACGAATGTGAAGCCGAGGTCTTTTTCGAGGTCTGAAATTGTATTTCTAATATTGATCTAGTACGAAGTGCATATTTGATAAAGTGTTGATATTCGCGAGATTTAGCCTTGTCGACAACCAGTTCGTCACAGAGAAATACTACATGTACTAGCAAGATTATATAACTCTTGATACTAATACAATAGTACATGAACATGTTCCTGTTTCCAAAGCCCGGCTTGTTGGCCACTAGCTAACATGGGTAACGGATACAGACTAATCTAACCGAGACTATCATGAATGGAGTTGTCATTGTGTGCAGATTTTCAAATTTTCTTTTTCTTTAACATTTTTGTTGGTTTGTTTTTCTTTTTTTTCTTTAGTTGTTTTGTCGGGCCAGTGATATCAAGTTCCGTGATTGCCCGTAAAAAACATGTGTCTCGTGAGCGATGACAGCCCTGAGCTGTCAACTCGGTTGACAGCTCAGTGGTTGCAGTCCTGGGACTTCAGATTCTTTTACA